AGCTGACCCTGTCCGAGGCCAGCCCCTTCAAGTTGGGCTTCGAAGGCTCGACGAAATATAACGGTTGTCTCAAGAACTTGACGTTGGGTCCATATGAGTTCCGGGCGTACGTGCCCGCAGAGAAGTGGGTGGGACCCAAGCCCATGATCACGCAGTTCACGCCTGGCCACGACGCTCGTCTGATCTCGACCGTCGCCCCGGACGCGTCGGAGACGATCCATGTGCAACTCTACTTCTCGACGGAGATGGACTGCAACGGCGTCACCCGGTCAATCTCGCTGAACTCGACGACGGAAAGTGGCAAGGTGGCTACTCTCGACTCGAACAGCGTCCATTGCGCTGCCGTGAACCCGAACCCGACCACGATGGTCGGGCAGATCCCGAATGCCTGGATGTGGGAGGCGGATGTGACGAACGTGTACAATGGCATCCACGAGCTCACCGTCAACAACGCGAGCAGCACCAATGGCTCGTCGACCGGCGCCGTCGACCACTTCTTCTTCCGGGTCGGCCAGCCCGACAACCCCATGATCTTCTCGACCGCCAACTATTCGACCAGTTTGCTCCACCAGTACGACAACGGCACCCTCTACATCCAGCACCATGCCGCGGGAGCGGATCGGTGGCGCTACTCCACGAACTGGGGATCGACCTTCTCGGACTGGATGCCGTACACGGGCGGCAACTCCACCATCGAAGAACAGCCGTGGTCCGGCACGAAGCTGCAGGAGTGGTCCGGGAAGCATGTTCGAGTCGAGTATTACAGCAAACTCACGGGGAGCAGCGACTATGTCCAGGAGGGTGACGTGGGCTGGGATTCCAAGGTCCCCCGTCGATTCCCCCATCTGTTCTGGAACGGGCCCTACAACGAGTACGGGTACGACGCCGGTCTCAAGAATCAGATGGAGCTGGACCAAAATGACGGTCTTTGGAAGATCAAATTCTTGACCGAGTGGCCCGCGCAGGCCCAGATCAACGTCTGGGGCATGAACCCCGACGGTCTGCCGGATGAGGGCTATGTCTATGGCGATGTGGACGGCGACTCGGTGCTGGACCGCATGCCCCCGTCGGCGCTCTCGACCGTCCTCATCAACATCACGGAGCATCCGCCCTCCCCCTATCTCGGCTGGGAAATCCAAGTCAACGATGGAACTCTCCGCTATACGCTCCAGCCCGTGGGATCCGAGGCCGCCCAGATGGCGCTCTTCTTCCTGCTCTGGGTGATCCCGGTCTTGAGCGCCGCGGCGAGCATCTACATTTTCATGAAGTCCTTCTACCAGGTCAAGTTCAATCAGGTCGGTGTGACGGACAAGAAGAGCATCATCCCTCTGGCCTGGAGGCGCAAGTTTAAGCGACGGCATCTGGAGGACGGCGAAGCGATGAATCCTCTGATGCGTCTGGCCAACAAGTCGGGCTTTCTGCAGACCAACTCCGCGTTTGCCGGCGCCACCAAGAGCGACCGGCGACGCATGGTCCTCATCGCTACGATGGAGTACGATATCGAGGATTGGGGCATCAAGATCAAGATCGGTGGTCTCGGTGTGATGGCCCAATTGATGGGCAAGCACCTCGGTCACCAGGATCTCATCTGGGTCGTTCCCTGTGTCGGCGGCGTCGACTACCCGGAGGACCAACCGGCGGAGCCCATGTACGTGACGGTGCTGGGCAACTCGTACGAAGTCAAAGTCCAGTATCACGTACTGCGAAACATCACCTACGTGCTGCTCGACGCGCCCGTCTTCCGCCAGCAGACCAAGACGGAACCGTATCCGGCTCGGATGGATGACTTGGACAGCGCCATCTACTATTCGGCCTGGAACCAGTGCATTGCCCACGCCATCCGGCGTTTCCCGATCGACCTGTACCATATCAATGACTACCACGGTTCCCTGGCTCCGCTCTACCTTCTTCCCCAGACGATCCCGTGCTGTCTGTCTCTGCACAACGCCGAGTTCCAGGGTCTCTGGCCCATGCGGACCCAGAAGGAGAAGGAGGAAGTGTGCTCGGTCTTCAATATCGACATGGATGTCGCCGCTCGCTACGTCCAGTTTGGCGAAGTCTTCAACTTGCTGCACGCCGGTGCCAGCTATCTGCGGGTGCATCAGCAGGGTTTTGGTGCCGTCGGTGTGTCCAAGAAATATGGAAAACGGTCCTATGCTCGTTACCCCATCTTCTGGGGTCTGAAGAAGGTTGGCAACTTGCCCAACCCGGACCCTTCGGATACCGGTGAATGGAACAAAGACGTGCCCCAGGATTCCGAGATTCGCGTGGACCCCGAGTACGAAGCCAATCGAAAGGAGCTCAAGCGTCAAGCCCAGGAGTGGGCCGGTTTGGAACAGAACCCGGACGCGGACCTGTTGGTGTTTGTCGGGCGATGGTCGATGCAGAAGGGTATCGACTTGATTGCCGATGTCATGCCCGCCGTTCTGGAAGCGCGCCCCAACGTCCAGTTGATCTGTGTCGGACCCGTCATCGATCTCTACGGCAAATTCGCCGCCCTGAAGCTGGATCGGATGATGAAGCTCTACCCCGGTCGTGTCTTCTCCCGGCCGCAGTTCACCGCGCTGCCCCCGTACATCTTCTCTGGGGCCGAATTCGCCCTGATCCCGTCCCGTGACGAGCCATTTGGTCTGGTCGCCGTCGAGTTTGGTCGGAAAGGAGCGTTGGGTATCGGTGCTCGGGTCGGTGGTCTGGGTCAGATGCCCGGTTGGTGGTACACGGTCGAATCGACGACCACCTCTCACCTTCTCCACCAGTTCAAATTGGCCATCGAAAGTGCCTTGAACTCGAAGCCGGAGACGCGAGCGATGATGCGCGCTCGGTCCGCCAAGCAGCGGTTCCCCGTCGCCCAGTGGGTGGAGGACCTGGAGATCTTGCAGAGTACGGCCATTCGGATCCACAATAAGGAAGTGGCCAAGGGCCACGGGCAGCCGTTCACGCCGTCTGGCTCCAATACTCCCAGCGGCATGGTGACGCCGCCCATTGGTGCCCCGGGCATGGCGACTCCCACGGGGATGCAGACGCCTCCGCTGGGCCACTCGAGGGATGCCAGCTATTCCAACCTCCGCCACAGCACCCTTGGCCCACAGCAGCGGAATACGATTGTCTACAGCCGAGATCCCAGCCCCGGCGGGGACGAGAAACCCAAGTCGGGCCTGAGCCGACAGCTCTCCCTCGGTGTCCGGTCCGGTCCTGGTCACGTCGAGCGTCGGGGCCGGAGAAGAGTGCGGAAGAACAACAACAACAACAACAACAACAACAACAATAATAATATCCCCGAGGCGGATGAAGTCGGGGTGGCCGTCACGGATGTGGAAGACGACAGCGACGATGAGATGACCCACAGCTTTTATGGAGACGACGAGTACACGATGACTCCGGAGCAGGTCGAGGCTAGCCGTCGGATGGACATGGGCCAGCATGGATCGTCCCTGACCCCTCTCAAGCAGGACTTCCTGTCTCCCAGCTCCCCGCGGCAGGCCAGCTATAGCAGTGGCACCCTCAAGCCGCCGGGCTCTCCCACGACGCCGGCGACCCCGGGTGCGGACGATACCTTGATGCCGCCGAGCCGACCGTTCGCCGAACCGGGCAACCGTCTCAGCAGCGCGTCCGTGCTGTCCCTGGATTCGGTGGTTGGAGACAAGAAGGACTTCAAACTGCAAAAGGTGGACCCGTTCTTCACGGACAGCACGGGTGAATTCTACCGCATCTTCGAGAAGAAGCTGGAAGATCTGAATGGCTCCAACTCGGAGACGCAACTGTGTATCGAGGAGTACCTCATCAAGAGTGAGAAGAAGTGGTTCGAACGGTTCCGCGATGCCCGACTTGGCCGCAATCATTCCCCGGCTCCGTCGATCCGGAATGGAAAACGGGGCACGTCGCCCGCCGGGTCGATCTACAACGAGGATCTGGATTCCCGCGGCAGCGACAGCAACAAGGAGGGCGATGAGTTCTTGCTCGGTGCGGACTACGTTCCGCCGACCGGTCTCAAGAAATGGATGCAGCTCCGCGTGGGCGACTGGCCGGTCTACTCGCTCTTCCTGGGCCTGGGCCAGATCATCGCCGCCAACTCGTATCAGATCACCCTGCTCACCGGTGAGGTGGGTCAGACGGCGGACAAGCTGTACGGAATCGCGACGACGTATCTCATCACGTCCGCCATCTGGTGGCTTGTCTTCCGGTCGTTCAAGTCGGTGGTGGTCCTGACGGTGCCGTGGTTCTTCTACGGGCTCGCCTTCATCTTCATCGGGGTTGCCCACTGGGAGGCGAACAAGTTCAGTCGGGGCTGGATCCAGAATGTGGCCGCCGGCATCTACGCCACAGCCTCGTCGAGCGGTTCCATCTTCTTCGCCCTCAACTTTGGTGACGAGAGCGGTGCTCCGGTCAAGGACTGGGTCTTCCGTGCCTGCGTCATCCAGGGCACTCAGCAGCTCTATGTCGTCGCTCTCTGGTACTGGGGTTCGGTTCTGACCAAGAGCAGTTCCGATGGGATCATCCACCCGCAGGCTATCTCGAACAGCTGGGGGATGACGGCCATCACGTTCCCGATTGCATTCGCCCTGTGGACGGTTGGCGTGCTGTTGGCGTTGGGATTGCCCGATTACTACCGCCAGGCCCCCGGAAAAGTGGCCTCGTTCTACAGGTCGCTGTACCGCCGCAAGATCGTGCTGTGGTTCTTCGTGACAGTCATCATCCAGAACTTCTTCCTCAGCGCGCCCTATGGTCGCAACTGGAACTTCCTGTGGAGCTCCAATCACGCTGCAGCCTGGCAGGTCTTCCTGCTGGTCATCCTGTTCTTTGTCGGCGTGTGGGCGTTGATGTTGTACATCATGAGCCGGCTGTCCAAGGACCACAGCTGGATTCTGCCCGTGTTCGCCATCGGCTTGGGAGCGCCTCGGTGGGCGCAGATCTGGTGGGGGGACATCCAACATCGGCCAGTATGTGCCGTGGGCGGGCGGCTACGTGTCCGGGGCGCTGGTGTCTCGCGCGCTGTGGCTCTGGCTGGGCGTTCTGGATGCGATGCAGGGAGTCGGGTTCGGTATGATTCTGTTGCAGACGCTGACTCGGCTGCACATTTGTTTCGTGCTGCTGGGGGCCCAGGTTCTGGGTTCGATCGCCACGATCTGCGCGCGGGCGTTTGCGCCGAACAAGATCGGACCGGGCGACATTTCGCCGGACATAGGGACGGCGGTCAGCAACATTTGGGTGGCATGGTTCTGGATTGCGTTATTTTTCCAGCTCCTGATCTGGTGAGTTTGTCAAATCGTGATGAAGCGATTGTCCTTGCTAACGGATTGATTGTGGCAGTGCCGGGTTCTTCCTCTTCTTCCGGAAAGAACAGCTCAGCAAGCCTTGATCATGTATTTTTCTTGCGTTGACGAATTTCTTCAGCCCTCATACCCTGCTTTGTTCTTCTATTAGTTTCTGCAGAGCATTCTGCCCATGTCGCACTTACTATATACCCTCCTTGATCTGTATGTCATTGCCATTGTCATCTCTCTCAATCTGTCTCTCCCTCGCATAATCCGTCAGTGCATTTATTTATGGACATGAACCAGATGATCTCAACACATATATGTGTATCCTTTCCGCTGGAACAAAAATCTGTTTTCTTTTTATTTTTTAATTTATCAAGGGGGGTTGGACAAAACAACCAACATTGGGAGTGGGAAGGGGATAGGACAGGACAGGACAGGATAGGAAAGGCAAGATACACTGCATCACACTACAGATACAACCTGGTTCTATTATTCATTTATTTCGCTTGGTTCCACATCTGATATATATGCTATTATATCAGATGTGTTGTTTGTGTTGTTTGTTGGTGGTTTGATTTTTTTTTTGTTTATTTTTGTTTGTGACGAGGCGTTCGTTGCGTGCGTGCAGTTAATCGGATGTTTGTATGTATGTACATGTACATGTTTTTTTTTCTCCCCCTTCGCCCATTTAGAAAATGTTTTCCTGAGGAAGAAGGGCTTAAGGAAGAGGTCCATTAAATTAGATAATTACAATGGCGGAATTATTGACTGGATTGGAGATGACTAGGATAGGAATGGGATTTCTGACTAGTATTTACCTACTTAACTACCTGAGACGTTGTAGAACTGGGACCCTTTTTACTTTGTAGTAGGTAAGAAATACTACTTCTACTACTAGTACTAGTACTTTTTTTTAAAAAAAAAGTAAGAGAGAGAGAGATAGACCTTTTTTCCCCCCTGTTTCTTGTGGTGATATGGTGATTTTTTTTTCAGCTGTGTTGATATTTACTATTGTCCGTAATATATTTATTTATATTGGCTGGACTTTAATAAATACTCTGTAGATCCGATCAGATTGGATCAGGTCAGGTCAGGTCAGATATAACTTGTGTTGTTCTGTTCTATTACAGTCTAATTAATTGGTGTGTTTGTGTCTTTTTATTTTTTTTCTCTTTAAGAGAAGGATACTCTATTGTAGATAATTGTCCTCAGTAAGGAGTAATAAAAAGAGAGAGAGAAATGTGATTAATGCTCTCTGTCTGTTTACTACACAATTTTTATCTTGAATAGCACATCTCTTAACAATCTTCTATTCTATATACGTCTGTCCTGTCCCGTCCTGTACTGTACTTAAACTCATCACATCATATCGTATCGTATCCTCTTATGGTGCATTACATTATATAGTTCAATACTCTTCTATCCATTCCATTGTTTATTCTCCTGCAATTATATCTGCTACTCCGCCCCGTATCGCGCCCGGTACTCCTTCAGCCGGCTGATCTCCTCCTCCCCAATCTGGTCGCCCAGTGTCTCGATCAAATCGCTCAGGCCGATGACCGCTCGGATGGGGACGTTCCCTCCCAGATCCCTCTCGGCGACGCCAATCGCGCTCTTGGGCTCCGTGTCGCTGACGCGCTCCTCGCGATCCAGCAGCACCACCACCCCGGCGACCGTGCCGCCTTCCTTCTCGATTATGCTAACCGCCTCGCGCAGCGCCGTGCCCGCCGTGATCACGTCGTCGACGATCAGCACGCGTTTGCCCTTCAGCGGCGCCCCGACGATGTTGCCCCCCTCGCCGTGGTCCTTGGCCTCTTTCCGGTTGAACGAGTAGCTGACGCTGTCCCAGATACCGCGCGACGTCGGGGCCAGCGCATCACGCACCGCCAGCTCGTTGAGAATCGCCGTGCACAGCGGAATACCCTTGTAAGCCGGCCCGAAGATGACGTCGAAAGTGGGCGTGCCGTCGTCCGCATTCACGAAGGGCGGGCTGGAGATGACGTTGGCGAAGGCGGCGGCTGTCGCGCGCAGCAGCGGCGCCGTGTGCAGCAGCGTCGAGGTGAAGAAGTACGGCGACACGCGGCCGGATTTGAGCACGAAGGATCCGAAGGTTAGCACCTTGTTGGCTACCAGGAGAGGTAGCAGCGTGGATTTGTAGTTCTCTTTATCGGCGGCGGGTGGGGGGATGGTTGCGGTGGACATGGTGGGTTGTCGAAATTGAGGGAGGGAGATCTCGTCTTGAAGAAAGAGAGAAAGAAAGAGGAAGAGGAAGGAGGAGGAGGAGAAGCAAAGACCAGCGTACTGTATCTGAAGAGAGCAGTGAATATTGTATTATAATGTCTTAACTCAGCTGAAGACAAGAATTTCGGAGGGGCAATTCCCGAATAGGAATCCTTCCGGGAGCCAATCAGAGCGCCCAATTCGGCTCACCGACTGCCCGGCCAGCGATTCCCCGGATCTCCCGCTGCGAGAGTTCTTTCTCTCTGCACGCTGGCTGCTGGCGTTGCTTTTTCTTTTCCTGTGCTTCTCACCCTGCAAGAAACAGTTTCACCTCGCTATACCCCGTCTGAGGCTCGTCCAGTCCTCCCGCAGCTCCCCTGTCCCGTTCCCCTGGCCCGAGCCGGCCTCCGCTGCTCACCGCTAACAGGAGGGGCCACCACCAACAACAACAACTTATCATCGTGCCGTCGCTGCATTGCATCTCTCGCCCCTGACCATCCTTCTCCAGACCCCTACAGCAGTATATGTTGCGCCAATTGGCTGACCGGTGGGCTCGAGTGCGCTACTTTGGTTGACCACACGCGGCGGAGACACTTGACTGTGTAAGTGTTTATTTCCACTGATGATGACTGCTACGGTGGATTCCTGCTGACCGTTCTAGAACCGGCCACCATGCACGTCGGTAGCAAGCTCCTCGAGGAGGAAGCCTCTGGGAGACCGGGCATCTCCTTCGAGTTCTTCCCCCCCAAGACCGCCCAGGGTGTGCAGAACCTGTACGACCGCATGGACCGCATGCACGGCCTGGGCCCCGCCTTCATCGACATCACCTGGGGCGCCGGTGGTCGCCGCGCCGAGCTGACCTGCGAGATGGTCAAGGTCGCCCAGACCGTCTACGGCCTCGAGACCGTCATGCACCTCACCTGCACCGACATGCCCCGCGAGAAGATCGATGCCGCCCTCGAGGCCGCCTACAACGCCGGCTGCACCAACATCCTGGCCCTCCGCGGCGACCCCCCGCGGGAGCGCGAGAAGTGGGAGGCCGCTGAGGGCGGATTCCGGTATGCCAAGGACCTGGTGCGGTATATCCGGGAGAAGTATGGAAACCATTTCGACATTGGTGTTGGAGGATACCCCGAAGGCGCCGACGATAACCGGGATGTCGACCTGCTGATCGACCATCTCAAGGAGAAGGTCGACGCTGGCAGCTCGTTCATCATCACGCAGATGTTCTACGACGTCGACAACTTCCTCAACTGGGTGCAGAAGTGCCGCGACCGCGGCATCAAGGTGCCCATCGTCCCGGGGATCATGCCCATCTCCACCTACTCCGCCTTCATCCGCCGCTCGAACTGGACCAAGATCCGCATTCCTCCCGAGTGGCTCGAGGCGCTGGAGCCGGTCAAGAACGACGACGCGCAGGTGCGGAACATCGGCACCCAGCTGGTCGCCGACATGTGCCGCAAGCTGCTGAATTCGGGCAAGATCCACCACTTGCACTTCTACACGATGAACCTGGCCCAGGCGACTAGAATGATTTTGGAGGAGCTCAAGCTGACGCCGTCGGAGGAGATGCCACTGTACAAGCCTCTGCCCTGGCGACAGTCGCTCGGGCTGCGCCGGAGAACCGAAGATGTGCGTCCGATCTTCTGGCGCAACCGGCACACGTCGTACATCGCGCGCACCCAGACGTGGGACGAGTATCCGAACGGACGGTGGACGGATTCGCGGTCTCCCGCGTTTGGCGAACTGGACACGTACGGGGTTGGTCTCAAGGGGACCAACGAGGAGAACGTCAAGCTGTGGGGAGAGCCGCAGTCGTTGAAGGACCTGTCGGACATCTTCATCCGCTACCTGGAAGGCAAGCTGGAGCGGCTGCCGTGGAGTGACACGCCCATCACGGCGGAGACGGACGTCATCAAGCCGGATCTGATCGACCTGAACCGGCGGGGCTTCCTGACGATCAACTCGCAGCCGGCGGTGAACGGGGCCAAGTCGTCTCACCCGGTGTACGGCTGGGGTCCGCGGAACGGATACGTGTACCAGAAGGCGTACCTGGAGCTGCTGGTGCCGCCGGACGTGGTGGGCGAGCTGATCGCGCGGATCGAGAAGAACGACGATCTGACGTACTACTGCGTCAGCAAGACGGGCGAGCTGCGGATGAGGAACGGCGAGGGGCCGAATGCGGTGACGTGGGGGATTTTCGCGTCGAAGGAGATTATCCAGCCGACGATTGTGGAGAGCATCAGCTTCATGGCGTGGAAGGACGAGGCGTACTTGCTGGGAGATGAGTGGGCGAAATGTTATCCAGCGGAGAGTGCTAGCCGCAAGCTCATCCAACGGATAATGGACGAGTGGTATCTGATTAATATTGGTGAGTAGAAGAACACCCACTCAGACGTAGACGGTCGATGCTGACGAGTCCAGTCAACAACGACTTCCACAAGACGCACGACATCTTCCATCTCTTCCAGGGGCTGTCCGTGAAGAACATCGACCAGAGAGTCGAAGCAGAGCCAGCGGACGGCGAGGCTGCCACAAACGCAGCGTCAGCATAATTCCTCCACGATAGACCAAGTCATATTTCTGACATTCTAAGCTAACGGCGTCTTTGTTTTTTTAACAAAAGCAAATACACTTCCTTTTATTTTCTATTTCAACGGGGTTGGTTCAACATTCAACATGGAGTCATGGACGGACGGGACGGGACGGAGAAATAAAAAAAAACAAAAGTTGCTTTGAACTTGACTTTATCATGATATGACATGACGATGACTGACTAACTGCTTAAGATACCTCAACTGCATCTTTTGGTTTGTCTTTTTTCATTTTCATTTCTTTTCTTTCTTATATATTGTTTGTTCTTACCTAATTCAACATTATTCTTATTTCGTGGCTCGGATAGCTCACGAGCCGCGAGGGACGGATGGATATGATGGATACCTATGGACCGGACACGAAAAAATGGGAGGTGGAAAGAGAGAAAAGAGGCGTTCAACACGGCGTGTCTTGTTTGACTTGACTTGTTTTGTCTTTGATTTTCTTCTTGTCTAGCAGTCTCATCTCATCTCATTTTATTTTATTTCATTTCATTTTATTCCTTTCCTTTCTTACTCGCAATGGGATTTGATTTGATTTGATTTGAATTTTTATTGCATATTGCATATATATTATAAATATATAGAGAGAGAAATAGAGAGAGAAATGAAACTAAGTAACTTAAAAATAAAATCTATATACGTATGTGTGTATGTATGTATATACGTATGGTATCCTGATATTTTTTTTTACGAGAATGAATGCATTTATGACTTTTGGGAATGTATATAGATATATATATATATATGATAGATAGGTAACTAGAAGCAGAGAAAGATAGAAGAAATGATTTGAGTTGATTTTGTTTGAATTGAGTTGTTTCTTTTAGTTGTTTTCCAACTTTCTTTCTTTCTTTCTTTCCAATTAATCAAGTCAGGTCAAGTCATTAAGTTTGACATCAAGTCTGACATCAAGGCTGATTGATATAAATCAAGCTTTTATTTGTTTATCAATCAGAGCGTGATCAATCAATCAATCAATCAATCATCAATTAGTCAGATCAGATAAGATCAATGACCCATAGAAAAAAAAGAAAAAAAAAGAAAAAGGAAAAAAGAGTGAACCGTCATTAATTCATTTTATTGTATTGTATTGTATTTATTTATTGTATTCTAAGATATCTGATTTCTGTGATGAGCGAGCGAAATGAATGGCTGGGTAGCTAGCTAGCTAGCTACTATATACCAGAAAAAAAATAAGAAAAAAAAGGACGGAAAAAAGGAGGAAGAAGGAAGAAGGATTCCCGGATATGATATGTATGATATGATATGGTACAGCAAGCGAGGAAGGAAGCAAACTAGCAAACTGGCAAAATTTCTGCTGTGCTCTGATCTGTTCTGTTCTCTTCTGAGTAAAGTAAAGAGACATGTCAGACACTGATATATTGTAATATGTCCTACTGGATCTGGATTGCAGAACACAAACAACCTTCTGTTATAGAGAGATTGATTGATTGATTGAACTTGATGAGTATGGATATACATTACAGCAGAATTTTTAATCTTCGATGATAGATAATAAATAGCAGAGGATCAGATCAGATCAGGCTGAACTGTAAGTTTGTAACGGAACAAGGTGTTAGTATTATCTCCTAATATACTAACATTATAAATATATGATTGATATGCTATGCTAAGAAAAAGTGTAGGTAGGTAAGTACCGTACAGGATCAGGGGGTTTTTAGAAACGGTCGATTGACAGTCATTTGACAATTTTTTTTTAAAAAAAAGAAAATAACGTCATTTAAAAAAAGTTCTACATATCTGACCGTTGTTAAGAAAGATAATGTTTAAAAAATTAACGACTTTTTATTTTACTTACAAGGCTTTAACTTATCTTTTTTTTTCTCCGCCTAGGGTACGACTCAAACTACGATCATAGTTTACCAAGTTACAAGATTATATTTAGGAAGAAGATGGGCCTTCAATTTCTACATAATCTAACTACTAGACTATCGGAACTTTCCAAGTCTTAAGGTAGTGGCAAGGAAGGAGCTCTGTATAAAGGCAATATTTGGAAAAAAGCATTTTAAAAAATTAATGTTTCTTATAAAAATTGACATTTCCTTTAAGTAATGCTTCTTTTGAAAAAAAAAATAACGTTATTTAATTACTAACTGTACAATAACCATTCTGATTATAAAATAACTGTTATCATTATGATTCTAACGTTTGCTATAGTAAAATGGTTATTTGACCTTTCATAACGGTCGAATGACGGATTCCTAAAAACCTACCTGATCCAGTACGGTAGGTAGGTAGGTAAGCAGGCAGGCCCAACGAAACCAAATCTCACTCCAGATTGGTAGTTGTTAACTTGTTCGTATATAAGCTGGGTAGATAACTTTTTCTTCTAATTCATGACACTCCTTCCTGAGGGTTGAGATACTACATAAATAAATAATATATATCCCTGTTGGTTGATCCACGACTTCTTTTTACTTTATTTTTGTTTTATTTTACTTCACTTTCTCTGCAAGCAAGCATGCATTTTTATCTTTCTATTTTACTCGCTTTTCTATAGAATGGATTAGTCGGATATATTACGTCCTCGTCGTTAAATTCGCCATTTTGTAGTCAAATAGGGTAGGTCGCTAGGTAAGTATTTCCTTACATTAGCATGGGCACTGACTGGCATTGGTCGTTATTAATTTTCTTTTCATTTTTTTTTATATCTAGGTTTGGTCTGATGAGGTTGATTAATTGCTGATGAGTGTAAATGGATCGACAAGTCATAATTTAACTATGACTATGACTACTATGACTGGCCAGTCCCTTCCTTTTGTCGGAATGAACTATGAAGCTGGTTGGCGAGTAGTAGTAGTAGTATGATAATTAGATCCTTTCTTTGCTTTTTGACAGTTAGTTGTATTTCTTCTCGGTAGAAGAAAGAAGGTTGGAAATTATTGAATTGGGATCGCGAAGTTCAGCACTTGAACTTACGTACTTACGTCCACTGAGTATGTAGTGTTACTACATTCATTGTGTTTTGTTAGGATTTCTCATACCTAGGTTTGAAGTATTACTTCCCTGCTTCGCGAATTATTTGTGTATATACCGTGTTTCTCGTCTCTATCACTGTTTAGTCTTTATATATCGTCATGACGTCTGGTCTAATCTTTGGCTCCATCATGTGCAGTATGTCCAAATACATCATACGTTGTGATTATGAGAACCTCCGCACCATCACATTAAATCGGGTATCTTTCTCCATAACAATCTCCGGCGTCAAATACTGAAGATACGGCTCCCACGCCACCTGGCTCCAGGCATGATAGGCCAGCTGATTCGCATACAGCCCGCCGCCATTAGCGTCCATCGTCCTCTCGAGGTCCCTCGCTTCGGCCTCGCTAATAGGCTCGTGCATATAGCGGATATGCTTCTCCGTCCACGTCGGCCAGAAGAAGGCCGTCGGCGACAGCGGACAGATCTCGTCAGGATGCTCCTGCGCGAGTTCCTTTGGCAGAATCACCGAGTGGTAGTTCCATTTCTTGCTGTCGAAATCGCTGTAGCTGTCGATCCAGCGCCGGATGAACGATGCGTTCTGGCGCCCGACGATGATGGCGTTGCACAGCCCGTGGCGGTCCCCGCCCTCGTACCCCAGCAGGACGTCCCTCTCGCAGTGCCGCAGATTGTCAAACGAGCGGAGCACGATCACGTCCATGTCCATGTAGATACCGCCTTCCTGGCGGATGACGTCCAGCCGGAGCGCGTCCGCGAGATGTGTCACCTGCCACTGCTGCCGGAGCTGCTCCGGGTATTCCGCGGCCAAGTCGTGGTAGACGAGCGTGAGATTGTTGCGCAGTTTCTGGAACCAGACATTATCCTCGTTGAACGAGGCGGTGTAGTGCAGTTTCAGCTTGTCGGGCCTGAGAGAGATTAGCGCCGATCGGAGGGCAAGGTAGCTGATAAAAGTCATATTGGGGTTGTTCAGCCAAATGGCGTGGACAACATTGGGGATGGGCGTGGAGGATGACGCCGCACCCCGGTCGAAGCATCGCTTTTCGTCGGCTATGTCCTGGAAATCGAACGTCTCAACCTGTCGGTCGCTGTTGTTGTCGAACAGGTTGAGAGGCCAGTCCAGGCGCTGCAGCGAGAAGAAAGACAGGTAGAGGACGGTGCATATTGCGATGGCGGCAGCTAGAAACGGCCGATTGAGGAGGAATCGAGGCATGGCATGGACGTGCAGAATGGTTGTTGAATAAGATGATTGTTATGATTGTTATGAAATTATGATGCCTGCCAAGATAGGGCGGAATGTGGCTGGCTCGCCCAGACGGGTGGCTTGTCCTTGGCATGGGGCTGCGGAGGTGGCTGATCCTAGCCAATGATCTCTGCGAACCAGATCAGCCAGCGGCGCACGTGTGCTCGATCTCACTGCTGGTTTCTCGCCAGAGGTTCAACGCGAGAATACAAAAACAGTAATCAAATGATACTTCTACATCTATTCCATCAACCAGGCAGCTCTCAACCATACTAGTGGTTCACTAGATAACCTAGGTTTTTCTTTTGTGCCCCAGTTTGTTTGACATATTCGCCTTCAAAGACCAGTCACCAGTGTTCAGGGCATAACCAAACTCAATGGCTGCAGTCAAGTTTACCCCAGCATATACAAAAATACCTGCAAAGTAGCTACCAGAGCCATAGAAACCTCATGGATTTCGTTTCGCCATCATCAACGTCTCAACAAACCTATGTCCTAACAGAAAGCCCAGAGAATTATATCTGATTGGCTGTTCGAAGGGATATACGATTCCGACGGGACGCAAAGTGTGGGGGATAACTCCAGCCCACGCGTGACCGCCTTCCTGTCCAGGACTAGTGTCGTCGATCACCCGTCACAAAAACGCCCTCTACGTCATCCGGCTCTTCCACAGATGACGTATTGCAATGTCCTCTGCCTCAGGCAGAGATGGAGCAAATCCTTGTCCTGATCAGCCTGCCAGGAGCAGGGTATTTACAAATATTATCCGTTTATCCGTTTCTAACCGTCGATCTCGCTCAGGACCTATCTAGACGTGAGGTATACCCCTGTTTCTGCCCCGCATACCCCCTGTTGCACTAAACTTTGTTTGAAATCCCGGCCCCACTTGGAACCAGCAACGAACACCAATCAACCGCTCCTCCAACATCGTATCAACTGAAGCCCTAACAGGTTTGTAGGCTACAGCCTGATGTAGATCTGGCTTACGACTTTGCAGATCTGTAATCTTTTTTTTTTCCTTCAAAAAAATTTTTTTCTCTATGCTGCTGGCAAATAATAATGACGCCCCTCACTCCGAAGGGATCCCGCCTGCGGAGTTATTAAGCGTCTCCGATTCTATGTATGTTATTTCAGAAGGAAATAATTCTCCGTATGCCGGTTGAAAAAAAAGATCTAAATATATATCTTCAGACCCCGTGATCTTCCCCCCCCCCCCCCCCCGGTCGTCGATCACATCCATGATGAGAGCTCTCATCAACTGGACGATCAATGAATCTGAATGTCTGCTAGACAGAGAATAACCTCCCAAGGTATACATACTCCGGTATGTATCAATGCGTACGCTGCAGCGAATTATGCACGGCAGTTCCAACGATCAACCGACATGTATAACTGTACAGTTTATCCCGATATCAGCATGGTCTTTTGGATAGCGCTGTGATGTCTCCGGCAAGAGAGATTTATGAAAACTCATTTCCTGTATGTATACATGGGCGGGGGGAGCTGTTCCTAAACAAATGTCTCTGGTTTGGGAAGGTCCTGGATAAGCGAGTTGAGAGGTGGGATATATAAAGGGGTCAAAATCTCGTTGTCGAGATTCATCATCAGAAAGAATAATAACAAACAAGGAAGAAAGAATTCACCACTGCCATGCCCGCTCAGGTGCATACATTATTCTGTTTCTCCTGACCTCAACACAAACACATGTATATACTCACAGTCCTGTCCAGGACACCGCCCTCGACAACTGCCAGAAGTTCGTCGGAAACTGCTTCCAGAACGAATACTACGGCACCGCCGGCCAATGAAAGGGCTGTCTATGCGAGAAGTGCAGCAGCGGCAGCGGTAGCGACACCCGCTACGTGGAAGCTGCATTGAAAACGGCTGCAACGGGTCCAGGGCACTTGCAAGGATTGAACATATTCATCCATCCATCAGGTATCTAGCTTTAATTACCTTAACAAGACCTTGTTTTTTTTTTCAGTGAAAAATAGACATTGTAGTATTCGTTTCAGGACTTGCTGTGCTTATACCAGGAGCCTCATGTATGATATGATAAAAAAAAAGAATTCTTCTGGTACGACCTCTCTTGAGTTCTTAAGAAAGCAGGTGTAGCAGACGAAAGATCCCCCTTTTTTTGTTATCGAGAGTGCAAGAAATTAGAGGAGAATTATTATCTTTCATCGAATCCTGTCTTGAATATTGTATTGTATTGGTCTTCAAGTAAACGTAGTACTTGTATGTACAGTACATATATACGAGCAATATCCAAGATTCTTTCCCAGTCCAAACGGTTCCTCCTCCAGGAATATTGAACTCTCAACGAGCTCATATTAATATTACTTTACTACTATTATAGCATTGTTTCGTAAGTTCCAAGTCCAATTTCTAGCGCGAATCCCTGTTTTTTTTTTTAAAAAAAAGAACCCTTCATAAGTAGGTATGTACTGTGCAGTAAATGTATGTATATGTATTCTAGAAGAATGTCCAACGAAGTTAGATATTAAAGATATTCAATCGAAAAAAGATCTCTCTCTCCCTTCTTTTTATATATAAAAGAAATGAAGTTATGTATCCTATTCTTCAAACCTCGCAGATTTATCTCTTGGTACAGAGAGAGACAAAAAAAGGGGAAAAAAAAGAGAAAGAAAGAAAGAGCAAAGCCAGCATACGTGTTGACATGATATGTACAGTACATACAAAAGATATAGTGACTATTTATGCGTTGTTTTTCATTCTTCTTCATCTCACGAGTCAGTCATACTATACTATGTATATACTACTCGATTTGCACCTACCTCTCTGGTGCTCTCTGGTAAATTACGTACTCTCTCTCCCTCTCTCTCTCTATCAAAAACATTCCGATTATTGAAGGCTCGCAATTAATAGTAGATACCGTCGAGAGGGAGAGGGCTGTTCCCCTCGCGGGCTTTTCATGAATGTATACAGCACCGTTATTAGGGGAAGTGAATTGAATACCAATTATCTTTTATACAATTGTAGCTTCCGCAATTCAGAAGAAAGTAGTATCTTTATGATTGATTACCCATTCCCTAGTAGTAATAATAATGATGATGATATAATATCCATAATCTCGTATCTTTCTCCATCCAAATCAATATGGTATACTCTCGCTCAGCAGAAATAATAACCGAAAAGAAACGAAAACTCTTCACCACTCCAACGGCTCACTCTTAACATCTCCCCGATTCGTCTTCGGAACAGGCGCGGCTTCGACCATCGTCGGTCCCCGACGCCCTCGCTTCAGATACCCGTTGCCGTCCAGCCAGGGCGTCTCGAGCGTGCGCTTGGTCTCGAACTTGCGGATCTTGTCCTCCAGCTGCAGCGTCAGACCGATGTCGTCCAGCCCGTTGACCAGGCAGTGCTTGCGGAAGGAGTCGACTTCGAAGGGTGCGAGCGTGTTGCCCTGCGCGTCGCGGATGACCTGGTTGACGAGGTCGACCTCGATCTCGTGGCCGGCGCGCGCCTCGGCCGCGATCCGCTGCAGCGCCGCCTCGTCGCTGATCGGGATCGGCAGCATGCCGTTCTTGAACATGTTGTTGAAGAAGATGTCCGCGAACGACGGCGCGATCACGCACTTGATGCCAAAGTCGAGCAGCGCCCATGGCGCGTGCTCCCGTGAGCTGCCGCACCCAAAGTTCGGCCCCGTCACCACCAGGATCTTCGCCTGCCGGTACACGCCCTGATTCAGCACAAAGTCTGGTCTCTCGGCCCCATCCTCCGGGTTGTACCGCAGCTCGTAGAACAGCGCGCTGCCCAGACCCGTCCGCTTGATCGTCTTCAGGAACTGCTTCGGGATGATCGCGTCCGTGTCGACGTTGGCGCGGTCCAGCGGCGCGGCAATGCCCTTGAGCGTGGTGAACTTGGGCAGGCCCGCGCTGGACGCCTGCGCAGACGTGTTGGCGTGCGGCTCGTTGTCTTCGGGCAGGTCCAGGATCCGCTCGAGGTCGTCCTCCGTGTCGATGTCGTCCACCTCGGGCTGGATGTCGACTTTGGCGGACGCTTTGTGGGTGGAGGGCGTTGCCGAGGTCAACTCGCGGACGTCGGCCAGTTTGCCCACGACGGCCGCCGCGGCAGCCATGACCGGAGACATCAGATGCGTGCGGCCAAGCGCGCCCTGGCGACCCTCGAAGTTGCGGTTCGACGTGCTGGCACAGCGCTCCCGCGGCGACAGGATATCCGGGTTCATGCCCAGACACATGGAGCAGCCGGCCTCGCGCCACTCGAAGCCGGCGTCGATGAAGATCTTGTCCAGGCCTTCGGCCTCGGCCTGCTTCTTCACAAGACCCGAGCCCGGGACGATCATGGCGCGCTTGATGTTGGGAGCCACCTTGCGGCCCTCGACGATCTTGGCGGCCGCCCGCAAGTCTTCGATCCGGGAGTTGGTGCACGAACCGATAAAGACCTTGTCGACTTCGATGTCCTGCAAGCGCGTCCCTGGGGTGAGACCCATGTACTCGAGGGCGCGCTTGCAGCTCGCCTTGCGGTTCTCATCCTTGAAGTCCTCGGGGGCCGGGACGACGCCGGTGATGGGGAGGACGTCCTGGGGCGAAGTACCCCACGACACGGTCGGGACGATGTCCTTGGCGTCGATGAAGACCTCGATGTCGTATTTGGCACCCTCGTCGGAACGGAGGCTGGACCAGTACTTGACGGCCTTCTTCCACTCAGGGCTGTCGTACTTGGGGGCCAAGGGACGGCCCTTGAGGTATTCGAAGGTGGTCTCGTCCGGGGCGACCATTCCGGCACGGGCACCGGCCTCGATGGACATGTTGCACATGGACATGCGGGCCTCCATGCTCAGACCGCGGATGACGGACCCGCAGTATTCGATGACGCAACCGGTACCACCGGCGGTGCCAATGACACCAATGATGTGGAGGATCACGTCCTTGCTGGTGACGCCGGGGTGGAGCTCACCATCGACCTGGATGCGCATGTTCTTGCTCCGCTTGGTCAGGAGGGTCTGGGTGGCCAGGACGTGCTCGACCTCGCTGGTTCCGATACCGAAGGCGAGCGCACCGAAGGCACCGTGAGTCGACGTGTGGCTGTCACCGCAGACGACGGTGGTGCCGGGGAGGGTGAAGCCCTGCTCGGGGCCGATGACATGGACAATGCCCTGACGCTTATCGCCCAGGCCAAAGTAAGTCAGGCCGAACTCTTTAACGTTCTCCTCGAGCGTCATGCATTGCAGACGGGAGTCGTCCTCTTTGATGAACTCTTCGACATTTTTGAAGTTTTTCCGGGGGGTGGTCGGGACGTTCTAGACCAGTCAGCGAGCGGTTCACTGTAAGCTTGGTTCAATGTCAGCTTCAAGGGCACATACGTGGTCGACCGTCGCCAGAGTGCAGTCCGGCCGGCGGACTTTTCGGCCTGCATTTTTTAAACCCTCAAAGGCTTGCTGCGTCTTATCAGTAGGCGTACACTTCAGGGCGAGGGGGGGGGGGGGGTCGCGATGCTGACCGGAGACGTGACTTCGTGGACCAGATGTCTGTCTGCGAGGACAGTCAGCAAAGCAAAATCAATGCAAGCAAATCAATGGCAAGCACCAGCAGCATACCAATGTACAGCAGAATGGTGCCATCGTCCTGCTCGTGGACGATGTGGTCCTCAAAGACCTTATCGTACAGGGTTTTCGGCTTCTTATCTGCGCCGGGCATGTTGGAGAGTGGATGTCACAGCCTTCACACAGGAACGCCCGTCCAGAGAAGACAGAAAGAAAGAATGAATGATGGAAGAGCAGCAGATATCTTTATACGACGAGTCTTGAATCTCCGCAGTTACCGCTTCGAGGGGCGCTGCGCCGACGTCGGGACGGTCAGCAGAATGGCGGCGCCGCCGATTGGCTAGGCGGGCGGTGGGCCGGGAGCGGCTATTTGCGGGGGCGACACCCGATATCGGATCGATAAGAGTTCGTATAGAAGACGCATTCAGCAGATGTAAGGCACGAATGATGAGTAGGACATTGATATTGGATTGAGTCAACGAGAATGGCTGGCTTGCCACCTGGAGTGTGGATTGATCATGGATGTCCTGATGTAAACGGCTGGGATTCAACTTTGGACCGCCAATCAGATCAGTATTCTTTTGCCTATACTTTTCATTCATTCATTTTTTTATATAAAAAAAAAGATAAAAGAAGAAAGAAAAGAAAAAGAAAATTCTTCTATTCCAGCTAAATACGGAGTAATATCCAGGTCCAGAATGGAGAAACGAATCATCAGGTGATCAGATACAGAATGGGTGAACCCTCTCACGTGACTCAGAGCGGATGCCAAGCCGTCATCCTCCTTTCTTATCTGCATCGCTTTTACTTGATAGAGCAAACTTCTATATGATCTGCGAATCATCTGTCAAAAGCCTCTACCAAGTGCTTATTATACTTTTTTTGGTAGAGAAGAAGTATAGAAAAAAGAAGAACAAGAGAACAAACGCAGAAAACACAGTGATAGCGACTACATAATTGCAGGAAGAAAAAAATCTGCCCCGCAATCTTCGAATTATCGCAGTTGATTTCTTTCTGAGGGGCAAAAAAAATGCAATTGCGATCTCTCTCCTCGATCGAATTACCGCCCACGGTGAGTTTACTACACAGAAGAAGTTTGACGTTAAAAAATAGGCTACTGTCTACATACTGACGTCGCAGGCGGACTTCCACGTGCATCTCCGCCAGGACGCCATGATGGAGCTCTGCACGCCGCTGGTCGAAAAGGGCGGCTGCGACACCGTCTACGTGATGCCCAACCTGCAGCCGCCCATCAAGACCGTGTCGGAGGCGCTGGCCTACCACGACAAGCTGACTCGTCTGGCGCCCAACGTCAAGTTCCTGATGTCGCTGTATCTGCATCCGGGGCTGACGCCGGAGATGATTGCTGAGGCGGCGAGGACGGGGGTTATCTACGGCGTAAGTCAGATAACTAGGTTAACAGGATCAGGCTGACATGTTGAACAGGTGAAATTTTATCCTGCGGGTGTAAGCATGTCCACATGATACCTGGTTAGCGAATTTTACTCACCTACCGTCAGGTCACGACAAACTCGCAAGACGGCATCCTCGACATCGAGCAGCTGTACCCCGTCTTCGAGGCGATGGAGAAGCACGATCTGGTCCTCAACCTGCACGGCGAGATGATCAGCTCTCCGCCGGGGGCGTACGTCAAGGAGGACGGTTCCCCCGCGGTGACGGTGCTGAATGCGGAGCCCATGTTCCTCCCGCAGCTGCACAAGCTGCATGCGGCGTTTCCCAAGTTGCGCATCGTCCTGGAGCATGTCAGCACGAGGCAGGGGTTGGAGGCTGTTCGGCAGTGTGGGCCGACGGTGCGTTCATTACTGCATATTTAGAGACGCCTTGTCGAGTAATACTAATCCAGCTGACCGTATGCTATAGGTAGCCGGTACGATCACAGCACACCACCTGTGGATGGTCATTGATGATTGGTGCGGCGACGTGTTCAACTTCTGCAAGCCTGTTGCGAAGGTATTCCCGCTTCACCTGATACCAAACTAGATCAATTCCAGCTGACGCGCGCAGACGCCAGAAGACCGCGTAGCCCTCATCAAAGCCGTAGTCGAAGGCTCCGGGAAATTCTTCTTCGGTAAGTCACCTTAAACAAGACCCTCGGCCTGACAGATAATTCCTGACAGACGATAATACAGGCAGCGACTCAGCCCCCCACCCGATCCAGGCCAAGAAAGGCCCCGGCTCGACAGCTGCCGGATGCTTCACGCAGCCGTACTGCGCGTCGATCGTGATCGGCGCCATCGAAGAGGCGCTCGCCCAGGGGTGGATCCGCGACGACGAGGTGACAATCGATGCGATCGAAGGCTTCCTGTCCAAGTTCGGACGGGCCTTCTACAAGCTGCCGGCGGCCAGCAGCACGAGCAAAATCCGACTGGAGAAGAAGGGCGAGAAGATCCCTGATGTGGTGCGCTCCGAGGATGGATCGGTGGAGGTGGTGCCGTGGGGGAGGGGGAAGGAGATTCGATCGGTGAGTTGGATTCGCTGAAAGCGGAGTGACTTGGGCTTTTTCTTTTTTGATGGAAGTTCAAGAAAAAAAAAAGAAGTGTAGATGAATCATCTGGATATGAATTGAGCCATGTTATGCCAGCAGTCATGATGTTTGTTATCACCTGTGGAAAGTGAAAAGGAGTCCTATTCATATTCGGTGGTAAATAGATAGAGAAGTAGGCAGTAAATAAATCTGCCATACGGGAATTAATTTTTTTCCCTGGAAGTTTACCCACAGTCTCGTTAATCAAAGGAATGAATTATGCAGTATGTAGTATGTAATGCACTTCTTGTGGAATCGCTAACCATGCTTCGAAGTTCTTCTCGTTTGATGCCGTCGACAGCGACAGATAAGATTAAGTGATGTGGATATTGACAAGACAGGTACATACATGCATAATCTGAGATAAGCTTGATCGACAATAAGTAGGTATGCATGTAGGTCGTTGTGTTTATCGGAGGACATGACTAAGAACATTGCATCCAATATTTTATTAATATTTTATTATAATAATCTCTTGATTTGATGATCTTTATACCACTGTCTTTTTGCTTCTGCTTCAGAAAAATCTTCCTTTTCCTGTACATACCTACCCAATCAACTGAATCGATATACTGATAACAGCACAGTAACAATATCACGATCCGTACCTGCACTTAATTAGTACTATTAGCTGAATATTTTGCCAAAAAAAAATAGATAATAACTCGCAAATCCATGCCAATCACCTCCCTGCCTAGTACTCCGGAGCAGTGTACTCCTACATACGTAACGAATCTCACACCATCCCGAGCAGCGATGATGCAAGTTGCACGAGCCGGCTGGCGGTCTTGGCCGGGTTTAGTTCTGACTGCCGTACTGAAATTACATTACAGTACAAAACTGCGTACTGTACATAAAGTATGTACATGGACAGTACCTACTAGCAGGTAATAATTATTACCAGGTACATACTCGATAGAGTTGAACTTACGATGGCAGCTAATTATGGAGAATGGAGACAGGTTGGATATGAGGTGATGCCCCGCCAGACGTCAGTCATGCTGCATTGATGGATTGTTCTGCTTCTTCTTTATTTTATTTTTATTTTATTCTACTGCTACTGCCTTGTTCTTGTTCCATGAATAATTTATTGATGCATGGTCTACAATTCTTCTAAACAAGAATTCTTGTAACAAACATGACGCTCGTCCAAGACCCCCTCCAAGATCCTGTCCAGCAGAAACAACCTCTTCTCAATGGACATGCCGTTCATGTCGTTCCTACAGACAGCAATGCCGCTGTCGACGTCGACGTCAACGTCAAAAACACAGTCACAGAGACCACAACAGAAGTAAAGCCTGAGCCTGAAATTCAAACAAAACCCCGCTTCGAGATCGAAGAGCACCCCATCGACCAAGTCCGCGACATCAAAGTCGGCGTCATCGGCGCTGGTCTGGCGGGCGTGACGGCCGCAGTCCTCCTCCCAGCCAAACTGCCAGGTCTGGACCTGCGGGTCTATGAGAAGAATCCGGATGTGGTGCGTCTGAAACCATCCCCCTGTAGCTATCTATCTATCGATCTATCTGCTGACGGCGACAGGGCGGCACCTGGTTCGAAAACACGTACCCCGGCGTGCGTTGCGACATCCCCGCGCACGTCTATCAATCCGGCTTCGCGCCCAACACGCAGTGGACCGAGGAGTTTGCGCAGGGCCACGAGATCCGCGAGTACTGGCAGTCTGTGGCGCGCAAGTTCGACGCGTACAAGTACTTCCGGTTCCGGCAGAAGGTGCAGCGCGCGGAATGGGTGGCGGAGGAGACGAAGTGGAAGCTGACGATTGAGGATTTGAACAGTGGAGAGGTGTGTAAACAGCGTCTTGTCAGGAATTTCAATTTCACTGACGTGTTCTATGACTGCAGGTTTATGAAGACCGCCTCGACTTCCTCGTCTCCGCCATCGGGCACTTCAACGCCTGGCGCCTCCCCGACTACCCCGGCATCGACACCTACCAGGGCGTGCTCTTCCACTCGTCCAACTGGAACCACGACGTCGACCTGCACGGCAAACGCATTGCGCTGATCGGCAACGGCGCGTCCGGCCTGCAGGTGCTGCCGTCCATCCAGCCCATCGCGGCGCACGTCGACCACTACGCGCGCAACCGCACCTGGGTCGTTGAGGCGTTTGGCCCCGGCGGCATACGGCGCCTAGAGCCCAACTATTTTAGTGACGAGCAGAAGGAGGCCTTCAAGGACCCTAAGACGTACCTCGAGTACCGCAAGAAGGTCGAGGCGGGCTTCTTCTCGCGCTTCGGCGTCATCTTCAAGAACTCGCCCGAGAACAACGCCCTGCGCGAGAAGTGGACCAACCTGATGAAGGAGCGCGTCAAGGACAAGCCAGAACTGGCTGACCAGATCATCCCTGATTTCCCTCCCAACTGCCGCCGTCCGACGCCCGGGCCGGGCTATCTGGAGGCGCTGACCAAGCCCAACGTCAGCTACATCACGACGCGCATCCAGCGCTTCACGGAGAAGGGCATCGTCACGGTCGACGGCGTCGAGCGCGAGGTCGACGTGGTGATCTGCGCGACGGGCGCCAACGTCGACTTTGCGCCGCCATTCCCCATCGTCGCCCACGGGGTCAATCTGCAGGAGGCCTGGAAGCCCGGCGGCAAGTACGGCTTTCCCTACCTGTATCTGGGGATGGCAGCGCCGGGCTTCCCCAACCTGGCGTGGGTTGGAGGCCCGTATTCGAGCGGCTACAGCGGCACGGTGCCCAACAGCTTCGAGAACCAGGTCACGTACATCGCGAAAGTGATCCGCAAGCTGCGCAGCCAGGGCATCGCGACGCTGGCGCCGACATTCGCGGCCACGGACGACTTTGTCGAGTACTGCGACCGGTTCTACCCGCGGACGGTGTGGACAGGGAACGACGACTCGTCCAAGGACAGCAAGAACTGCAGCTCGTGGTACAACGGGGGGAGACCGGGGGGACGCGTACACGGCCTGTTCCCCGGCAGCGCGGCCACAGCGAACTACATCCGGCGAGACCCTCGCTGGGAGGACTTCGAGTATACGTATACCAACCCCAGTGGCAACCGGTTCGCTTGGTTCGGCAATGGCTGGCGCGAGAGAGAGAAGCAGCCCGAGGGCGAGGTCGATTTGACGCCGCATCTTAAGATTGAAAGCGAGATTGATCTGCGGACGCACTGTGAGGGGTGGTGGGATGTATAGAGTGCGCTGTTTCTTGTGTGTTTTGTTTGGTATGATGTAGATAGAGTATCACGTTTGCCTTGGATATTGTTTATCCTATCGATACCAGCGTATCTATACAAACATTGGGTGTATAAATTGAAGAAATTCGATTGAATACCATACTTCCTTTTCTCCTGACAAGAATACTAGAATAGTACAAATACTATCATTATCGCACATTATTCTCACATCTATATCGCTACCATTCAATTACTAGCCTTCTGCTCTTCCGTCTTCTCTTTCGCCTCGTCCTGCTTCTCTTTCTTCTCTTCCGTTCCCTCTTTCGTCTCATCCTGCTTCTCCTTCTGCTTTTCCTCCTCCTCCTGTCTGATGGCATACTTAGGGATTTCCTCCCCTTCTCGCCAGAAATACTGTGCCCCCGGATGCGTCTCCGGCAGCCGGGTCTGGCCCTTTTTCCCGTAGAAATTCTCGCGCATCGTGCCCCCTTTCACTGCGTAATCCTCCCAGAAGAGCCCTCTTCGCCGCAGCTCCGGCAGGAGATACTCGATGATATCGTCAAACGTCTCTGGCACGCTGGCGTAGCTGAGATTGAACCCGTCCACGTCAGCCACTTCCACCCAGCGCTCCAGCTCGTCGGCCACCGTCTTCGGGCTGCCGATGATCTTGGCCCCGTTGCCTCCGATGAGTAGCCACTCGGCGATCGTGCGGCGGTTCCACTTGATGTTCTCGCTGCCCGGCACCGTGCTGGCCCAGTGGTTGACCATGCTGCGCACCGCCGGCGCCTCGACGAAGCGGAAGTCCTGGTCCTCGTCGTATTTCGCCAGGTCGTAGCCCGACCAGCCGCCGAACAGCGCCAGCGCGCCCTCGTGGTCGCCGTACTTGAGCAGCTCCTCGTATTTCGCCCGCGCCGCCTCGTCCGTCGGCCCCACGATCACTAGTACCCCGGCCACGATCTTGATGTCTGCCGGATCGCGCCCAAACTCGGCCGCCTGCTTGCGGATGCTGTCAACAGACGGCCGGACCAGCTCCGGCGTGTGCCCGTTGAGGAAGATGGCCTCTGCGTGCTTGGCGGCGAAGGCGCGCCCGGCCGTCGACGTACCGGCCTGCAGCAGGAAGGGCGTGCGCTGGGGCGAAGGCTCGCAGAGATGCGGGCCAGGGACAGTGAAGTATTTGCCCTTGTGGTGGATCTGGCGCACAGCGCGAGGGTCAGCATAGCCCGTTTGGTCGTTTTTCACAGCGCCGTCGCGCCACGAGCCCTCCCACAGCTTGTACACGACGTGCAGGTACTCGTCGGCGATGCGGTAGCGCTCGTCGTGCTCGATCTGCGTATTGAGGCCAAAGTTACGCGCCGCCGAGTCGAGGTACGACGTGACGATGTTCCAGCCGACGCGGCCGTTGCTGAGGTGGTCGACGGTCGAGAAGCGGCGCGCATGGGCGTAGGGCGCGTCGTAAGTCGTCGACGCCGTGACGCCGAACGAGATGCTCTCCGTGGCAGCGGCCAGCGCGGGGATGCTGTAGAGGGGGTCGTTGATGGGGAACTGCGCGGCGGCGGGGATCGTCGGCTCCAGGTTGGCCGGGCCCTTGTAGACGTCGTAGCCGCCCAGCACGTCGGCGAAGAAGATGGCGTGGAACTTGGCGGCCTCGAGCTTGCGGGCGAGCTCGATCCAGTGGTCCAGGTTCTTGTACTGGCTGCCTTTGTCTTTGGGGTAGCGGAACAGGCCCGGGTTGAGGTGCCCGGGGGCCTGCATGGCGAAGGCGTTGAGAATGAGTTGTTTGGGCATGGTGCTGCGTAGAGTGATGAACAGTCGATATGAAGGTCGATATAAGAGGGAGAGTAGGATAGAGGGAGAAAGGTGAGAGGATTGATTAACCTCGACTCAGCCTCTCAATGGTCGAAGATGAGTCTTTAGAAGGACCACAGTATATCAAAGAGAGCTCAGAGAAAAATGAAGAAAAAAATAGTACAGAAGGTACAGAGTAAGGATTTGACTTGACAACCTCTGGTGGACTTGGCAACTACTCCGTAGTTAACTAGTTATACCTGGACAGTTACTCTGTACCGGTGTGACGAAAGCATTGACTAGGCTTTTATCACATTTTAATAGTTATATCTACTGTACAGTGCATACTTTTATTCTTATTCTTATTCTTCTTATAATATTAAAGAAATCCTACAGCTGAATAGTCCGTCTACACAGGAATGTCCAGCAAGTACTGTCTATCCCAACAGTCAGTACATTTGCAATGATTAATTCTATTATCGATAAACTAAACAATCGGCATTTCTCCGAGAGCCCCTCCATTCTTCCCCTCATTAATTTACTTTTTCGCATGCATGTCCCACCTGTCGTGTCTGTCGAGTCTGTCGTGATGCAAGAAGAGGGCGCAATTGCGTGACCTGGACTAACCCTAACCTAACTAACCTAATCAATCAATCTTCCACGCGCTCGGTACGAATAATACATACATACGGAGTACGCCAGCATGCAAGGCAATGACCTCATAGCTTGGCAAGGCTAGCTTATCGGAGACGAGGCCGATGAGGATCGTAGCTTTGATAAGAGAAAAAAATTGAGAAGAAGACGGGGGTAAGCAAGCTACTGTACTGTACGGAGTACCTAGCTGGGTGCGGGTATTCTGTATGTATGTATGATACTTCTGTACAGTACGGCGGATTAGATACGATACTGTATTATTACAATTGTATGCCATAATTCTAAACCTGTACTTATGTATTCTCTTCATCCACCACAAGAGAAATTAGTATTATCAATTAATTTATTGTATACAGTTTAGCTGTCTACAGTATGTACAGTACAACTACATTATAAGCACACCAAAATCTGAATTATCTAACCAACCAATCAACCCATGATTCAGTACATATATACAGGTTAATTAACAACATAAAAAAAGGGGTAGCATTTATATATATATATTCTTTCTTCACTGCAAGAATAAGATTATCAAAATAATATATAAAGCATTTCTTTCTTTTCTATTTCTATTTCTTTTTCTTTTTAGAAAAAATGATACAAAAAAAATTATCTTGTGATGACACAGTAACTCCGTTGGAGTACACTGGTAGTCGTTGTCTGACCGTCAGGTCATGTGTATGGATATCCTTGATCGTAGCTTCGTCAAGTAAATTCCACAGAATGACGATATGCCATCAGCATGTTACAAAAATGGAAAGAAAGAAAAAGCCTGAGTATGGTGGTGCTCAGTCACTCTTCAGACACTCTTTCGGCAAGCTCAAACAACTCTTTGCCCACCTTACTTAGAGAATATTAACTAAATGTCCCTCATTAGCTGAAGAAGTTATATTCATAAAATCTAGTCTTAATGAGCTAAAAATAATTAACATATCGGATAATGGTTATAGAAAAGAAAAAGCTAGGTTCTCATCTTTAATAAGTTAGTGTAGTATAGTAATTCTTCTCTACATATCAAACAGGCCAGTTAATTAAGATTTTATTACCTGTAGTTTCGTTGAGCTATGTACTGTACACCCTTGAGCACTTTCCGTCTAGGCAAGTTGCAAGCTAGTTAGAACGTCTGCAGCAAAGGAACTCTAGCAGCTGGCACAAACAGGTCCACGAAAGAGCAACAAAGCAAGAATGATTAATGAGAGAGGTTGAAAATGGAGTTGCTGAAAACTATTCAGGGTTAGAATGATTGTGAGAAGGGGCTGCAAAGAGAAACAAACAGCTGAGCAACCTGTCGAAGAAGTCAATCTGCAGCGCGAACAGTTTCATACTGTAATCAGGACCCGTCTAGTCTAGTCTTAAGTTAATGCGAGGAAGTTCTCCATAGTTCCTTGGCAGGATCCCCCTAACCTCGGGCCTTGCATCTAGGTAGACGAGTCTTGGAAAGGAATAATAAATAGTCCATTACAAACAGAAGAAAACATATAGTTTGTTCATTTTGTTCATTGTGGAGCTGTGCTCATCGGCCTAATACCTCCTATAACTCCTCTCTGCTGAGCCGGTCTACTATTTATTATTACCTTTAGTTTTTTTTTTGTATAAAAGAAAAAAAAATATAACCAGCTTAAATAAATAAAGAATAGACTTAAAGAATAGACTAAGGCTAGGTTAAGTAATATAATTAGATTATAAGGTAAGTAATATAGTTATTTTTTTAGTATCAAGTACATATCAAGTACATACCCCTTTAGTTATATAAGCCCTATTTATAATGATACCCGAGTTATACCCTTATTTATATAGTACTTAGGCTAAGTGGTAAAACCAAGTAAGTTATATATTATAGACAGTCTGCTAATACTAACACTAGAAAAAAAAATAGTCTTAGGCTTACTATATATACCTACGATCAATCAATTCCTATGTCTCAAAGCGTCACTCCCGCCCAAGATATTTGAACAAAAACCGATACCCCTCCAACACCGCCTCCCATTTCTTCCCATCCGCATCGCTGAAGATATCAAACAGATGGCCCTCATCCTGCAAGATGCTGATCCCCGCGGGAATACCCGCCGCGACAAGCGCTTCGTAGGTATGCTGCGACTGCTGCCACGGAATCAAGTCGTCCTCAGTGCCGTGGATCAGATACGTCGGGCAAGGGCTGGTGTTGCCGGCCTCGATCTGGGCCCGGGAACTGATCTTTCGAATCTGCTCGGGGGAAGGCTGCTCCATTTCGTCGACGGCCACCGCATCCGGCTTGTTGGCGGCTGGCAGACCGTTGCACAGCACAGGTAATGTCTGGCCTCGCCAGTTCAGTAGTGGTTGAGCAGTCTCACGCCAGCTGCTGCCAACTTGCCTCCGATCGATTCCTTGGGCAGGCCGCCTTCAAAGGCGACAAAATCCAGCTGCCGTAAGGCGTGGATGCCCTCGTCCTGCGGCAACAATGCAATCTCCTCGAGGATCGACGGCACCGTCAGCAGCGACTTGGCCTTGCTCTCCTGCAACAGCTGGACCACCGATCGACCGGTGGCGATGGTGCCCGCGGCTGGGAGACAGAAAGGTTTCCCTATGCCCAAGGCGAGGCACGGAGGCAGTAAACCAAAGCCCTGTTCTTCACGTCAGCCTCAGGAATACGTCCATCAGGGGGCAGCAGACAGCCTACATGAAACAGGGGAGAGGTGGACAAAGTCAGCGCGCGCATCTCATCCTCGCCCTGGAACTGATGGCAGAGCGCAAAGCCCAGGTAATGGCGATGCGAGGTGTAGATTGGCTTGGGGAGTCCGGTCGTCCCCGAAGAATGAAGAATGAGCACATCGCGGTCCTCCTCCGACACGTAATGGAGTAAATGACGAGTGTCTCGCCCCCGGATGTCCATGTCGGATGGATTCAGGAACGTATCGTATGGCCTGGGCTGGTAGCGAGTTGGCGATGGAACATTACTGTCAGCCAATGCCTCTTGAGCAATTCGATAAGCGCGGAGAGACCAGAATAGCTTTCGCCCCCGTCTTGCTGAGCAGATGATGGACGGAGGGCCGCTAAGGGGAGTCGAGAGGAGCAACACTGGCACCCCGAGTCCCGTCAAGGCCAGCAGGTGGACGACCAGTCCGGCATTGCTATCCATCAACAGCGCAATGGGCGGTCCCTTGGAAACGCCCTGGTCCGCATGTGGACGACGAGGGAGTTGCAGCTCCTGCACCGTCTCGGTGAGCCACGTCTGACATTGCAGGATGGCCTCCTTCAGCTGCGAAAAGGTGATCTCCACAAACGAGATGATTCCCCGCTCACGCTCGTCGTTGTTGTCTGCCTTTCGGGCCTGGATGCAGAAGGTGTGTTCCGGATTGTGCCTCGCGTGGAACTCCACCAGGTCGAGGAGCGTGCGAATGTCGCTGTTTCCATCATCCGAATGGAGGCTGATTGATGGCCGGACAAACATGGTCTAAGCTAAACAGACACGCAAGAAACGGCACTTGCACTTGGGGTCTTTCTCTTCAGGCTGGCCGAAGACGATCTAAATGTCCCGAATTAGGGCCCCGACATGGGTCCGAGCATCACTTTTTCTTCTGGTACTTGGGGTAAGCCTCCTGCGAAGCCTCCTGCGAATAAGGGGAGACGTCCCCTTCAATCTGTGTCTGTTATCTTTCTCATCCTATAGTTGTCATTCATTGGAATTTTTAAAAAAAAAGAGAGAGAGAGAGAGAAGAGAAGAGAAGAGAAGAAGGTATCCAATATGGAGCGTTTTCCAAGAAGCTCTCCAGACGCAGAATCCCTGCTGCAGCTGGTCGACCTCCTGAAGCAGTCTGCCAACACCGTGATCGAGGAATGGAAGAAGGAAGACTTCACCAAGGGCAAAGGGGGCAGTCAGGATACTCCGGCCGTTCTCCCCAGCCACAGGCTTCACCAAGCGCAGCGAACCATCCTGGCCATCACCGGCGCGCTGGTCGAGCTCGTCGCGGAGCCGTACAGCCGCATCCAGGAAGTAGGCTGCCAGTATTTCGAATCCAGAGCGCTCTTCATCGCCGCAGAGCGCAGGATTCCGGACCTGCTGGCCGAGGCGGGCGAGAGCGGTTTGGAGATCGATCAGCTGGCCGCGAAGACTGGGATCGAGGCATCAAAGCTGGGTAAGTAAGCATTCATCCGCCTGTGCACACGGTTGAGTTGATGACCTGTTAACACATGATTCTATCTCCCAGCTCGCATCCTGCGCTGTCTCTGTTCGATCCATATCTTCCGCGAAATCGGGCCTGGTCGCTTTGCCAACAACCGCATTTCCGCTGCCCTGGTCCACAACGAGCCCTTGCGTGCCTATGTGCAGCTGTTGTGAGTTCAAGCATTTATTTCATTCCCCTGACACGATCGATCAATGATGATGCCTGACCGCAGCCTGCTAGCAACCTGGACATCTACAACGCGTCGGACCAGCTCCCCAAGTATCTGCTGAGTGACCAGGGCGCCTCCTATGACGTCCGGGAGACCGCCTTTCAGCGGGCAGTGAATACCACCAAGGCACGGTGGGACTGGCTGGCCGAGAGGGTTTCCCCGGCCCAAATCCAGCCGCAGAACACGCCCTATCCTGGCGTGCCAGATGTGCACAACTGGAACCTGGTCCCCGGCGCAGACGGCTTGGTGGGCAGGCCCGAGCTGGAGAACTTCGGCCTGGCCATGGTCGGGGGAGGAAAGGTGACGGGCACTGCGCACGCATTCGGTGAGTAAGAAGAGGATATACGCAAGCATCAGTGAGACTGACTGCACAGACTATCCCTGGGCCGACCTGGGAGAGGCCGTGGTGGTGGATGTGGGCGGGAGAGTTGGTGCGTCCATTTGCTATTCTTGCTTAAATGATGTTTGAATTGACGTTAACGTTAGTAGGAGGATTTGCCCTTCAGCTTCTCCCCGTGTACCCCAAGCTACGCTTTATCATCCAGGACCGGGCCGAAGTCCTCGAGCAAGCCCAGCGCGACATCTGGCCGCGAGAAGCCCCGGAGGCTGTCCGCGATGGCCGCGTCACCTTCATGGTCCATGACTTCTTCAAGCCGAATCCCGTCCAGGGCGCGGCGATCTACTGGCTTCGGGGGATTCTGTACGTATCAAAACACCTCCATGACAATGAAAATCTACTGACGATAGACCTATATAGACACGACTGGTCCGACAGCTACTGCGTCCAGATTCTCTCCGCGCTGCGAGAGGCCCTGTCTCCGTCGTCCAGGATCCTGATCTGCGACCAGGTCATGAACACGACCTACGGCAGCCCTGACATCCCCTCGGCGCCATCCCCGTTGCCGGCGAATTACGGGTATTACGTCCGCTACTGCCATCACCGCGATCTCGGCCTGATGTCCATCATCAACGGCATCGAGCGGACCCCGGCCGAGTTCGAGGCGCTGGTCAAGCAGGCGGGACTGCGGATCATCCGGATCTGGGAGTGTCGCAGTATGGTTGGGATTGTGGAGGTGGGGTTGTAGATACATCTGTAGCTCGATCACTTGCCTACGCTTGAATCAGGAATTCATTCAATTGTACTTACCGGAAGACTCTGTACGGTAAACGAAAGATTCCATTACTGTAAAACTCTTTAAGCCAGTCTTTTTCAGACATATTCCCAGGGACCCGAGTGGACTGGGACCCGAGTCTCAAATCCTTGTAGCACATCCAGACGCTAAGTGGTATTTCAGCCAACTGCAGCCAACACACTCTTCATCCTGCTCTCTGTTCTTATGTCACACAACTCACAATCATGGCAACAACAGTCTCGTCCACTCTCACGGGCCTGGAGAGCCTGCTGGCCGCCGACAGCATCCCCGACGAGCTCTGGCAAGACGACGCAACTCGGAAGCGTCTTCTTCAAGCCTGCAGGCGAGTGAGCCTCCGACTGGAGAAGCCATGGGACACGGTGCAGCGACTCTCGTACCTCCCGCTCGAATTGAGCGTCGCACGCATTGGCGGCGACATGGCGCTCTGGAAGACGCTGGTGGACCTGGACAGGTCCTCCACAGTCGACGAGCTTGCTAAAATCACTGGGTCCGATGCAACGCTTGTGACTCGCATCTTGCGATACGCTGCTTCTGTCGGCATGGTGGAGGAGCGAGGAGAGAACGTGTTCAAGCCGTCGAATATCACACGGAATATGATCGCTCCGGGGATGCAGGCGGGATTCTTTCATGCGTGTGTTTCCTTTTTCCCCTTTCTTTTCCTTTCATTTTTTTGCTCATGCTGATCTGGCTACAGGATCGAAAACTGTGCCCGTCCATACATTGCCTTGCCCGAATTTCTCGCCAGGACAGGGTATCAAAATCCGACGGATCCGAAGCGGACGGCCTTCCAGCTGGGCCACGATACCGATCTGCACATCTTTCAATGGTATGCGGCCCATCCGAAAAACATCGCCACGTTCAGCGAATATATGGAAGTGCAACGGGTCGACGAGCCTAAGTGGCTGTCTGCGTTCCCGTTGCAGGACTACTGTGACATCAGCACGAATAATCATGAAGATACTATCGCATTCGTCGATATCGGCGGCGGGCACGGGCACCAATGCGTCGCCCTTCTCCAGGAGTTCCCCCAGCTGAAAGGGCGAGTCGTGCTGCAAGACCTGGAGAAGGTGCTCGAGGGCGTCCGGATTGACGGGGTGCAAGTGATGGTGCACGACTTCATGACCGAGCAGCCGGTCAAGGGGGCACGGATCTACTACCTGCGAGACGTCCTGCACGACTGGCCCGACCATGTCTGCGAGACGATCCTCTCGCGGATCATCGACGCCATGTCCGACCAGTCGGTCATCTTGATCGATGACCTGGTGTTGCCCGCCACGGGGGCCCATTGGTACGCAACCGGACTGGATCTGGCGATGATGAGTCTCGTTGCGGCCCAGGAACGCAGTTTGCCTGAGTGGCATCGTCTGCTGCAGAATGTGGGATTGGGGATTAAGCAGCTGGTCAAGTATACGGATAAGGGTGATTCGATCATTGTTGCTGCGAAGGACGAAGAAAGGTGATTTAAGATGAACCTACCTGTTATAGGGAGTAAGCTATAGCTATGGGTAATAGGTATTAAAATAAAATGACTCCTCGGTTGAATTTACGATTCGAAACAACCACGACAAGCTACAATATGATAGATACACATAGAACTGAAATTTGAGCATTATACATAATCTACATCTACAAATGCTATATAGATGATTATTACCATTTATAACTGGCAGAAAAGAGATAGAAGCTGGCCGAACTAACTCCACCCTTTGCAAAATTCTTTCTGTATATCAAGTCCACCGTCGTAATTAGTCTAGTCTAGTCTGGTCCTCGCGGGCTGCGTTGACGAGGCGGACGCTTGTATATGTATGTCAGCAAGCAATCAGCTGATAGATATCTACCAATACAAAGTGTAGTTTAATAATACCTCTATCCTTTTTTTTTAAGATTACAAAATATAATTTTTACATACGAAGGGTATATATTTCATAATAATTTGTTTAATCAAAACTAGTTAATGAGTTAATGAGATAAATATTCAGTTATCAATCGATAAGGGGCGAAAAGCAAAAAAAGCAAAAAAAGCAAAAAAAGAAAAGAAAAGAAAAGAAAGAAATCCTACGTAAAATCCAACTTCTGCACCATACCATATACTACGATGTATGTTGTGTATAATAACACTACTCGGGCCCGCAAAATTTTCGTACTCGTCCCCCATCCCATCCCATCCCATGCTAGTTAGTAATACATAGGCCGGGAGGGAGGGACTTGATTTATGTCCCAAAAAAAAAGGAAAAGAAAAACAGTGGTAATATATCTTCTTGGCCATGAATGGCCGGTAGATAGATCTCTCATTCATTCATTGGTTAATATATTCTTCTCATCGCTATCTTTTTGTTTATCCAATAACCTGTGTATGTCTGTACATACCTACTATAGGTGTACTGTACGTATGGTCCTGCCGTCTTGAACAAGCCTTTCCAAGCTGTGTGTATATATATATATATGACGACCTGTTTATATAACCCTTATCTCTATCTAATCTTATACCAACAAACAACACGCCCTGGTGGCGCCTGGTCTTCTTTAACCAGTAATACGAACGGAGAAATGTCTAATTGACTCTGCTAGATAAAAAAAAACTCCATCCATAATGCTAAAAATCTTCTAGAACATATATATACAGTATGTACTGTAGTAAAATAAACCTCTAGAACAATCCATCACTGTATGTATGTATCTTCTAATAGACAAACGAAAGTTGAGTAATAAAGATCCCACCCTTTAATAAAAATGTCAGAACCGGGAAAAAAAATAAAGAAAGAAAAGAAAAAAAAGAAAAAGAAAGGAAGAAAGAAAACATATCTATACTGGCCCAGGGTTGTACAGCCGCATCCGAAACCGCGTGTTGTTGGTCAGCAAAGTATTGAGGACAAGGTTTACTGTGTCCGGCTGCACCTCCTCCAGGATCAACGTGCTCGTGCTCAGAGAGGAAGTTGTTGTGTCTGCAAGCTCAGAGTTTGGAGGCAGGATCGAGGCGTCGTCATCGGCCATGGGATATGTCCCTGTCCCACCGGTGACGGCATTGGGGTCCATCTCTTCGCTTACGAGGGCGTTCTTGTCGATGGTCTCTGCTGTTGTTGTGGCTAGCAGACTGGGAGCCCAGAACATTGTCGACTCTTGATGATGATGATGGTTATTATTATTGGGATTATGATTATGATTATTATTATTATTTCCGTCCAGCGAAGAAGCAGCTGTAAGAAACTCCACCGAAGATGTAAGATTTGTATCGTTTCCCTCAGACTGGGACGAGATTGGCGGCAGATCCGGTGTCATTATCATGTCGTTTGCCAACGTCTCGTGTAGATGTGTGTCGTCCGGATCACTATCCTGTTGTCGTGGTTGAGGATCAGGCTCTTCTGAGCAGTCCAGTTCCGAAGAATTGTCATTATCGGTTGCATTATCAGTTGTGAAGGGAGATGTTCGATCCTGAGATAGTCCCCGTTGTCTCCGGTTGAGGATGACGTAGCTGGCAAGAAACATAGTTAAGTCAGAAAAAAGAAGAAAATGAAGAAAATGAAGAAGAAGAACAAAAAGAAGAAAAGGATTCGCCTCACCGATTCTTAATGTCCGTTGTTGATCGATCCGGGAATACCGTGCTGCAAATCTTGCTCCAGTTGTGACCGTCTTTCTTTACGGCCTCGATCAGCTTTCTGTCCTCGCCTTCCGTCCACGGACTGTGATTGACGTCGGGATCAAGCGCGTGTCGCCATCGTTTGGCGCATTCTGGACGGACGTAAGAAGTAAGTAAGCAGGAAAACGAGAAAAGGTGAACTCACGATCAGCATGACGAGAGCCCACAAATTCAGCTACCTGTGTCCAGCTGCAAAGAACCATGAATAATCCATCCTCCCTTCTGGCGTCGTCTGGCATCGTCTCTTCTCACCGAAAGCCAAATTGACCGACTGCTTGCTGCAGCCGCGTATCCTCTGCGGGCGTCCATCCATGCTCCTATCCTGATATTCCGGCCGAGCTTGCACCATCGTTTTCGACAGTCTTTGTTTGTTCGTCCGGGGAGTTTGGCTGCGATGGCATTCCAGTTCCTGACTCCGCATTGGCTGACTAGAGTGCAGTTATCAGCATAGTGACGAGAAAGGGAAGAAGAGCATGTTCTGGCAGAGAAGAAGAGGAAGAAAGAAAATACAAGAATCGACAGAATCAAAGCTTCCATACGTTGGATTTCGGCTTCCTGCCGTAAGATGCGGTCTTCCTCCTCTGTCCACCATCGTCGCTCCTGCGAAGTTGCCATCTTGCAAATCAACGAACAAACTAAGTCAGCAGGGAAAGCTATACTGAAATGAACTACTAAATCGGACGCTAGCTATAAACTCGATAAAAGAAAAAAGTTCTTTTAAGGTATACACCAACAAAGTTCTTTAAGATATATCTATCAGCACTTTCTTGTTTTAGTCATTTATTGTTTCAGTTATTTATGCATACGTTAACTGCAGCCGGTGAGCGTTCAAAGACACGAGATGATGCAGCGAGACTAATAGTTGAGGGTTTCTTACCCTAAACGGCAATTCTGACTGCCGTGCATTAATTTAGCAAGAGGCTTCAAAGCACGTGCACAACCTATCGGATCGCATTAGCAAATGTTGGGGAACCGGGCCGGGCCGTGTTTTGAGATTCGCATCCCTGCCAAAAACTAATTATACCTAGGATAAATATAAAATATCAGCCCAACCAATCAGTCAGCGACATCAAGTGGTAAAAATGCAATTTACGCGGGCCAACATGCAGTGTGCACGATCCTTCCACGGCCGTCACTCGCCTAGGATTGGCTGTCTTTATTAATAATAATCGCCAGGGTTACGTAGACCCCTCCTTTCGGTTGCTTTCCGTGCGTGTAGATCATATATCATTCTATAATGTTGCTCGCACTTTATCAGCAATTCTCGCCCCAGACCGGACTGGGCATCCCCTGGTACTGCACTGGACATAGGAGCTCGCTGTCATTGGGCCCCGCAACGCAAGAAAACGTGGCTGCATAATCGAACCTACTAGGGCCAGGCCGCAGATACGAGGCGAGGGTGATACGAACGACCAGCTGCAGCTCTGTGACCGAAAACGATAGATAGAGGATCCATCCTCTGACCACATGGTTGATCCATGACATCACGAGTATGGTTAGTCCTTCTGGTACGTAGCATGGAGGATCCTTCCTCCTTCATCATCATTCATCACCGTTAGCAATGACATATCATATCCCATTTAGTCGCTACAGTAGCCTTCCTTCTACCCACCATGAAACTATTCATAATAAGTATTCTTCTACTACCCCTTACGAAATTATACGTATTAATAATAGGAGAGTGGTTAGGGCCTGAAAAAAAAGCCTATTAATTAATATTAACACTGTGGCATCTATTCATTACTAGCACATACCAAGATAATCTATTTAAGATCATAGATTTTGACTCTATTAATATCCTTGTCTAAGTATGGGGAACGGAATACCTTAAAAAAATTGTGTATTAGTGTATTAAACTGATTACTGGTCAGAAGAAGGAGTAGGTGAAATCTAGAGTAGGAAGGAAATCTAAGTTAAGTGAATCGACAAGGCTCAATGAGTGCTTAAGTGCTGAATCAGGCTCAGGCTCAATAAAGCTGCCGCTGATCAGCAAAAGTAATCCCCTGAGGTGATAAGCCTGACTTCATCATCCCACAAGACTGTCCATAGGACTGTAGCGATCATTTCACAGGAATATACCGACTCCTGCGTCGGATGCGGGCGCCGAAAAGATAGAACAAAACCGGGACAGGCAAGAACAGGATGGCGAGAAAGCCCAGTAAGCTGGTTGCCCAGTTAACCTAGAAATTCGTTAGCATGTACAAGATCTTTCTTTTAAAAGACTTTTTCTCACCCCCAATCGTTGATACATGGCCGTGGTAAACATGGGAAAGCCCGCGCCAAAGCACGAACGAACAATCGTATTCGCAGACATGGCCGAGTTGGCATGAATCAGGTACACGTCGATGATGTAGGCCAACCCCTGCAGCAGGAGGATCTGCAGACCGGCGCCGAGGGGCACGCCGGCAATGATCTGCGGCCAGGGAGTGATATGCGGCGAGGAGGTCCAGGCAAACCAGAAACAGCCGATGGGGAGCAAGACGGCGCCGACAATCATGGGCCGCAGTCGATCCTCGGGGACCATCTTGCCGTGATGCTCGAAGCTGCGCTTCATGCGCGTCTGGGTCACGTAGTAGATGTAGGACGACCCGGCGATGACGCCGATGCCGATGGCGATGAATGGCAGCGCGCTCACGCCGAGACTGTAGCCGCGCTGGTTGTAGAAGCTGACCGGGTAGGCCTCGAAGAGGAGATAGATGAAGCCGTAGATGAAACTGGTGTACAGCGTCATCAGGAACAGGATGGGCTCCTGCACCAGCATGATGAACGGTCGGCCCAGATACTTGACCACAATGGCCTTCCAGTCGACGGGCGACTCGCCCAGCTTGGCGTGGATGGCCCAGTTGCGAGTCTCGTAGCGGATCCTGCGCGCCTTGCGCTGGAGCAGAACAGGCGCATACGTCTCGGGCAGCAGCACCAGGCCCGCTGTGCCAAAGCCGGCGCCCAGGATCATGGTGATCCAGGTGTTCCAACGCCAGCCCAGATGATGGCTGGAGGTCACAAAGCCGCCGATGATGGGCCCCACGATCGGGCCCAGGAAGTTGCAGGTGGTGAAGATGGCGACGGCGAGACCACGCCGCAAGGGGTCGAAGAAGTCGGCCAGATAGCCGCCGACGATGGACGGGGGCGCCGCCGCTCCCACGCCGCCCAGGAAGCGACAGACGATGACGGTCGCGAGATTCTGCGCGACGGCCACGGGGATCTGGAAGACGACGAAGATGCCATAGCCGATGAGCAGCGGGGTCTTGCGGCCGTACAGCTCGCTCATGGGACCCCAGACGACGGGGCCGAAGACGAAGCCCAGGACGAACAGGCTGGTGCCCAGCGTGGTGACCTCGGCGGACACACCGTACTCGATCGCGGTGGCCTCGGTGGCGGTGCTGAAGACAGTGCTGGCGAAGGTGACGACGAAGGTGATGCCGCCCAGCAGGAGGGCCAGCAACCACTTCTTCCACAGGGGCATGTTCTGGGGGTTGTAGGGGTCGTCGGGGCCATCGAAGTCGACCAGCGTCGGGTCTTTGGCTGGCGTTTCTGTCTGGAGGGCATCGTTCTTTTCCTGGGGCGACTCTGATGCTTGGTTACTCGCCATCGTGATCCGTGACCAAATTCATCCATGAGACTGAGGATTTTCGAATACTGTTGCGAATATGAAAAGACATCGCTTAGGCAGGCACGTGATACAGCAACAAAAAAAATGACGCCGATGAGATTTCTTCGGCCATGACGTATCTCCGCATGTTTCTGCTGCATGCTTTTGCCATCATCCAGCAATATCCTGCATTCTTTCTCCTATATACTCGGGTCCGCTGGAGCCAGCAATAAAGCCGCGACGAACTCCGGCGCTAAAGCGATCTCCGAGACGATCGGCGAGCTTAATGCAACGGCGACTGTCGAAGTCCGATGCATGGCCGATTATCCCCACGGGGGCTGGAAGTCGTTTCGGAATTCCGTTTCTATTTTATTTCCATTTCCTGAATAACTTCTACAGGATTACTTCCAAAGCAACAGACTACTCCGGAGTAAATTAGTCCGCGTTGATACCTGTCTTCGCCCGAGCACGCCAGAATGCAATATATCCCAGCCCCCTCAGCTATGGTCACTGGCCAGATTCATGTCGCTCGCCGGCCGTGTCGTTCTCATCACCAGCGCGTCCAAGGGCATCGGGAAGGCCGCTGCGCAGCGGCTGGCCGCCGACGGGGCCAGCGTGGTCGTCAACTACCTGACCGACGCCGCCTCGGCCTCCGCGCTCGTCGAGCAGATTGGGCCTGATCGGGCACTGGCGGTGCAGGCCGACGTGTCGAAAGTGGACGAGATCCGTCGTCTGGTCGAGGCCACGGTGGCGCGCTTCGGCCGCATCGACGTGGTCATCGCGAATGCCGGCGTGCTGCCCGTGAAGGACCTGGACAGCACGACCGAGGCCGATTTCGACGCCGCCTTTGCCCTCAACGTCAAGGGGCCCTATTTCCTGGTCCAGCAGGCCGCCCGCCATATGCCCGCCGGCGGACGTGTGATTTTCCTCTCCACCGGCGTCACGTCCGTTTCGTCCATCACGCCGCCCTATCTCCTCTACGCGGCCACCAAGGGGGCCATCGAGCAGATGACGCGCGTGGTGGCCAAGGATCTCGCGCGCAAAGGCATTCTGGTCAACGCCCTTGCCCCCGGGCCCACGGCCACCGAGCTGTTCCTCCGCGGCAAGTCCGAGGCCACCCTGCGCACCGTGGCCGCGTTTAGCCCGTTCAACCGCATCGCGCAGCCGGACGAGATGGCGGGGACGATTGCCTTCCTATGCGGTCCGGACAGTACGTGGGTGTCCGGGCAGATCATCCGGGTGAATAGGGCCATGGCACCGTAGTCGCCCAGGGGAGATCAAGATGCGTTCGATCAGACGATTTGTTGACAGCTGTGAATATATTATGGGATTGTTTAGATATATACAATTGAGGGGATTATTTGTTCTAGCAAGGAAGAATATATCAGCAGAATATGTCAGAATATCTCAGTGAATATGTCGGAGAGTATGTCGGAGAATATCTCAGCAGAATCTGTCATATACTGCCTTCAACAGGGTTATTTTCTGTCAAACAAACTGGGGCACAAAAGAAAAAGAAAAAGAAAAAGAAAAACTATGTTATCTAGTGAACCCTGGAGTGAATGATAACTTGCCCAGGTTGAAATTTTCCTCGCTCCTAGTGATCCTAGAATCCAATCTGTACCTTTCACTGCAGCCATCTGGCTATCCTCCCTTCCAGGCCATGAACTTGACTTGAATGAAGAGTAACGGCGTGAAAGATCCTCAGGTCGGGCCCGTGGACCCAACAGGCTCCTCGACTCGGGTCCGCAACCAGCGACATCCATATAGACAATTCACGGACAATTCACCCCCCTAGAACATGATCCCCAAATCGTCCGTCTCGATTAACTGCAATCCATCTTCCTGATGTCGTCCAATTCAGAAGAGACCGCGACCTTGCCCCGCATCAGCGTCGATGTGCTGGTGGTTGGGACTGGCCCCGCGGGGGCATCGCTGGCCTGCTTTCTGGCTACGCTTGGTAGGGAACTCTCTTTCATGGGCAGGATTACGGACTGAGGTCACTCTGACAATCAATCTGCAGGAGTCAAGGGTCTGGTGATCGGCAAAACGTCCTCCACAGTCATTACGCCGCGAGCCCATTATACGAACATGGCCGCTTTTGGTACGCCCGTCAAAGGAGGAAAATTTGTCGAATTGACTAATATTAATGGCGACGAGAATGTCTGCGTGATATCGGGATCGAAAGTGAATGCCGCAAGGTCGCCTCGCCGCAGGAATCGCTCATGTATCATCGCATCTGTGCCACTCTGGCCGGGGACGAGTTCTGCCGGGCCTTCACCTTTGGAAATAATCCCCGACGGCATGTACGTCTGCTGTCTCTGTCTCTGTCTCGCGAGGGATCATGTGCATACTGATTCTGCCGTCTCGTCAGGGCGACTATGCAGACGCCAGTCCTTGCACGCCAGCCGATCTCCCCCAGACGCTGCTCGAGCCCATCCTGCTGCGCACGGCCACGCACCGCGGCTTCAAGCTGCGCTTCGACACCCAGCTGATCCGCTTCACGCAGACGGAGGACCAGGTGGAAAGCCTTGTCGAGGACCTCCTCACTGGGCAGCGATTTGTCGTCGTCTCCAAGTTCCTCTGCGGCGCCGACGGGGCGCGCAGCTCCATCGTGCGAGACCTCCAGCTGCCCCTGCACCACGGTCCAGGCGGCGGTCTCGCGCTCAATGTGCTGGTCGAGGCCGATCTGGTAGGCAGGCCTCCTGAATGCCTCCTGAATCATCTGGCTGACTTATATCCAGTCTCGTCTGATGGCGAACTCCGAAGGACTGCTGCACATGCTCCTCTGTCCTCACAAACCGGCGCCTCCATTCTGCGCAATGGCCATCGCCCGCTTCATCAAGCGCTGGGACGAATGGGTCTTTGTGTTGCTGGCCGCGCCGGGCGTCAAGGAGATCACCGCGACCCCGGACGAGATCCTGGCGCGGGTGAAAGAGCTGATCGGCGACGACTCGGTCCAGGTCACCCTGAAGCGCATCTCCACCTGGCAGATCAACGAATGCTACGCCAGCGAGTATTCGCGGGGGAACGTCTTCTGTCTCGGGGACGCCGTGCACCGGCATCCGCCGCACAACGGCCTGGGGTCCAACACCTGCATCCAGGACGCCTACAACCTTGCCTGGAAGCTCGCGTATGTGCTGCAGGGCCGTGCCGGACGGGAGCTGCTCGACTCGTACAGCGCCGAACGCCAGCTCGTCGGCCGCTACATTGTCCAGCGCGCCAACGACACGGGCCGCATGCATCTGTCGCTGTTCTCGCTGCTGGGCGTGCTCAAGCCCGACGTGGAGGCGCGGCTGCGCGTGCTGGACGAGTTCAGAGAAGACAGCGAGCGCGGTGCTGCTCGCCGCGCCAGCTTCCAGGCCGCGATTGAAGACCTGGAGCAGGAACGCCACGGCCTGGGAGGCGAGATGAATCAGCTCTATCAGTCCCGGGCCATCTACCTCGATGACGAGAAGGAATCCCCTCCAAACAGCAGCTGCAGCAGCGCCGACACGGCTCTCTACTACCGGCCCTCCACGTACCCCGGATCCCGACTTCCGCACGCGTGGCTGCGCAAGCCCAAGGCCTTCGGGCCTCGGGACCCTCCCATCTCGACGCAGGATCTGGCCGGGCACGGCCGGTTTACGCTCTTCACGGGCATTGGCGGCAAAGCGGCATGGAGCAGGGCCGCGGGGGCCGTGGCCGGGGAGCTTGGGATCGAGATTGCCACGTACGCTATCGGCTGGGGCCAGGACTACGAGGATGCCTTCTTTGCGTGGACGCGGCACCGGGGGGTGCAGGAGAATGGCGCCGTGCTGGTGCGTCCGGATCGGACCGTGGCGTGGCGGTGCTTTGCTCTCGAGGAGGAAAAGTGTGACGAGAGGCTAAGGAGAGTGATGCGGAGGATTCTCGCAGTGGACTAGCTGTCTTATTGAATGTAGAGCAGTCTGTTACCATCATCTCTACCCGATTGTGCTGAGGTTACTATCTCTAGACGGTAAAACAGAGAAATCCAAGTTTATAATTCTCTCCTCGCAATATTATATCAAATGTTCACCAGGTAGAATACCACTGATAATCAATATCCGGATACATCACTTTAACTTACTTGATTACGGAGTAAAATCCACAGGATGGAAGAAACCTCCCCACAGAGATATCATTGTACTCGGGTCCCAGCGCTGATACGTTATTCGGGCTCCAAGATGCCAGGTGAAGGAGGTTTATAACAGTCCTCTATCTATCATCTTGGGTCCTGAACTCAACGCCAGCATTGGCTGTTACATCGTCACTGCAACCACTTGTTTAGAAAAATGTCTGCAATACTACCCGCCCCTGACATCCCTCGTTTAGAAATCTATCTATCCTTCATCCCTCGTTTAGGGATCTATCTATCATCCCTTTTAGGGCTCCTTATTCTTCTGTTCTTCTACCTCGTTCACACGTATGCGAAGCTGCGTCACATCCCCGGCCCCTTTCTAGCCGCATTCACAGATTTCGTCCGCCGAAGCTGGGTGTTGACCGGCAACGTTCATCTCATCCACACGGAGCTACACCGGCGGTATGGAAAAGTCGTCCGGACAGGTCCGAATAGCGTCTTGGTGTCGGATCCAAATGCCATTCCGGAGATCTGTGGCTTTAATGCGAAGTTTCCTAAGGTGGAATCCCACACCATCTCCCCAAGATAACCCTAAGTTCTAACCAGTCTGGTTTTTTGCAGTCTGAATTCTACGACGCCATCATGCCGCGCGTCAAAGGAAAGCAGATCCCAGACGTCTTCGCCACGCGCGACGAGAACGTCCATCGGATGATGAAGAAGCCCAACTCAGCCATCTACTCCATGTCGAATCTGGTGTCGTTCGAGCCGTACGTCAACTCGACGATGGAGTACTACTTCAGCCGACTGGACGAGCTCTTCGTCGACAAGGATCGACCCTTCGATTTCGGACTGTGGCTGCACCTGTTCGCGTTCGACGTCATGGGCGAGATCACCTTTTCGCGCCGACTCGGGTTCTTGGAAAAGGGTGGCGACGTCGGCGGTGTCATGGAGAATAATTGGAAATACTTTGTCCAGGCTGCTCCTGCTACCCAGATGCCATGGCTTGACTTCCTCTGGAAACGAAACCCCTTGCTTCCAGCTAGCGTCAAGCCCAACCCGTTGGTCGAATTCGGCGTCGCCCGCATTCAGGAACGGTTGCAGATGACCGAGCAGGAGCGAGAAAAGATTAACTCGCGGGACTTTTTGTCCCGGTTTATCGAGGCCAAGGAGAAGGATCCGCAGCTTGGGCCAGAGTAAGCAAGACGTTCTTCTTTCTTCATTCATTCATTCTTCTTTCTTCCTTTCTTGCTAACTCCCCAGCACACTCCCAACCTGGACCAACTCCAACATCCAAGCCGGGAGCGATACCATCGCCATCTTCCTAGGAGTGGTCTTCTATCATCTCCTCAAGAACCCGTCGACACTGCAGCGTCTGCTCTCAGAAATCGACTCAGCCGCCAAGGAAGGACTGATCTCGAAGACAGTGACGTGGAAAGAATCCCGCAACTTGGTCTACCTAGACGCATGCATCAAGGAAGCAGCCCGGATCCATCCCCCGATCAGTTTCCCTCTCGAACGGATCGTCCCGGAGCCTGGATTGACGCTGGACGGCGGTCGATACTACCTGCCTGGTGGCACGCGCGTCTTGATGAATCCCTGGTCTGTGCATCGCGATGAGCAGATGTTTGACAAGGATCCTGATGTCTGGCGGCCGGAGAGATGGTTGTGCGATGAACAGCAGAAGAAGGCCATGTATAACGGTCTTTTGACGGTAATAATACCTACTCTAATTCTTCTTTTTTATTGCAGCTGAGCTGACCTGAGCCAGTTCGGCGCGGGCCACCGATCCTGTCTAGGGAAGAACATCTCGTACCTTGAAATTTACAAGTTGATTCCGACCCTGCTGCAGAGATATGAGGTGAGAATCTTCTTCCTTAGGCAGTACAATTTTTTTTAAAAAAAAAAAGAACTGACGAAAAAAATCATAGATCGAACTAGCCGACCCCAACGCTGAATGGCATGTAGAGACCATGTGGTTCACCATGCCGACGAAATTCTACGCCAAACTAAGAAGAAGAAAGCAGCAGTCATAAGCCGTCATAAAACGAGCAAGGCAGTCATAAAACGTAAAAATATGGATGAGAAAGCAAGACATGTTGTCAGGCCGATTTGATGATAATCAAGCATCCATCCAACCCAGTTTTTTGGAAAGATAGCAAACATAACTTATTAAAATTAAATTTAGGGAATAAATAAAGTGTCTGCAAAGAAAGGGAACCCTTGCATAGGTACATACTTACTTACATACTAAGTAGGAAGTTATTATGCTGATTACTACCATACTGGACAGTCTGGAGTCTGGACTAGGGGGAGTTAAAAAGAAAACGTTATAGTTGACAGTTTCTAGACAGTTTATGGGGAATAAAAACAATAAATGTTATTTTTTTTATTTTTTAAGAAAAAAAGTTCTACATATTTATCTAACTATTGCTCTTGCTGAGAAAAAAATAATGTTAAGAAAATATTAATTAACAAAAAAAAGCAAACTAATGGTTTCCTATTTTAACTAATATCTTTCTATTTTAACAACTAACAACTTTTTATAGAGTAAATTGAGGCTTTATCTTTTTTTTTTCTTCTTTGCCTAGAGAATGACTGTCCGGTACGACATTGCACCGTTGACGGAAGGACCTTTTTGATGGAGAGAGCATAGAGGATCCCATCCTCTCTGATCACATGGGATGGATGTCCGTGACTTGGGCTAGTCGTGTTACAGATATTTTCATTTTGTGTATGTACATAGTTGGAGGATCCTTCTTCCTCTATCATCATTCAGCTTTCATAGCAATGCGATACAGCATTAAGCTATGACAGTTTTCTAGGAAAAAAAACCTCCTGATCCGTCCGGTACGGTAGGTAATTGGCGCCCCTCCCCAAAATAAGATTATTATTAGTCTTATCTCTCTAACCATCCATCTTTACAATTCTTACCCTATAAGGCAGGAATTACCTAAGGCAGGGTGTGATTTGCAAAGCGTGGTAATCTAAAACACGACGATGAGATTACGACTTAGCTGTCATGGAATAGGCATTTACACTGTTGAGTGTTGACTCGACAATGATATGAGTGAGGGTTTGATAAAGACAAGGGGTTGGTTGTGTTGCAGGAGGTAAAATAAACTCAGGTGAGGCATGCCATGCCTGAAAGGGTGAGTCCACTACCTATGGACCTGTGGCAAAACAAAAAAAACACAAAAAGTGAACACAGACAATATAACAGCTGAGATTCGCCGAAGTAATAACCTACTTACTATTAACCAGCCAGCATATGGCTTAAGTAGGTAGGTAGTTACTGTACTGTATGTACGGCTGAGCAGACTATGCATGTGCATAGGGAAGACCTGTTTTTCCACGCCCTATGGTCACATGGTGTATTAACCAAGGAAGGTGGATGGATAGATAGATTGATTATTATCATGGTGAGGGTTTACTTACGTGTCTAAATGAATAAATAAAAAAATAGAAAAGTAAAATTTGAGGTCGTTTCTTCTTCAGGAGAAGAAGTTCAGTAATTAATTAATTAAAATTCCTTGTTGTTGTTGTTGTTGTTGAAGAAATGCTTCTATAGATCTTTTTTTTTGATTTTTTGATGCGAATTCATATAAATCAATTTAATTCAATTAAATTCTTTAATTAAAGTAAATTCAATTCATCAACGGACGAGTCAGGACAACTTTCTCTTTTTTTTTTGTAGGAAGATTAAAATAAAATCGTAAATGTTAATTATTAAGCATAGGTTTATGTTTTATAGAGTGACTATATATATAAGTACAAGATTTCCTAGGAGATTGGATAAGAATTGTTAATTTCATGTTTCTTTCTTTTCTTTGCAAGCTAATCAAACTCGTCTATATACTATACTATATATCCCAGAAAAGTCAAAGCCACAAAGTCACAAATGTCCAAACAGGAAAAAAAAAAAAGAGTCCTCGCGCTGTGCATGCTGATATATGCATGTATATGCTGATGCATGTGTATACTGTACCTGACAGATCTATGGCATGTCGTAAACGAAGCAGCGTAAAGTAAAGTAAAGCGATTAAAACCCGTCCGTCCGTCGTAATCAATCAAGCCGCCCATTCATCCAAACAAATCAAATAAATCCTCGTTGTCGGGTTCAAGATTAATTCTGTGCCCCCATGTCGATGACAATCCTCTTCCCTCCAACCGATCCATCCCGGAGCAGTTCCAATGCGTCGTTGACATCAGCCAGGCCGCCCTCCCGTCGGATAATCACCTCGGGCAGCGTCAGCGAGTTCGTCTCTAGCAGACGCTCCACCCATGTCACCATGCTCTCGCCCACGGCGGGCGACGAATGGAAGATCTTGATGGGCACCGCGTGGTACCGGATGCGCGCGTCCTTCTCCTTGGGCATGCCCGTCAGCCCGATCAGATGCGCCGCGGGTCCGTCGTGCTCGCTCGCGAACAGCGCTTGCTGCAGGATCGTTGCCGTCTCGCGTCCGACCATGTCCACGCCGAAGCGCAGCCGGCCCTGCGTCACGCCCCGGACGATCTCCACCGCGCGCGTCGTGTCGTACCGGTCGACCAGCAGGTCGGCGCCCGCGTCGAGCAGGCGTGCGCCGTGGCGAGCAATGTCCGCCACGCAGATCACCTTGAGACCGCACAGCTTGGCCAGTTGCAGGGCGATATATCCGGTTGTAGTGGATGCTAGATCATCGTCAGCACAGATGTATATAGTACTAGATAGATGCTACCTACCTCCCCAGATAGCAACCCACTCGCCAGGCTTAACTCTCTCCGAGTCCGACACGGACGAAAGACACTCGTCGCGGACGTCCTCCGGGATCTCCTTCGGGTCCAGCCCCCGGAGAATGCGCAGCAGGTCAGGTCCCGGGACCTTTTCACAGTTCCCAAAGTCCAGACCAAACGAAATGCCCAGCGCCAGCGCCGCCGCCACAAACGCCACGCCCAGCGAGGCCCCGGCGTGGATGGACGTCTTGGCCGGGATGCGGGCGGCGTTGTAGTCGGTCGCGATGGCGTATTCCTGGAAGGCGGCCTTGCGGATGTCGCGGTAGTCGGTCGACGGCACCAGCACGACGTCGCCAACTTTTAGCCGCGAGTTGGCAGAGGTCTGGATGACGGTGCCGGCCAGGTCACGGCCGAAAATCCACGGTAGGCCGGGAATGCCGAAGTTGAAAGCCCTGGTCCAGTCAGAAGGATATCTTTTAGACGAGTACGGGGGATGCTTACGGAGCTTTCCAGTCGATGGGATTAAGGCCGATAGCAGAGATCTGCAGACATTAGCAGGTGCTGACAATGCCATTCGTGATGAGCCTACCTTGATTAAAACTTCTCGGTCGTGGATGATGGACGGCACGGCATGGTCGGTGACGAGGGTGTATTTCTCCTTGGGGGCGTGCAGCAGCAGGACCTGTTGCGTCGAGGCCACGCAGAGCCTGTCGACACTGTCGACGGGGCTGTCGGCGCTGTGTCCGTTCACTTGGGGTTGATCTGCGACGGCCGTACCGTTTGGCTGACTGTCGGTGCTGGGACTGTCGTTCTTGACTCCGTTCACACTGACATGCGCATCATCGGCGGCGACGGGGCTATCCACTGCTGCGCCGTCAGAATGATTGACTGCATTCTCTGCAGTGGTTGGGATTTCCGACGTGACTGTCTCCGGCACAACCCCGTTCGTTTTTGCTGAGTATTCCGCAACGACAGTCTTCTCGCTGGCCACGGCAGCCTCCTCTCGACTCCTACCGATGACGATCTCGTCCTGGAAAAAGCGCGCGGCCTTGGCCTCGGCAGCGGGCTGCTGCTGGGTCGCAACGCAGGTCGTTGTCGTCGCCATCACGTGCCCAGGCAGTATCAATCCTCGATTCAGTCAATTCAACCAAACGAAGAGAAAATCAGTACATGGGAGAACGACCAACTTTCGGCGAATTGGCACGACAGGCGAATACTGGAGGTGGTCAGTACTACTGACGACAGGACGGTAGTCAGTGACGGTAGATATGTAGATATACAGACAGCAGAGAAAAGCTGGACAGAAGTACCGTCGAGTCCTCCGTACAGGAATTAAACTCCCGACCTGGAGGAGGCTATCCACCGGCCGTGCCGCTATCATTGGATTCCAAGCATCGCACGCGCAGGCTGGAGACGAGTAATAATAATACCGATACGGTTAAGGCGCGATACGGGACCGGTTCCGCACGTAGGCATACGACGATCTGTGCCTCGCAAGTCACTGGGGGCCATGGAGCCGGTGTCAGGGATATTTTTACCAATCTTGTTAATGTTATCCCTGCCGACGGCGGCAACCGAATCAGCACGCGCGCACGCCCGCAGCGACCCAGAAACCCTTTCATTCTGCTGCTGGCCAAGCCAACCAGCGAGCGGAAGTGCCTGGGAAAAATTTTCTTCGTTTTCGAAGACCTTTTGCTGCGTCGAGAAATGCGCAAGCTGATTGGCAGAGAAGCGCCGGCGAGGGCGCGGCGCTAAAATAAACGTGCTGTCATCACGCGCAGCGGGGTAGCAATGACGTGATGGCCTTCAGAATGAATGAATATTAATGTGCAGGCATTGTGGCGGTACTTTATTTCAATTGCTGCAGAGAGTATTCAAGGGTGGCAAGTAATCAAACTTCCGAGAAGAGCACGGCATTATTGCCTTTCATTGCAAAGAAAATGCAGAAAAGAGAAAAAAAAGAAGCCCCACCGGGATGGATTGCCAAGCTAGGAAACTGATGGAAATCACGTGTAACACGTGACATCACGTGAAGTCACATGAGGATGACTAATGATACCATGTGATCTGTCATGGGAGAAGTCATGGGAGAAGATTTAATGGGGCAATAGAACAATTCAGTCAACCAACTATACTTTGCAAATGCATGGTTATCATTTGAAACTATATATGCTGGATCAAGATGGTTATACTGAAAAATAAGTTATGCGAATGATAGCTGTTTGAATTAGATGTGATGTGCTGCACAGAATGTGCTTGTAGTACCGAGTGTACTCTACAAAAATGTATTTTCGACTACGCAATACACAGACAGACCCAATTCTATGCACAACAAAGAATAATAAAATGAAATCAATAAAGAAAAAAAGTAAAATAAGAAATCTGATCTATTTTCTTTTTTTTTCTATTTTTCTTCTATTTAGAACATTCTACGAAAATATCACATGATTTTGATCCAACATGTCCCCCACGAAAGGGTTGATTTTAATGAACCCGCTCAGGGCTACGGCATAATCTCTATCTGTTATCTCGATAAGACAAGACAACAAAAAAAAGAAAGAAAGAAAAGAAAGGAAAGGAAAAAATAAAGAAAGAAAAAGGGGAAAAAGAAAAAAGAGAAAGAAAAAAAACCCTCCCATCTGAAGAATTATATATATCCTGCAGTACAGTACTGGTCAAAGATCTAATCTTTAATCTCTACTCCGTACAGATATTATTAGCTAGCATACCCCATACTTATCCTAGCCAAGGAATTAATCTTAATTTCCTTCGAAAACAAAAATCAAAAATCCTCCTATTTATCTATGCCATACAAGGAATGTCCCTTCCGGCCAACTGCCTAGATGGGTTGGGATGATGATGTGCGCGGAGAGCGAGATGGCATCATCAGGACAAAACATACCATACAGATACCACGACAAGACGGTACTGTACGAACAGTTCTAGTGTTCTGTATGTATGTATTTATGTATGTATCGATGTATTGTATGCTTTTTGCTAGCCAGCAGTATTACTCTGAAGTGGTCTGTCTATATTATAATTACTTGGGTCTCGTCAACTGTAATGCATACTTACTAGCATGTACTGTACATACTGTACAATATCTTACTCTATATGCTTGTACCCATCCAATACTAGGTAAGTCTGTAAGGCAGACAGTAAGATATCCTAGCATCTGCTGCTCATAACGCTATCAGCTTCTACAGTACCTTACCTATCTCTCCATACCAACAAACTGCAAGAACACGCCAGTAATAACAATGGCATATACAGCCGATGCACGGGCACGCGTCCAGTACAGAATTAGCAATGGTGTCATTATCGTCGAAATAACACCAGCACCCGCAATCGATCTTAGATGCATCATGCTAGTCCAACGGTCCTGCACTGACACATGCAGATACCTGACGAATCGAGAAGGTCAGTAATCCAGCAGGCTGGTAATAGACCGGCCACCACGCCGATGCAGATAGGTACTTACTTGGCAGCCTTTTTTACGAATATCTTAAGACTCGAGTGTCCGGCTGAGTGGGAGCTGTGGCTGGCTTTGTTTAACCTTACTTTAGCTATTAATCTTAGTTACCCAGTCGGAGCCCAGGGTGTATGATATGCTACAGAATGAATAGCTGATTGATGCTGCTTTTCTAAACTTCTACCGTCCTTCACTATCAATTGCACAGCGCACTACCTAGGTACTGGTACTGTCCACGTCAATGGCGTCGGACGACTCCAAAAAGCCCGTCTGGGAAGTCTCAGGCTCCGGGCAGGACTCGAGCTCGACGGGCGAAGGACAAGCGACAACAACACAGCGAGCAGACGATGTCGTCGTCCTCCGCGATGATCCCGCCGCAAAAGCCGCCTTTCTGGCCACCTTCACTCCCGAGGAGGAGAAGAGGATCATGCGCAAGGTTGACCGCCGGTTCTTGCTCCTGATCGGGCTGATGTATATGGTGAAGACGGTACGTAGTTACTGTATCCTTGACTGAGAGTGGTTCTAATGGAATGGTCTTTTTTTTAGGTCGACTTCAACAACGCGTCTAGCGTCAAGGTCCTCCAGGTCGGCCAGCCTAGCAACATCCTCAACGAGCTGCACATGACGTCGGACCAGTACAATTGGGTGCAGTCGATCTACTACGTAGGAATCCAGCGGACATATAAGTATATACCTTCTTGCTAACGCTGGCTAGATCAGCTACATCCTCTTCGAAGCCCCCAGCAACCTCGTCCTCAAGCGCTTCACCCCCCGGCTGTGGCAGACCCGCATCGTCTTCACCTGGGCCGTGGTTCTGGCGTGCCATGCGGCCATCAAAAACCGCCAGTCGTTTTATGCCCTGCGCTTCCTGCTCGGCATGTTCGAGGCCGGCATGTTCCCCGGCATCATGGCCCAGCTGGCCTCGTGGTACCGGTCCGATGAGATGGCCAAGCCGGTGGCCTGGCTGTTTGGCATCCAGCAGGTGGCCAGCATTGTCAGCGCGCTGCTTTGCTACGTGATTAGCTACATGAACGGCATCGGGGGGATGAGTGCGTGGCGATGGTATGTTCCTCTCTTTCAACTAGACAACTAGACAATATGCCTAGACAGCATACTGATTGATTCCTCAGGGTCTACCTCCTCGAAGGCCTCGCGACCATCGCCTTCGCCGGCGTCGTCTTCTTCGTCCTGCCCGACTACCCCAAGTCGCCGCGCAGCAGCAAGTGGCTGACGCCGCGCGAGCAGGACTTCATCGAGACGCGGCTGAGCGAGAACGCGCCGCTGACGCACGAGCCGGCCTTCCGCAAGGAAGAGGTGATCGCCTCGCTCAAGGAGCCGTCCATCTGGGCGTTTATGCTGTCGCAGATGCTCGTCAACCTCGGCGGCTACGCCCTGCAGTGGTACCTGCCGACCATCACGACCAGTCTGGGCTTCACCACGCTGCCCAAAAACCAGCTGCTCAATATCCCTCCGGCGGCGGCGGGCGTCGCAGGTGTGGTTTTCTCGCAGTATTTTATCTCGTGGGCTATCATCACGCGGCCGGCTTATATCATGTATGTCCTCCTTTTTCCAGGGATATCCCTAAGAAGGGTATATGTACAGTACAGTACTTACTGATACTGTTTGTTAGGATCATCATGGCCGGCATGGTCGTCTGCTTCGTGCTCTTCTTTACCATCTCGTCGCCCGGAGGCATCTACGCCGCCTGCGTCCTGGGCACGCTCTTCTACCAGACGTACTTCGTCCCGTTCTGGTCGTGGCGCTCCGCCACGCTGAAGGGCACCACGGGCACCGCCTTCACGCTGGGCCTGCAGAACTGCGTCGGCCAGGTCGGCGGCGTCATCGGTCCGCAGCTGTTCGTGTCCAAGTGGGCGTACAACCGGTACAAGAACAGCTTCGCCATCGCGGGCTCGGCCATCATCGCCGCCTTCTTCACCAATCTGTGGACGTGGTGGCTGACGCGGAATACTGAGTACGACGTGATGCGCGTGGCGCGTCTGCGGCGTAAGGCCCGCAGGGAGGGACGCATCTACGCTGAAGATGATGTGCGTGTTTTCAAGGAGAGGCAGTTTTATTCCGGCGTGCTGAAGAGGAAGGAGGTGGACGAGGTGGCGGTGTAGATACGACACAACTCCATATATACGTCCGTCGCATGTATGTAGATGTAGACAGGAACCGAAGAACAAGCATAAAAATAGTTGTGTAAATATCAATCTCTTTCATCATTACCTGAGACTGTACTTCTCGCGTTGGCGGAATAATCAACAGAGTTAGGGTTAGGGTTCCGCATCGACTGTCTATCTTATCTAACACTCTATTCCAACCATCACAGGCACGACTCTGCAACATCCACTCTCTCTAATCACTTTGCAAACGAAAGACTACGATCAAGCCTGAATCTGCTGCTCCTCCTGCAGCTGCTGCCTCTCCCGCTGAACCTTCGCATCCCCCAGCGTGACGCCAATCTCTTTCACAACCAGCCACGCCGGCAGCAGCGAGATGCCCCAGAGGACGAAGTTGAGGTAGACGTTGCCGACGGCGGCCATGATGCTAATGCTGCCGAGGCCGTACTGCACAACAATTAGTTGGACGTCCAGGACAGACACGATCAGTACGATAATGGCGGATACTCACGCTGACAGCTTGGGCCGCAGACTCGGTCCCCCGCAGCAGGCCTGCATACCGGACGACTTCTTCCTCGTCGCGCGCGAGGTTGCCGACGACAAAGTACCTGTATCGTCAGTATCGCCAAACGGATGTAGACGGAGCGTGACGTACAGATATAGATAGTTCAGCTGGAAGCCAGCCACCCAGAACAGAAACAAGGCAAACGCGCTGCCAAAGCCCGGGTCCACCCAGTCATAGATGGGCTGCGTGGCTCGAAACCTGGTCGTCAGGATGGTCGCCCAGATCCACCAGCCGCCCTGCAGGCCCAGCACGGTGAAGAAGGCGCCCCGGCTGCGCGTCTTCAGGCTGATGCGTTTCTGATCGAGGAACGCGCCGAGTACATTGCCCAGGATCAGGGCGATAATGGCGGAGACGAACGAGCCCAGAGCGCGCGCGCGCACGGAGAACCACAGCCCCTGGAACGAGTACATGACAGCCTCGGAGTAGACGGCCTGGCTGATGAGCGGGACGATGAGGAGGAAGTTGCGGCTGAAGAAGAGCTTCGTGATGGCCTTGAGTTCGGGCCACGAGTTCTGGTGGATGTGCAGCTTGACAGGGAGCCCGTCGGTGCGCTGCACCTGCGAAGGATTGTTCAGCAGCAAGCCGACAAACGGGCCCAGGGCCTGCAGGGCGATGAACAGCTCGAACACGCTGTACGAGACCTTGCCCTCGGTGTTGCGGTTGGCGTTGAGCCCGAGGCTGATGGCGCCGCCGAGGATGGTGCCCCCGACACGGAAGCTGAGCCAGAAGCCCAGGAAGCGGCCCTGGTTGTAGGGCTCAGGGTACGCCAGGGCGATGGCCGCCTCAGCCATCCAGAAGATGCCGGCCGAGATGCCGCACAGCGCGGCGCCCAGCAGCACGAGCCAGTCGAAGCCGTAGCGGTTGTGCGTGTAGAGGCCCGCGGCGAAGGGGGCGTAGCCCATGGTGCCGATGATGAGCGTCCACTTGATGCCGATCCAGCGCACGACGACGGAGCCGAAGTAGCACGACACGACCATCAGGCAGAAGGTCAGCGAGTTGGCGGCGTTGACCAGGTACGGCTTCTCCTCGCCGCCGCCGCCGAGCGAGTTCATGGCGCCCCAGATGCCGGGGGCGAGGAAGTTGCAGAGGCCGAGGATGAGGGCGTTGTAGTAGGTTGAGCGGTACCATTTTACTAACACAGGTCAGAATACGTTCAGCAGACTGAACAGGATATGGATTCTTACCTGGATACCGTCTCTTGGTCGTCTCGATGCCATCGCTGCTGCTATCTACCGGAGCAGAGACTTCCTGCGGCGCCAGGCCTTTTTCCTGCGCCATTCTGAGTGTATATAATAGCCGATCGAACGGACAGAGAAGAATAGACAAGACAAGACAAAGGCAACCAGTATCAGACTTCTAGTCTAGACAGGTAGGGGAAGAAAAAATCCGTCTGTACGACACACTACATGCACAAGCTGCAGCTGCAGGAGACGGGACCATTCATATATATATATATATATATGTACGACGATCTTATTTACCCGTCCGATGTAGATCGCGCGACCAGATCACATTAATATTTATCATCCCTGTCTGTCTGTCAAAATTGGAATGGACCCTGTCAAAAGAAAAAAAATACGAAGTTAAATAAAAGTTAAGTTAATAGCTAGTTAGCTAGCTAGCTAGCAACAACGTGCCTGTCAAATCTTCATAATAGATATGTGGGGATGGGATGGATGGGATGGCGTTTATTCGAATGTCATTTTCTCCTTCTCTTTCCTCTTTGATGCATGGATTGGATTCGTCTATCAACTGACAGGCAGGCAGGCAGGTACGGGGTATGAATTAGCTCATCTGCAACGAATTCGAATTCGAGAATTTTTTTCTTCAACGGATTATCTCCGTTCTTCTTCATTCGAGGCCAGTCGAAGCTTGTCCAGCTCGTACGAGCACGAGGTTAAGCCCGCCATGGTGCGATCTGCCAGGCAAGATTAACCTAACATTATTATCAGTTGAGAGTTGAAATGATGGGTTGGTTGGCTGGTGATGATGCTGGGAGCCATGCGGATTACGTGCGAGCACGGCATTTGGGGAGGAGATGATGAGATGGTTGGTTGATGTATGTTGTACCGTTAGGGCGTATTGTATTGGTAATACGAAGTATGTATGGGGGTATGGTAAGTATGGTAAGTACGGTAGTAAATTACCACGTTGCGACGAACTGCCTAATTATTATTATATTTTCTTATGCTATTCTTATTAATATCGATTACATAGTTATATTTCTCTATTCACGGAGTACTTCTACTCTGTTATGAAATGTCTATTACCTAATAATCATTGTCAAATGTTATGCACAGTATAAGCAAGCATACCACTCCGAATTCACGTGTACCCTGTCTTCTACCCGAGATACAGTGAAGTACCATTATTGTGATGGGATACATAGGAAGGGACATTGCAAGAATCTAACTAGGAGGCCCGCCTGGAAAGCAGATTACCTCAAGGTCGGTATGCGTGGGAGTGGAAAGTTCCCGGAAAATGATCGCTGTATTGCCTGTTTTTTGTGAGAGAAGACAATGTCTATGCGGAAGATGATGATGTTGAGATTAGTAGTCTACCCGATGGTTACTAGATACAGGTGCCCGAGGGCGGTGAGATACTGCCGGCTGACAGTATGCCCCCTTTTTTTGCGTCCTCGCTGCAAAACCATGTTCTTTTTTTGTTGCCTTTTTTTTGATGATTTTTTTGATTTTGAAATATGTGATGAGGGCAGAGTTGTGGTAAAGCCATGAGGGTTCAAGCAGCGTCTCTATCCGATTCTTCGCTTAGTTCTTCACTGTCTGATTCGAGATCTGCAGGGATCTTGTCTGGGGGTCCAGTTGCAAATCTCATTGGATTGTTCCGAGGTGCAATTGGAGGGACTGCAACAGTGCTGTCGACAACTGATTTCGATATAACCGTATCACAATCGCCGTTGATGATCATCGTGGTGGTTGTACCGCGAGGCCATCTCAGACGGTTGGCGTACTCTCGAGCGAGTAAGAAAAGCGACCATTCCCATTGCCGCTGTCTGCGGCCCCAACGTCTCATTCGAGCCTGGAATTTCTCGTCGTATGCAGCGCTGGCTTGGGCAAATCGTTCGAAGGCTTGTTGTGCAAGTTGCTTGTAATTGGTGTCGCCACTGTAAGGCCATACCATGTTCGCTTTCAGTCGCGCGCCGGTGCTGTCAACGATAGCATATGTGACTTGCGCGTATCCCACCAGTATAACGATTCTGTTGGCAGATCTGTACTCGATTTCAAGTTGCTCAGACACATTACCGCTGATCTGGGCGTAGAAGGATAGCCTGATAGGATCGCCGTCGTTTATTAACGAGGTGTGCATCACTTCATGGATCAGTGGTTTACAGCCAACTGAGATCCTGAGCTTTGCTGATATCGTCGAACAGAAGGTCTAGTTTGTCGGAAATATCCCCGATAGTATAGAAGACGTCACCAATGCCGATCACTCCAGACATAGCAACCGACATTCATTACAGCTGACAGTAATATAGTTCCACATCATGGGATGAAATCGACCTAAACGTTCCATGTTGTCTAATTCAAGTTCCTTAGTATCTTAGAACACCATGAGGGATTCTTCTGGCCACTCACTCTGAAGAGTGGACTGATATGCTTCATCGTTAAAGTCGGGTCCCATGTAATACTGTGCAACTCGTCTGTCTTGTGGCAGCCACAGCATAATCAGCAAGTGAGTATGCGTCGTACACCGCAGTCTCCAATTTATTGACTTGACCTTCGCTGCAACTCTTGTCGATGTACAGATAGCCAAGTGCATTCAGGTCGAGGGATCTAGAACCGTCCTCTGTAATGTTGGTAGCATCAATGCATCATTGTGTATCCTGAAGCGCTGGTAGTCCCCCAGGGTTGGGGCTGAGGACGTGTGATTTCTGCTAAGGCAAGCAACAGAGAACATAATGTAGTCTGTCATTGCCAAAGATTAACCAGAATCCAGAATTTTGAGCATGGAGCCAATAGATCAGAAGATCAGAAGAGAGGAAAACAATACAACCACAAAGAGATACATCATTGCGCTGGGATCTCAGTGGGATGTAGAATGCAGAATGTGAGCAGAGCTCTACAGCAACAGTCTGACAGAGGTGATGAAGTGGAAGAAAAGAGAGAGATAAAAAAACAACAAAAGCGTGGGGAGGTGAATGTATGGAGCAGGAAACCGGAGAGTTCCGTCGCCTTCACCGAAGCATGCCTGCACAATTCACTGCGCTGATCTGAATTGCCTTTTTTTTCATTCTTTCACTCTTCTAAAGATGCCATTAGCCCTAAGCCCTAAGCTAGGCCTGTCCTAGAGCTCTCGCGTGCCGTGGAATGACGCATGACACTCGAATCCATTCGCATTATCCTTGTCAACGATCTATGAACACGACCTCGTCGCCATGTTACTCCCATTGCAAGCCTGTTCTTGTTCCTGCCAGTGCTAGTCGAGGCATACTGTGGACCTCTGGTATACGATAGACCCGGCATTGGAATGGACCTGACGCTTGACTATGGGTTAGTTAATCTCAGGCATCCATATCCTCACTCAATAACGAACTTGTCTGCAGAACCGTCGCGGTTTCATTCCCAAACGGAACGGTTGTTGCCGTCGCCAGAGTCGAAGGAAGTACGTCCTACAAGGCGATGATGCGTCGCATGGTGGAAGAGCCACTGAAGCGACTGGATCCCATTCTTGAACCCAGCAGCATTCTACCTGCAAGCATTCACACCCTCCGCAGGTTGGTTATTCGCCGTCTTCTCCATCCTGATGCTCCACACACTCAAAGCATCAGCGGAAGCCTTTTTGGATGGCAATACCAGGGTGACTGCCGCTGGAATTACGGTGCCTCGTTCCTTGTCTTCTCTAGACTCGTACTACGAACAGGTCCTCCGCAAAGCAGCGGAAAACGTCGGCCTGGAGGCGAGACCGGCCTTTGACATGGCAGCAGAAATTGCAAGCTACATGTACTCAAAGGGATTGGATATATCACCACTACTACTAGACGACCAAGTTGCCGTGCTGGCGGTCGACTACAGTCGTCAATCGTTTATGGCGGTTCTCTTTCTCGTCGACGAATTTGGGTTACTTAAAACAGTCCGCATCGACCAGAGCTTTGACCTGGGTCATCATTTTCTTCGTCCAGGGCCAGAGCACTGGACAGAGATCCGTCAGCGTCTGCAAACGGTCGTTTCTCAAACAACCGAAATCTCGCAGCTGATACTTCTCGGCGATAGAGCGAAGAACCAGACATTCATCAGGACGGTGCAAGAAGCGTTAGCAGGATATTACACTGCCCAGAATGATGGGCTGCAGGGGAATCAGGAATCCGAGGACTTTGATCCCGTCTTCATAGCTGCGAAAGAGGCGGCACGTCTGTCTGCCAGGCTTTTGGACCACGATTGGGGGTTGTCGTCCTCCGTACTACTTTTTCCCGCCTAGCTGGCGCTCGATCGATGATGTTTTACGTGATATCCAACTGCGCTGACGCGCCATAGTTTGGAAGGAGCATGTCCATATATCTTGGCCTAGTCCTAGTCCTTGAAATGTTAATATTGATTAATATTAAAAAAAAAGACGATCTATACAAGATTAATAAAAATTAAAACAATTAGCAACACCACATACCTACATGATTCAGTGGCCAGATAGAGAACTCTTTTAAGATCTGAGTACTTACCCGTATTTAATTGAGAAAAAGAAAAACTTCTCTCTCCATTTATTATTCATTCATTCCTCAAACGAAGTTGACAGTTGACAATTTCCTTGCATGGAGTAGAAATTGATGTTTTCTTTCTTTTACAGATAGGGATTGACGTTTTTTTCCCTAAAGTAGTGTTTTTCTCAAAAAGAAAAAAGAGAGAATAATGACCCGTGAAATGACTCTTATTACAATACTAAACATTTGCCATGATAAATGAAACAACCTAAAACGGTTAATAGACTTCAATTAATGGTCAAATGACGGTTTTTCTTTTGTCTCTTTTCTCTCTTTTCTCTCTTGTAATCATATAGAAGATCTTTTCAATTTATTCAATCTGCCTATGCTACGCCATCCTACCATGCAATCAATACTTGTTCAATTGATACCATGTCCGCAAATTACATCACTACTATAGGTAGGGTACGCATCTTCCCCTAACAGAATATATCTCCCTGATGTTCATATTATGATCACTACTCGGTATCATCAGGATGAAACACCAACGCGCGAACCTCAATACTCTCTCTCGGAGGATAATCAACCGTCTCGGGATTCACAAACGCCGTATGCGGCACGCGCCTCGCGCGGCCATCCGTCTTGGAGTCGAAGCACTTGATCAGCGTGACAATATCGGGAGTCTGCCCGTACCGGTAGTACCACTTGTGCGCCGGGTTGGCTTTGACGACGTACGTCTCGCCCTCGCGGTCTGGGTAGATCAGTTTCGCGGGTATCAGGTCGCTGTCTGGCACCGAGTGGGCGTCTGCTACCGCTAGCGGGTCCTTGTAGATTGGCTTGATTGGTCGCCAGACGTTGATGATCTGGTATCGTCCTTTCAGCAGCCGGTCGGCTTCTTCTGGGAGGTGGTATTTCACTCGGTTTGTCGCTGCTTGGTACGACTGGTCGATGTGCACGCGCTGCACTGGTCCGCGCAATTGCTGCGCTCGCTCGTCCTTCGTGTGTCGTCGGATCGTGTGGTCGAAGATGAAGATCCGGGTTGCGCCGGTTCTGTGCCAGTCAGCATCGTACTGTGCCTAGGTAGGTATGTAGGAGGTATACGACCCCCTACTTAGGACTATATAGGGCCAGGCCACTCACGCATCCTTCAGCAACTGCTCCGTCTCCGGATAATACTCGCGCCTGATCTTCTCGTCGTCGACAAACTCCTTCTCCTTGCTCTCGTGGTAGTAGATCTGGAACCCGTGCTTGTCGAGCGTGTAGTCGAGCTCGTTGCCGCTGATGTCGGTGATGGTCGCCGTCAGCGGGTCGATCGGCCGGTCGTACGTCTCGGGCTGGCCGACGTAGCTGGGGCGCGGCGGAGTGCCATCGCCCGGGTCCTTGTAGTAGTTCAGCGTTGTCTGGACGTGGTGCTTGGTCTTGTCGGCTGGAGGCACGGGAAACGAAGCAGTCTGCTGCTGGATCGATCCGGCGGGATCGTGAGCGGGGATGGAGGAGACGGCGGCGGAGGCCATGTCGGTCGTCGTCTTTCAGATAGATGAGCAAGCAGATAGTGAGTTAGAAACTAAAGATTGTGATTAATTGAACACTTCGAAGAGCTATACAATGACATCTATTTATACCCCACGGTATACAGCTCGAGCGGGGTAAGACTTGCTTGATTATCAATAATGAATGCCATCGATCAACTCCATTGGCGTGCTGAGCACGCAATCCCATCCGTGGGCGTCGCCACGTCAAGAAGCTTCCTTGATGAGAAATACAAAATGCCGTCATTGGGCTGCGTCTGTCACCCGACAGGATGATACTCCGGGGAGTCATCAGACGTGAATGCTAGCTTATAAATAGTATACCTCTGATAGAGTGAATTATGCTGATAAATTGCCACTGATTTATAATATTCAACATGACGACTGGTGCTATGCTACTAACTCGTCCTGCTGCTAGACTAATCTTATACGGAGTAGGGCCTACCTCTATGTAGTCATCTAGCAAATCATGTCTATGTCATGTCTAAACTCTCATCCCTTATACGAATGCACCAGCTTCGTAATGCTCGTCCCGTCGTCCAGCACCTCCACCTCTTCCTCCAGCGTGTATCCCCCCCAGCGCGGGAGCAAGACCGTCCAGACGTACCAGTACAGCACGCCAAAGAGGATGCTGCAAACATCAGTACAACAGCCGTCAAACTACCGTAAGAAGGAAGGACGCTTACATGCCAACCCCCACAATCGCATACGTCGCGTAGAAGAAATCCACATCTCCCCGCCAATCCGCCGGCGGGAAGAAAGGCGCCGCCAGCAGCGCGATGCACACGACGAGCCGCAGCCACACGGCCGGCAGCCAGGCTCTGAACGGCCGTTTCAGGTCCGGCCGTTGCCGTCGCAGGAGCAGCAGTCCTGCCGTCACGGCCAGGGCGAACATCTGCCCTGGGTAGCCTTCCACGTCTAAGATGAAATTGTACACGCCGCCTTGCGGTGGCAGCGTAATGACCAGGAATGACGGGATATAGTGCACGATGAGACCCCAGAAGGGCGAGTTAAACGGCTTCGAGGAGGAGATGGTCTTGGAAAACGGGAGGAAGCCTTGGCGGGCGATCTCTTGATTAACGCGGGCCTATGCGATATCAACAATGACCGTCCAGAGATTCTTATGTAGTGTTTTTCCTGCTTACCAACGCAAACGTCACGACCATCACATTCCCCGCCGCAGATACAGCAATGGCCAGAGGCAAGATCGTCCGTCCCAGGTGCGGGCCAAACGCGCGCTCGAAGAACAGCGCCGCCACCAGCTCGCCGCTCTGCTTGATCTCATCGATGGGCACGACCAGGAAGTAAGACACATTGGCCAGAAGATACAAACAGCAGGATGTGATGAGCGCCGCCTGACAGACCGACTTGAGCGTCCGCACGGGGTCCTTGACCTCGTTCAGCACGTTGTTCATGTTGCTCAGCCCAGCGTACGAATAAAACACTTTGAACAGCGACGTGGAGATGGTGTTCCAGCTCCAGTCCGAGTCTTTCCACAGGTCGTGCCAGTCTGCAGATACACTCGTCGGCACCGTGTCTGCTTGTCGATGGGATAAGATGACATAGATCCCGCTCAGCGCCATAAACATAATGAGGAAAATCTTGACCCAGCCCAGCGCATTCTGGATGGCGATCCCCGTCTTCATGAAGCAGCCGTGAATGATCGTAATGACCGTCAGCAGAGCCACAGCGAGGATCTTGCTCTGCGCCTCGCTCGGCTGGACCCGCAGCGCAAACCAGGTGTATTTCGAAAAGACGATGCAGTTGCTGGCCGTAAAGCCCAGCAGCACCGCCTGCACGGCGATCAGCGTCGACGCCAGGAACCGCGGCCGCCGGTACGTGAACTCGAGGTAGACCTTGTCGCCGCCGGAGCGCGGCAGCATGCAGCCGTATTCCAGCGACACGGCCAGGCCACAGGCGGACAGGATCGTGCCGACGACCCAGACGGTCAGCGCCAGACCCAGGCTGCCGACCGACTTGACGATGGCGCCTGGTGTCGCGAAGATGCCGCTGCCAATGACACGCGAGATGACGAGGATGTAGGCGCTCGACCAGGAGAGGTTTCGCCCGTAGGTGGCGGTTTCAGGGAGGGTGTCATATTCGATGGAGCGATCTGGTTGATCGAGACGAGCTGGAGAATCAGCAGACGACAGCAGAGGACGGGTTTCGTCGGGGATATCAGCCATGTTGACGACCAGCGTGACGACCAGCGTATTTCTGTAGATTGTATATTTTAAGGAATCCTGTCAACAGGCTATCTCCGCGACAGCTCTCATGATAGCGTGTGGAATGCTGGACGCGTTAGCATCAACAAACAGGAACATGAAGGACGAGCGTCGCTGAAGAGAACAGAAACAGTCACCCTGACATTGCTATCCATAGCAACTGCATTTGTAAGACAGATAACCATGCAGGAGGTGGTGTGTCGGCGCCTGACGGGCTGCTTGCTCTCGCGTCATTTCCCCCGAGGCTGATGCGACACTCGCGTGACAGATAACAGGCAGATTAATAATTCGACGTGACACTGTGCAACATATCCATCATTTATCATTCGCGTCATCGATGTCGACAGCTGCATTGATTTGTTTCTAATTGTCATCTGCAGGGAAATAGGCTGGCAAGGGGTTCGATCGCTATTGTTGACTTTTGATAACGCAGTCAGCTGATAAGATTAGATCCCCGCGACGCTAGCGAATTCTCCAGTTTTGCATCTTCATTTGAGTTCTTGGCTTTCCTTTGTTTACAATGCTCCGAGTGCTCTAGTATATCACCTAAATGCATGCTATAATATATACGTATACAATCATAGGCGAAAAGGCAGCGCACCAAATGCCATTTCGGAGTGCTGCTTTACTCAGTCACATGATGGAGTGAGCAGAAGGGATAAAATTATTTTAAGATTCATAATTTATCTTAAGATTAATAATTATAAAGATCCCTTTTTTTTATAGAAGTACTAGCTAAAAAAAAACAAAAAGAAAAGATTTCAAAAAAAATTTTTTTATGATAAAAGACATGAAAAATAAAATATACCCATATAGCTATATTTTTTATTATAATTAGAAACTAATCACGCCTAGGGCAGATCTTCCTTCCAACAGGGGGAGATCGGCAGCGTATGGCCGCCACAACGTGGCTATGCTAGGACAAGGCATATAACAAGGCTGTCTTATCAAAAAGAAAATAAGGCTTAGCTAGCGCACAAAAGTTCGAGAAATCTCACTCTAGGAAATCTTGCCATGCAGGCCATGGCGGACTAATATTTGGGTAAACCAGGCTCTGCCCAGTCTAATAAGGCAGACAACGAGGCGGTTTTTCAGCCGCATATCACGGCCACGTCGACACCAACAATCCGCCTCTTTGATCCTCTTTGATTGGGCCTTTTTTGAACGTCAGTGACAAATGACAATACTTGAGAGAAAAAGGTTTGGTGCTTGATAAATCCGTGTCGCTGTTGTAAGTCCATTTTTCTTAGTTGATTGTTATCGTGTCAATCTCGGACTTGCCTGAAGTCCCGTCGTAATTTGTTTCTCAGCCTTGTTCCTTCCCAGTTTGCAATCAGGAGAAGGAATCTAGGAGTAACCTGATTTTGTCTGAAATTGGTTGCCCTCCTGCTTTTCTCGAATAACGCCCACACTTCTTATTGTTCGATTGAGATTACGCATACCAGCGCTCTCTCGCCGGTAACTCTGTATACATTCTTTGGTATGTATGTACAACATGGTCGTACTCGAGTTCTAAGAGTGTTTCAGCCAAGAATTCAATGCAAAGTTTTTGACCATTGTTTTTTGACATAGGAGCAGTACAGTGGCTGGAGAATATTATGCACTCTATTTCTTCTCTTCTGTACTGCCCTCCCCCTCCACCGCCTGCTTGACAAACGGCTCCTCCTCCTGATACACATCATATTTATAGCGACTACCAACATGATCATCTCGCAGCCGGCACTGTCCCTCCCCGTACACCTTCTCGCGCGCCGTCAGCGAGCTGGCGTCATCCTCTCTCTTGGGCGGATAGATCCCCCGCCGCCGCAGCTCCGGCACCAGCAGATCGACCACGTCCTCAAACGTGCCCGGCGTCGTGACATAGGCCAGGTTGAATCCGTCGATGTCGGCCTCGCGCACCCACCGCTCCAGCTCGTCGGCTACCTGTGCTGGCGTGCCCACGGCCACCGGCCCCAGCCCGCCGATGGACGCCGTCTCCGCGATGACGCGCGGCGTGATGGACGGCAGCTCGGGCGTGCGCGCTGTCAGCGTCTCGCTGATCGAGTGGATCTTGTGCTTCTCGAGCGCGTGCTTCTCCGGGTCGATCTCCTCGTCCAGCGGCACCTTGGAGATGTCGATGCCCGTCCAGCCGGAGAAGAGCACCAGTCCGCCGATCGTCGAGGCGTATTTCTTCGCCCTTGCGAACTTCTCCTGCGCTTCTTCCTCCGTCCGCCCGATGATGGGCGTGAACGTGGCGAAAAATTTGATGGAGCGCGGATCGCGGCCGGCGGCCTGGGCCAGTTCCCGTATCTTGGCCACGCGGGGGGTCAGCACCGACGGACTATGGCCTGAGACGAAGACAGCTTCTGCGTGAGTTGCGGCGAATTGAGAGCCGGCGCTGCAGCAGCCGTCAGTCAGATATAGTTGCGTTATGTAGGTGGGAGTACTCCGTATAGACGACTTACGGAGATGTGCCGGCCTGGAAGAGGAACGGCGTCCTCTGGGGACTAGGATCGACAATGTGTCTGCTCTCGAGATGGTAGAATTCGCCGTGATGCTTGATGGTGCGGATCTTGTCTGGATCAGCGTAGACATCGTTCTCGACGTCTTTGACGATGGCGTCGTCGGCCCAGGAGCCTTCCCAGAGTCTGACAGAATATAATATTAGCTAGAACCCGCAAAAACAAAAAAAAAAGTATCGACTGGACGTCATACTTGTACAGCACCCGCAAATACTCATCCGCCTGGGCATAGCGACGGTCATGATCCGGGGGCTCTTCCAGGCCAATGGCCTTGAACGCACCCTTCTTCCACGAGGTGACGATATTCCATCCGATACGGCCCCCAGTGAGGTGGTCGAGGGTAGAGAAGCGTTTGGCGAGAAGGAAGGGAGGCTCGAAGGAGGTAGACGCCGTGATGGCGAAGGCGAGATTCTTGGTCACGGCGGCCATGGCCGTGAGGGGCTAGAAACATCAGCACGTAAAAGCTACTATGTAGGCATGAGGGCGACTCACGATCGAAGGATCCGTCATAGGCCATTGCGCCGCCCGACGAATACAGTTATCCAGCGAGCCCTCGTAGGTGTCGTATCCACCGTACGTGTCAGCCAGGAAAAGCGCGTTGATATCGCCTCTCTCGAGGATTTTAGCCAGGTTGATCCAGTAGTCGAGGCTGCGTTTTGTTGCGGAGCGATCGGAAGGGTCCTGCAGAAAGTCCTGTCAGTCAAGACTGCACCGGCTAGTCTGGTGATGACTGACTGACCTTCCACTGTCCGGGCGAGAGATGCCCGACCGTCGACATGTCAAAGGCGTTTAGAAGGATGTACTTTCTGTTGCCAATGTCATGGCTGGTGCCGTTGGCGGTGCCATTTGCGGTGGCATGCTGTTGTCCCTCGTTTTCTGCCATCTTTAACTGACAGGCTGCAGTAGAGATGATCTATCCGTATAGCAAGAATTCTTCTTCTGGTAGAGGTCAACACTTGTGATTTATCCAAAACGTGAACAATTCGATTTGGCACGAGAAGAGAAAAGCAACTCCAGAACGACTAATAGATAAACAGTCCAGATAGCATATCCTCGACAGTACAAGCCAATCTTCTCTAATTTAAACTAATCTATTCCCTCTTCCTATTCCCTCTTCCTATTAATTAATATATACTACTCCGTACTACCCTGCATGATCGATTAGATAACAGGTTCTTAAGAATCACCGATAGGCCCCCGCAAGCAAAGCAAAGGGAAGCGAAGCCAAGTAACGGTTCACGGTCATCATTCCGATTAGATTAGAAATGCGTAATTGTCATCCCGTTATTAATAATAGAAGGATTTCCCATTCCTGTGGAATCAGTTACTAGTAATATCTACCTTGGCAAGCCCCCTGGGTATGCGTAAGCAGGTACTCAGTACCTCATGTCTGGTAAGGTATTGTACGGTATTGTATTGTATTATTACAGTATTTAGCTTGTATTGCCTTTGTATTGCTGTTACGCAGTATTGATACATGGTACTTCATACAGTACTTTGTCACAATACAACATATGTATGTACTGTACTGTACCTATCTAAGGTTGGGCGAAAGGAATATAATATCCTCCGATGACAGTATAGCACTCATGAATGTTTGACTGTGCATTAAATAAGAAATTTTCCTCTACTGTAGGGGAGGGCCATTCAGAGCTTGCTTATCTAAATATATCCTGTACTGCTCAGTGCAGTATGAATGAATAGACACGTGATTCTCTCTCTCTCTTTCTCTCTCTACTCTGAAAAAATTGATTATTAACAGACAGTGTCTATCAAGGACAGCAAGATATATATAAAGACTCCATATGAGTAAAATACCTAATTGGGACTTGCTTAATTAATTAAGTGTACTGTACAGTATAGTCGTTCTTCGAGTCTGATGATATTGATCGATTCTTACGATCTTTTTTATTACCTCTTGCATCAGGTCCTGCCGTCTTTCTCTGTATATATCTATTGGCTATTTAGGTATGTACTGTATGTACTGTACACTGTAGACTCTAGGAAAAGTATAATATTTTGTGTTCATCATAAGATGCTGAATACGTTCACTGTCTTATACTGCAAGAATTGATGTTCAATCTATATATCTATCTACTTCTATATGTTTCCCCTATTATCAGCCGGAAATACCAACAGCGCCATGCGATGCCGCACAAACAGCGCAAGCAGCCCGCACACCGTCTGCAACAAGACAATATGCACCGCCAACCGGTTCTCCTTCATCGGCCCCATCCACAGCAGCCACAAGTTCAGCAGCGTCAGGTTCGTCGACTCGACGATCTCGCCTTTCTCGTTGGTCTTGATCCCCACCAGGCGCAGCCGGTGCAGGGCTTTGAGCACCGCCGACACCAGCGGCGACGGAGGCACCGTCCACTCCGTCACTGAGTTCTCCAACAACCCCGTCGACGCGTTGAACTTGGGCAGTCGGTGGCGCGGACACGGGATGATGTGGAACAGCTGCGGGCACGAGTACAGAAAGTTGACCATCTGCGGGATGAACAGCAGCAGTAGCGTCTTGCTGAAATGCCCCAGGATCCCCACGACGGCAAACACCATGCCTGCAAAGTAGCAGTACGTGTCCCCGACAAACACCTTGGACGGATACCAGTTGTGGCACAGCAGCGCCAGAGAGACCCCAATGAACGGCAGGAGGAAGTACATCGAGAAGAGATGCGAGTCCATCGCCGGATGCGGGTATGGCGTGAACGGCGACAGGTACAGCGCATCGTTGGCGAGCAGCAGGCATGCAATAACCAGCGACTGCGCCACTTCCACCCCATTAATCCCCGCCAGCATGTTGATGCTGTTCGGGCAGAAGATGGCCACCGCTGCCATGTACACGTAGTACAGCCATCCGAGGTCCACGATCTGGCCCAGGTACCGTTGTAATGGGACCGGAACCACCACCTGCGTCACGCCAAAATCCACAAAGTAGACCATCAGCATCGGGAACGCGCCAAACGCAGGGATCAGGACTTTGTGCCGCCACCGGATGTCAAGCAGGTCGTCGCCCATTCCCAAGATCACAATGGCCTGCAGGGACAGAAGCCCGGAGAGGTAGGACGCCAGCTAAACAGCAGTGAGAATGGCGTTCCAAACATTGTAACAGCATATCATACCTTGTTATGGGGAAACCGGTGCAGAAATCGACCCGTCTCGACCTGCTGCACTTGCAGCACCACGTCCCGGTTTCCTCCTCCAGACGTCGCAGCCACAATGTCTTTGTAGAACGGGAATGGGATAAACGCGATCAGCAGGAGAAGATACACCACCGCACAGACGGCGCCCATCGTCTCCGGTCTGCAGCAAGATTAGCCTTGTTTCACACAAGCTCTCGCATGATCATACAGCTCCGGCCTCCTCGGCTTGGCCATGTCCTTCCCCTTCAACCCCACCCTGATGAACGTCGGTCCCAGCCATCGGATCAGACTGTAGGTCGCCGCAAACGCGACTCCGCTGAAGGCAATCGAGACGACGAGAGGCTCAACCTCCCCGTTCAAGGAGTTGGCGACGATGCCGAACGAGGCGGCGACCAGCCCCAGGAGACACCAGGTCTCCGTGCGAGACAGCGTGGCAGGGGGACTCATGTCGACCAGGACGTCGCCGCATACCTTTCCGGCCGCGGTGCGTTCAGCTGTAGAAAGCTGCAGAGTCGAGGTGGCATGGGGAAGGGCAATCTGGCCTCATCTGCGCGACGAATGATATTGCCGTCCGAAACACACCGCTCTCCGGGCGGTGGCCAGCGCAGGGCCGCGTGGCCAATGAGACGCCCCGCAATTCCCAGGCTCGCGGGACAGCTGCAGCGGCGCTTTTCCCGATGCGGCGCTGCGCGGTTCGGGTTCCCGGCCTCGGCGCGGCCGTTCACATGCAGCTTCATGTATGCTCACCCATGCATGCCTGTCCTCCCTGATTCCCGCTGCGTCTTGTTCAGGTTCACCGCCGATCCAGCGCACGCAGTAGGGTCGAGTCGAGTGCTGTTTCCACTTTCTCGGGTCGACCAGCTCACCCGTTGACATGGGCCCCGGGTTCGCTGAGTTCGACGCCGGCCACCGCGATCTGGTCACTGTCACCAGGTTCAATTTCTACGGCGACCGCATTGTGACGGCCTCTTCGGACCATCGCCTGAAGGTCTGGGATCAGAAGGATGGCAAGTGGCAGTTGACGGATACGTGGCGCGCGCACGATGCTGAGATTCGCGATGTAAGGAAGCAACGAACCCCCCCCCCCCCGGGGTNTTGACCGGGCAGATGATTGATTATTGCGTGAGCAGGCGGCGTGGAATGGCCCCTTTACGGGCCAGCACATTGGCAGTGTCGGGGAAGACATGAAATTCAAACTCTGGCAAGAAGACGTCACGCAACCGCCCAATTCGGGCCGCCGCTTCAGGGCCATCTTCCGCCTGGCGGCCCCCCAACGCGTCCCTTTTGTGTCGCTGGACTTTCGCAATGTCGACCTGGACACCTGGCTGGCCGTGATCACGCGCGACGGCTACCTCATGGTGATGGAACCCGTCAGCGCCGACAATCTGACCGACTGGCAGGCCTTGGACCAATTCCGGGTCTGCCCGGCTCCGGAGCGAGGCGAAGAGACCAGCTTTCGCGTGCAGTTCCACCATGATCCCGTCGACATCACCCACTCGTTGATGCCGGAATGGGACCGCAAGAGCTTGTCGCTCGTCGTCGCGGCCATGGACACGGTCAAGGTGTATCGCACCGATGCGAGCCGTCGTTTCTACCACGCCATTGAATTGACCGGGCACGGAGGCCTGGTGCGCGACATCTCCTGGGCCAATGGCTCGGTCCGGGGGTTCGATGTCATCGCCAGCGGTTGCAAGGACGGGTTTGTCCGGATCTTTGAGGTGTACACCACCGTCTCCGGTAATACGGGCAACAACAATCAACAGGGCAACAACCGCCATGCGCAGAACTCAGCGGAGTCTCCATCCAGCCGGGCCACCGCGCAGTCGGGAATCGGCTCTGCTCTTGCCAGTCGTGCTCCTGCATCAGGATCGCATCGACAAGCTGGTGGTGATACGAAATTCAAGCACTCGTTCCGGGAGGTGGCCTGCATCGACAGCGGGCACCTGGACGTGTGGGAAGTGGAATTCTCGCCTTCTGGTTCGTTGCCTGCCGAAAAATCGATTCAGAATTCCGCATGCTAACCCAGTACTAAAAACAGGGGACTGCTTGATTTCGTCAGGAGACGACGGGGTGGTTCGCTTCTGGAAGAAGTCGATATCGGGCGAATGGCTCGAGTTTGCGGAGACGGATCTGACTGACGGGTATGTCTTTCTCTTGCCAGTGTTCTTTTTCTGTCCTTGACTAATCCTTTCATTCAGGCCCAATGGCGCTTAACTATACGATCTTCCTGTACTATATTGGACCGGATGGAGGTTGGGGATCTTGGGTGAACGAAACATGACGAATGATTTTTCTATAGATTTCCCGAATATCCTGTACTTGCGGAACGGCATTTGAGATGATACCCCCGTATTTACTTTAGGGCTTTATTCTTCCATAATGATATACTGGCATAAGATCTTGCAAGTGACACAAGTCTGCTCCAAACTGGATCGTAGCCCACGGATGCGTAGTATTTTTCCAGCAAAAGTGAATCTGCTGTCGTTGATGCCTGATGGGATTCCTACAATGTAGCATGTGCAGTCTACCAGTATCACTACTCTCTCCAATGGCGCGCGGTGCACGGTGGGTGTTTGGCAGATCCTGGCGATCCCTTTGGCTGGACGAGTCCACCCGCACCGTCACACACGTCATTCGGAGAATTCGTTTGCTGGCCTGCTAATGCACTGCCACATTAGCTCGCTGGAAGAAGAGGAATAATATGAGCTGGCTGGGGAGCCGCTAAATCGATAGTGAGTAGTTTACCTTAGGTAGGCGTTTGTTGCCCAGGTGCCGTGGTTCCAACGACGGATTCTCCCGCTGACAGACAGCGGTGCAGTGGCGAAAAAAAAAACGGCCAAACAACCGCTGTTTTATTCCCATCACGGTACAGTATCCGTGCTCTCGTGAGTCCTAGCAAGAATTATTTATTGTTATTCTTGCACGCTGATTTGCTCGGATGGCACCGCTCAGTTCGATCTCCTGCCCTCCCAATTCTTTCCCTCGTTTGGTGGGTGTCTGCTGACCCGTCGGACTACTTACTACTAAATAATCTCCAGTGTTGTGTGCTTCCTTTTTCCCCATTCCGGTGCCCATTCATTCGATACCTAACCCTGGGTCGTCTTCCAGTTCCTTCCATTCATTACTACGGCTCAATTCCCCCTCGACCACGCTTCTTATGATGCTGTGACTGTTAAAATACTGCTGACCGAGTCAGACTCCCTTCTTGTCGTGGCCGACCCAAGTGTGCGTCTGGGCCATGGTAGTGATGGGTTTTCTCCACAATTCTTCTTTGCTTTCTGCATGTGTTTTCTCCCCATTAATTGTGGTGGATTTCAACGGCCACAGGGTCGTACAGTACTGCCTGACTGACCTATGGAGGTACTGTACTTGGTGATTACTGTACCAGGCAGCCAGAGAGGGGATCCCCCCAACAGCACTCCCTCTCATCTCTGTCCCCTCCTCTCCTGGCCATGGCTTCCCTCGTTGTCTGATCGCATCACAAGGCGTCTTCTCTCCATTTATTCCTTCTCACATTCTCTCCTGCTCTCCATTGTGCCTCGATGATCTTCTTCTTCTCGTCCTGGGCCAGACAGAAGACGGCCTCTGTGCTCGATCATCGACGCGTTGCTCTCTGGACTAACCCAGCGCAGCAGATGCTAACCAGCAGGCAGATCGGACCAGTGACCAGCTGCACGCTGGCTGCTGCTCTTTGCAGGAGTTCTTTTGCGACCATCGCTACCTGCCCCGAGCACTACTACTACTACTACTACTACTACTACTGAGTGGTGGTACTACCGGCTGGTTCTGACACGAGTCTTCCCCTTTCACCTGCATCTCCCATGTCCCATCCCCCATCCAGCCCCCTCCTCATCCATGCCGCTGCTCTCTTTCTTCTCTTTGTGCTTATCCTCTGCCTGTCCGCTCCCTGTCCCGTGCCGCAGCCGCCCTGCCATCCGAAACAGGCATGGCGGGAGGGCGCCTGCCGGAAGCGGACTAGCGGCGTTGCTGCCTGGCTGCCTGCCCCTCCGTCGCAGCTTCCTGGCTGATCGGGTGGTGCGCTCGCCCAATCAGCGGGCGGAGAGCCACTGGACCCACCGCAGGCCGCGCGCTGACTGGCCCGTCGGAGGGCGTCGGCCGGCGACCGGGGCTGAGGCTCTCTGTGGCCGGCCAGCCCAGCAGAGGGAATGCATTCTCTCTCGCTGCTCCTCCTCCTCCCTCCCGTCGCCCGCCTCGACAAACCCCCAACCCGCGCCTTTCCTCTTTCTGCGCCCTCTCGCTTGGGTCTGCGCGCCCGTGACTGGCCCATCCCGTTTCCTTTAGGCTCCTCTTCCCTCGCTCTCCCTCGCCCTCGACCCCCCCGTGCCTTTCTTCGCTCTTCTCTTCTTCCTGGCTTTCTTCCCACCTTTCTTTCCCCCCTCTGAAATCCTCATCTTCCGATCTCGAATCGTCTCCCTTCCTCGCCCTTGTTCGTCTTCCGCCTCATGCGCGTCGGGCCTTCCACCTGTCCTCTCCAGCTCTCTCTCTCTCCTTCGTTTCGATTCTCACCTTCGTGACGGTCGCGACCGAGAGAAACGTTGACGACGCCAAAATTCCCACCACCCTCTGTCGGTCCCTCCAAATCCCTCGCTTTCCGATCCGTGACGGCCGTTACGACTTGTTCATTCCGTTGTTGTCGCGGTCAGAGTTTGCGAACCGACCCCTCCCCTCCTGTGGCCTCCCTCCACCCCTGCCCTTTCGTGCCCGAAGAATACCGTCTCTTAAACTCGACTTTCAGGTTTGCTGGCGTTCTGCCCCCGTAGGGAGCCCCTGGTGACCGTCTGTCTGTCTGTCTGTCTGTCTTCTCGAGGCTATCGTCCCAGGCATCGCGACGGAAGAGCGTTTCGTGGCCGACGGTGCATCCGAAGTCGGGCGTCGAGGACTGCTGACATGCGCGTTGTCGGCTTAGTTCACCAACCCCGGTGCTGAGGAGCGTTCATCTTCCCGCGTTGAGAGAGAGGGGGTACGCTGTCAGATTATGACAGATACCTCCTCACTCGCAACCACGCATTCCACCACGGACCCGTATCCGGTCGCCGCTCCTCTGAACTCCCCCGTGCCCAACGGCACCATCTCTGACTCGGTCCAGCCAGAAGATGACGAGCCATACACCATCAAGTGCATCTGCGCCTTCGAGGATGATGATGGCAACACCGTCTTCTGTGAAGGATGTGAGACCTGGCAGCATATCGAGTGCTATTACCATGGCCAAGAGGTGCCCGAGGTTCACAACTGCACCGACTGTGAGCCCCGTTATCTGGACGCCAGGCGCGCAACCGAGCGACAGAGGCGACTCCGGGAACAGAGTGAGGGCGGCGACCGGAAATCGAAGCGATCAGGAACGAAGAGCCAGAAGAAGAAGTCCAAAGACCACCATCATCATGACCAACCCCCTCAGGTTAACGGCCACCACCACCGGAGCGACTCCAGCTCCCGGGATCAGCCCCCCGCGAAGAAGCCCAAAACGAGCCACAAGGCCTCGGCATCTGTGAGCTCGCTCTCGGGCTCCACCGTGCTGCAGCCGGATACGCGGAAACGGTCTGGTTCGACAGCCACCTCGATGAGCCCCTCCAAGTCCTCGTCGGGCCCGTCCATCCCTCTCTACTCGAGCGAATTCCTCCATCTGTACGACCGCGATCGAGGGCATGTTGACATGAAAAGCAATCTCTTCGTCAATCTGACCCTGGCCGCCGACCTTGCCTCCTGGGTGAAAGATCCGGTCGCCCTCTCTCGCGTGGCCAATGGGCGTTCCGCGCAAGACATCTTCACCTGGTCAGACACCGTGCTGGATCCATCTCAGTGGCCCGTCCTGTCCACTGAGACCATCACGGACCCGGACCTAGAGATCGATGGCAAGCATCCTATGTGGAAGATGCTGAAGACCGAAACGAAGGTCCGCAAGGATGAGATTGTTGGTGAAGTCAAGGGCAAGATCGGGCTCCTCCGGGACTACTGTCTGGATCCGAATAATCGGTGGCCCGAGTTGCGACATCCCCAACCGTTCGTCTTCTTCCATCCACAGCTCCCCATCTATATCGACAGTCGTGAGGAAGGTTCCATCCTGCGGTACATCCGGCGTTCTTGCCGTCCGAACGTTACCATGAAGACTTTTATCACAAACGACGTCGAGTACCATTTTTGCTTCGTAGCCAACCAGGATATTCCGGCGAATTCCGAGATTACGGCCATGTGGTATCTGGATCCCCAGCTTTTCGGATCGTCCAACGGTCTGGTCAAGCAGGAAGAAGGCTTTCAGGAGGCGGCTGCCGTGTGCATCAGCAACGTTCTGGCGCACTTTGGCGGCTGTGCCTGCGATCCCCCCCAGAATTGCCTCCTGGCCAATGTGGATCGGCGGCGTCATCCCGGTGGGAAGCAGCTGAATGGGAAGCGCAAGAAGGCCAAGTCGAAATCCACCATTTCCCCGGTCGGCACCGGGCGCTCCAACACGAGCCGTGCTGGCAGTGAGGGGGCCAAGAACGGGGATGACGATGACCACGGTGACAATCGGTCCACGTCGGGATCCGCCCGTGGCCAGACTCACAGTCGGGATCTGACTCCTACGCAGACCCCTCATGACTTGATGTTCGGCGATTCCGAGCTTTCCGCTCGGGATAGACGGAAAATTGCTGCAGTGGAGAAGAAATTCGAGCAACTTGAGCAAGATCAACAAGCGAAAAAGAAAAAGCGAAGTAGCGCCCAGACGACGCCAACGCTTCCCAGCTCGGTAGGCATTCAATGTTTTTTTTTTGCGTTTTTTTTTACTGCAGATTGGGGGGGAGTATGGCTGACAGAAAACCTTTCTATAGAAGCAGGCCGGTTCGTCCAAATCTCTCCATGTCGACACGAACGCTGGCCGTCAATCCCATTCCCCTCCATCTCGTCTCTCTCCAGGTATGGGATCGAACCACCGCAATGCATCGCCGCGGAAAACATCTGGGTCCAACACTCCCCCAGTGCGGTCGCCGCTTGGGCGTCCAGAATATGTCGACGCAGCACACCAGACCGCAGCAGAGGAGAACGCCGCTCGCGACGTGCCATCCCCATCACCTCTGCGCCGACCGAACTTCACTTCTTTAAGTCAACGGCTGCTGAGGCGATGCCATGAAGATCGTGTCAAGCTTGAATGGATGTCCAAGCAGCGGGATGCCATCGCGGGCTCGACGTTGGATGTTGCAATGACCCCGGCGTCTCCCGCGGATGGACAGCCTACACCTAAAAATGAGGAGGATGTGGAGATGAAGGATGCCGACAGCGAAATGACACCGCCGAAATCTCGACCGTCGGATACTTCACAATTGCCCCGGACCCCCGATACGACGAGCAAACACCCGTTCCCCTCTCCTTTGCCGTCCACCGCTGCCCATAACACGTTCATTCCTGGAAGGGGCGTTAACGGTACGCGGTCAGATCTCCACGTTCAGCTGCCTCCGAATACGTTGTCACTTCCCTTAGCCAACGCACCCGGGTCGATGAGTCCAGCCTCGCTGCAGTCGCCTTCCGGGACGGAATCTTCCGGGGTTGCACCAGTGGCCCAGACTCCTGGAACCAGCATCACAGCGCCCAGCCCTGTTAAGAAGAAGCTCAGCTTGGGTGACTATCTCAGTCGAAGGGGGAACATGACGACGACACCGACGTCAGAAAAGAGTCAGGCACAGGGGACGCCGAGTCTCGCGCCTCCGCAGAAGCCGGCATCTCAACAGCAGACGACAACCCCTCCTTTATCGACGGATGGACAAGCTCAGCCTCCGACTGCGACAGGGCCTGACGGAGCCAAAGGTGAGTGTTCTCCTCCGTCGACGGATGTTCCTGTGAAAGATGGGTCGAAACCGCCCCCTTCTCCTCCTTATGTCTCTTCTTCGATGACGGGGTTGTCGGATCGCAGCAAAATTCCACCTTCCTCATGATATCCTAGAATCGTGCTTGTTCTCAGGTTTCTCTTTATCCTAGTGCGTTCCAAAAATGGGTCTTGATGTGATCTGGCCGCTGCTATGGCTTTTTTTTTCTCTGTTCGATTTTCATGTGGTGATGGGATCGGCGTAAGGGCGTGTAGGTAGTTTTTCTAATGTGGGATGTGTGAGATGGGACATGGGTTGGACGGTGGACATTTGTGACAATACTTTTTTTTTTCTCTTCGAATCTTGTCTTCTTCCATGGAAATCTTGCGATGCTGTTCGGGACGGATGCACGGATGCAAGTTCGGCAGGCCTATATTTTTTCCCAACTGAACACGGGACAGTGTCTCGTTTTGTCTGTCTATTTTGTTGAGTGAGGAGATTTGACTGAGTCAGTGGAACATGGATGATGGATGGACTATGACTAACGGGATTAAATTATACGATCCGATCCGTCTTGATATTTCTCGCGTTGCTTTTGCTTTTTTTTTTCTTCAAACTGTACATATTGGTCTCCTATCATCGATGTTTTATTTATTTATTCAATTTTTTTCCTCTCTTCTCTTGTCTTGTCCTCTTTCTTATTGTTTCTTCTCTGTTTCTCTCCTTCTTTCTTTGGCTTGGAAAAGGAAAAAAAGAAAGGTAGTCAATCGATTAATGATCGATAAATGAATGAATGAATTCATGTATCCGTGAATGAATGATAATCTATGGATTGAGTTGGATGAAATAATTGAATGAATGAATTAATTCAATGAATTGACTTAGCCTATCCTATATATCCTATCCTATAGTATCTTATTGTATCCATCAGATTGCACACGATAGATACCCTATGTATCTACGTACTGTACAGTACCTATCGACCGATCGCCATGCTCGAACTCTGATAGATGGACAGACAACAAACAGCAATCAACAGCAATGGTAATAGTAATAATCATACGAGTCGTAAATAAGTAATAAGTAATAAAAGTAACATGACGAACGAAAAATGTTATCAAAGGTACTAATAACTAATAATAACAATGATCATAATTAATTATGAATGGATACGAAGTAATACACATTGCATTGCATCACCCGTGATAATAGCATCAAACCAACCCGGACCAACCCTGTAAAAAAAAAAAGACCTGTATGTTTAAAGAAAAGGCATTCTACCTCTTGCTACCTGTCTACCTATTTACTCCCCCACCCCTTCGCTCTCATACTCTCCTCGATAACCGCCCAGATCCCCTCGACGACTTCGCGGTCCCGCCAGCGTCCGGCGCCGTGGATGCCGCCCTTTTCGTCCCAGCGTTCGAGCACAAAGGTGTTGACGCCGCGCCCCCACTTCTTCACTTGTTCGGGGATCTCCTCGCCGCGGATGCCGACGTAGATGCCTACCGCGTGCCGGAAGAGTTCTGGTGGGTTGGACCATTTGTATGATTTGAACTGCCATGTTTGGCCTGTTGTGAACACTGCTACTAGTCGTGACCAGTAGTCTGGCTTGAAGTTGGCTGTGCTGTCGACGAGGATGAACCGTGTCGGTTTCCGTGGTGCGCCCTGCGCTCCGCCGGCGCCGCCTTGGACCGCATCGCCCAGGCGCATCGGCCGCGTGATGATGTGGATGTTGGACGTGGTGCCCGAGGCCAGCGTCGGGTGGTCCGGAGGCACGAACACGCCGTCCTGGAGGAAGGATTTGATGTTCGACAGGCGGATCGGGGACGAGGCCGAGGGGGAGAGGAGGATGATCGGGTCGGGACGACGAGAAGAAGAAGATACGCCAGGTTTCTTCGGTAAGGCCAGACCGGCCGACGGCGCTGGTACCACGGCCTGCTTGTTGCTTCCTGGCTTGCCGCCTGGTGGGTATTGTCCTGGACGAGAGCGATTGCGGCCCAGGAACATTTCTGCCGTTTTGCGGACGTGCGAGAAGTCCTGTTTCTGAATCAGCCTGATGAACTGCGTACTTGTACTGCCGAAACATACCGTTGGCTTGATCCCCCGTAGAACAGTGTTCCGGTCTCCCAGCTTCCTCTCTCCGTTGTAAATCTCCTGCAGCCTAGGATCAATGACCTTTGTCAATCTTGCTCCTGCGGCCTGCACTGGCGCCGCTCCACCGCTGGGCGCCGCAGCCGCACCTCCTGCTGCTGGGACAGCCGCCGCCGCCGCCGCAGCATCTGCCTTTGTCTGCGCTGCTGCTCCTGTTGCTGCACCTCCCAGATCGCCCGCAGCGGCCGCAGCAGCAGCAGCAGCAGCGGCGCCCTCCAGGGGCTTGATGTACTCGCTCTCATCAGAGGCGCCCTCAAGCCAGGTGATCAGGTCCAGGCGCTCGACGAAGACCAGATTCTGCACCTGCTCCGGCTGCTCGCCCGCGGGGGCCTTCTGCTTGAGGGCATCGTTGAGCTCCTGCGCCGAGGCGATGTACTCGGGGATAGCGACGTCTTTCTTCTGCCACGCGAAGAAGATACTGCGGAGATCGACGGGCCTGTCGCTCGCCGCGGAGACGAAGCGCGTCGCCGCGTTCAACGGGATGGAGTGCGGGATCGGCTGCGTGAAGTAGAGATGTGTCGCTTTGGCGAGGTCGTCGGTCGCATTCTCGCTCGACAGATCCGGAGACGTCGTCGGCGTCGGGAGTGCCTGGGCTGCAATCGCCCGGCGCAGAGAGAGCAGCGGATCGGAGAGGATGGGATCGGGCGCAGCCATAGTCTCAGTCAGTCAGTCAAGATTGTGAAAATTTGAATTTGACTCGCGGCAGAGCGCCCCCCGTCTGAGGAGGCGACAGTGTTTGTTTGCTCTGGAGAGAGCAGGTTGTGGTGAGTTGTCGAGCTTTGAAGCTGAAGCTGAAGCTGGAGGTCACTTAGCCGTCGGAGATAGATGAGACTCGCCGCCGCCGGTGTGGCTGGGCTGGGCTGCACGTGATCTCAGTTCCCCTTCACTGCAAAAGCGCAACAACAATACGGGCGGCTGGTCAAGACAATAGAGCTGTCTCACATAGACTGGTGACTCGTGAGTGAATGATAATATTCCCAGAGTCAGTCGCCAAGAAGAAGCCCTCCAGTCCTAAACTGGATTAGTTTTTGTCCACAAGCAGGGATCTTGTCATTGTCAACCTCTTTATGTTACAGTAAGAGAAGGGACTCAGCAAGTCCTGCAGATTGAAATATCTGCCCGGACACTCCCTATGGCTACAGATCCTGACTCAGACTCAACCCGTTCAGGAGTACAGCTGATTTATCTCATTGCTAATCTCGTGCTTGTCCTAGACCACACTCTGTACAAGTACCCACCGAAAGTTGACTTCGATGCTGTCAGTATTGCTATATGTACTCCGTACTAAGGACTGCACTGCGAAATCTTGCATAGAATTCAACACTGATCTTCAGACAACCATGCCCACTAAATCCCAGATGCAGAGTCAAAACAAAGGAAAAGAGTATCGACATGACAACCACACAATGCATGAAATATACAACAATGCGATTAGAGTAGGTGTATGTGTTGCAGAAAACATGCCCACTGAAATCGACACGACAACGCCATCCAATGCAACTTCGAGGAGTTTCACGTCCCAACTGTCGTCTTCTCTCTTGGTCTGGATTAGGGGGGAAAAAAGACACTTCACAAACGGAAAAAAAAAGACAAAGGAATGCCCCGGCTCCCACCGTGTCTATCGTGCGATCCATAGAGTGGCAAGAAAAATCGTAACTCTTTTGAACCCCGCGATTACAAATTCATAAAGCCCTTTTATGAATAGAGGGGGAAATCATTCAAAACGTAACGATGGTGAAAATGAAAAGATGCAAAGAAGCGGCGGAAGAGTCATTCACGTCATTCACAAAAGTTCAAAGTCATATCTCAGACTTGACGTCAGGACCGCACAGAACGACTCATGGAGCGCTCAGGAGGAGCAGGCGTAGGTGAGTACGACCGCCCACTGCCTGAGAGATCGAAGTCGTGCTCTTGGAGAACGACCGAGTATTTCGGGTCGCGAAGGAACTTCGGCACCGAGTCCTGCAGACACTGTCAGCCCCGCTCTCCAAAGTGTTATATTGAGTCAAGACACGTACGCTTGACATCAACTTGAAAACCGACGTCTGTGCCAGCTCAAACAGGTTCACCACTTCTTGCAAACTCTTCAGCATAGACTCGTCGTCCCCGACGGCTTTTGTCATCCGGCTAGCCAGGCTGTTTCGCAGACCATGCTCAATGTTAAGCTCGCAAGGAGAGCCTGGAGCCAAGAATGCATTGTACAGACCTGTTCATCTTGTTAGCGATATCAAATAGCTTCGAGGGAGATGAAGAAGAAAAAAAAATTGATACGCACCATAAGCGGCAGCAAGAGTTTCCCGCACCGTGTCAATCTTGTTGAAAGCACCGGCCTTTTCGAGACGGTGATAGTTGGCCGTGAATTCCGACACGTCGACATAGAAGGACAGATTCTCCTCGCATAAAGAGTAGCGCAAGAATTCGCGGAACAGAAGCCGCAAAGCGGGATCATGAAGGATCTGGTTCAAGCGGGCGTGGTTGGAGTCTCGGGCGTTCCGATTGTCATAAGTGGTCACCGCACTCTTCTCACGGGCAATCCAGCCACATACCCGCTGGCCCCGTTCCGTCACCGTGTAGATGGCATGCTTGGTGGGCTGGAAGTCCACTGCCGTAGGATCCTGTTGAGCATAGGCTCGATCCTCCTGGACTGCCGTTATTAGGCCGTGCTTCACGAACAGGGACGCAATCAGGCAGGTCTCGCGTCGGTCGTTGGTGGTGGAACAATCCATGAGCCAATCGACAGCGGCTTTCCCGGTGAACGTGTTCTGGTAGACTTTGTCACCGATTTTTCTCTCCTTGGCCATCTTGACCCCAACCAGACCGTTGGAGTAGTCACTCAACGAGTCCGAGTCGGAACTGGACACGCTGGACTTCACATTCGGGCCATCCTGGCCGGCGAAGCGTCGGAAGATCACCTCGACGGTGCCGCGGTCCGTCGACAGTTTGTCGGTCTCCGAGTCACGTTCCAAGTTGACCAGCTGCATGGTATTCCGAGGGGATTCCAGAACGTCCATGATGTGCCGGGCCGTGATGCCGTTGCGCTGGCAGAAACGTTGCAGGATGTTGATCCCCTTGGGAGTCAGCTGGTAGAGGCCACCCTTCATGGGGAAGAACTGGTTCCCTCGACCATCAACGGCCTCAATGAATCGAGCATCCACGAAGCGCTGGCAGACAGACCGGGCCATCTCCTTGGCCATGGAGAAGGTGGTGGTCGTCGTCGTGGTGACAATACGGGACGGGTCCTTGGGATCCGGCATGCGGTTGGATTGGGAGAACTTGAGCGAGCCCAGGTTATTGATGGCCTCTTCGGAGGTGAAGGTGTGTTCGAACTTGGTGAACCGCACCCGATGGGTGTCGAGTTTCAAGCTAACCATCAGCGTAGAAAACAAGTCATTGAAATCCTATTTTTCATGGTTAACCGGTACGTTCATTCTTTTTCCCATTGTTCCTTTTTTTTAATATCGAATACGACATACCTTGGTGAACGGCCGATCATCTTCGGTCATGCGCAGTAACCGCGACGATGTTTGATGCATCTTGCTGTTGGACCGCGCGAGTGCGGTGGCTCCTGGCAGCGGAGGAGGAGAGGAAGTCCCGGGGCGACGCACGAGTTGGATGGTGTTCCGGCGCTTCGAGGCCGATGTCGCTTCACCAGTCTGCGAAGATTCTTCGTTCCGGTTTGACTGTTCACCACTGGCCGGTCCCTCGACCGAAACAGAAGGCGCGGGATTGCCCAGCTGGAAGTATTTGTGGGAGTGCTTGGACAGGCTCCCGGCGGAGGCGCTGGAGCGGAGGGAGGAGCTGTTGGGCGCGGAGCCTAGGGAGGCGAGATTGGCAATGGCGTTGGAGGTTTTCTCGAAGGCGATGACGGCAAGAGAGCGTCGACTGGCGCGGGCGAGGGAGGAGGAGGAGGAGGAGGAGGAGAACTTGGCGGCGGAGGCAGCGTCGTCAGGGGAAGATATAGGCGCGTAGGGATGCTGGGACGGATCTGGGAGCTGGGAGCCCGCAGATAACGTTGTCATTGAACAGGAGGGAGGACTGGGGAAGAGCAGGAAGAAAATTAGAAACGGTCGCGGAAATTAAAGGCAGGCAGAGGGAGCAGGCAGAGGAGAGACGGTCGTGGAGGCAGGCAGGCTAGCTAGCGGGCACACCGTGGAGGTCTTTGCAACAGGCATGGAAGCGGACCCAATCGAGCCCGCGTGGGAGCAGCGCAAAAGCAGCAAAAGCAGCAGGCTAGCAGCAGGGTCTGCCTGTCATCAGCGTCCCCACCGGACAGGCTCTTTTTGCTGCACGAGACAACGTGGGACGGCGAGTCGGACAGAGGGCCCTCTGCGTCGCGCCCAATCGCCCGCCGCGCTGCAGGCCCGAAAAAGACCCAAAAAGCAGCCGCCCGTGAAGATCCCTGGGGCGGATGAGAAAAGGGCGCGCCGGCCAGGGGCGATCGGGTGCGCGATGCGGCTAGCGAGGCCACGAGAGGGCCACGCTGCCACAGCGCACGCCGTCGCTTCCGGCCGTCCTGCTCAGAATCAGATCCCAGTTGCAACCGGTGGGGCCCCCTTTTTCCTCAGGCTGCTGCTGCTGCTGCTGCTGCTGCTGCTGCGCTGCTCTGGCGGTCACTGGCGCCCTGGTGGGCCAGCGACACTGGATCAGCGCGTTGGCAGAGAGCAAGCATGCCTGCCAAGCACGAACGGAGCGAGATGTGGCGTGCGAAAGGGGGTTGTTATCAGAAGCGGATTATGTGGTACGGGCAATTACCTAGTATATCTTGCTGTAAGAAAAAGAAGAGTCGTCGTAGCCAACTCTAATTGGCCCTTATTGCGAGATAGAAAGGAGATATGGGGCGACAACTACGATACTCGATGAAATGGAATGGTAATGAATATGGCGGTGCGTTGATGAGGGGGGAGTTAGGCCGATGGGTGCTAACTAAGGTTCGAGGAGATTATTTAAGTGTCCCACGTTTCACAAGTTCTTTCCTGCGAAAAAAAAAAGAAAGGCTTTCCACGGCGCTTGCAGTAAACTATTATTAGACTGGCAAAATATGAACAGTCCAACGCCCATCAGGCTTCCAGCTTCCAGCGTTGCTCTGCTTAGCGCCGGCAGTTGGCTGTCCCCTCGCCAATTCCTTCCCGCGGAAAAAGAACAGAGGCAAAGGGGCTTGCTGACATGAACACTGACTAAGCGGAACGCCGAGTCACGGGCGAGGGCGCCACCGCAGGTGAAGCGACTGTGCAGCTAAAAGACGGCCAGCGTTGATAGTTTAGCCTGTAGCCTGTAGGTAGCTACTACTACTAGGCAGTTAGGGGGTAAAGTAAACGAAAAGGAGGATGATCCCCGCAAAGTCGTGCAGTTAGTCTGATAGATCCCAGTCTTATAATCTTGTTAACCATGCTGTCTCTAATCCGTACATATCCTCCGTAAGCTATACTCGTTTGGACTGGCCCGGCTGGCCGATCCGGCCTCAGACAGAATGCAATTTATCGGAGACGGTCGATGCTCTAGCAGGAAAACTGTAAAATATGATCGCCCAGACCAGCAAAGCATGAGCCACGTGGTGGAACTCGGCGGTCGGAGAGCTCTCTCCCGCCGGGCGAAAGGAGTCTCCACGCACCATGGCATGATTATAATTTACTGCATTTGCCGGGCGAGATATCCGACTGATCTAGCGGCAAAAAAAAAAGACGTCGAAATAATCGCCGTTTATCAATCATCCCTATCTGCTCCCCAAGATCGCAATCAGTGTACTCCGTATAAAGAGACAAAATCATCAACCATACGGAGCAGAACCACGAAGCCGGTGACACAAGAGTGGGGAGAGGCTTGGCTCGGGGGCGCCGTTGAAGCCATGCTGGCTGCTGTTGGGGACGAGCACTTTGAGACGTGAGCTTGGCTGGACGCAGTACCAAGAACCTGGAAAGCACCCTACGAAGCACCGGTCTCTTGCATCGAAAAAGCTGGCATGATCACCATCCGAGGGATCCGGCAGCCAGTCAACCAGGGAACTGGCGGTGGTCTGGCAGTGTCGCCAGCAGGGTGCGGTCACACCACCTGCGGACTCCGGCGAATGGCAGCGCGGCAGTTAAACTGCTTAGGGCGGCCGGCCACGGACTCGCGATCCACCGGCCGGCATCCCTGTTCCACGTGGGCGCACGTGGAGAGCAGCCCGTTGATTTGCTGCCAGCAGGGAGTCATCTCCGGCGAATGAGAGGGCCGCCTGCGCACGGCTCCTGTCTGTGCTCCCGCCTCGGAAATTTCGTCGTTTGCTATCTCGCAATCGACTATCGAGTAAGCTTCATAGCAGACATCGGCATTTACTCCAATGACGCGCTGCATCGGGCAGCATGGTCCCTTTGCGTCGGGACGCAGGATAACGGTCGAGACAGCGGAGTCCGCGTCCTTCGTATTCTGTTCTCAGGCGATTGACGAGCGATACGAAGGACCTTACTCCATACGCAAGTCAGGTCTTGGCGTTTGATGCGTAGGGCCAGAGCCGGACTAGTCACATTGCGTGCCGTGCGGGTGAAAACAGGGAACGCCCTGCTGCTGCTGCACGGGACCTCGGAGGATCGTGGTTGTCCATCGTCTTCCCACGGACTGAAGACCGATCCGCTGTCAGTGTCGAGACCAGACACTGACAGGCAAGACAGATTATCTGTGCAGGAGACAAACAGCCATTGATCGAATCATCGACCAGCTCTCACAGCAACGCGGCCTTCTCTGCGACTGGCAAATGGCGGTGACGGCCTCAGGCGGGGAAGGCTCTCGATTAGTCACCGAATCGTGCTACTGCGGTTGAGAGACAGCCGGACTAAGATTTATCAGATGACGGGCTCGGTTTAACTTCCCTATACGCATGTTGCGACCCCGCAGTTGGCCACGGCCTAAATAACTCTCGACCCCTAGCATGATAGCATCATCTAGCATTCTAGCGGAATCTCCCAGGGTCCTGATCACATGGTGCTCGGACAATGCTTAATGCAGGTAGGCCGGTATTTAGAAACCATGGTGCCGGCGGACTAGTTTATATCGGGTATTAAGCCCGAGGTCTCTAGTCAGGCTCGTCGGGTGGTAGCAGGAGGCCCATTGTCATGAGAGATGGCGAAATCTCCGAAGTCTTGCATCATCGTCTCATAGTGAGATAGTCTCATGTCGATAATAATCCTCAAGTCTTACTGTACTGCCGTAAAAAGTAAAAAGCTGACTGTCCGCGCGCGTCCAAGTTTGCCCGGCGCTCAGATCTGACCGTGCGCTGCCACGCGCCTGCCACGCGATCTTGGCTGTGGCTCGGAGGCGGAAGCAAACTTTGCCAATCTTGCATGCGTGTGAGACGACGGCTTTGCATAATAATCAATCAATCCCTCTCCACCTTTTTGTGAGGCATCACATTTCTCCCTCGTAACAGGAAAGCAAACTTCAACGGTCGGGATTCGATGCTAGTTCAGACGTTCAAACGCCTTGGCCACGTTATCGACCCGTCCTTCCGAAATGATATGTTCCAGATCTGTCGGACCTGTCACGAGTCATGCAAAACCTTTTTTTTTTGCCCGTGTTGTTGGTTAGCCATATTTTATTGCTGCGATGGGTCCGTCTGAGATTTATACAGCCACCGCAGCCACCGCTCCCCAGCATCTTAGCTGTTCACCGTCCCTGGACGTGATTGACCAATACAAACACAAGAGTTCTCCTTATTGCCAACGTCTGACTTCAGCACTGGGACACGGGTCCAACTTCCAAGTTTCTTGCCAAAAGTGCCCCAACGCTCAGCCACACCGAGAATTTGACTGAACTCTGACGCCACGATTTTTATTTATTATTTTCTTTTCTTGGCCAACACCTCGCTAAGGAATAGACTCAAAGCCAAAACACGGGTTATTGAGGCTGAAAACCGCACTACGGCCGAATGCCACGTGGTGAGGCGAACTAGCCAAGGAAACGCCATCTCGGGCGGCGTATCTCGGGGTTTGGATCTTAGGAAGGTCTCTCCTTAGAGCAAGATAGTGTTAGAGCTTGGGGGTCAAAAAGGCAAAAAATACGCGGGTGTTGTTTAGTACACTCCAGGTACGAAGTATATTCGCCTGAGCTCTCCATACCCCATGCTCTTGAGCAGATGTACGTAATAGGAGTTGTGGAGTAACAGGGGGTGTAATCCTACAAGGCAGAGTGAAGCGCCCTAGTCCATGACGAAGATCACTGCAGTCCATACTCCGTACTCCGTAGAGAGGAAGCATGACTGCAGATCCGGAAGACAGCGTCTCGAAGGATCATACGAAGGATGATGTCCCGGCGTATAATTCCGACATTGGCCCGTAAGCGCCAGCAGCCACAGATCTCCTGAAAGTCGAAGGATTCTCACTTAGAATGGCCAGCTGAGACAGGAGAAATAGTCGTAAGCGCAGCAACAATCGCCCTCGAATCAGGAGTCGAATCGGCCGACCTACGTCAGCTTAGCCGCCCAGCACTGCTGACCGACCTTACGCTTTCACGGTCATCATGAATCCTTCGAATGCTAGGCGGCTAGGCCTTTTCAGCCGCAGGGATGGCCCACCAACGACCAGGGTCTTCCAGAGTCTCGGGATGGTCTTCATAGCTCTGTAGCCACTACCACAGTAAGCCGAGTCCAACAACGAAATGCCTATTCAGGACGCAGATATGCCTATTTAGCCTTAGTGAGCTGGCGACGGGGACGAAATGAAACAAGCCCCATGCTGCAGGAATCAGGAACAAGCAAAGTGGAAAACTTGAAGGATTCCTGGTTCTAGAAGGCCGCCGAAGACTCGGAATGTAATCCTGACCGGTGAAAAAAAAAGACGGAGGACTCCGTAGCGGTGAGTATGAGACTATGGGGACAAAGAGCATTGCCAAGCCGCTAGAAGCCCCCTAGAACACACCAAGAATCACTAGCGGTGTGAGGGCCTGGTCAACAATGAGAACTCCATAAGGCGGACTTGAGACATGCAGGACAATGTTGAGCGACTCTGTTGACGCTTGACAGCGGATACCTTCGGTCTTCTTCGACCTGGAGACGTCAAGACATCAAGGCTTCTGCAAAGATCGACAGACCATCGGACGACCTGCTGCTGGTGGTCTGTTATTTGTAATAATGGACAGAGTCGGTCTAGTAGCCACGCGACGGAGAGGGCGCAGCTCCACGGCCGTTGGGAAATCTGCAGAAAACACGTGGAAGGCCTGTCTGATGGTGAAACGCCCGCGGCGGAGCTGAACGCAATAGGGGCCCCGCAGAGGCCGATGCCCTAGACCGCCCGTTAAAGCAGCGAGCCACTAAGCCTCGGTGAGGCCGGCAGCCAAACGCCTAAATCCTTAGGCAAGACCCTCCGTAGTCCGTCCGGAGTAACTCGGGAGTTGCCGACACGAGCTACCTATCAACCATCGAACTCTTCTTCTCGGCCGCAGAACACGTAGCAGCCTCAGGCAGGAAGATACCAACGGATTCCGCACAGGACTTTTGACGCGTCAGTCTCTGTCCTGTCATCTGTAACTACAGTACATGTACATACAGATTATGTAATGTGTATGTACGTCGGTACGGAGTTATGCTAACTCCGTATACCGAGTATATGTTGAAGAGCGATACGGAGTACGGAGTACTCTGTACAGAGTACCAAGTCGAGAGACTCGAAACTTGAAGACAGGCAAAACGATCTGTTCTGCAGCCAATAGCGACGACTGATGGGCGCAGATCTTGGTTGCCACGCGAGCGCAAACTTGAGGAGATGAGGGTCTCGCTTACAGGGACGAAGTAGTGGCATACAATAGCAGCAGTTACTTTGTTCGTTTTCCTGCACATCTTCCCTCATGACCACTGGCCACCTGACCTCGCAACTACCCTGCGAGCTAGCACCTTCCATCTAAGCGTCATCCTGCCCGATCGGGGTAAACTACAAGGGCTTAAGTTCAGACTAACTTTCGCATTCATTCTTCATCCAAGATTTAAGTTTGTGATATCCAAAACACAAAAATAAAAGCGAAGCCACCCAGACAAGAGATCAGCCTGATGACCTGTCGATAATCTATCTAGCCTGTGAGTTAGGCACTAAATCAGTAAGTAGTAGCAAGGACTGCATATGCAGACTGCAAGGATGCACCTCCGGGGAGGAAGCAACAGGGAAAAACCCCTGTCCAATCTGTCCAATCTGTCCAATCTGTCCAATCTGTCCAATCTGTCCAAACAGATCTCTCCACAGCCAAGGTCTCAAAATTGTGCATTTTCCCGTTGCGGCGGATCATATCCAGGATGCTGCCCAATATGCAGATACCATTGGCGCCTGAGGCATGGCTCCTCCCAGGTTCAGCCTGGCAACTTCCAATCGTACGGACTAATTGTTAACAATTTAACCAAGGTTTAAAGTGGAGTAGATTAAAAAAATACGGAGTATACAGACGAACTTCAACCGATACTCCGTACCTATCATTGGTGAATCTTACAGATCGAGCAGTCGATCGTCTTGTAGAACCCTACTCCAGAGTATGATTAGATCATGACGATCGTACTCTATCATCATCGAGTTAACCACCATCCATTAAAAAAATCCCATTTTTATTACCATTATTCTTATTACCATTGGCGATTAGTCAACTACCTTATCGTACCTACTGCAGAGACACATCACCTGACCTCAAAAAATTGCTTGTGGACACGCTCTCCCATTGGCCGAACTATCTTAACTGATGTAACCTCCACCACCGCCTAAGCGGCCTCGCTTAAAGGCTTAAACTTTTCTCTCCAATCAGCGCTAGTTCTGTCGGTCTAAATAAATAACTAATTGTCAATCAAACGTGGCTTTGACATCATTCTTCCAAGACGGCAGTAGTTAGTAGTAGTGCAAATGCAGCAATCCAATAAGAGAGACCAGAATTAATCCATTAATCCATCCATGGATAAATATCCGGGAATTGGATTATGCCGGTCAAGTACCCCTTCCATCTTTATTTATGCATGGAACTTGTGAATTGTACTCCGTACTCTTGTAATCATAACTTATTAACCCCCGGAAAATTAATTGCAGAGGAATTCCAAATCACGGATTCAATTAACCCCGCCATTTTTTTGGGCCATGTGCTTGGCATTATAATTATTAGGTACGGAGTACGGAGTACGCATACCTAGAAACTCCGTACCCCGTACCTAATAACGACTAACATGTATGTCGTGCATTAGGTACTGCGCTGGCGAGGCCTTAGTCGCTTCCTAGTAAGTCCGTACCTAGGTTAGTAGTTTAATCAAGGACGGAGAACTCCGTACGGAGTATTAGAAGTTAGTTGGACTTAGCTATACGGAGTATTTATTAATTACTCGGTATGGAGGACTTTTGGAAAAGGTTATTAATTAGGTAGTAAATAGTTACCAGGTAGTATATTCCATGTGGAGTAAGTAGTTAATTTAGATGATATAATAATAATGCAGAGCTGCAGAATTCAGGGGATGCATGCCAAAAAAAATTGCAAAATAACATATCTGCAAAGCCACATGTGCATGTGTATATGTCTGCACGCCTGCATGCATGCAGATATGCAGACAGACATATCTGGATATACTGTATGCAAGGCAAACTGCTACCCAATTGCATAAAGAGCTGTTGAATGTTTGCCTCTTTTGTATAAAGGATAGAGTACCATGTAGGCAACAGTGTTTCTCTCCATGTCGGATAGGACTGAAATGTTAGATTTTGACTATACTGCTGCTACAGTTCAATAAGGATAATGGGCCAAGCTTCATCATAGCTACAGTAGTCATGACAGGAAGCATCAACCACGGTTCTCTTGTCCCTGAATTGGAACAGATGGTCTAAGTATACATTCAGGATTTGAAAGCAACACGTTAATTTATTTATTTAGCATGCAGTTGAGCTAATTAATTGATTTATCCTAAGACCGTGATGTCACCATCATAAATAAACAATGCATTAAGAACATTCGTCATCATCACCCAGTCCAGTCTAAAATTGCAGACTCAATTAGTCGAGCTAATAATATCATCTGCAGAGGTGCAGACCGGGGTCTGAAGACTGAAGAATGAAGACTGCGTACCCATGGTGGCTGTGGCAAGGCAGCTAAGCTACCCACCCACCCAACTAACAGGGATATCCCTAGTTATGTGCGGGGAGAAGAGGAAAGAATGTGGTGAGCTTTCTTCAGACTCGTTCTTTACGGAGTACCCTTTTTTTTTGCTCTTGTGCAGACTGTGTATGTGGGGCTATGAAATATGCTCACTCAGTCTGTCTTTCATCACACATGTATTGTATCGCATTGATGGTCAAGCGTCTATCTATCTAGTCTGTCTGTCTGTCTGTCTGTCTCTTTTTTTTTCTCTTCCTGTGGACTAGGACCATCATGTACGGGCAATACTTAACTAGATATACACGAGGGAAGGAAAGAAGAGTGGAAGAAAGAAGTATAGAAGGGCTGGATCAAGTTGCTTGAATGTCTTGCTAATGATCACATATTTATATCCAGGAGAAGATCTATAGAAGGATCCATACATCTATCTAGATATATAGGACATAGTGGCACGGTTCTGATTTACTGGTATGTACAGTGTAGATATGAAGTTCTGTAGTTGTTGGAGTCGATTATTTAATATCATGTATGTTATATATATCTTATTTTGTTCATTGACTTCCGATCAATTCTACAGGAGGTACGATCTAATTGCTACTGATAAAGAGACATCAAAACAGTACATTGATTATTAGATTACGGAATGTCCGTCTATATACCTATTCCATTCGCTTTGGTTCTATTAAATGTATATATAAAATTATGTGACTTGCTCATGTTCACGTCTCACGCCACCACCTGCCCAGAGAACCTCCTGCACCGACCATTTCAGCAACCTCCTCGAAACTGACCTCGACGCGGAACATCCGGCCATCCGTCGTCCCATTGCCCGTCCCCAGCGGAACGACTAGGCCCCAGCTGACCAGTTTCTCCCATGCCTCGCGAGCAACATCGCGTCCCCACACGCGGCCCGGTGTAGCGGCTGCCCCGGATGCGGACGCGTTGGCCTTCGCCGACGTCAGGAGACGCACATATTCGGCGTATGCCGCTGGGAAAGAAAGAGCAAGCGGCGCGACACCCTGCGGATGCGTCGGATCCGCTCCCGGATCATGGAGAGCTGTCAGACGGCTGGCAGCCAACAGAAGAGACAGTGGAAGGGACGTAGTGCTAGCTGAGCCAGTCGTGGACGGCACGAAGGGGAGCGGCGCAGGATCCGGGCAGGTCAATTGCTGTGAGGTAAAAGCCTTCGGAGTGGGAATTTCCAGAGGCATGGGCTCGCCATTTGATGTTTTATAGGTGCTGTGATGTAACGCTGACAGCGGAAGCAAAGCGCTGGAGAAGAAGTCTTTGACAGACTTAGTCTGGTGATAGATAAGTTGTAGGTAGGAATGGAACTCCTTGTCGTTCCACAGGCCCTGTTTGTTCATGGTCAGCAACTTCCTCGGACGTAATGACAGCATGCCATGACAATACCTTGAGATAGTTGTTCCAGCCCTCTAGCAGCAATTTCCCTTTGGCGGACTTGAGCAGAGAAACCTCTTCATCGTCGCCACGGACTTTGTCGATTTCTCCATCTTCAAAACTCAGCCCAGCAAAGCATATCTCCGAAAAGGTCTCAAACGTCCTTGCTAATGGCAGAAACACATATCGATGGCTGAAACGGCTCTTGACTCGCTTCTCCAGGGCTTCCGTCACATCCACTTTGGTCGTCAGCCCGATCACCGCCAGCGGTGCCTTTTTCGCCTGAGCAATATCGAAGAGATTGTACAACAGAGTCTGTCGAGAATGGGCGGCGAACAGATCAAACTCATCTAGTATGATGACAACGGATTTTGCAGTGGCTATTGCGTCGGAATTCCCGGACTTGCCAAAAAGCTCCTCCGGATGGGAGAGAAGGGCGAGAAGCGTCGCCATAGTATCGGCGTAGCTGTTGATTTTAGCAGCTTCATCTTCGGTATGGGTCTCTCGACCCAGCTGCCTCCAGATCTCTCGAAGTGCTAAGCGGTCATCGGTGTGCAAGAAGCCATTTAGACGGACAACGTGGAACTCATCCTTGTGACTTTCTGACAAGGAGGAAATGATCGACTCAACCATAGTGGTTTTACCACATCCCCGCGATCCCATGAGCAGCATCGAGTTTCCTTCACCTGCTGTGACAGTTTGCTCTATCAATTGATATACTTTCTGGTATTCGGTCTGTAGTCCCTTGAGTGGCACTAATCTCCTGCCACTAAGTTTCTTCATAACTAGCTTGCTCAACGCTCCAAGCTCTTCGCGGAGATCCTGCTCGCAAAGGCTCTGGAACTGTTCAGCATAGTCCGGCAGAGTATCAGCAGTGACGACTGGCTCATCGTGCCCATCAACATCATTAGTAAGATCGTGTTGTAGTTGTGCGGCCACAAGATCATCATCATCCACGTCATGCCCATTGAGGAGAGGTGAGTCTTGTGGGCCCTCAGGGCCCTCATCTGATTCCTTGTTTGCGGCAGTAGGGCCGTTGGTGCCTTCATCCTTAGCGGCACTGAAGCTAACAGCGAGTCGTTTCGATCTTCTGCGTGACAAACCAGTCTCAGAAGCTGGTGAGCTTTTATCGCCAGCGATTTCGGTCTCAACAGCACTCCTGACGGACTTCCGTGTGCTTCGTGTCGACCGTGATTCTTGGGAAGGCGCCGTGACGCTCCTCTTGGACGATCGTGGGGTCTCTGTTTTAGCAACTTCATCTCCATACCTCTGGGGAGGATTCCGCTGTCGTGCGCTCGATCTGATATTGGTTCGAGACGGTGTGTTCGCCTCTTCATCTCCAACAGTGTCGTTCTCATTCCGTTGCTGCCTCCCACCAGACCGTCGTCCAGATGCCTTTGGAGTCGCCATGGGCGCTGTGTCGGCTTCTTCCGATCCATCAATATCCATTGCCATCAATTCCCCATCACGTTCACTCTCTGATGCAATCGACGGTGTGTAAGGCTCATCGTACACGTCCTGTTCGTCGTCATCCTCATGGTTGTCCTTGCTTTTTCGACGTTGGACACCTGACACCTTTCTCCTTTTTGCTGCGCGTAACTCGACCATTTTTTCAGATGGGCCTTTTTTTTTGCGGAGGGTCGACAGGTCGTGGACGTGACTAAACTTCTAGAATGCCTGCGCTACCACGAAGACTAGGCGGAGGAAGATTCGCGCAATGGTGGTTGGCCCCCCTGTAGAATTGGCTCCAAGCAGGTAGTTAGGAAGACGCCAATCGGGGAAGGGTATGACAGATCTATGCGAGTCGAGAAAGTCAGGAAAGCATTGAATGCAGTACGGAGAGCACGCAGGTGCTGGGCGCTAGAAAGAGGTTCTAGGAGTCAGTTTCCTCCGCGATTCAACATGCAATTCAATTAGTGGGGTATATCTCACATAAATGCATCAGAAATGAAGTGTCGTATATAAAGGCGAATGAATGAGCGATCATTTGTCTGAAAGGGCCCTACAGAAGGGACATTTTGCAAAGCTGCTCCGCCTTGCTTCGGAGCAGAGAATACGCCAAAACGGACATACAGAACGCGCGACACGCGGGAGCCGAACTTTCTACTGGCCTGGTTCGCGCAACGGATCTTTGTCAGCACTCCATATATTCCCGATTCAGTAGATAAACTAGGACTAAATATATGGTCGATTGACTGCTGTTTACATCATGTCGAAATTGGAACGCTTGATTCCTCAGAATTTGCTGGTTATCGATCTTTAGAAATCATGACTCTGGAAGTACATACATGATGACTATGTAGCAGTTTCCCAATTGAACCTGTCTCGTATTTGGCTTAGTTATGCTTACTGTTGCTTACTGTAATACCTTCTCCGCGCCGGACCAACCGAGGCTCTCCAGAACAAGTCAGAGCCAACTCCTCGGCTGTGAATGGTATAACCTGCCCAAGCATCAGCAATCAGCCTGGCTATCTATGTGATAAAAGATCATTCTTGAACATTATCTGCAGTTTCGCGTGAGCTGATTTTCCTCTGTACTGTCCTTGCTTTGGCCGACTGCTTTTAAATGCGGAATTAACTGCACAAACACCATCACAAGGATGAAGTCGGATGGCGTCATTGTTCCGCTCAAGGAGCTCGATGAGTTCGAGACTCGAGTCTACGAAAGCACTAAATATCTGGGAATGGATGGGAAGCCTGAGGTTCGAATCTTTCTCTTCTTTATACGGTTTCGATAGCCTTGCGCCTACGCCTTATGACCCCTTTCCGCCCCCCGCGTTTACCTGTTGTTAAACGCAACAATTCCCTGTATTGTCCGCGATGCCAAAGATCGTTGCTGACCAGTGGATGAATTCATGTTTAACAGTCGTGGGACATCGACATAAGCCGTGCCAATTTGCGTTTCGAGTACGCAACAAGAGGCCCTCCCGCGAGGGTTTCGTATCGTCTCTTCGTCACCCCGAACATGACCAACCGCCTGGGAAACTTACACGGCGGCTGTGCTGCGACTCTGATCGATAATCTCTCCACCACCATCCTGATTGGTGTCTCGAGGCCAGGGATCTTCCAATATGGAGGGGTGAGCCGGAATTTGAATGTGACGTATCTACGTCCTGTACCCTTGGACACGGAGATTCGGGTCATCTGCGAGGTGGTGCATGTTGGACGACGCTTGGCCTTGCTGAAAGCCGAAATCCGGAGGGTAGACAATGACGAGTTGTGTGTGATCGCGGACCACCAGAAAGCCAATACAGACCCGGATTCTAATCAAAAGTTATGATGAGGTCTTAATTCCTGCCTTGTTTTTTGCTCCTCCCTCGCGGTGAGAGGTTGTTTATGCTATTCATATATATATTTAGACCAGGTTTTATGTAGTACTTCGTTCCTGGTCGATGTTCTTTAACAACGGATTATCAGGTCAGAAGTAATCGATTCCCAAACTCCCTCCATCAAGAGATAAGGAAGCAAATAAGAAAACACACGGGGACTTAGCATATTTACTACTAGCTTAGGGCCAAGATCGTGGAGGTCTCGAGAATATCTTATTTCGGCCGTACGGCAATTCCCTTAAGCAGAGAGACAGGTATGAACATATCGAGATAAAGAGAGATAAGATATAGGAGGAAAACACCTGTGTGTGTTCCAAGAAAGCAAAGGAACTCTCGGTATAATTTCTGGGTAATATTAAAGTCTTTCGATCAAAGAACAAGCAGGGTCAAGCTCAACATCTGGCAGTTTCTAATAGATGGAAGTTCTTCACTTGTTCCCATTCAAGACGGCATGCAGGCAAAAAGAGGAAGCATTAATGACCCGAATTCACTCCTCGCCAACAAGCGTCTGGCCCTCCCGGAGTCCTTCGACAACCAGCTCCTGGCCCTCAGCACGCCGGTAGATGTCACGGATATCGTCTTTTGGCAACGAATCAGTAACAAAACTTCGGGTTATGATTTGGAGTTTAGCGTCATATCTTACCAGTAGTGGTCTCGAAGTGTGAGCTAGCATCGTAGCTCTTCGAGATGAAAATGTTGTCCTTTTCGCCGCTGTCGATCGGAGCGTACAGAGGAATTGGAGGACCCATAAACTTCTCCTCAATCTCACCAAGCCTCTCAAAACCAGGCTCGAGCTCCAAGTGGTGATTAGAGTCTGTCTCGGCAATCGTCGAGACAATGGCCACGTAGTAACCTTTCGGGCAGACATTGTGTGCTGAAGACACCATGGCAATGTAGATGTCTGTCATCATGAGTAAAAAGCCTCCGGAGAGAACACAAAGGAGTTTTTGAACACTTACCGTGCTTCCGTCCAACCTGCGACTGAGGAATGATGAGCTGCAGCGAGTCAATTCCGTCCGTCTTGTCGATGGGGTGCTTCAGGATACAGATCGCCCGGAGGACATAGCCAGTGACTTTGACTTTATCCGGGAAGTACGATGGGTCCGCGATAATCTTCTTTGTCTTCGTCGTGAAGGTCATGCCCTCGCCGCTATCACGATCCTTCATCGTCGCTCGGATACCAGAGACCTTGCCGTTTTCGTCATAGAGAACTTCATCGATGTTCGTATTGAGCATGTAGGTACCACCGTAGATAGCAGACAGACGCGCAAAGCCCTGTGGCAGTTCACCAAGGCCATAGAGCGGATAGATATAAGGCGACTTTCCGTAACGGGCCATGGAATTGACGTACAGGCGGATACGGTCGACGGTCTCTTTAGCCATTCCAGGCTTCGAGATGTAGTCATCTGACTGGTAAAGAGCCATCGAGTGACCCACGAAGTCACGAGTGGTCTCCTCCAAGCCAAACTTGTCGTATACATCTTTCATAGTGCAGGTGGCCATATTCAGCCCTGGTTGATGTTAGCTGATAAACCCGATCAAGAGCCGTGCGTCCACACAGACCTTGGTGCGTGCTTGGGTCGTCCTCTTTGAATTCGCCGACCCATTCCAAGAACTTCTTTGCCCTCCGCTTCTCGAACATCCCCATCAAGGATGAACGCAGAGCCTCGCCAGCATCCGAGGGGACCTTGGCGACAGTAGCTTTGGGTCCGCTGCCTTGCTGTACATAGCTACCAGCGATCTGCTTGAACTCCAGGTATCTTGTCACACCAGTGGAAACCAGGATGTTTGTCAATTCTCCATTGGACATCAACAACTTCGGCACGAGATCAACGTTCCAGTCGTTGGGTCTGCCGTATTTCTTCCACGGTTCCTCCCCTGGGCGAACATTGCCGTATTTCTTAAACAACTTTGGGGAGAAGTCAGTAACTACCGAGACCAAACGCATAGGAATAAACCTACAGCCTCGATATTGACGGAAGCGGCTTCTCTATATCAGTCACCAGCAGTCAGAACCTGATTCAGACTCGCGGGGACCTGTGAAGCTTACCCGCCATAGTGATCATTACGATCAATGTGGAGGACCTTGTTTCCTTTGGCACTCAGGACACTGCGCTGGTTGTTAATTTGATAGTTCTTTGCCAGGGTAATAATGCTGGGGTGCGGCATCTTACCCTGAAAGGACGCACTCGGTCAAGCCTACAACAATGTTAGTTGGCCAGGGCAGTGTTTTGACAGCGGGGTAGGAGACGTACCGGTGCCCAGAACGACAACATCATACTCCGGGGAAATCTCTTCCATGATGGGTATCAGGCAGCCTTAGAACAACAGCAAATAACACGTGTAAGATTCAGCAGAAAGATGGAAGATGTGACAAAAAGTTGGTTACAGCGGTGAGTTTTGGAGAGGGAGGTGTGCTGGTTGAGCTGTTGCGGCACCCCACTAACTACTAATAGTTGCCTCAGTCCCCGCGGCGGAGCCCAAACAAGCGGTGGGATTGACTAGTGGCTCTATGGTCTCTCTCAAACTCCTGAGACGTGGATCCACAGACCGCATTCTAATTTCTGGGTCAAAGCCGTTCAGGAGATCATGGTGACTGAGGGGGATTTCAGAGATATTCCTTATATATAATATGTTTGTGTAGAAAAACAAAAGTATCATATGGTTTTTTGTTTCCCTTTGTACTGTACACAATAACTGACTTCTTGCTTAACGAACATGTCTAAAGTGTTCCAAATCCATGGCCCAAGTATAATTATACATTCAGCAAGAAAAGGGAGGCCTGATTCTGTCAAGCAGCAAGAGATGGGATTCCCAGAATAGAATTATGCCTTTGTCTGTGTAGGTTCTCCGCTGTCTTCGTAGCTGTCTTCAGCCTCCGGCCGATAACCACTTTCGTAGAGTCGTCGTGCTTCTTCCCAGGCATACCAGCGTTCACGAAGGACATGCTTGATGGACTTTTGTGTGATTCGGATCTAAGATTGTCCAAATATCAGTATGCATGACTCGATAAGCAACAGAAGGCAGACAGATAGTAAGACATGAAGCAGGACAGCGGATCTCATTTTAATTAGAGCTTCAGAAGGCGCGGACTCAATCGTCGAGTCCATGCAAACAGACCACACACAGTAGCCTTCTTGATCACTGGCTAGGACGCGATCGGTCGCGAAAAGGATTCACAAAGTGTAGCGAATCGGAAGAACTTACCGTGCGGTCACGTTCGTCTGCTTCCCATTGTCCATAGCCTGCCTTGAGCCGCTTCCTTTCCAAGTTTGAAGTAGCTATTCTGTTGCGTTCCTTCACACACACCCACCACAGGCAATGGAGGTCTTCCCAGGACTTCTCGCGGAGTTCCTGCACTGACCAAGGTCGGCCTGTTTTATCAATCAGTCAAGCCCAATGACGTCTCCAAGTCAAGGTATCTCACCATGCGCTATGTCATATTCAGGTGTGCTCAGCGCCTGTCTATCTGGGGGGAAGAATTCCCAGAGACCGTGATTCGGTGTTGGGTCCCGGGGTGGCCGTTCCGCCGGACTCACAGGCTTGGGCAATGGATACTTCGAGACTCCCAGGGGAAATTTGGGCCCTGTTCTATGAATCGCAGAGACACCTCGGTTTTTGCTGAGATCACGACCGCGTCCTCTGGCAGCATTGGCGGCTGTTGTTGAAAAGCCTGAACATTGAATCGACCGGACCGGGTTGAAGTGAAGAGAGGGAGCAAGATATGGAGGGGGCAATTCAGCCAGCGCAGGAACCCCCGACTGACGGGCCAGCCGTATAACTGACTGCCGATGCATCGGGAAACAATATTGACCCTGCAGAGAATCCTTTTGCCGACTGACTGACCGTTGCAAAATAATGAAGGCTACGCTAGCGGATGCAAGCCCGATGGGAAAATCCCAAATTGGAATAGAGGATATATCACGTGATCTTATTGTCGCCTCAGTGAGTTTCGAAGTCCATCAGGATTAAGGGCTATGTATCACTGCAAAACGGGAATTTCTGATGCATTTTCTGGTCTGTCTGGGTATTTATCGACTTCTCAAGGAAAGCGAAAACGTTTCAGTGAAACGCAGGCGCTTAAACAATAGCAGTGTCTGTAACTTACTGTCGTGGCGCAGCTACGGAATGTATCATCCTCGAAAGATCAGCAGTCATTGTCTTTGCTGGATCGTTACTATCTGCCGTTTAGGTCAGGAGCAGATGCTGTTTTTAAGTTAATGAATATTAATTCGTAGAGCGGTTCAAACCACCTAGATCTTTACATATAGTCGCTGGCTTGGAGCCGTGGGGTCCAAATGTCTGTTCTGGTCAGTAGGTACAGTATCAAGGCCATTGTAAATTGCACATCGATACTATCAAATCTCGACTGCCAGTCGAGATACTTAAGATGTCTCCTGCCCTTCTGCAGCCGGGAGGTCCTCTTTTGTCCAATCTCCTTGGAGGCGAAGCTGTATCTAATCAGCCCTACAGCCTCTTCCATACAGGTGGTCCGTGCACCGCCTCTCATGAAGCGCGCGGCTACTGTCACTCCACCTCCAGCAGTGAAAAGAGCCCTGCAACTGTGCCGCGTGAGCCTCTGTTCCCCAAAGCTTAAGAACAGTGTCGCCCTCCTTGGAAGCACTCGATAACTGTCGGCGATTTTCCTTCTCTCCTCCGTTCGGGCTTCGAAGTTCGTTGCACATAGGACATCGAGGCCAGCTTTTCCATTATGAACAGGCCAGGTTCGTCGATTTCGCCCCCCATGATATCAACCCTATCTTCGTACACCATCCTGCCGTGCCAGCGGGGTTTCACAGGCGATCTTCGTGCGGATACGTCTAGCTTTCTTTCTCTGAAGCTTTGCCGATGACAAAGAAAGCGATTGGTCCCCAGAGACCGGTATTTGCAGGAGTCTGCTCCAACTGACGCGATTGCGCCGGAAACCGCATAACCTCTGCCTGTGTGTTGTGCGAAGCGATCGCAACATATATGCAAATTAAATGTGGGCTCTGAAATGACCGCTGACGACTTCAACGATATTACAGGACCAGGCCCGCAGCCTCTGAGAGGCATGTCCGGATTCCCCGCCCAGCAACAAGCCCAAGCTAGAAATGCGACGCTAGCCTCGACACGATTACCCAACGGTAAAATGGGTACGGTATCTCCTCGGAGACCTTCTGAGAGCTGAAAGTTAATGTTGAGGATGTGGTGAACAGGTTCAGGTGCGAATTGGAACTTCGGCCTCCCAATGGGTGGAGCTCCAGGTCTGCAAAATCATCAGCAGCGGAATATGGGAACGATGGGAACTTTCGCACAAAGTCTGGCGGGATCTCAACAAAACACACCTTTGGATCTTTCGTGAGTGCCTCTTTGCTTTGCGAATGTGATATTAGATTGCATGGTCATCCAAGGCAAAGGCCAGCTTGTGGACGGCAGCGCTAATACCTGGTGCTTTTTTCTTTCAAAGAGAGTTTCCATCGTTATCAGGAGCGCCACAGCAGAGCCAGTCACAGAGTCCAGGACAGGCTGTCTGGGCAAACGCAGGGCAGCGGACGACTCAGCAGACTCCTGTGCAGAGACAACAGCCTCCCGCAACCCAGGCTCCGTCTAGAGCGTCGCAGACACAAACCCACTACTCTCAACAATCACAACCTTCTCACGATGACATCTTTCCCTCTGGAGCTCAGTTTGCCAACCGATTAGACGACTTCAGGAACGGTGGTCAAGGAATCGGTGGCCAGCCCCAGACTGGCAACATTGAGGAATTTCCACCGCTCGGGAGAAACGTTCACGCTGATATAGCGCAGGAGCGAAGGGGATCCTTGTTGCAAAACGCCGGGTTTGGAAGCTACGGGTCTGGCATGCAATACTCAGGACAAAATCAATCCGCGCAAGCTCGTAACATAATGGCAGCATCCATGAATGGACACGAGACCAACCGAATCATGTCACCGGCGACAGCAGGTTCAAGTGGTGCGTTCCTTTGAAACCGAGTTCGTCCAAATGGTCATATCCGGCTGACAGGATGATTTAGGAATCTCTACGTCAAGGTCTCCAATCAACCAAGGACCCAACGGAGTCACTGGACAGGATAAAGAGGTAAGCGCTCCTTGGGCCTTCCATTATTAGCTACAAAGAAAAACTGATTCCTTTCTCAGGATCCCACCGCATCTGCTATGCCGAACCAACGCGGTTTACGTCCGGATGGCTACACGGAGCAGGAACAGAACCAAGCGCAACAAATGCAGCAACGTCAAGCACCAGCTGGTGCCGAGACGCAGGAGTCATCAGGCACTAGCCAGAGTGCGGAGCAGCCCCCTCTTACTCAGATGAGCGAGCTGGACAGGTTCGGCCTCGCTGGCTTGCTTCGAATGATTCATAGCGAAAGCCCCGATGTTGCAAGCCTCACCGTCGGCCAGGATCTGATGACTCTCGGTCTCGACCTGAACCAACCTGAGTACGTTTTCGTGGCCCTTCTATTCTTCCGTCTCTGACCTTGCTAATCGAACTCCATAGACCTCTTCACCATTCCTTTGCCTCGCCTTTCGTTTCCTCATCTGCTGTGCCTCTGGAGCAAGACTTCTCCCTCCCGGCTTGCTACAGTGTTGCAAATATCCAGCCACTCCAGTCCCGTATCCCGAGCTTCAGTGATGAGACTCTCTTTTACATTTTCTACAGCATGCCTCGTGATATCATGCAAGAACTGGCGGCCGAGGAGCTGATGGGTCGCAAGTGGAGATACCACAAAGTCGAGCGCGCTTGGTTGACGCGGGACGAGACTTATCCAGGGCCTGTGGATGTTGAGAGAGGTGTGAGTGAACGAGGTGTCTATCTTTGGTGGGATCCTACGAGCTGGAAGAAAGTTCGCGTACGTGGCTTGATTCTCCCAGATCCCTCCTTGATATAGCACTGACAAAAACTGACGATACGTTTTATGCGAACAGCGCGAATTCATTCTCCGGTACGAAGATCTCGACAACAGACTGGATCCCAACAGGAATATTTCACGTGCCGTCGGCTTTCCCCCTCACGCTTCATGAATGTCTTGGCTGGTGACATGGGATCGGGTTTAGTTATCGGCGTTAGTTGACTGCCACTTTAGGTCATACCACTTGGCATCGTAAAGGATAATCATATCAAAAAATGGAATGGTTCTCAGGCATCTATCAATTTCAGCATCTCAATATCCCCATCCATGTATAAATATTGCACTTGTAGAAGCATCACTCGACTGATATGAACAGTCGTTGGCGTAGTCGGAGAAATTGTTGCCCAGTAAAAGTCAGAAGAGAAAAGTGGTGATGTGCGCTTTCCAGGTGATAGGTAATGTACAGTACAGTGCCTACCATCCTGGAGGTATGATGATCCCAATCGGGCAGGCGCCAGTGGCGTGGAGGTGCCCAGACCTGCTTATGTCATCAACACGTGACGCCAATCCCAATCAGGCAAACAATAAACAGCTCCAGTCCCGCCGAAGCCAAACAGCAAAACGTCTCGTCAACACAAAACTGCGAACAAGCGCAGCCCGCATCCAGCAGCTTCGTAGGCGCTGCCCACTCATGTGCTCTAACAAAGCGATATCTTAGGTTTTCCAGAGTCGCAGCCATGAGAATCGTTGAAATTATTATCGACGTGCGTTTAATCCTGTTTCAGTCGCATTGCCGCATGCTCCGCAATACTGACCGCTCGACTACAGGGCTTCAAGTCGTACGCCGTCCGGACGGTCATTTCAGGATGGTATGTTTGTTCTGTTTTCGTCGCGATTCCAACTGTCAAAAATTGCTCTAGCAAATGCGATTCTACGATGTGTTCCTCACCACCTAGCGGCGCATTCGTGCTAACTCGTCGCGTAGGGACGAATCGTTCAATTCGATCACTGGCCTGAATGGCAGTGGGAAATCCAACATTCTCGATGCGATCTGCTTCGTCCTCGGAATCACGAACATGTCCACCGTCCGAGCACAAAATCTCCAAGATCTTATCTACAAGCGTGGCCAAGCAGGAGTCACCAAGGCCAGCGTGACAATCGTCTTTGACAACCGTGATAAATCCAAGTCTCCGATCGGCTTCGAAGAATATGCCAGTATCTCAGTTACGCGACAGATCGTCCTGGGTGGAACGAGCAAGTACCTGATTAACGGCCATCGTGCACAACAGCAGACCGTGCAAAACCTCTTTCAGAGTGTTCAGCTGAACATCAACAACCCTAATTTCTTGATTATGCAAGGTCGAATTACGAAAGTACTGAACATGAAACCAGTGGAGATACTAGCTATGATCGAAGAAGCAGCTGGTACCCGAATGTTTGAAGATAGAAAGGAGAAAGCTCTCAAAACTATGGCAAAGAAGGAGATGAAGGTTCGGGAAATTGAAGGCCTTCTTAAGGAAGAAATAGAGCCGAAGCTGGAAAAGCTACGAGGCGAGAAGCGAGCTTTCCTCGATTTCCAGCAAACCCAGAACGACGTTGAGCGTCTTACCCGGTTAGTCGTCGCTCATGATTACCTGAAAAATCGCGAGCGGCTACGAGTTGCTGGCGAAGAATACGAAGCCAAGAAAGCCAGAATACAAGAACTCGAGGACAATGCGACTCGACTCAAAGGGGAAATCGCTCATCTGGAAGAGGATGTGAAGCGAGTCAAGGCAGTGCGAGAAAAGGAGTTGCGTAAAGGTGGCAGGTTCCAGGCTCTGGAGAACGAAGTGAAGGCACATTCTCATGAATTGGTCCGGTTGGCGACGGCATTCGACCTGAAGAACTCAAGCCTGGCAGAGGAGAAGGAAAAGCGAAAAGCGCTACAAAAGACTGTGAATGAACTTGAGAAACTCCTCAAGGAAAAAAGGACGATCTACGAGAAACTCCAAGCAAAATACGATGCTGCGAAAGCAGAACTCGACTCTCAGACTGCGGAAGTCGAACAAAAGGAAGAATTGCTCCAGACATTGCAAACTGGAGTTGCATCCAAGGAAGGCCAGGAGAATGGATATCAGGCCCAGCTTCAAGATGCTCGGAACCGTGTTAGCGCCGCTGCCACTGAGCAAGAGCAGGCAAAGCTTAAAATCGCCCATCTCGAAAAGAGGATCAAAGAGGAAGAGCCTCGAGCAAAGAAGGCCAGGGAACAGAACGCGGGGCTTTTGAAAGATCTAGATGGCCTTAAGTTACGCGCAAAGCAACTTGAGGCCGAGATGGCCAAACAAGGGTTCGAGCCTGGAAGAGAGGAGCAGTTGTATCAGGAACAAACAGATTTGCAACGGGACATCCGAGAGCTTCGCGAGAAGGCCGATTCCTTGAACCGAAAAGTGGCAAACCTCGAGTTTACTTATTCTGACCCTTATCCTGGGTTTGACAGATCGAAGGTCAAGGGCCTTGTTGCTCAGTTGTTCACACTGGACAAGGATAAGACGCAGGCAGGAACTGCACTCGAGATCTGTGCAGGAGGTCGTCTCTATAATGTCGTGGTCGACACCGCTGAGACCGGCACCCAATTGCTTCAGAATGGGAAGCTGCGCAAGCGTGTTACCATTATTCCGCTGAATAAGATCTCAGCCTTTAAAGCTTCCGCTGAGAAGATCGGCGCTGCACAGAAGTTGGCCCCGGGCAAGGTGGATCTCGCTTTGTCACTGATCGGGTATGACGAAGAAGTGTCTGCTGCGATGGAGTATGTGTTTGGCTCAACCCTCATCTGCGATGACGCTCAGACTGCAAAGACCGTTACTTTTGATCCTTCAGTCCGCATGAAGAGCGTCACCCTGGATGGCGACGTCTACGATCCCTCTGGAACTCTTTCTGGTGGAAGTTCTCCAAATTCAAGTGGCGTGCTCGTCATCCTGCAGAAACTAAATGAGGTCACTCGGGAGTTGAGGAGCAAAGAGCGGCTTCTGGCCCAGCTGCAGGACACGTTAGCTAAGGAAAAGAAGAAGCTGGATGCAATGCGAGCTATAAAGCAAGAGCTGGACCTGAAAAACCACGAGATTAAGCTCACTGAAGAGCAGATTAATAGCAACTCGTCGTCATCGGTGAGTGAATCGCGATCAGAATTCCCGGTTCAATTTGCAGCTGACTTGCGTAGATCATTCATGCTGTGGAAGAAATGAAGGCAAATATCGAGCAGCTGAAGAAAGGCATTGCCGATGCGAAGAACCGGCAAGCAGAAGCCACCAAGGATATCAAGCGGATCGAGAAGGACATGAGCGAGTTCAACAACAACAAGGATAGCAAGCTGGCGGAGTTGCAGTCATCGCTCGATGCCTTGAAAAAGAGTCTGAACAAGAACTCAGTTTCCGTCAAGACACTGCAGAAAGAGCTTCAGGCATCCCGACTCGAGTCCGAGCAGGCTGGAAGTGACCTGTCAGCAGCTGAAGAACAACTGGCTGAGGTCGATTCTACGATAAAGGCCCAGCTGGAAGAGATTGAATCCCTCAAGAAGGAGCAATCGAGGATCAAAGTAAGCCAGCAAGAGATCACCATCTCTCAAGTTCGTCGCTAACGAGCGCAGGATGCCCACGATCTCGCCCAGGCTCAACTGGAAGAAGAACAGGCCAAGCTTACGAGTTTTGATGACGAGTTACGAGATCTCGAGGAGGCCATTCGTTCCAAGGGAGCGCGTATCACCGAAGAGGGCTTGGAGATGCAAAAACTCGGGCATCAACTTGAGAAATTGCACAAAGACCAGCAGGCGGCAGCACAGATGGTCGCTAATATGGAGAACGAGCATGAATGGATTGGAGAAGAGAAGGACAAGTTTGGTCGTCCCAACACGCCATATGATTTTAACGGCCAAAACATTGCTGAATGCAGGTCAACTTTGCGCAATTTGACAGAGCGATTCCAGGGTATGAAAAAGAAGATTAATCCTAAGGTCATGAACATGATCGACAGCGTTGAGAAGAAGGAGGCTTCCCTGAAGCAGATGATGAGGACCGTGATCAAGGACAAGAAAAAGATCGAAGAGACTATTGTTAACTTGAATGAGTATAAGCGGGAAGCCCTACAAAAAACATGGACCAAGGTCAACAATGATTTTGGTCAAATCTTCGCTGAGCTCCTGCCCGGCAGTTTTGCGAAACTTGATCCTCCCGAGGGGAAGGACATCACCGATGGTCTGGAGGTCAAGGTCTGTCTAGGCAAAGTTTGGAAGCAGAGTCTCGCTGAACTGAGTGGCGGACAACGGTATGTTCCCACAGCTCCCAAGAAGCCTCATCAAAGTTGTGAAGAATGTTCTAGCTAACGGCAAGCTCCTTCAGCTCCCTGATCGCTCTCTCGCTCATTATGGCACTTCTCCAGTTCAAGCCAGCGCCCATGTACATTTTGGACGAGGTCGATGCGGCTCTCGACTTGTCGCATACTCAGAACATCGGTCGGTTGATCAAGACGCGCTTTAAGGGTTCGCAGTTTATCGTGGTCTCCCTCAAAGATGGCATGTTCCAGAATGCCAACCGGATCTTCCGTACCCGGTTTAGTGAAGGGACCAGTGTTGTTCAAGCATTGACACCAGCTGACCTGAAGTAAATTTTTGTTTTTACATTCAACCGTTTAATTATACCGTGGAACTATTGTCGCCGTCGTGTTGTCTTTTTGTTATTTGTGTTTTTAACAATTCTCTCTGGCTACTGTGGGCTTCTGTGGTTGGTGTTGGATGGGCTATGCGTATGTACATGATTTTGGATGTTGATACGGCTCGATGACATTGAGGCATGTGTAATGAAGGAAACAATGGTCGATCTTTATTTTTCCCTCTCCTTGCGGTATCACAAAGGTCTGCTGTAAGATGGTCTCCCTTGTCGGAGACGTATTGTAGTAGGGAATTAGTAACCTTGTTAGGCAGCCATCGATTGATGCTGTCTCGCACTTGATGGTCGTGCGCTTGATGGACTGCTAGGATGGCCGTGCCCAGATGTCCGCAAAGGGTAATGGCAATGCCGCAGCCGACTCCCGCTGGGCGAACCGCGGGAAGCGGGTCGAATCTCCCCGGCGCCCGCAGTTGCGAGGAACATCTGACTCTCACACCCTCTTCATCCTAACCATCTAACACACCACTGCTCCTCATTATATCGGCTCCTTTCATAGATACCTGTTTTTGCCTTGTGCTGTGCGATCTCTGCACGCGTGCGTTGTGCATGTGAACTTTGTCTTCGCTGTCACGGGGCCAATCTCGGTGATAACACCGACCGCCACGCCATATTATTCTTCCCGACCTCCAGCTTGAGGCCTATACCATTGAAATATCGTTCGACAGTGGACCGAGAAGTCGCTGATATTATATCCTCGAAATAATACCACGGATCGACTCCAACACAGGGGAGAAATACATTGGTCGTGTCCGGTGTTTTTGCCACGTTCTCAGGGCCTGTTATCAACCGAACAGGCAGACAGCAGCGCATAGGAGAGAGCGTATCTCCAGACTTGGTTAACGACCATGCCAGACGACGAACTTTCAATTAACATTCCCTCACTTCTTACTTTGGCAGTGGTTTCCTTCTTTGTGATTCGATGGTTCTTCAGTCGCGATAGCGGATCGGGGGGGAATGCGTCAGGTCGCTTCCGCGGGCGGGTCGATCCGGCGCAGGTTGAGCAGATTTCGCAAATGTTCCCTCAGCTAAGCAGACGAGACATCATGTGGGATCTGCAGCGGAATGGTGGCAGTGTCGCGGCGACCACGGAGAGGATCCTAACAGGAAGAGGGTTGGAAACGGTAAGTATCTTGGATTGTTTTCCTTCCTTCATTGACTGTCTGTGATGAAATCACTCAAGTCGAGTATCTGAAGTACAGCTTTCTCGATGTCGGGATTGTGTATTTACTAATATTGGTTTCTGCATTTAGCCTCCTCCATCTTTTCAGCCCCAGATCCCTCAGCCCTCGCCTGTCACAACCGCCGTGCGGACGACTTCTTCATCTCAGGCTCCTCCGAAATCACAAGGCCAAGATCTTATATCTCGCTACAATCTGAAAGACCGAATCGAAAAAGAGGACGAGAGCGCGGATGCTCCAGAGCAGACGTCGCAGCCAAGCGGTGGATGGTCCCAGAACAAGAGTGAACGCCAGCGACTGCTGCAAAAACGGAGAGACGATATGATTCTAGCAGCTCGGAGGAAGCTGCTGCAGAAGGATCGTGAAGCTGCTGCCCGTGCGTCTGGGGCTGCATCGTGACAGTGGATATTCAGTTCTATGTTTGTATGAGACTTATGGAAGCCTTTCAATCTTTCCCTCTTATATTCATATTCCGCGGAAGAAGGAAGGGAACAGAGAGACCTGACTAGAGGTAGATAATATATGATCGGCAGAGTGGGCTCTAGCCTGCGTTGGACAGCCACTTGGGCACGGTATACGGCTCAACCCATCTTTTTTCTCCCTTTCATCTTCCATTTTTTTCCCCCCTGTTTTGGCCTTGGCATTTTGTACGGCGTTATTGGAATTAATTCAAGATTACTTTATAATGGATTCTCTGTGGGGTATATATATATATATGTGATAATAATAAAAACGTTTTTGTCATGACCAAATATATCATCATCAGCCATGTCCCTTGGACCCTTTACTCGTAATCCGTTAACGCCAAAGACAAAATGCAAAAATGCAAAAATCACAAAGAGATGCGGAAATATATGCCTAGAACTCCATGTCGTCATCATCTTGGGTGCCATCGTAGTCCCTATTCGGCCCTTCTTCGGCCATTTGCTCTCTTCGGGCTTGTTCGCGTGATGCACCAATCTTCCTCAACCCGTCGACGACTCCTGCGACGAATCCTCTCATTTCCCCAATTTCCATGGCGCCGACGCCCGTGAGCGCAACGCCTCCGCCGCCCGTCGCGGCCGTATCCAGAACGTCAATGCCTTTCCTCATTTTCGCCATCCGCACCTCTCTCAGATCTTTGAGGAGCCGTCGGATCTGGTCCGGCTCAGTGAGATCATCGCTCGCCGCGTCAAGCAGCATATTCCCGACTTCGAGCCAATGGTACGGAAGCGCTGGAGGGTCTTTCCCCGTTTCTGACGCTTCTGCTGGGGTCAGGGCGACATTCTGGGGCAGGAACGGCGGTGTGGGGTAGTACGGCTGTCCGTCGAGTGTGCGTCGGGGTCTGGGAGGAGGCGAGGAGCGTCGTCGTTCCCCTCTCCGGGTCTGGCCTGGGAGAGGGGGCGGAGGGGAAAACGCATCCGTATAGTCCAGATTTTCCGTTTCGATCTGGAGGATCAGGGAGAGAGATTCCGGGTGAAGCCAGTAAGGAGGAACGATATTCACGCGACGTTGTCTTTTCAGCAGTAGCGCAAGCCAGAGGGGAAGGGTAGCGCGGCGCGGCGGTTGTAGAGGTTCAGTTGGGCCCTGCGTCAATTGGGAAAATTGGTCAGCTAGGATGTCAATCGATTGATAAAAGTGAAGACATGATTGTCATTTGAAATTTGGACAGAGTACATTGATTGAGGCGTTGGTAGTATCGTTTTGCACGGTTTGCGGGGTGAGCGGCGGGGTCAATGAACTCACTGCCAAAAGCTCGAGTCCCTCAAGACGTTGACGAGGAACGACAGTAACCATCTCCATTTCAGCGAGAAACTCGATTTCTGAGGGCGTAATGCCCCGTGGCAGGGGGAAAGCCATTGGCAGGCCCCGAGTTGAGCTTCCCGATTAACGCGTCGGAGTTTTGATCAATTGGGTGATATTCTTGTGTTATAATTTCCCGAACCGGTGATAGAAGGCGCACGTTCTAAGGAGTTGTTTATGAACGGAGGAGACTTCAACACTAATCTCTTGTCAATAATTTGACATTTGGCCCAATTGATAAGATATCATGATTGCTGACGATCGCTGCATGTATATCGCGTCTTCAAACGTTCAATCGGCGAATGCGATGTTTGGTGCGTTTGCACCCGTCGACCCAACGGGAGCTCCGGCATTTACTCTTTTCGACTACTCCACAACTTTCACTCATTCTCTCTCTCACCGTCATGGGTATTAGAGCCTGAGAAGAGGAGGGGTGCAGTCGCCGGTGGGATATTTTCCACGCTTCAGGACAGGAGGAACGGGCACAATGAATTCGCCGCAGCTTGAGACCGGCCTGACTCGGGCCGCTCGCTACTTGGTCCCCTTCGTCCTGCTGCTGATTGTTGTCTGGAGGGCCAAGGTCAATACCACCGTGCCGGAGCCATATCTGGACGAAGTCTTCCATGTTGGTCAAGCGCAGGCATACTGGGCCCATAATTGGACGCATTGGGACCCAAAGATCACGACACCGCCGGGTCTCTATCTGTGGTCATACCTGCTATGCGCAACTCTGCTGTTTCTCCGTGGTTCTCCCAAAGAGGTCGGTCCAAGTGAATTACGTGCTACCAATGTCGCAGCTGCGGCCGTTCTTCTGCCCTGGAGGCTTCAAACCCTGTTGGATTTGCTGCGAAAGGAGCGGAATACGCGGCCATCGGGGGCGTGGATCAGCCACACGGTGCTGAATATTTGCCTGTTCCCGCCGCTTTTCTTCTTTTCTGCTCTGTATTACACGGACATTCTCGCACTCCTGGTTGTTGTCGAGGCTTATATTTGGGATATTAAGCGATCTAGCGGTCCTGCAAGGAAAACATGGTCTTCGGCTCTTCTGGGACATGTTTCGTTACAAACAGCAGGTTTTCTTGCGTTTGGCTTGGCCGCTCTAGTCTTCAGACAAACCAATATATTCTGGGTTTCCGTATTCTTGGGTGGTTTGCAGGTTGTCCGGTTGCTCCGGGAAAATGCAACGCCTTGCAAGTCTTTTGATCTGGTTGGAATTATCAAGAAGGGTTCACAGAAGGAGCTTTATGATCCGCTTGTTGAGGAAGCATCATTTACTGGTGGGTTGGATATTAAATACTCGAGTTGAGTAGCATTGCTGATATTCTTTGCTAGATTATTTCAAGACTGCTCTATCTTTACTGTCTGCTGCTATGAGCAATTTGCCCCTGGTGATTGCGTCAGTTCTTCCTCACCTTGTTATCCTTGCTGCCTTTGGCTTATTTGTCCTCTGGAATGGAGGAGTGGTATTAGGTAAGTTCCATCTCTGCTCTGATAATGTTAGAAAAGTTCAATGATGCCAATTTTTGTTCGTCTCAGGGCACAAGGAGTTCCACACCGCGGGTTTGCACGTGCCACAGATGCTCTATATTTGGCCCTACTTTGTATTCTTTTCCTGGCCACTGCTTCTGATTGCAATCGCCAATCTCATCGTGCCCAGCCGATATCTCCCCAAGTTTTTCGATTATGGATTCAAAAACAAGAACAGACTTCCGGGAATATTGACCGCTCTTGGGGTTATCTCATTTATGCTCGTCGCTATCCACTTCAACACCATCGTGCACCCATTTACCCTTGCGGATAATCGTCATTATGTCTTCTACGTCTTCCGGATACTCACGAGATACCACCCAGCGGTGAAATATGCCGTGGCGCCCATATACTTTCTCTGCGCATGGGGCGCCCTCGCAGCGTTTGGCTTTTCCACACCTCCAGCACAGTCTCAAGTTGCCGTAGTTCCAACATCCGTCATCGACTCTGCTACCTCTCAGCAGTCACAAGAGCAGAAGAGCAAGAAGAAAGAGAAGGAGAAAGAGAAAGAAAACAAGAGGAAGAGCAAAGCAGTCACACAGAAGGCATCTTCCAAGGAGGCCCCAGCGGCACAGCAGAGACGACAGGTGCTGACACCGGAGATCATTGAAAAGATCCAGGCCCACATCCTCCAGCGCCAGCAAAGACAGGAGCAACAGCATATCCGAGTCAGCTTCGTACTCGTCTGGCTCATCTCGACCACCCTCTCACTCATCACCGCGCCGCTCGTCGAACCGCGGTATTTCATCATACCCTGGGTGATGTGGCGACTTCATCTTCCCCGCCAGCCGACGCCAGAGGCATACCGCGTGCTGGAACAGCGGCGACCGGGGGTTCCCCGTGACGAGAAAGAATTGTTCAAGGCCAAGTTCGCCACGGATCTCCCAAAGGTGTTGGAGACCATCTGGTTCATCGCCATCAATGCGATCACCGGCTACGTGTTCCTGTATAAGGGGTTTGAATGGCCCCAGGAGCCGGGGAAGGTTCAGCGGTTTATGTGGTAGATGGATGGGTGTGGATCTGATCTGCGCGCTGGTTGCGCCTGGTCAATTAATTTACCTTTCTTCCTTGCAATAATCCTAATTCTCGTTTTCTTTTTTTAATCTTAATATATCCTGTAGTTTAGGAATTGAGATTTTTTTTATAAGTTAATTGGCCTTGAGATTTCAGAGGCCAGATAGATTGGGTAGGGCAGTCTGAATCTATACCATCGTAACATTTCGCATTTTGATTTTTAGTATTCAAGATAATGAAATTAAAGATAATAACCTGGGACAATAAAAAACCGTTAAACAACATACACATACACAAATCATCGTAACCAACTTTTATTCTGGATTGAATCTTTCTTGGGATTATATCTCTAAAATCTTAATGTCATGGATCATAAATGGAGAGTACCTAATATCATAGTGGAAGAATTTACAGAATTCCAGACGCTAATTACGAAGAATATGGCAAGGAATATTCAAGTAATATGGCGAGTAAAGGAATATGTTCACAAAAGACGATGGATGTGGTCTATTTCTTGAAAAACTATCTTGACAAGACTGAATGGGGACCAGAATCGTGAGAAACCAGAATGGCTCTCTCTATATATAAGCCGATTTCCATGCCATGTTCAATATTAGTTCATCCCTTCCCTTCATTATCTCAAATGAATGCTGGTTTAACAGGTAAGATCGCTTCGTTCCTAGATGCTGGCGGAATATACGTAGGATGCCCCATGAGAAGGATATAAAAAACTATATCATGGGCACGCTCAGGGGGCCAGTTTCTGAACCTCATATCGCCGTACCGAGAGTAGTTCCTTCGGATGCTTTCGAGATGTTGGCCTTTGCACCGTGACTGATTAAAAGCTGAGCAGTTTCGACGAATCCTGCTTCGATGGCGACTTCAAGCGGGCTATGACCGGTCTCATCAAGCTGATTAACATCCGCACCGCAGTCGAGAAGAGTTGTGACGGCCTTTGGATTGTCCTTGTCCATAGAGCGGATAAAAACTGCTAAGTTGAATATGTCTTTTCGTTCAACGAAGCAGTTGATCACTTTCGGATTCCCTCTCATCACTGCCAACTGAATTGGAGACCCATACTCTTGACTGCTATCCAAGTACCAATCGGCTCCTGAATCAAGCAGTAGGCGAATTACCCCACATTCACCCATTTCGATTGCACCATGCAGAGCAGTAAAACCACCAGCGTCCACGCGGTTGATATCGACATTGTCTTGAGAGATAATGACTCTGACAATGTCCTCCAATCCTGTCAGAGCAGCTAAGTGGAGGTAATCCTGTGGATACTGATGGGACTCTGGATCTGAATATCTAGACCAGATCTGTGGCACAGTGTCGAGCTTAGTGCACCTCAGGAAAAAGTTGGGATCAACTGATCGGGGATTTCCAGGGCAATCGACATCTGGATATTTGTGATGCGAAGTTGGCCACCGCAGTGCCAGAATCCTGACAAGTTGATGTGCTTCTTTCCGAAACAAACGATCAAGCAAATCCATCAGGGTCTGTGGTATCGTGGTCAAGCTTCTGATGTGACTATCGAAGAATGAGGCACAGTAGAACAATATTGAATCCAAAGGTTCAGCTGGGGGCGCCTCTACAAGTAGATGCTGAAGACACAATATAGCCAGCTGAGCGTTCGCCTCTTCTTGTGTTGGAAAGAAGTCTCGACACTCTTGAGGTATATTGGCAGACTTGAAATTCATGAAAAATTCCTGCACGGAGAAGTGAATAGGCCGCACACGGAGCAGCCCAAATGCATATATTTGTAGCAGATTAAAGGTAACCTCCTTAATGTCTTGGATGGAATATTCCGGCAGCTGGTCTCCGGCGCAATACTGGATTTTATTTTCCAATGAAACCGCGTCGAGAAACTGGCCGGAGTTAAGAAGCTTTTTTGTGTGGAACGCCCAAAGAAAGCACTTCTGCGCAAGTGATCTGCTTGTTTTGGGCAGCATGCTCATCTTCTGAAACACACGCACATAGGTAGCCTGCAAACCCGTGGGTAGCATCGCAAGCTGTCTTTTAATATCAGCTTCAGGGACTTGGTGCAGGTCTTTCAATTGTAAATCAACCCACAAAAACCTGGATATCACACATCAGTCATATTTCCACAGAAGAAAGTTCAAAATGAGACATTACATTCCCCCAGATTTTTTTGTAAGGGTATGTATAACTTCCTGTTGAAGATCTGGGCTGATTTTCCACAAGTCTGTTTCCACTTTATGTCTCACGACTTTAGAGATATCCTCCTCCACATGCGCTGGCTGTATTTCCAGCCTCGCTACACTCTGTTGAGAGAAGATGTGGTAGATGTCACGTTCCCATCGACTAGTCACAAAAGCCTGCATGTTCATGCCTGGGGTGCCAACTGTGCATATAAATTCCAGAATTGGTCTCCGGTACTCCTCAGGGCATTCGTCCAGGCCGTCCAGTACCATAAAGACCTTCTTGAGATGGCGTGTGCATTGGACAAAAAGACTCGTGAGGTCTTCAAAGAGAGGTTGTCGTGCATCTCGAGTAAATTTGTGATAGAAATCCAAGACCTCATCTGGAAGTGCTGGCATCTTTCGACACAGTTGTTTTATGAACATGGATACCACTCGTGCAGGTAGACGCTGCATGTCTGTATCTTCTCCCTTCAAGTAAGCAAATACTACTGCGAAATTCTGTTGTGTACTGAGTTCCACGAGATGATCGATGACCATAGATCTGTTGAAAATTACTTAAGTTAGAAAGGCAGAACACCGACGTAATGTAGGTGGGAGGTCCGCCTGGGAAAGCAGAAGCCATCTAAGCAGGAACTTACGCCAGGATACTCTTTCCAATTCCGGCTAAAAAAAGGTTAGAACTGCTCGTCCACGAAGAATGAAACGACATACCACGTCCGAAACACCAGAGATGATTTGAGTTATCGGCTGACAACCACTTCTCGAACTTGTCATTGGAAAAGAGCCATGCCCCGGTATCTGCATGCCGTTTCCTACGGGCTTCGACATGAATCTCTTCGCTGTCTTCTTCAGAAATCCATCGGAGAAAATTTCCTCTTTCATTTTTACGTTCCAGCGAGCGCCTCCTGTTCATCTCTTCCTGAATATCCAGGGTAGAAGTTAGAGTTATTGCGGAAGTGATTTTGTCCAGATTTCGTATGTGATATTCAAGGTCCGACTTTATACGGCCAAATTGCTCTTCGAAAGGAGCCCATTGAACTTTCAAAAATACCAAGAGAGCACCTTGTGACTTTTCTTTCCCCTGGTCATTGACGAAGACGCGTCTGGCATGTCGACAGAATGCGAGTATGTCTCCGTATACTGCAACAAGAGTTTTATGCAGCAAAGGTTCACATCTACTCCTCTTCGAGTACAGATCAAAGACTTCAAGATCATTCGAGAGCCGCTCGAGCATCACCGTGAGTTTCTCATAATATTCGAAATACCTCACAGCAGCCTTTTCCAGTTAGTATAGCTTAAATAACACTATCGAAGGCAAAGTAAAACGCACGTTGATAATAACTCTAATGACTCCTACCACTATCGAGCTGACATCCGGATATTGCTGGATACCAATTGCAGCGCCTGCCATCAATGTCTCCACAGCGCGAAGGAATCGAAGGGTTTTATCTGCCCATTGTCGCGTAATGGCTCGCTCTTTGTGGGATTTATCCAGACTCTCGACCGTCTTCTGAACTTTCAACGGGCTGATTTCCGCACGGTCACGACTCCAAGCGATCCTTTCCTCCTCTGTAAGTTCTTGCCAATGCATATCCCATGCTTCCTGAAATGCCGCGTTGGTAGAGCGAACAACAATCCATTTCGTCTCAGAAGGGTCAAAGCTTGGTGGATTGGATGACTTCGAGCACGAGCTGTCAGAGACAGTTGCATCTTGCGTTAATAATGCATCGTGATTAGAGTGGAGAGTCTTGTACTCTCTTTTGGAGCTGGCCTTGAAATTGCCTGCTTTGGCTCTCAATTTCTTGAAGAAGGGCATCATGCAATTCCTGAACAATGGAGAATTGAGCCAATACAGGTGGGAAGCCCGCCTGGAAAGCAGATTAAAAACCAGGCTTGCTCTACTTCATGCCCGATTAAAAGCCTAACTGCCCCCATGGCGACTTCAAGCGGACTCGAAGCCATTGTTAGAGAGCTGCGCATTGCCGCCGCGAGTCTGCCTGGGGCGGATGTGTTGGAGACACGATTGGTCTGACAGTTCGCGGCGCAGGGAGACATACAGAAGTAACAGGCACTGGCAGCCAATGGTTTTGGGCAAGAACGGGTGGTGATGCACGTTTGGCAAGCGCGTTAGGTAACCGCCCGCCCTTAAGCCGCCCGTGTCACCGCTGAAACATACTACTATCCAGGCACTGCCACAACATGGACCGTCCATCAAAGCGACTGAAAGTGTCGCCTGAAAATGTGTTACACACTGAGGGTCGTGTGGAAGATCCTGAGAAGGAGAGTGCAGGTCGTCCAACCGGATTCACCGAGTATAATGGAAGACCCTTGAAATCACTAAGCAGGTCCATAACTCCTCCACCACGATCTTCGCAAACGCAATCTCTACATTTGAAACCACAGAAGAAGACAGTCGTTGACAATATCTCTGTGGCCAACCGTGAATCAAAGATTTGTGAGAAAAACAAGGCTGTGGGCAATGATCAACTCCCGACAATTATCCCGTCCCCCATTAAGCTCACTCACATTCGGGACTTGCCTGCGTCCTCTGGGAATAATGTCGACACAGTCAAGCTACGAGACATCTTGGGGGATCCGATGATCCGTGAATGTTGGCAATTTAATTACCTCTTCGATGTCGATTTTTTGATGAGCCAGTTCGACGAAGATGTGAGGAACCTCGTGCAGGTCAAGATTGTGCATGGATCCTGGAAAAAGGAAGCTCCAAACCGAATCGCAGTTGATGTAAGTTGAAGTAGAGTCATCAAGAACGACAGTTGCTTTAGAAAGTCGGTAACTGCCTGAAAACTATTTCCACATAGTACATCCCTGACTCTATTCTTCCGCCCCTCCTTCCCTGCCGGACAAGCTATCATCTGATGTCTTACTAACTACGGTTCAGGAAGCATGTGCTCGCTACCCAAACGTAGAGGCTATAACAGCTTACATGCCGGAACCCTTCGGGACGCACCATTCGAAGATGATGATTATGCTACGACACGACGATCTTGCACAGTAGGCCAATTCAGGACAAACCGATCAATGCATTCATCTAACGAGCTTACAGGGTCGTCATTCACACTGCGAACATGATCCCCGGAGACTGGGCAAACATGTGTCAGGCTGTCTGGCAATCCCCGTTGCTGCCTTTGATGTCGATCACTCCAGGCACTCAAGGCACTCCTGGCGTTGCATCCGCAGCGGTTGGCACTGGGGAGAGGTTCAAAAGAGACCTACTAGCATACCTTGAGGCTTATGGTGATAAGAAGACTGGTTCTCTGGTAAAACAGCTCAAAAAATATGACTTCAGCGCAATTCGCGCAGCGTTGGTGGCCAGTGTTCCTTCGAAACAGAGAATCAACAACATGGATTCCAAAAAGGCAGCATTCTGGGGCTGGCCGGCATTGAAAGACATTCTGCGACAGATACCGCTGGAGCAGACGGAGAGGGTCAGGGAGCCGTCTCGCAAGCCTCATGTTGTCATTCAGGTTCGAAGAGTTATCCCATGATCCTTTCTAATCTCGATGGTTTTATTGACTCAACCTTAAGCCGAAAACTAACGCGGATAGCTAGATATCATCAATTGCTTCTCTGGGTCAGACTGATAAATGGCTGAGGGAAGTTCTGTTTGATTCCTTGTGCCCAGCGTCGGTTCTGTCTTCTCCTGGCAATCGCAGTCGTCCCAAATACTCCATTATCTTTCCTACTCCTGATGAAATTCGCAGATCTCTTAATGGCTACGGCTCTGGTGGTTCGATTCATATGAAATTACAGAGCGCGACACAGCAGAAACAGCTCCAATACATGCGTCCGTATCTTTGCCAGTGGGCAGGAGACAGGGAAGATCCCACCGGTGATCCTATGCCTACGAGCAGAACGGGCCAGATACGCGAGACTCCGGCCGAGACTCGCGTACCGAAACAAGAGGCAGGCCGTCGAAGGGCAGCGCCGCACATCAAGACCTACATCCGCTTTTCGGACGCGGAGAAGATGGATCGCATCGATTGGGCAATGCTGACCTCTGCAAACCTCTCAACACAGGCTTGGGGAGCTGCACCTAACGCGAACGGGGAAGTCCGAATTTGCAGCTGGGAGATTGGAGTAATCGTGTGGCCGCGTCTGTTCGCGAAAGCTAACAACACTCACGTATCTTGCGGAGACGATGAGTCTTCAGATGATCGTCAAAGGGTTGAGATGGTACCCTGTTTCAAGAGCGATCTTCCAAAGTCAGTTGCCTCTGAGGAGAAACAGGAAGGAAGAAGAAAAGACAAATCTCCTTCCGTTATTGTTGGCTTTCGAATGCCTTATGATCTGCCATTGACACCCTACGCTCCAAATGACATGCCTTGGTGTGCGACAGCAACCTATTCGGAGCCTGACTGGCTGGGGCAGACTTGGGAAGGATAAACATAGACCAAGTGAAAAACATGGTGACAAAAAATGAGAATCAAGAAAGCGAGTCAGTGTTAATAAAGGAACAATTTAACTAACGTTCCTGCTTCTCTTGTCTCGAAAGAACAATCAATCAACCACTGATATCCTAATAATATCCAACCATCTAATTCCATTGTAATTAATCTTTCAACCTGTTAGCGTTTAAGGAGTCTCCATCACTTCCATTGTCCTGGATAGTTGCCGGCTGACACAGCCAGATCGCTTAACTCCCACCTGAACACCGACAGGGATTATCTTTACAGCCAGACAGGTCTCAACCAACATGGTATTAGATGTAGTTGTGCATATATACCTGTACTAGATACTTTCGTACAATGGAGACAATTGTCGTTTCGCATCACATCTCTTCATTGATTATCCTTCTCCTCCTGTAGCCGAAAGAAAACGAAAAAAAAAAGGTCTTGCATCTTTCACAGAACCAGCTGCTTTCCCAAGCTCTTAGTTGGTTCCATACTTGGCCTTGAGCTCTTCAACAAGCTCGATGTACTTCTTTTGCGCTTCTGTGGGAGTGATTCCGTCGTCGACAACCTTCTTCCAAGCGTTCCACTTGCCGCTTTCCTGTAATAGTGAAGGGTACATTGTTAGCTTCAATGCGCCAACGCTCTCTTGTGCGCTAGACCACGGAACGAGGAAGGGGAGGCGAAAGGCAGAATTGTTTGGCAAGGAAGGAGTATGCATACCCAAGGTTGCAAGACCGACGGTTTCTTGACCTCACTGAACGGCGGGTTCTGGAGGGCCTGCTTAAAGAGACCGTAGAGCTGTGCAATAAAAAAAAACGTTTAGTTAGCATTTCTCGTCCAATACTGGTTATAAATGAAACAAAACCAAGACAATGTGTGAAAAAGTCAACAGTCTAGTATGATCTCGTCCTATATTCAGCATGGGATCGAAGACCGGCCGTTCCAGCAACCCCCAACGACGAGTATCTGACCCTCAGCTGAGATAGGTAACAGATGTTGACCTGTGCGAAGAATGAAAATTTGTCTTACGCACCTGCTGCTTCTCATTAAGCGAGGGTTCCGTCTTAAGTGTCGAGGATTCCTTGAAGGCTTTCAGGAACGCCTTGGCAAGGGCCTCGTCGCCAGAGGCCTTCAAGGCATCATTGTAGACATCCTCGTCCTTGGGAGCCATGGTGTTCTATACGTATATATATTCGACCTCAGCTAAAAAAGGGGTACCTGCTGGTGGCGATAAAAAAACCAGTTAGTATCTGCTTCAAAAACACCATGTGTTGTCATGGGACGAAAAGGAGGGGCAAAGTGTCCGTCCCGCAAACAGAGAGAGCTTTCGTCCGATCTCCTTAAGAACACGAAGCGTTCTTTCTCTCTCTCCAATTGCATTCAAAAGGGAAACAGAAACTCACCAAGGATTGAATATATAGCACACTTCCGAGCAGAAACTTTCAAAATAGAAGCAAGAAGGAAGAAAGGAGGCAAAAAAAAAGGACACCTGGGGAAAATCTAGTTATTCAGCCGCGGGGATCATTTAATCGACGTAATATTTTAGCTCGATCCCGCCGGATGGTGGGGGAGGAAGGAGGGGTAGCCCACGCATCCGGAACCAGCGGACACTTGTTGACTGGGCAGAGAAATATATTAACCCCAACAGATATCTGGTTGGGTGTTAGATAAAACACTGTTTTTTAGTAGTAAGGAAAGATAGGTAACTCTCGGAAAGGCTGAGAAGTCACAATAATAATAATGGATAAAGTGCATATCATCATCATTGAGGAGCACGGATGCCCAGATGCAAAAATCACAGTGGAAACAACACTGGCCGACTCTCCTTCGGCCTACAAATTCAACAAAAAAAAGAGCTATATACACAAGATATAGTGGTCACCAAATTGACCACAAAACGCCACAACCCAATGCTATGTGAAGAAATGGGTATGATGAGAGTGACAGCAGTAGAACAAATATACATGAGGAAATCATATATCCTGTTCCAGATTCATGCCGAGTGACACACTCAGGAAGCAAGGATTGATAGAAAAAATCTATCCAGGAGGGAAATATGCAGTGAAAAAAAAAGCCAATTCAAGAGTCATCATCCCTATTTTCACCAATCCACAGCCCAGCCATTCTTGTTGAGGAAGTCTTCGCAGGCTTCTTTGAGTGCGTAATTCGGTCGTAAGTCGTCGACAGTCATGGGCACGCGAGTTATCGGGTCGACACCGGCACGCTCGATGTGCCTCACGATGTTGACGCGATCAAAGCTGTGGCCGGAAGGCGTGATCACAGGGTCGTGCATGACCTCAAAGGAGATGCCATCGATGAGATAATCCGGAACAACCTAAGCGACAACAGCTATTAGCAATCAAAAACCCGTCAAAAAAAGACGCAGGTTTCGAAGAAGAAGAGACTTACTCGTTCCTGGACTTCGCCATTGGTAGCGATGCGAAATGCTTCCCGCACATTCTGGATCTTCTTGTTCGCCTCTTCTTTGAGAGCCTTCTGATCCTCGTTGAATCCGATCTCACCGATCTCGCCCCTCTCCAGTTTCGCCTGCAGCTCGCCCAACTCCTTGTTCAGCTCCGCTTCGATCAGCTGCTCAACGCTGGCCAGGGTGTCGTTCATTTCCCGTAACCGCGCGGTCTCTTTGGCAGCCCAGATCTGCTGCTTCGCCCGGAGCACTATCCTCGAGAGATTTTCTGTCTGCGGGCTCTTCGCGGCAAGACTCGCTCTGTAGGCATCGATTGCGACATCGTATGCTTCCTGCGGTCGCTGGAGTTCCAGCAACGCCTGAGCCAAGTAGAAGGCGCTCTTTAGGCTGGCGGGGTTCTTGGGACCGTAGAGTTGGATGGCGGTGCGAGCGTCATGTTCCGCGCCGGCCCATTTCTCCAATTTCAGTCGAGAGACTGCGCGGTTCGTAAAGAAGCTGGGCTCTTTGGGGTTCCTCTGAATGCTGTAACAAAACAACGCATTGTTAGATCCACTGTTAATTTTGGAAGCAGGCTTCGAGGTGGGAGAGGGAGTGGTCGAACTCACGCCTGAGAAAACATATCCTCCGCACCGGCAAAGTCCCCCTCCTTGAAGAGCTGGTTGCCCTTCTCCTTGAGTTCAAACGACATTGCTGGAATCGAGGCCTAGACAGGGTTCACGCTAGTAACTGTGGGGGATCTCCGGAGTAGATCAGCTAATTCGAGCAGTGGGAGATCGGAAGGCGAGTCTGAATTTATGAAAGCGCGCAAAGATTGGCTGAATCAGAGCCTCGTGAGGGTGCTGGATGACGTCAAATCTGGGATGAGGCTCTGGAAGATTCAGGTACGCGGTTCTCAAAGGCGCATGTCATGGACAAAATTATCGACTAGTGGGTAGTGCTTATTTGATCGAATCTCGGAAACGTTGTATTATTGTTGCAACCGGCGAGCAAGAGGATGTTAATGCACAATCAGGCGCTCCCTTTGCGCACATTAATGGTACCCAGAAATGCAAGGTAACCACCACGACAGAGAATCGAAATGGTATCCTTACGGATGAGGACCCTCCATGTTAACAGTTAATGATCGCGTGTGTGTTATCCATCTTGGCTCCGACAGCGGCGCAGCCGCCACCTATCGAAGGGCGTAGACCTCCACGGAATCGTGGGCGGCAGGCCGATTTTAAAAAAAGCCCTGCCAACACCTGACTAATCTCAGCAGAACAAAAGACCACCCTGCACATTGCCGGATGCCTGCCTGGGATTCCACGTAAATACGAGAAAATGCACGGGTGCCTAAGCAGAAGCCAAATCTGGAATCTATTGTCATTCTACGTACCTGGGCCAAGATGGGGATGCTAGATGTCTGGTGTACTTTGCACGTGACCGAGACAGGCCTAAGTATATGGGATGAAAGACAAGAGAAGGTGCTATGGTACAGGAACCAATATCCAGCGGGAAAATTCTTGGTCCCGTCTGCTTCTCCAGGTCTCAAATACGAGTTTTAAGAGCGAGCCACGCAGCTTTCTGGTTCGCATTGGATGCCAGTCTCGGCAATGTATGAGTACAACCGTGAGGTCTCCCTAATATTAATAGGATTAAAGTCTATGTCATAGAAGAGCTTTCGTCTGAAAAAGAAGAGAATCCATGACGAATATGTATTCCTTGATTCCTTTCAGATTTTGTCTATCTCTATTGACACCCCCAAGATATTCAATAAGGGGTACAAAGCTATCCATCACAAGACATAGGAAATGGCTGTAAAAAGCGCGACAGGGCAAGATCAACTCGCCCCCTTTTGCATGCTTCCAATAACGCGCAAATTGTGGTATCATTTGCTCAAAAATCACTCGAGGCATCAATCGATGCCCGTCACACTGAAATGGCAATTCCGCGTAAGCGCGGGGAGTCCTGACAAGCCACTGTCAAGACATTGTATTCAAAGCGACCCCCTTTTTCCTCCGCAATCTGACAAAACGACGTCGCTGGGACATATCGCAAAGCCGGAATGACGAGTTCGGAGGTCGGGAACAGGCTTCGAGGACTGGATTTACTGGCCGCCGGCCAGCAGCTGCTTCTCGTAGTCGCAGATGGCCTGGACCTTGGCGGCGGAGGCGCTCTTGGGGTCGAAGCGGTAGGTGAGCCAGTCGAGGGCGAGCTTCTTGGCGAGCTCAATGCCAATGACGCGCTGGCCGAAGCAGAGGACCTGAGCGTTGTTGCTGAGGATGGAGCGCTCGACGGAGAAGGGGTCGTGGGCGGTCACGGCGCGAATGCCGGGAACCTTGTTGGCGGAGATGGCAACTCCGAGGCCAGTGCCGCAGATGAACAGGCCGCGGTCCGCCTTGCCTTCGGCGATGAGTTTGGCGCCCTGCACGGCGGGGTGAGGGTAGGCAGTCTTGTCGGAGGTCGAGTTGACGCCGACGTCGGTCACGGACTCGACCAGAGGGCTCTTCTCGAGCACGGCCTTGATGGTCTCCTTGTAGTCGTGACCAGCATCGTCACAGGCCATGACAATGCGGAGGGGCTTCAGGTCGGCGGCCATGGTGATGGAGGTGGTAGGAAACGGAGGAAACGAAGGTAAAAATAGTCGAATTTAATGAGGATATGTACAATATGACTTTCCGACTGTATCTCACCGAGGAGATTGTGGAAGAGAAAAAAAAAGAATTCATTTTGAGAGCGCTGCTCCACGTTTATATAACTATACCCCTCCTGAACCCTTGCCCCAGGTTCGCAGTTGTGGAGAGCGCAAGCCGTGGATCCGACAAAAGTCTACGGCATGATTTGCTGTGATGGTTCAAACGCCACACATAGATTGCTCCTGGCGGTGCATGCTCGTCCTGTAAACCTCCACCACGACAGAGGCCTGTCCCCTGTATGCAGCCGTCCGTGAATGAGAGCGCATGCGGGAGATGACTGCTGGGTCCAGTGCCCCGCGGTGTCGTCATAGATCGCTGTCGTGCAGCGGCCGATACTTGGCTGCCCGCAACTCGTCCCCACCATGTCGGGTCTTTTAGGACTCGAGAGATGCTGAGTCATTAATCTGCTGCTGGTAGGATAGAACCAAAGTGCAATTTGGGAGCATGCAAAGACGTGGGTTGGTGGAGAGGCCGTTTTGTACTCCGCATGCTCTGCTCCTGGTCCGGAGAGGACGTAACAGGAAGTAGGTAATAAACTACATACTAATGCGGTTACCTGAGAATGCCCTGTAATATTGCCAGTAAAACTGTAAGTATTCCTGCTTCTATCCTGAATCCTGATGAATTCAGGGTCCTTGGTGCCTCGAGGCCCTGCGTGCCTTCCGGCCGGGATGCTCAATGTGGATCTTCCGTGGGTCGGCGAGCCGCCGGGGGGCATTTCCTGGGTCGCATTGCAATCCCGTAATTAGCCCCATCGACAATCCCTGTAGGGTATGCGAAGGGCCGATTGTAATACTGTTACCGGTGTGTCTCCTTGTCCCCGAGCGGCAAAAATAATCAGAATCAGAATCAGAATCGCAGGCAACTACTGCGAGAGAGCAATCGGCTTGAGCTTCACGGAGGCGATTCATCTTCTCGGCGCCACTCCGGCGATTCTCCGATTATGGTCGGACGGCGTGGCTTGCCGCTTCGCAGACACGGCCCGACCGCCGATGCTTCCTCTCCAGACCAAAATAAAATAATATTCTAGAAGCAGAATGACCATCAGTATACTCTGTTCGCGGGTGCAGTTCTCACAGGTATTCATTCTAATACCGGGGTGGTACATGAAATACACCCCCTCTACGCGAGGTATCGTTTCTAGCCTCCAACCCCTCCATCTGCTTATCGATAAGCGCCGTCCTCCGCTCCTTCCCCGGACTACGGTCGTCCGCCCACAAAAGCGGGCTGTACAGCATACGGAGCACTCCTGCCCGACATCCCTGCTCTCTCCTTCACTTTCCTCCCCCGACGCTGCATGGCCTGGTAGCGGTGCGACGCTAGTCAATCGTTTTCTTTCAACGGTAGACATCACGTTTTCCCACATCCATTCAACAGCAGGATAGGGTGACATCATCGCGGGGTACAGCATCGCGGCCAGTTCGAGCCCTCTACGTACTAGGTAGGTGTATTGGGGTGACTATCTTCGTACTTCCTTCCCGCGTTCTTGAAGTGATTATCCCGCAATTCCCCCGGACAAAGCGCCAGTTAGGGGTTCGAGTCATTTTACCAAAGACTCGGCGACATAGATAGAAGGTAATCGCGGGAGAGAAACCTGGTTGACGAGCTAGTCAGTTACTAAAACGGAGCGATTTCGAGGCGCAGCAAGTATAGGAACGGATCAAAGAGGAAGGAATTTTAGAAAAAAAATGGCGACAAACAAAGGGGCGTATCCGAAACTCCCCCAAAAGCTCCTCCTCATCTCTCTGAAGATGTACTTTACCCCGTCCCGCACCCTGAACTACCTGCGCGGCCTGCTTGACCCAAAGAACGAAATCGTCGTCCCGAAGAACCGATCCAAGATCCTCCTCGCCCTGATCCCCGACTTCCTCACCGTCTACCCAAGCGCGGAGATCATTCGGGATTGGCAATCGAATCTTCCGGATGCCAATGATCCCAACCAGCCGCCGCTATTCTTGTTGGGAGCCCAGGACTCCTTCTGGGAACCGCTGGGCGCCTATACCGGTGAGGTCTCACCACTCGCACTCCGTGAGGTGGGCGTATCCATCGTCGAGTTGGGCCACGCCGAGCGGCGTTCGATCTTCGGGGAAACGGACGAGCAGACTGCCAAAAAGGCCGCTGCAGTCTCTGCACAAGGCTTAATACCGCTTGTGTGTATCGGAGAAGTGAGTCCTCCGGGCCCAGTGGCATCTGAAGCTATTGGCCTCGCCGTTCGCGAATGTGAGGTCCAGGTCCGCGCAGTGTTGGACGCCATTCCGGCAGATGCACCGGTGATCTTTGCATATGAACCCGTATGGGCGATCGGCAAACCCGCCCCAGCCGGCGTGGACCACATCTCTGCCGTCGTAGACGGCATTCGGGCCGTCATCGGGAAACGGGAAGGTGACGTCAAGGTTCTATATGGCGGCAGCGCAGGCCCCGGTCTTTGGGGCAAAGGAGGCCTTGGTAAAGCCGTGGACGGAATGTTCCTGGGCAGATTCGCCCACGAAATCGAGGGCGTTAGGAAAGTTGTGAGAGAGGTCGAAGAGAGCCTCTGAAGGATGACATAATAAAATCCAACTGCATGCATTTGCCCAAAGACGAAGGCGGCATTTTGGAGACATAATAATGATATAAACAGTATGTAGTGAGTTATCTTTAGAGTGCATAAGGATATCATGAATGCATCAATTATGTGATCCGCTGGCTCAATTCAATTAAAGAAGTTACACGCCCTTTCGAATGCTTCAATTATCATTATCGCTTACCACCATCTATTCACTGGAACGCTGTGTATATTTCTTCTTCTATCATTCAAGAGAGAAAAAAAGCACCAACTAACTGTTCATATTTATCGAGAGATTCTCTCGTCTATTTTTGTTCCTTTTCCGCACGCAATTCATTCTTGACTCGCGTGACGGTCCCAACTCCACCGTACACAACAGCGGTGTACATCATTGCGACAGAGGCACCCGCATCAAGGACAGCTTGCGCCTGTTTCCCGTTGGTGATACCGCCAGAGGCAAAGATCACCTTGGGTCCCTCCTGACTGTCAAGCATGGCACGATACCGCGCTACGAGGGCCACAGTGCGGTCGAACAGCTGAGGGCCGGAGTACCCGCCCGTCTCCTTGAGGACATCCTGTTCACTCGGGGGGAGAACGAATCCCTTTGGCAGCGGATCCGGTCGGCGGTTCGTCGTGTTTCCCACGATGACTCCGTCGACTCCCGACTCGCGCACCGCGTGGCAAATTCCTGCAACCTGCTCGCCCGAGTCTTCGTCCGGGCTCACTTTCACCATCACGTACGGCTTTGTCTTGCGATCGGTCTTCTTGGCTGCGTCTACGACGCCCTTCAGGATCGCTGTGAGCGGCGCTGTAGCCTGCAGATCGCGCAGGCCAGGAGTGTTCGGACTGGAGACATTGACCACCAGAATGTCTGCATACTTGCCCAACCGCTCAACGCAATATACATAGTCCCGCGTCACGGCTTCGATGTCTGACTCGGGAGTGATCTTGTTTTTCGCGATCTGGACCGCCAGGAGTTTGCCCTCTTTCAGACTTCCCGGGGGAACACCCGCCTCGCCATTCAACACGCGCTCTTCCGCAATGTCATGAAGACCAAAGCCATTGGCGTAGGCAAAGGCGCGAACACGCTCTTTCAGTACAGCAGCCATGTGGTCGGCTCCCAGGGAATTGAGACCATACCGGTTTATCATGGCAGACTGCGAAGGAAGTCTGAACACACGAGGCTTTGGATTTCCTTCCTGGGGCAACGGCGTCGTTCCTCCCACTTCGACAATAGCCGGGCCCAACGCGAACAGAGGATCAGGGATGTCGGCGTGCTTGTCTAGGCCACCTGAGATTCCAATTGGATTGGAAAGAGTGTATCCGAAGACCTGATAAAAAGAAAAAGCTTCTGAGCAAGACAGTCCTAGCAGTCGTCTGCATGACAGGAAAATAATACCTCAGTTGACAAGCTGCCATCCTGGTCAGGACCGTCCCGCTCCCGGGGATGAAGCCCTAAATTGTATAACTTCTTGAGAGCAGCCACTCCAGCATGATGTGCATCCTCAGCATCTGGATAAATCCACCGGATGAGCGGGACCACAACGTATCGGTGTACACTGGCTCTGGTATCCGTGAGATAGAAGTATCCCCCCACGATGACGATGGCTAGCGACGTGCGGAAGAGGGCTTTTCTGAAGCTATTATTATTACCCGTCGTCTTCGTCCTGATGGGTTGTTCGCTGGACGTCTCTGCAGTCGAAGCATTTCTTACGCTTGTTCGTGGCAGAGAACTGCGCTGCAGCTGTTGCAGGAGGTACGGCCGATGGCAGCGGCGGGGAAATGCCAGTGCGGGAGATCTCGGGTTCAGAGGGAGCGGCCGGAAAACGAAGCGAGCAGAGCTTGCGGTCATGGCGATTTAAATATAATAAATTGAGTCGCTAGAGAAACATCGGATAAATTTATAGTTAAACGATCTGTTAGAAGAAAGAAGAGTGTCAGCACGGCATGTATGTACTCCGTACAGGTTATGTAGATGTATCCAGTCGTTCAACCGAAACCTTCACGAGGGGCAAACGCAATTGAAGCAGAACTCTGAACCCATGACTGTCTAAGACGCATTACTTACAGATATCAATCCAATTAGCCTTAAAAAGCACCGCCCAAGAACCAGGACACAAACTCAGCTGCTCACATTGGACATCTCAACGTCCATCCACGAAGAGAGGTTCCGGCAATTGAAGCGCTTCTGTTGCTGCCGCTCTTCCCTTGACGCGGGCTTTCAAAGGCGGTGATATTTTTTCTGCCGGCAGAACTGGAACAGTGACGTATCGAGCGGTGAGGCTAAATTTAAGGGGACTTTTCGATCTTCAACAATCAAACTACAGCAGTGAATTGCGCACTCCCCTTCGATTCCTCTGCCATGCCTCAGATGCATTTTTAAGCGATTTGAGGGAATTTGGCTTGGCTTGAAACGGCACGTGAGTCGTAACTGCCTCATCGGGGAAAGGCTCGTATTCGCCAAACTTGCTTGCTGTGGGAGTAGCACTGCTCAGCCATGCCAGCAATGCAACATGGAACGCCTTGGGCGTCTTTATCGCTCATAAGAGAGAATTACTTTAGTGTGATACTTGCCAGCCAAGCCTCACAAGTCTGAGAGATGCATTTGTCGAATGCAATTGCAGATAATCTGATCAGTCACAAGCATCGCAAATATATTGCCAAGATTTCCTCTATCTCCAGTTGAATGTGAAAAATGGTTTGCATACTTATTATGACTTGCGTTAGGCTATCTGAAAAATACCTTTCGCAAGCAGTCTCAGCCTTGAACGCTATGGTACGGATGGAAGATGTTTCATAGAGAAAATCCAGTGGACACAGCTAGATTGGAGATTTTGAACCTGCTGCCCAACAATAATTATTATTATTCCTTCTTGAGCAAAGTTCATCTGTCTGGTGAAAAGAGAGCTAGATCTGGATGCTTGTAGCTTAGATTATCTGATTATTAGCTGGTGTGGGGCCTCCAAGGCTGATTCTGGTCTTGTTAACGTGCGTTAAGAAGCCGCGTCATTGAATAGAATAGTCAATAAGCCCCGGCATAGCACCTCGGCAGTATCCCTGTCAGTCCTTCTCTATCGGTCACACGGTGCATGATCAAGAACCAGGATGAAGGTCTAGCAAGCATCCCCTGACAACATGGAGCGGAATGATTCGAGATTGATCAGTAAAAGTTTGTGACAGAGTGCACTATTTACTAGTAGACAAGCATGTATTATTGACATAGATTCCCCCTGATTAATGAGGGTACAGACCTTGACAGAGCTACCCAGATACATCGCATATACTCTGCCCCCTTTAAGAACTACGTAACTGCCACTAGCTATACTATGTGGAGCACTTGAATGTCTGATGCAATCTGGATTGACGGAACTCAGTGCACATCTGGCAAGATTGCGCGTCATTAATTCTTTAGGAGATTTTATCAGTATATACAGAGTACTTAAACAGTCTCAGGGGCCAAAGAATTTTCCGGTTGGGGCCGGCTTGACGGGGCCATGCTTCCAGCCCGTCCGGTTCGACAGCAGCTGGCGATCTTCGCTGAGTGGATCGAGCTAAACAAAGATTCACTCCGCAGCGTTGTATCTGGCGTGATCGCCTAAAATTCCTTGGAAATCCTACCGTTACCCTAACAGGGGCAGAAACCCATGTAGCAGGTTGTTTTGACCGGTCGATCACTGCCGATCTGCCATGAGCTCCAACTTGTGGATTTCGAGCTTCCACTTCGGACCGCACGTCTTGATAAGAGGCAAATGCATATATATCTCGACTGTTGCAATGTGCCGGAGGACCGTTCGTACAGCAGTCGCACTTGCGAGAAGCTACGATCACTCTCCAGGATAGCCAGCTTCTCAGTTGAATGCCTCTGGTAGCTATGAGGGCTTTGTCCGTCTCCCTCTCTTTGCTCGCCATGCTGGCCGGCAGCGCACTGGTACGATCCGAACCGATTCCGGATTATGCGTTGAAGTACGCTCCCTACACGCATCTCTACAGCGGGGAGTCGTGGTGGCCGTCCGACATCTCGACCCATCTCCAGAATACCATCCCCGAGGCCAACTCCACCGTTCTTGGACCGGCCGGAAGTGCGACGGTGAAGAATCTGGATACGTATCCTTCCAACGATGTATATCTCACTTCCAAGGACAACGTTTTCGACAACCCTGCGTGGCTGCTGTCTACGGACAACAAGCCGGACAGCAATGGGTACTCCAAAGCCCCGGCGACTCTGATCGCCGTCGACAAAGGCAACGGCACCGTTGACGTGTTTTACTTTTATTTCTACTCTTACAACCATGGCAACGAGTACGAAGAACCTCCATCCCCAAGCATGTTAGACAACGACAGCTGATGATCTCGCAGCTTCCTGAACAAAACCTATGGTAACCACGTCGGTGACTGGGAGCACACCATGGTGCGATACTTCAATGGAACTCCTGCATACATCTATCTCTCCGCACACGATGGCGGAAGAGCGTATAACTACTCGGCTCTCGAGCAAACGGACGGTCGTGCAACAACCTACGTCGCTGTTGGGACCCATGCGAACTACGCAACCGCCGGCCAGCAGGATTACGACTTGCCATTCGGCCTGCTTCATGACACGACGGACAAGGGACCTTTCTGGGATGTTACGCAGAACTATCGAGGGTAAGATAGTGGCCACTCGGCCAGCTGACAATGTAGATTCAAGTCTGACTGACTTTTTTCTTCTCTTCAACATGTTTAGATTCTGGTTTGACAACAGCACCCAGACCTTCAGCTCAGCCGGCGGCAAGTCTACCGGCGGCGAAGAGCAAGCGTCAGAGGGTGCAGACTGGCTGAAATGGTTGGGCTATTGGGGAGATGAACAGTATCCCGACACCGACCCGCGACAATACTGCATCTTGGACATCGAGTGCGCCTTTGTCAGTGGACCCACCGGTCCTATAGCTAAGAATCTGGGACGCACTGCAGTGTGCCAAAAGGAGGACGATTGCAAGATTGAGGACTCGCTGTGAAGAGCTTTCTCTGGTTCACTTGGAGTCTCATGCCCGCACGTCTATGGGAGATCGGATCTTCATGCACGTACGCAATATGAGTGACCTAGGTTATGCATGCAGCTAGAACGATGTGACGTTGAAACGTGCGTCTGGAAGCTAATGCCTATTCTGAGCCACTTGCGGCGATTTTATAGAGTATTAATAATAATTATGATTCTATCCCAAAAAGGTTCTGAAGATCTGCAAGTAACTTGCTTCAACTTTTAACCGACGGAATACTTCCGCCGCTGCATCTGGTGCTGACAAAGATCACCCACTTCTAGAATGGATTCAATAGTATATATAGGAAACCAATATAATTCTTTTGTCTTTCCAAACATCGAGTAAATAACAGAAGACAAGCGCAAGACTGATAAAAGAACTGCATCCCAATCATGGCTAGATTAATCGCTGTGACGGGCGCCACTGGCAACCAAGGTGCGTTGCGTCCAGCTTCCTTGTAATCAAACTAACTATTCAGGAAGCTCAGAAATTCTTTTTTTTCTAACCACAAGAAATAAATAGGTGGCTCGGTTGCCAAGCTTCTCCTCCAATTCCCCGAACTATATCGCGTGCGGGCTCTGACGCGCAACCCGGACTCGGAACCCGCGAAGAAGCTGGCCCAATTGGGCGCTGAAATCGTCAAAGCTGATCTCACGGCCCCTTCGGATCTCCCACCTGCTCTACGTGGATGCTGGGGAGTGTTTGGAGTGACGAACTTCTACGATACGGTACTAATAGCACCTCCCATCGTTGAACAACAAGGCAAAGTTTGGAATGACACTAAATGAAGACATAGAAAATCAAGGACGATCCTGGCAGCGAGGAGCAGCAGGGGAAGAACCTGGCCAAAGCCGCCCTCGAAGAAGGAGTCCAATGTTTCGTATGGAGCACCCTGCCGAGTTCTGCGAAATTGTCAGCCGGTCAGTTGGTCTCTCGGATCTATGAGGGTGAGTCTTGTCAAAAGGCAAATGGGATGATGTCAACTGGTGCTGACAGAAGTCCAGGAAAGCACCATGTCGACGACTATATCCGCGAGACGGGGTTGCCAGCTACGTTTGTCTACACGGGCAACTTTTACGAGAACATGGTTTTCAGAAGCCATGTGCAGTATGACAGTGAGAAAGATGTAATCGAATTCCGGCAGCCGATCATTTTGCCGGAGACAAAGTGTACGTACGAGTCATTCTCCTTGCGTGTTTCAAAGGGACAATTGACTGACGAAGCACACCATTTCAGTGGCCATGTTGTACGTTGAAAAGGACCTGGCGGCAATCGTCAAAGCCATCTTCGATAATTGGGACTCGAAGCGAGAAAAGCTTCTGCATAGCTACCTTTACGCTTCAAACGCGAGGGTAGCACCTACGGACATCACGTCAGCGATTGAGAAAAGTAAGTCGTTTCCCCTCGACTCTACTCGAAGAATAAGATCTGCATATTGACATGTTTTCGCCCCTCTCAACGCTTCAAGTCTCCGGCAAGCGCACGATATATACAGTCATCCCAACTACCGGGGTTCCGGATCGAGACATTATGTTTCAGCTCTACAACCGCGTTGGCATGTATCCGGGGAAGGAGATACCGGATGAGAACGTTCTTGCGCTCGGCGTCAAATTGCACTCTGTGGAGGATTTTATTCGCGACAGGTTGCTCCCGCACCTCGGGTTGCAGTCTGTGAATTGATCTGGAGATGATCAATGAAAAAAAAGGCAGTTGGTATAGGATATATCTGGTGAAAAGCATTTAAATCACCAAACTTTACTTGGATTATAAGGAGAATAAAGTCAATATTTTCTCGACATAACGTAAGGGCGTGGAAAGACGAAAGGTTCTCGCATTATTCGGCAAAAACCAAGAACGAACCCTAAGGATGGCGATTGCATTTCAGGACATCCAGGACATCGACATCGAATCTGTCTAGAACTACAAATACAATCAAAACTGTTCTAACAAGATTCTCGCCACCAACAACAACCTTAAGTTTGGAGATATACTTTCCACTGCGTGCGATCCGGATACTCAAGCATACCTTCACTGTGACGTCAAAAAGCTACTCAGTCAATCCAAACCCAACGTTCTCCAATTCCCTCCTCAATTCCAATGTTCCAGATAACGAAGAAAACACCATATTCCTTATTACTTAATAAAAATACTTCCCCCAAAATGGCATCCTACCTAATCACCGGTGCTTCGTGCGGTCTCGGATTAGCGTTGGTGAAGGTCCTCCTGGATGAATCACCAGAGAAGATCTTCCAGGTCATCGCCACGTGTCGAGAGGAAAGCCCGGATCTGCGGAAACTCAAGCAGGACAATAAGGACCGTCTGTTCGTGGTCGGGATGAATATCATGGAGGAGGACAGCATCCGACAGGCGGTGGCCCAGGTCGAGGAGATTACGGGGAAGGGGTTGGATATCCTGATCAACAATGCTGGCATCATGAATGAGACTCTGGGTGGTATCACCGAGATGTATGTCTGTCCGTCTGTTTTAAGACAACGTTGTTTATGACTTACATCGACTGCAGGAATGATCTTGTGCCCACTTTCTGTGCCAACGTCAACAGCGTCCATCTCGTGACGAGGGCGTTTCTGCCATTGTTGCGTAACGGGAAGGAGAGAAAAGTGCTCAACATGTAAGGCTTGTTTTCCCCCAAAGTAATCATTTTCTCACATCACCAGTTCTTCGTCTATGGGATCCATTGCTCTGGCTTCCCAATACACTAATCAGGCAGCTCCGGCATACAAAATCTCAAAGACAGCCTTGAACATGCTCACCGTGCAATATGCCCTCGAATTCGGCAAAGAAGGACTGATCTTCATTCTCGCGAACCCCGGAGTAAGTATTCCAACTAGAAAACAAGATATGTGAGTGACTAATCCCAGTCCACTCGACTAGTGGCTGCAAACCGATCTCTGCTCTACAGCGGCAGACCTGCCAGCAGGAACTGGGGCAAAGGCTGTCTTGGAGATCCTGCACAACGCCTCGGCGAATGACAATGGCCGTTTCTTCAACATCAACGTTCCTACTTGGACACCCCAGCCGGGTCAGAACGAGTATAGGGGAGGCATCATCCCATGGTAGATCAGAGAAAACTCTCTTCAACACGATTTTCTGGAAAGAATACCTTAGAAAGCTGTTTGTTCTTTCTTGATGATAAATAGTACGAACGGTGCCTGAAAATCAACCTGTGGAGATAGAAGTCTTTGCCTTTAAAATTGAAACTTGAGATTGAAACTCAGATCCAGTTTATTAGATTAGGTAGTAAGGATGTTTTTTCAGGAGCAGACCCCTACCACTCAGGCACGAACCACACCTCCACCTAAGATCTGTGTTACTTGGCGGGCATTGCGCAAGCCTTTCTACCAAAGTGACACGATAGATAGAGTCATGCTCCAATTGATCTGTCTTGAAGCAAAGAGCCCCAATCGGAAGGTAGGATGGATAGAACTGAGTGCCCAAGGCGTCCAGACTATCGAGTCTCTGTCATTCGTGCAGCAGGAATCACATGTTGAGCACGGGACGCGCCGTCTGGGGAAGGAAGGACCCATGTCAAGGATCAGAAAAGAATTGTCTGAGAGAAGAAGATACCTTCCGATCTTCACATCACGAATGCTCTTTCCAGGACCCTCCATGAATGCTTCACAAGGAAACACAAACTATTACTATCTTGCAAACCCCGTCAGCCCGATCCTCTTTACTATCCCGGCAACATGGCTTTCTTCAAAGACACTCTGGTGTCACAGATTCAATTCTCGACTAGGTAGCGTGGTTGACGTTACGAAGTCTTGACAAATCTTAGGCGGTGAGCCTTCCAGATGCAATTGGTCCAGTTCACGTTTCACTGACAAAGTAAGGACATGAGTTATAGACCAACCACACTATCAAGAGTTCTCGTCCCCCTCTTCGAATAGACAGCTTCAGCATCTTCGTACATGTACGAATGCGTTTGTGCTAGCACCCATCAAACCAACAAAGAAAAGAAGACTCTCTCCTGCATCGGAGAGTAGATAAAATACAGTTAACTGTCTATAGTGGCGTGTGTTTCACATCACGCATGTGTCAATTCAAGCGTCACGAGCTTTCCCTGGTGTGGAAAATTTGGCGAAATCAACATTGAATTTCTCGATCGTCTCATTTTTTTAAACAGGGATCTATGCAGATCTCAGAACAGGAGGTATCTATCTTCTGACGATAAAAATCTCACATGACCATCTTTGATAGGCTACTTGACGGATACATGCATCAACTCTATTCTTTTGTCGTCATACCTTTTCCTGCCGATTTCATCTTTGACGAATAATTTCATTGGGTCAAGTTCTTCACAGGATATCTGCATAGACATGAAATAGTCTGTGGACCGCAGCTACCTCCTGCACGGTACCTATTCCGCGAAATGATTTAGCCACTCAGCTAGCCAATGCTGAGGACATTGTCAGCATCCAAACTTGTGTGCATGAATGGCTTGACGTCAGATATGAATCCGCATTGCATTAAGCTTAAGCTTATTCGTGGAGCCTCTCCTGAATGTATCACGCAGTTGGCAGACCCCTGGTGTGGATCTTAGAGCTTGGACTCTCCTGCATACACATCCTCAGGGTCGTCCTATGCATTTTCAATCCCTTCTATGACAAATGGGATGCGGGCTTAGCCGCTACGATCCTTGTCGGAAGGTGATAAACATTGCATTACGACTTATGATGGGTTCGGCACGAAAAAGAGGTCGAAGATTGTCCCATTACTGGGCTAACTGCAGCACTGACGGGTCTTCATGAAAGGCATAGAAAACTGTAAAGTCCCCATCTGGCGAGAAGGAAATGTGATAGCTCGAATAGCTAAAGTCGAAACTTTTTTTGCTCCTTTGCGTGAATACAACCTATTCGTCCAGACATCAAGTATCTTTTTACAGGGCCACGTTTGACCTAGAACCAGGAACGCTGTGCATCTGAATCAGGGTTTCATAATTTGGCTGTGGGGTCTCGGCTACGCAGCAGCTGTATGTACATTCTAGGGTTACGACGACGACTCATTGCGTACCGATATTGCGGGGACGACCAGGCCGGTGTTTCGCCATGGCTGAGAACCGACAAAGCGTGCAAGACGGGAGTCAGCGTTTTGACGTGGTTCAGCAACCTCGTCGCTTTGCTTGTGATCGATGTCGAATGCAAAAAGTACGGTGCGAAAGGGACGTTTGGAGGCCCTACCTCATGCCGTGTAGGCGCTGTTGCAAAGCAGGCGTGGTTTGCATGATCACTTCAACTGTCAACCGTTCCATCCCGAAGCGGTCAAAGCAGAGAGTCAAGCCAGCTGTAGCAGCAGGGACCAAGGTTCGCGATTCCCTGAACGGACCGGAGGCAACGGGTTGCTCCTCTAAATTACCTGGACAAAAGTCTGAGAAATCTTCATCCTTTGTGGGCAGTGATTTATGGAATACCCCGGACCAAGAAGTCTCTACTGGACCTTCGTCGATGCAGAGGATGTTGATAGATCCATCGAACACCCCCGCAAAGCCTGATTACATCCTTGATGAAGACTCTCAGCAGAGCCTCGATTTGGGGGGCGTGAACATAGCTCTCTTTTCGGGGCTAATCACGCCTCCATCCTCGGATGCAGAGCGTGAACATCAGACACCTTATTCGAGTTCCAACCTTCCCTCCCATTCACAGGGATGGGAGAACCTTGCAGACTCTCGTGAAAAAATTCAAAACAGTGGTATGCATCACGTTGAATATGGAACTAGTAAGTCTTGGACAGTGCTTGGAGTTCGGTGCTGTGGAATGAAAAACTGACATGTTTTTCGCAGATAAACCATGTTCAACCAACATGTATGACGATAAGCAAATTCTGGAGCATGACTGTTGTGGAAAATTCTTTGAATTGAATCTCCGGTTAATGGAGTGCCAACGGATTGTTTCCCAGGAACTCGCAGTGCTGCAGTCTTCAAAGCCAGCGATGTCCACGGCGAACTACGACGCGAACTACGACAGCTCGACTGCTCTGGATTCTGCAGTACGGACTGCGCGGAGATTTTCGGAGCAATTTATACACTTTCTCACACTCTCTACCCGCACGAGAGTCTTCCAATCTCCATCTCAGGCTTTCCCTGCGTCGGATACGACGAAGACGGCTGCTCCTCAGATGTCAAATGCAGCTCAAGAATTCAATCAGGATTATCCTCAGCACCATGCGTCTTTTCCGTTATCTTTTGATGAGTGTGGGTCAAGTCAAAGAGCAACCATTGTCCCATTACACCCACAAGATGCACGAGCTGACGGCTACGAGCCGCGAAGTGGTCCCAATAATGTGGACATATCCACGATACTTGTCCTTATAAACTGTTATATTTGCCTTGTCGGGGTCTATCACGCCATATTTGCACGCATCTTGCAGGATCTGGATACATGTGTCTCACCAACGTTGCCAGGGTCGTTTCCGACTTTCGCAGTTAATACTATGGACCCAAGCCGGGAATTGCGGTTACAAGCTCTCTTTCACGAGAGCATGCATATGCTGATTCAGATCGAAGCTCGCCTGGGTCTGCCCGAACGACACCGCATCTTCGTAATGCACGGATTTGAAAACGGGGTTCTTTCAACCCCCGTTGCGGTGGCCCTTTTGGATGCTCTTTCCAGTCAAGGGTATGGCGTATATGGGAATGACCCAGGAAGTGGGAAAAGGTCGTTGAAGGAAATAATTGAGATCATAACCCAATTCTTAAAACCGGTCTAGGAGTGCTGACAGCTCGATCCATGTGTTTACCGCAGCGCAAGGAATTTTTTTTTTGTGTGCAAAAAAAAGTATCTATAACTTCTTTTATTGTATCTGACCTGAGGGCTTATCATCTTTAATTTAATTGCTTATTTTTACCTTTCTGGGAGGCAATCATTTGTTGCGTTGAGACCGGAGAGCCAGGTATGGTTACTTCAAGAGTTCAATTTCGAGATCGTCACTGAAACTAGGTCTAGAAGAAAATCAAAAGACAAACAATTCAACATTGTAATTATATCTGCGCGTATTAACATGGGAAATTTTTTTGGGCAATCTTATCAGATCAACTACTAGGGCGGTATTTCCGCACGAAGATCTACGACATACGTAATTAGTATTCCGAATTCGATATCATCTTTGGTCCTCCCTTTCTCCTGCCATCATCGTTTGATAGATGTCTGGCATGCCGTGTTTAGACTTTGTACACATGAAGACTTGCATCCGGACCTACTCGATTCCTTCGCTTCAGGCCCGCCACAAAGCCCACTGTCCCCAGATGAGATTGGATCGTACATACATACTATCGTACATACCATCTAAGTCCTCTTCGACGGTGCCGATTACTCATACGTACGGAAAATCCTTGTAAGTCTATGGACCTTGATACCCTTCTGGAAGGATTTCCCAGCGTTAGATACGCACTAATGCGCCAAGACGCCCGATATCCTGGATGCAATCACAGGATGGAATGATATGCATAGTACAGTATTGGTGCACATCTGCATATGCAGTAACAAGATCTGAATACATAAGAGTATATCACATTAACAATAACGACCGTGCGGGGAAGAAAGAGTCGACAATAGCGAGAATGCCAACCGCCGCGATGGCCCTGTGACCGATGATAAAAGCGTCTGGCGTGATTGGTGGCCTGGCCTGGTCTCCGGCTCTCCGGCTGGATGGATCCCGAGTTTTCCCTACGGACGCATCACTGCTCTTCCTTCCATCATCGCCTTGCCTCCATCGTGACCGTCATTTAAGACAATCTGAGAGACGTTTTTGCCAATCAGCTAGTTTCTTTGACCGTGTCTGGTCTTTTTTTTGTGGCAGACACCATACGATTGCATCGCGTCGGGCACTCCTCCGCCTTGCATCCATCGCAAACGTCATCAACCGCCTTGATCGCTTTCCCCAGACCGTTCCAGCCTATCTACTGGCAGGCGCCCTTCCACTCCGCCGGGTCCCCACAGGGCTGCTCAGCATCTTAAGTTGCCTGGCCTTCGTGGATCCAGACGGGAGTGCTCGGATTTTCTTCGTCGTACCCGCATGCATCGGCTGTCAAGGTCCTAGCCGCCGTTAATAAATCCTCCTCGTCTCCCCACGTCGATTAAACTTGGACACCGTTGAGCTAAGATAAGATCCGCGGCTGTATCGAGAGAAGCACGTCCGGACTACAGTCCACTGCCGTCCTCCTCCTCAACCAACCCATCCGAGAATCTCAGGGTTTATTCTGAGTGATCGAATCGAGAAACGACATCCTCAGATGTCCCATCCAGCGCCGTCGATGTCTACGAATCGACCCTTCCTGGCGAACTTCCTCGCCGCCTTCCGAGCACAGTCAGCGTTTAAAGCTTTGTCAGTGGGAGGCCACTCTGCCAGTGGCCCCTCCTCGTCCCTGTCATCGTCGTCACAACTATCCTCCAGAACGATAGCCACAAAGGCCAACAATAATGGGTCATCATCATCTTCGACGGCGTCGACAACGACAACACAACAACAACAACAATCACGACCTCACTCTAACAGCCGCTCTTCCCCTCTGAGTCCTTCCGCCACAAACGAAGCATCCTCCTGTTCCTCTTCCTCTTCTTCCTCCTCCTCCTCCTCCTCCTCCTCCTCCTCCTCAACGACACCACTCTCTCCGACATCATCCTCATCATCCTCGACGCCAATTCCCATCGTCTACAACCACGACCGCCACCGTCGCGGAAGCGACAGCTCAAGCGGCTCAGGCGGGTTCCGAGACGCCCTAGGACCGGAGAAGTGGTACATCGGCGGGCGGACACCGGGCGGCGAAGAACGGTTCTACCGACTGGGGATGGTGACTAAGGGAGGAGGCCGACTGGGTGCGAGAGGTCGGGTGGGCAGTGTAGACCAGCTGAGTTTGTGATGACAAACATTAAAAAAAAGAAAGAAAGAAATGGAAACGGAAATGGGAAATGGAATTGGATGAAATTTCATGTCTCTTCTCTGCCTATGCTATGCTATGGGTATGCCTGTTATTATTCTCACTACTCTACTCTACTCCTACTGTATGTCATATTATACTACTACTATGGGAAGCAAAACAGACTATTTGCTCTTTTTTTTCCTGTCTTCCTTTTTTAATAAATCTTCTGATATCGTTCTTTCCTCTGTTCCTTTTTCCCTTTTCCCCCTTCCCTTCGTCATCACTTTCTCATCACCACCATCCTCATCATCAATGTCAATCATCGACGGTGTTCAACGGAGTTAAACGGAGTTGAAATTTAAGGCGCAAAGAAAGGCGGAAAGAGAAGAGAAGAGAAGAGAAAAAGAGAGTGTGAAGAAAGAGAGAAAAGGAGCTGTTCCTATTCACTTACTTGGAAGACCTAAGAAGAAAGATCAATCAAATCAAATCAATGCTCGCTATTCTTGCTGTTAACATAATTGCACACTCTTCCCTCCTCTCCCAATTGAATTACTTACTTACTTACGGCCAAGAGAAATTACACGTTCTATATGAATACAAATATGAATATGAATATCATCAATCACTCATGATTCATCAGAGTGATCAATAGAAATCTCTTTCTTTCTTCATTTTTTTTGCTACTATGATCTACGGTCCTTAAATCAGATCAGATCAGATCAGATCAGTCAGTAGACCAGACTCGACTGCCCCAAGAGTCAGTCAGTTACTTATCAGTCAGTCACAGTTAAAGAAAAGGAAACTCGAAAGGGAATAAAAAAAAGCTTGAATGAGCATGTATCTATGGATGTGCTGTACTGTGCGATATGTTAACAATCTATCGATGAAGATAAGACACACCCATTGCTAAGAGTCAGACAGATCACATCGAATTAGATATCTAGATGTCTATTTGTTCATTTGTTCATTTATTCATTCATTTGATTCGAGAAACGAACAGATAGTAGTAGATCGATCGTACTGATGGTTGGCTGGATGGATGGGTTTAATCAACTTCCTACCTAATTATACTACTCTGCTGCATAGTTGACTACCATCGTTGTACAGTACGGCACAGTAGTACGGAGTAGGATGATGATGACCAGACTAAAGCCAACTCGATTCTGGTTTATCTTCCCTTGCCATTTGTGCAGTCTATTTCTACTATGCTCATTACAAAAACATATTTTTATAACCTTTTTCCCGTTTTTTCCTTTTTTTTCTTTTCCGCTCTTCCTCATTCTGTTCTCTTTCGATTTGCTCCTAGAAATAGCCATGCAGAGATTTCCTAGGTAGAACAAATCGAAGGCACAGACGGAAGAGCACCAACAAAACAAACACAATCTCGAGCATGTAGAAAATTGGAAAGGGAGTAACAGGGCGTCGCTGACATCGCTGCCTGGTATAAACTGAAGACGTATCTGCTCCCAACAGACATGTCAATCAGAAAACCTCAACGGTTAAATGTCAAGCCGAATACAACCCAGGGCGCATGACGCCAGACACGCTTCTTCGGCTGCACTTGGAAAGAGAAAATGACACAAACACAGCGGCAGCGAAGCAGAAATCACAAAATGACAGTTCACACAAACAGATAAAAAAAAAGACAAATTCCCACCCAATTTCTCTTCCCGAGGAAAGTAAAATATGTCCTGTGCAGAGAAATGATAAGAGACACTTTAGGTACATAGTCGAGTTTGTTACTGATTTGGCGGCCGTAGACAAAATGCGACATAACCCGATGACTCTCCTTTTTTTTTTGTCTCCGGTTGAAACTCGAGAGAACTTTCACACCCAACAGAAGGAGAAACAAATCTGAAAATATGATAACAGCCCCGCCCTCAACTTCTATGCCTTTTTGGTAAGATAGAAGCAAGAGAGTATGGAAACCTGAAACACACACAAAAACACACGCCCCAGTCTATTGATGTTTTTGACGCCAGTGAAACCGTCCCCACCATCTTAACCACTCATGACAGATGAAAAGCGAGAAAGATGTTGCATATCATGGCCGTATCATACTTGCTGCACAGGAATGCTGATCGTGCAAAGAACGAGGAAGAAGACAGACCTTCTCCTGCCCACATGTGTCGCCACAACAGAGTCGATTCTTGATTCGGTTAAGAGATGTCACGCCGGTCCTCCAGAATTCGCCATTTTGTCGACACGCCTCCAGCTGGAATCAACCAAACTCCTGATTAAAAATCATATGATGGAAACGCAGATTCCGGATGAAGAAGATTGACAAGGATAACGAGATGGAAAACTCTCACACATGGAGGAAAAGGACAAAAGGCAACCTTCAAAAAAGACTGAAAGACAGGCACGGAACTTGGAAGATGGATCGTCGAGGTGGTCAAAAGGCGAAGCAATCACAAAGTCATCGAAATTTATATGTTGCAGGATGGACTCTGTCGTAGGACTCATGACTTCAGCGGCAGACAAAGGCCATATATTCTCCCCCGTTATTCACGGTCAGGCATCCCTAGAAAGAAAGAAAGAAAAAAAAGCCCCGGTTTATTGTCTAGCGGGTTGGACAGATCCTATATTCCAGCAGAAGACAAGTCAATTCACGAAGTTCTTAAGTGGCAAGAGGTTCCTGTGCCTGTGGCTGTGGCTGTGTCTGCTCAACCCTCTGGACACCGTTGGGATCACGCATACCGTCACCGCCCAAGCTGGTCGAGGCTAGATACAGCCCGTTCAATCCACCGTCCTGATGTCCAGCGGTCGTGGCCGGGTAGAATTTCCTGTCAGGGTCGACCTGCGTGTTGATGGGCTCGTGGCCGGGTGCCATGGACTGCGGAAAGACCGGGTTCATATATCCATCGGGTGCCCCGGGCTGGAACATGGTCGTCCAGTCAATTTCACCGGTCTGGTTCGGTTGCTGTCCCGGTTGCTGTCCCGGTTGCTGTCCGGGCATGACCGGACGCTTGGGGTCTTGGACAATGGGAGGTTGAGCTTGAGGTTGGGGTTGAGGTTGAGGTTGAGGTTTTGCCTGCTCGAGCGGGGGACGGTCAATATTATTCAGCTGGCCATTGGCTTCAGAACCAGGCTGCACGAGGTACGGGTTCTGCTTGGGAGCAGCCATCCAGGATGCTCTCTGGTCTGCCTGGCCAGGGTTCATCCCGTTGACAGAAGACATCGAAAATCCCAGAGGCTGCTGCTCCGTGAAGCCAGGCCGACTGGTGGCAGCCAGCGCTTGGCCATTCACGGACCCTTCGCCGAATGTCGTACCCACAAGGCCATTGGAAGGCGGGATGGAGCTACTGACTTCGTCCTGAACGGGTTTTGCAGCATTGGCAGCCGCTTGAGACCGCTTCAGGTGTGCTTGGGGATGCGAGAGGTGACTCGCTCCCGTCGGGTTACCTCTCCGCAGCGAGCACTTCTGGAAGTGACGCTTCAAGATATCGCTTCGCGAAAACGTGTCCTTGCAAAGAACGCACATGTATGGACGATCGCCGGTGTCTATCTCGGGAAAGAGAAAAAAAAATACAACGCGTTAGTAATCACATCCAACCCATGCCTTGCTTCTCAAGCGACAATAACATGGGAGGAGGGAAAGGGAGCGGCAGTGAAGACTCACGTCTAAGCAAGTGACGCTTGAGGTGCTTCGCATGAAGGTAAGTCTTGTTGCAATGAGGACATGGGAATTTCCCGTCGGCATCCTTGGCGGGGATAGTCGTGTTCTTCGCAGTCCCGTTCACCCCGTTTGTAACAGCAGCTCGACCGGGAACACTGGGGAGAATTCCACGGCGGCCTTGCGATCCCACCACTTGAGTTCGCGGCGGTTCTTTTCCAGGAGGATAAGGAGCCAGACCATTTGCACCCGCCATGCCATCCGCGCCCGCCCACATTGGGCCCTTACCCTCGGGATGACTGAAGGCACCGGACGGCATCGACGCGAAATCCGGGCGTCGATCACGCGGTGGCGCAGGGGCAATGGGTTGCGGGTAGGTCTGGGCATTGGAAGTCGGAGGCAGCAAGCTGTGAGGCGTTTGGAATTGCTGCGGCGGCTGGGATTGCGGCTGCTGCGCCGAGTGAGTGAGGAAAGACGACGGCGGCAAGCTATTCACGGAGGTGTGAGGAGCGATGGGCGCCGTGGAGGCGGCGTAAACATCGTGACCCGAGGTCGTCGGGAACCTGGACATGTCCGGCCGGTACGGCTGTCCCATGTACGGTGCCGGCGACTGGCTATGGTGCGGCTGCAACGGAGGCAGCGTGTGCGGCTGGGAGACCGGATATTGAGGCTGCATGGGGTATTGAGGCATCGGCATGGTCGACAATGGAGCCGAGCCTTGAGGAAGAGAGGTGGATGGAGGTCTCGAGGGATGAGAACGAGGATCCATGGCGGTAGTCGAGCGAAGAGAGAGGGAGTGTGGTCTGAGATGTGGGATAACGCGAGCCGGAGAGCAGGTTCAAACTACCCCAATCATTGATGGTAACGTCGCAAGACCACTCGATTGTCTCTCGTGGTGATGTTGCGGGATTCACGACGCGTCAGTTGGACACGGCAGCGTCGAAACGTCGGAGGGTTCCTTGTTCCTTGTCTTGGGGAGAGGCCGTCACGGTGCTTCGTCGGGCGAATCGAGAGCAAGGCAAGGATGGACAAGATCAGATCTCGACTCCACCGACAGCGAAGGTTGAGTTGGTGGTAGAAAAATTGCTTGTAGAGGAATTCCCCACGGTCATCCACCAGCAGAGCGAGTGGTGGGAACTTCTCTTTATCCGCACGCCGGTCAAGAAGCCAAATCGTTTGTCTGTATCCACCAGGGCAGCGGGTGGGTCTGACAACCAGCGGTGTTGTTGCAAGATACTTGCTCTATTCGCGTCGGCCACGCGCGAGATCAACCCCAAATGGCCCGAGTCCAATGCAAGAGGCAGAGCGGGTAGCAAGGATGGGGGGAAGGACGCGATTGACAGACAGACGATGCGAAGGAGGAAGAAGGAAGGAAGCCGGGGAGCAGGAGAGACAAGAAAGAAAGCTACCAGGGAAAAGGGAAAGAGAGAGAAAAAAAAAAGCTCAATCACGAGAGCCAGGAGGGTGGCGTGGAAAGTGTCGAGACTCGAAAGGGAGCAGGGCCCTGGACCTTGGGAAGAGGGCGGACGATCCTAACTCCGGGGGGCAAGCGGCGACGAACGAGAGCCAGAGAAAAATTTCAGGCCGCGCTTGGAACGGCCGGGAGGAGCCCGTCGCCCGTGATTCGCCTGCCGCGCACGACCCGAAAGGGCGAGAGGCAAGCCGAGAGCACAGCGTGAGGAACAGCACGGCGGTTTATCTGCTATGCGTTCTGCGCCTACGACGCCTCTTGCTGCTGCGCTCTCGCTGGCAGTCTGCTTGCGCGTCGGGACGATGAGTCAACAGCACCGCAGAGACGAAGAGACGAGAAGAGAAAGAAAACACAGCGTCGTCGCAGCAGGGACGGCCGGATCGTCAATCAGACGCCGTTCCGAATATATGCCGGAAAGAAAAGGGACGGGGAAAACGGCAGCTGGATGGATGGCAAAGGTGAGAGTGGTGCGTGTTGTGGACGGCGCTGGTTGGGCGGTTGAGGCAATGATGTGTGTGTGCGCTGCGTGCGTGTCTGTCTTTGGTAGGGGGGCTCGGGCCTAGTCCGAACTCAGCAAGACAGCCAAGTACCAGATACGTAGCCTGCCCGCGCCCAGGAACGCAGGTGTACCTGAACAGTACTTCGCCCGCAAGCGGATTCGATCGTCCCCGCGATGCGACGGCGCTGCTGCTGTGGCTACGACTGTCTGCGTGCAGAGCGCAAAAGCGTCGCTGCGAGTCTGGTGGCACACGATGCGTTGCCAGCCAGGCGTCGCGAAGATAATCGCCCGTTGTCTGGATCGAGCAGTGCTCTCAGACACGTCCAGCCCGGACGGGGACAGAGTCAGAGGCGGCGGCTGATCAGGGAATCGGAGGGGTGGAAGCGTTCGAGAATGGGCGGGCAGCAAGGGAAGGAGCACTCCGTCCGCCCAGGCTGACTGCTTACGGCGGACAGCTTACAGCGCAACAGGGGTGGCAATTGCTTTCCTGATCGTGATGCGTGAGACGGGCTGCTCTTGCCGAATCACCACCCGCCAGCATCAATTATTTCTGATGCCTTGGGCCTGCTATTATTGGATGCGGAGACGACCTGAAAATGAGAGGAAATTAATGCACTAATAATAAAAGGTGTGCTGGTGTCTTGGCCCGTTTGGATTAAATTATGACACCGTGTAAATCCTATAAGCAACCGCTGCAAATTACCCAGGTAGGCATCTCCTTCCGACCACTGTTTGCTTCTGCCTGGAGAACGAAGGGCCAGAAGATGATTTCCTAGGCAAAAAGAAGCAACGCGGTCGAAGGACGAGTAAGATTGAAAATATGTGCAAGACAAGGTAATAAAAATTATCATATAATTAGGTAATAATGTGTTCTTGAGGAAGTTGAGCTGGCAACTTCCTGTCTCGGGAAGGAGCGTTTTTTAATCAATCAGTACTATATTACTACTGCCTCCTGGTGAGGTACCTTCGTAGTCGACACGACACGCTACGTTGAAGACCGAAATTGGACCAAAAGAACACAGCAAGACCAATTATTCACAATTGCTACGCGGGGTCAAAAAGGATTGAGCAGCCAACAAAGCAAGATAGAGTTCTCAGTGCCTCGTTTCATTGGCAGGAAAAGCGTTCGACGAACAGGATGCATACTGATGCATGTTCGGCCAACGGCCCAACCGCTGGCGAGCAGTAGCGCCCATCATCACCCTGGTCTGCAGCTTCCAAAGTATGCTTGAGGCTCAGGCCATGAGAAGTGGATATCTGCCCTACGGAGTACACCTTGTCCCGCCCGACTGGTAGTTTCTTGACCTCTCAACCGTCACGGTCAATTGAGGCTTGATAATGATGACGGTTAGATTCCAGCAGCATCAGGCAGAGTAATCAGCAAGAATATCATTGATCCAGCCCCAAGTTTCAAGCAAAGGCCGATGCGGCATGTTTCCGGTTGCAATGCCCGATGCCGGCCGAGAGAGCAGCAGCATTGGTTCCTCGGTCAGACGGCCGGCACGCGGCGCGGCATCATTGACTTTGACCACGACTCAACAGCTTCACGGCCAACAAGCCCTTTCGTCATCCTGCGCAGACTAGTGAGCACATAGCTAACTATCCTACAATCAACAATCTGGAATTGCTCAGGGTGGTCAGAGACAAAAGAAAACAGAGTGACCAGTGAGGAATGGCATTGGACAATCGCAGACACATTTCGCCGTTCTCGTCGCAAGCAGAAACAGACTATTGAGCGCGCTGTCGCTGTCGAGCGTTCATTGGCCACGCCACCGGGGAGCCCACGGTCGAGGCAGTCATGTGATCGCGCCACCAATGCCCACGCACCAAGCCCTTATCACGACGACCGGTCTAGGTCTCTCAGTCTGTCTTGGACGATCAAGCTGCTTCCGTTCTCGGACACTTCAGTTGATGACGTGCAATCTCCTCATTCGACTTCTCTGTTTTCTTGCAATCCTGGGCTTCCTGCCTCTTTCTGGGCTCGTGCAGTTGATCTTCCAGATTTAGCAGCATTATTAGTTCCCTCAACCGCTAGGTAGCAGGAGAGTCCGACTGTATGTGAAGGACGTCAATCAGCACCACACCATCTAACGCTAGATCCTTGGGCGATTGTCTTGGAAAGACTCCGTTTCACCTCTTATTCTCCGAAACTGGAAAGACGATCATAATAGTCAATTCACAGCGCCTTACGGAGTACTAGCTGTACAAATAATCTATCTTAATAGACGATGGAAATCTTTGGTGCGCATCCGCAGCCCCATCGCTCCCGCGAAATGGAGACCTTCTTGAAGGCTTCTCCCGCTTCCACGAGTGGACCTCCCGAGTCCCGACTCGAGCTATCTAGGTACCATGGGATCCCGGTGTGATGTCTCAGCAGATGCAATTCCTTCAAACATGGCAGAAAATCACTCACGCTGGACTCAGGCTGAGACAGCAGGGCGACCAGGACGGCCAGCCAGAGGCCGGAGAATTCAGATCAACGTCACAGGATCATGCGGTATGCTCGGACCAGGCGATTACCAGATGTGGCCTGGTGCGCCTGCAGTCGGCGATCAGAACCCCACCCAGCGCATAGGGCCGGGACAGGACCAGGGTCAGTCCAGGGTCGTGACTCGTGAGGTCTCTGCATTCATATCACATTGTTATGAGGATTATTGTGATTATTAAATGATTATTATTAAATTATTTCGTTTATTGTTGCGTGATCGCAGATTGCTACCAGCCTATCCGATTCCGATTCCTTCCTCAATCAGCCCAGCCACTGACATCGCCGTTTGGAAATGTCCCAAAATGATTGCCTAGAAACTTAGCAGATCGAGGCGGGCCGACTCGCACATACGTACAGTTAGCAGTGCCAACACACCTCATTACTGCCAGGGTTTGAAGCTGATAGATCACAAATTGCTTGAACTCGTTTGTCTTTGATGAGATCACGGATCTTGCCTTCACAAGGAATGCACAACGGACTACGGAGTATATACTCCGTACTCCGTACAGACTACTCTGTACAGAGATGTGAATCTGATTAACTACGGAGGAGACTGCACCAAAGCGGGACCCTTCTGCGAAAGACTGGAGAGGGGGGGATGTCCGGGAGATGGGACCATTTACTCTGTAACGTAGCCCTAAAAGACAGGAAGGACAGAAAGCTATGATCTTGTTCATCCTACGAGTAAAGTTGGGCGATTTTATCATTCTCGTATTCTTCTGAAACTTATGAGAGGGATAACTTCGGTATCAACTCGTCATAAATGCTGTAGGTACCTAGTCTCCAGCTACTCCATAGGTAACAAAAATAATATCGTTGGGGTCGCATCCTGGCGATCGGCCGGAGAAAAAGGAAGGAGCGAGCCGGTGGAGATGCAGCCTGTGACAGTTCATCGTCGTCATTGGGGGAAAAGACCGAAACGTCCTGCAAGGCCGCGGGCAACCCAGCGGGCGAAGGGAGCCCGCCATGCCCAAGGTTTGGAGCTAAGCCGTGGGAGGTTTAGGGCTAGGGTTTCCCGGAACCGGAATATCCATTTCCCTCGGACTTACTCTTCGGGCATATTTCTCCGACGTTCCAGCCGGCAAGTCCGGTGTCGCAGATACCGTGCCAGTGAGCAGTCTTAGTGGCGCAGCCAGCCTGTGACCTGTCGTCATCATGCCGATGATGCATGCATGCCCTTGCATGCTGATGAAAGGCTGGGAAAATTTAAAAAAAAAGAGGGCACTGCTAAGATAAATCTGCTTACGATTATGATTATGATTATGAGCAAGCGGGTTGACTCGCATACCATCGCTTACCACTCTCTGAACCTTAACTCGTGTAGACTTTTTTTCTTGCCAGTCAGGATTCCGGACCTGTTTCCGTTTCCGTCGAGAAATCATAATTGTGGCAAAACGCTTACTCCGTATTAGCGAAGGGCGTTCCATGGTCTCGGGAAGTAAGAATCATGCTCTTCTCCGTGGTTGGTCTGTTGCAAGACGCAGACGCAGACACACAGACAACCCCCCTGCCACCATCGATCAGGCAGTCAAAGTTATATACTATTTAATTTTTTTGCCTCCTGATTAATTTTAATTATTTAATTATTAGCTCTCACCGACAGGTCAGGCCACGCGTCATATGATGCGATTCTGGCGCGTGCCGTCATCTGCAACGTATGTTGGCTTGGACGAAGGATGATGCCTGCTGCAGTTATTTGATCCTTATTGGCAGTTGGCATGCGTGCTCTTGCCGACAATCTGCCGAGATGAAACGCGATTGCTATGCGAATAGCTAAGTGCGGCTGAGAGATTTTCCTATGCGTCAGCAAAAAATTAATACGGAGTATTGTGATGTGCAGTACTCGGCCAGCATTCAACAACCAGGCTAAATGTCCAGGATGCCATGTCTTCAAGCCACAGGTGGCGTTGCCTGCGACTACGGGTATGTATGTAGGGATGTACTCCGTATGTATGTTGGTGCGGCATCCCGGCGGCCGCATGCATGGCCGCTGGCATGTCTCCATTCTTTTGGCGCGTACTCCGTAGTTATGGAACACAAAAACGCCGTTGATGTCTGTAGCCGTCTGGCCGTCCCTTTGCCTAGGTGCATGATATCCACTGCCCATGTGTCCGCCGTCCAGTGCCCATGTCGGGGTACCTGAAATGGACCCCATCGCGCCATCCCGCTGGGCCCTTGGACTGGAGTCCTGCGCTGACGGGGGGTGGGTATCTCTCCATCGACTCCATTCCCACGTGCAAGATGAGCCTGAGCGTGACTCCACGGATGGAGATCGTCCCCATGTAGGTACGGGTACCGGGGTACGGAATATATCAATCTACCTTACCTGGACGGTCATCCAGACGGCCCTCCTTATTTGGATATCAACACTGCGCAACTTGTCAGGTGCGAGAGACCGTTTACCTACCTCGATGTCTATGTAGTTGTTACTGTTGCTCTGCGTATGCACCTTACTGTGCTAGGACTTTCTGTTCTTCGCAACCACGCACGTAAGGGGGCTGAAAAGGAAAGTATGTGCTATAGAATAAATGATGCAGACAGCTAATTTCATTATCGAATGTCGAACTTCATATTGTATTTTGTAGATTTTAAGCGTAGCAAGTACATACTAAATACGAATAGAATTATTCGGTTAATCGCATCCCGTTAAGGCCAGTCGATATAAAAAATATATAGTTTCATGCTTCATGGCCGATAGCTACTAGATCGCCCCCTCTCACCCTCTCTGCGATCTCGAAAGAAGTCATAGACATCCCCGTCCACAGTAATACTTGCTTATTATCATAATATCAACGTAGATTCCGCCATGGAGCTTGTACAGGCGATTGGATAGCCATCTGGATGACTGCATACCGGAGTTCGCGACGAGTAGGTACCTATTCAACGTCACCAGTCGAGTCAATAAACCCACACATCCAGCAATAACAAATAACAAAGGTCCTGACAACTTTTTCTTTTTTTTTTCCCTATTATATCTATGCTCTGAACATAAATTTGTGCCTATATGACTGTTCCATAATTGCCTCTTTTGCGTAGCTCGGCTTCATATAAGGGTACCTGTAGAGGGTTAACTATGTAACACAACCCCCTTCTTTTTTTAATTTTAACACATATACCCTTCCTACACCCAAGATTTAAATGATAATCCTCCACATGGATGCGCGCGAAATAAATGCAGCTTTTATCTTTTTTTTTTCTTCCCATTTTATCCTTCTCTTCCTCCCCTGATTGGAATCGAACTGACGACTTCATTGCAGATAAATATCTGATCAGTCTTGGGACCCAGTCGACAGTCGACTGTCTCATGCACCACCCATGCTGATGTAATATGATATGAGCATAAATAAATGATCACACCATTGTCCATCGATCGATCGATCAACACATGCAGATCGGGTCAGAGTAGTTAGAAGATAATACTCGGAAGAGGCGATTTCTGTCTGCTCTTACTGATGGAAACTGACTCGGAGAGTGAGATGGTACGGCACAATACAGAGATTTATTTCCCCTGCTCATTTTTATTTTTATTTTTATTTTTTTTAAAGTAAAAAAATCTATTTTCCGTACACTCCCTATGTTCGAAATTTCCGGAGAGCTCGTGATCTTGATTCTTCCCTGTACTGCATGTAATTATAAAGTAGCCTAGGTAGATCAGGATATATATATGCTAGCTAAAAAGAGATATGGGTGTCACAGGAGAGAAAAAGGTACTACAAATCACGTGTAAATATTTGATCAGTAATCAACATTGCTGCATTATTAGGTGACAATACCATGATCTCAAGAAAAGGGCAAAAGGAAGAAGAAGGAAGAAGAGGATATGTTTGCCTGTTTGTCTACCATTAGAAGTACATGCATGTACATGCATACGTAGACTGTGGTAGATACATATATATGCTTCTGTACTGATTGACATATCCTATCAGTAACACATTCACATGATACCTTAAAGTTCATATTATTCAGGTTCTCCAGGTTAATCAAATAATTTATTTATTTATCAGGGAATAGCTGATATACAATCAGTACGAGCAGGACCCCAATCTGGCATGCCTGCCCAACAATTCTTGTTATATCCTATAAACACAATCTCTTCACGGAATGTTTATTGAGAAAGAGAAAAGACAGCGATAATTGTAAACTTCAGGAAATACGAAATTTACTCCATTTATTTAACGTGTCAGAGCAAGAGACAGACGAGATGCATGACCAGATTCTGTTTTTTTTTTCCTGTTTTGCTCTCGAAAGCAAGAAAAAAAAAGCCGTAACTCACCTTATACGGGTGAGTTTCCTAGGTAGATTATCGACATTTCAGCTCCCTCTGTATTTCTAGAGTGTAGAGCAGTTTTTTTCAGCATATCTGCGTTTTTGATATCAGAGTTAGATCCAGTAGAAAATGGAAGGCTCGGTAGATGAGAGTTTGACAAAGCTGCTGGCTGCCGCTGACCTTGGTAACTATCATATATTATATATGCATAATTTAAAAACTTCGGATGATAATTTTTGTCCAGTATATCTTAAATAAAAATTTTTTGGGATACATGGAAGAATTTCGCTGCTGAGAAATTCAATTAAGACTTCAGATAGGCTTCAATGTAAATTGATATATCCTGTACTGTTTTTGATTCAAACTTAAACAATTTGCTATTTATCAGTAAAGGAATCAAGAGGATGGAAAAAAAATAGTTCTTTGCTTTCATCGTTGGATGTTGTTCAATTCGTCGACGAACTTTGAAATGTATCTCGTTGTTCGCAAGCAAGGTGTGCGGACTTCTCCTGTGAATTTCTCCTCTGCTCGTGAATTGAAAATTCGACTATCACTCAGTCAGGATCAGAAGAAGATATTTCCAAAATCCAACTTGTATCTGAAGCAGCCAGGGTCTACATGGTTTTATTCGCGATGTCGATCGACAACATAAGTCCTGTGGGCGCTCAATTGGATTTCGTATGAGTAACATGATATATGAACTTCCAAACCCAGTGGCCTTTAAAGTGTAGCACAGAAATTGTAGTGTCAGTGAAAGCTGGATTCTTATGTTACTACTATCTGGGAGGTAAATGACTGTTATTGCGGGTAGGTAGGTGGAATGTGCGTAGTAAATAATATTTTCAGGATTTTTTTTATACTCCCTAGAAAGCAGTTCGTCATATCAGAACTGGCATTCAACTCCGTAAACATAAGCATAAGCATTATTTAGTAAAAAGGGCAAAAATGACTGTAAGATATAGCTCGATTGACTATTGACCTATGAGATCGATGATGTATATAATAGTCACGTGATGTGTCTGACCATACCGAATATGGACCGGCTTGGCGGGCGGCCGTCGGGAACATCGGGGCCGCGAGAAGCTACCGGTTTTCGTGGACGGCACTCTTCTCGATTGAAGTCCTCACAGCATCCCTTGAGAGACAGTTTGTTCTCGTCTGCTTCCCAGACATCTATCAGGATGGTACGTGACTCATATTCCAGCCATTGGCTCACCTCATGACCTGGCGGAATCGCTAGGGGCGGCAGCATTGACACCGCTGGGATGTCATCCTCGAGACGCACGCTGTGTTGTCGATCCTCTTGCGATTCCAGCAGGACAGAAGATACCATACCAGATAGTACGTGCAATCATTGCTGACTAGATCACCTTTTCTCCAGGTCTCGCCTTCTGCTCGCCGCTTTGCCGTCCAGGCCTACCAGTCTCCGTATGCGCCGAAGTGAGTTCGCCCAAGCCATTTCCTATGTCCCTTTTCGCCATGTTGGGAGCGATTCTTTCGTATTGAGCTGCCGCGCTTTATGAAATAAGTCAGTTCAAAAGTCTCGAAACATCCCTGAGGAGGCCTGACAGTTGCACAATCGTCCACTTCCATGTTACAGCAACGGAAGACCTCACACCGGGATCAAAGCATATGACGGAGAATCGAATGATGGGAAATGGGATACTCTGGCAGATGGCATGGTCTAAGGATCATTTGCTAATACGTCTCTTTTCAAATTGCACAGGTACTCGGTTCCCACTCACTTCCACGGCCTTACCCTGGGTAAGGTTACCAGATAGTAAGTCAACCTGCCAGAGCATCCGAATCGTGCAAAGACATCATCCGTGCTAAGTTTCGACGCAACAGTGGTTCCATTGCCAGCACGTTCGCCGTCACTGCTGGTGTTTTCGCGCTCTTTTTCCTTGGAGAGGTGCCTCGTGTGAGACAGGACATTCTGTCGAAGGTCCCGGGGCTGGACCGCTACTTCGACAGGAGCATTCCTCCGGAGGACAACGTAAGTTCCAGCTTGAGGCATTTGTGTCCATTTTGTTTGTGTAATCACTTGATCCACAGAGATAGAGATAAGCTGACTGCTTCACACAGCCTTTCTAAACTGGCGCATGCGAAATCCTGGCGGAGGGTTGTGTCATACTCCGCAATGCCTGCATATTTTTCTTTAGAAGGGATCGGGGGAGTATGAACAGTGCAGGACGGGCACTGCTGTTGTAGAATAAAGACGATTCCTGATAGCATATAGACGCCGGAAATCCAACTGTTTCATATGTCCTCATTGAGGACCTAGATATTGATATTGTCTATCACATTCTCATAAGCGTCTAGAAGGCGACAAGAATGGCTACTGGCTCCTGCGATAGTGGCATGTCCCTTGTGAGGAAAGCATGCAGAAAATGCCCACTCTCATAAAAATCACTTGCGGTTTGACAATCTTAAAGCTGTATGATGAGGGTTTCACCCTGAGTACCTAGTATACTCCGTACGAGACTAGAATAGTGAATTGGCCCATTACTCCGTACTCTGTTTTGATAACGACACGGGGAAACGGAGCCGCTAACCTTGCCGCCAACACCGTCCCGAAGTATCAACAATGCTGCTAACTTCAAAGTAACAACAGTGGACTCCTACAACAATCAAGTCTACATCTAACCATCGTCTCCGCACATATAACTGCTTCTGGTAATTAATCTGGACATCAGCACTTGCACTCTTCCTATCAGGGCAAGTCCAGCCGTCGAATCTCGATTATAGCGGAACGATAATACTTCGTACAGGTGTGCTATTATCTCCGCCAATTACTTATAGGCCGGCGTCGCTTATCTATCGACTAGGAAGACCCCGAACGGGGTGCGCTGATAACTCCTGTGCTTCTGATTTATTATTTCTTCCAAAGCCCGTGCGTCAGGGAATGACCTGCAAGGGATTAATGCTCGCCTATGATCGATGATAACGGGTACACCGAAGATGCGCGACAGGCTGCGTTCCATGACGAACCAAGTATGGTGCTGCCATGCTGAGGACTCTGGCATGTAGGACTTGCAGTGCTCCTGTGATGAGAGAACAGGAAGCAGTACGATGATCCAATAATGCTGGGTGTCGATGGTTGCCTTCCCCGGTCACTACAAATCCTATTACAGATAATCGCCGCCCAGCCTCCGGACCTTGCTCATGCATCCTGTGATTGATCGCCTGGCGTGCGGCTGCTGCAATTCCCCGCTTCACCCTAGTGGCATCTCTAGCGCTCTTATCATGGCTACGAATGCCTCTTTCGGATCTTATCCCTGGCGTGGGGATGCAGCTATGGTTATTTAAACGTTCTATCCAGCAGATACGTGACGGACCCAGACATGGGACTGGCAGAATCTGTCTACAGATTCTCATACGGCGTACTTACAAGCTTTTCATCTCAAGGAGAGCTTCTGGCAGTGTCAAACTTGCCTCGAAAGGCTGCCATCTGTGAACCACGACCCGGCAGGTGTAACCTGCCACGGACGACAGACGATCCGCGGACGCCGACAAAATGAGCGATATTGATGCCACAAAGAAGCCCCATCTCTATCGAGATATCAACCATGACCCGGTCACGTCTGTCCTGCCGGATGGGGACATCCCAATCTCAGACCATCCGTTGAGTAACGATGAGGGCGTCCTCGTGGCTCTCGGATACAAGCAGGAGTTTAAACGCGAGTTCTCCTTGTGGACTACATTCTGTGTCAGTTTTGCAGTCCTGGGTCTGTTGCCGTCCGTTGCAAGCACCCTATACTATGGTAAGTTCTCTCAGATTAGAGATGATGGGACTACCCGGGAGTACTGATTTTGCATAGGAATGGGTTACGCAGGGACTGCAGGTATGGTCTGGGGCTGGCTCATTGCCATGGTATTTATTCAGTGCGTCGCAATGTCCATGGCAGAGCTCTGTTCGGCAATGCCAACGAGGTGCGTATGATATTCGTGCCCATTCCTCATACGTGCAACTGAGATGTTCACAATATTTCAGCGGCGGTTTGTACTATGCCGCGGCCGTCCTGGCGCCTCCTGGGTATGGACCCTTTGCAGCCTGGCTCACCGGCTGGTCGAATTGGATCGGACAGGTCACTGGGGCGCCATCTGTGGACTATGCGTTGGCTGCGATGATTCTGGCTGCCGCAGCGATCTACAACCCTGACTATGTTCCTACAAAGTACCAGACGTTTCTCCTTACGACGCTGATCTTGCTGGTCCACAGTGGGATCAGCAGCATGCCTACGAAGTGGATAGCGACCTTCAACTCGTGGGGATCCACGTTCAATATCATTGCTCTGATCATCACCCTCATCACCATTCCTGCAGGAACGAGCAATAGCCCCAAGTTCAGCCCTGCTCGCGAAGTCTGGGGTACCATCACCAATGGCACCGACTTGCCCAACGGCGTGGCGGTTCTCATGTCCTTTGTGAGCGTGATCTGGACCATGTCGGGGTACGACTCGCCCTTCCACCTGAGCGAGGAATGCTCCAACGCCAATATCGCCTCTCCTCGGGCCATTGTCCTGACATCTGCCGTGGGTGGCCTTATGGGCTGGTTCCTCCAACTCGTTGTCGCGTATACGGTGACAGACATCAACGCAGTGATAAACTCCGATCTCGGCCAGCCCTGGGCATCATACCTGCTGCAAGTGATGCCGGCAAAGACTGCCATGGCGCTCCTCTCGCTCACCATCATCTGCGGCTTCTTCATGGGCCAAGGCTGCATGATCGCCGCGTCGCGAGTGACCTACGCATACGCGCGCGACGACTGCTTCCCTCTGTCGCGGATCTGGAAGAAAGTCAACACTCGCACGCAGACGCCCGTCAATGCGGTGCTGATGAACTGCGGGCTGGGGATCCTGATGTGCCTGCTCATCTTCGCCGGCCAGGTCACGATCGGCGCCCTGTTCTCGATCGGGGCGATTTCGCAGTTCATCGCGTTCGCGATCCCGATCGCCATCCGCGTGTTCATCGTCGGGAACCGATTCCGTCGGGGCCCATGGCATCTGGGCCCGTTCAGCAAGCCCGTCGGCGCGGCGGGGTCGCTGTTCGTGTTGCTGATGCTGCCGATCCTGTGCCTGCCCAGCTCGACGGGCAGCGACCTCACGCCAGACCTGATGAACTGGACGTGTCTGGTGTACGGCGCCCCGATGCTAGCAGTGACGATCTGGTGGGTAGTGGACGCGCGGAGGTGGTTCAAGGGACCGAAAGTGAATGTTGAGCATGCTATATACCATGGCGACGAGGCTGACGAGCCTGTCGTCTACGAGGGAGTCGTCGCTACAGCAGACAAGCAAGAGGAGAGGACAGCTTCCAATCAGGACGGTAAAGATCAGTACGCGTCATCGTCATCCAAGGAGGACAATGATAACGGAGCAGACAAGTCGGCCGCAGAGTAGTGTAGGGCAGAGATTAATTAATTATTTCTAGATTTTAAGTATAAGAAGCGTGATACTTCGAAACCAGAGTGTTTCATTGTTTAATTACATCCCACTGGAACCAGATAACAGACAGATCTGACTAAGTCAGTAATTGTTTGATAAAGTAGTCGAAACCAGTACTTAGACAAACTAAAGTATTATGAACAAGCAGGCAGGCAGTAAATCCTCTTTTTCTTTTCCTTTCCTTTTCTATTCTTTCCATCTATCCTTACAGTTAAAAAAATAGGGAAGAAAAATTAACACTTGGATTAGGTAGGTAAGGAGGTAGGAAGGGAGGGAGGTAGATAGTCAAAGTTATTTATTAAGGTAACCAATTAATCCAGTTAGTTTAGTTATAGTTACTTGTCCATGCTCTTGTTGTCCATGTTCTTCTGTTCTGACTGACTGACTGACTGACCTGATAATGTGAAGCACGCCCAGTTTTCCCCAAAACCGCAAAGACATACATGCACATGCACACGCACACACACATGAACACAAAAAGAGAGAGAGGGAGAGAGAGGAGACGAGAAAGAAAGAAAAGGAAGACTGACATGACAATGTCACTTTGTCTGTTTGTCTGCAGTCTTTCTTAGTAGTTAGTTAGCTTCTATAGGTACATATTTGGCTACCAGCATGGCAAGTAGTCATGCTCGTGCTCTCTCAATCTCCCTCTCTTCTCTTTTGATCTTGCAATGGAAAAAAAAGGTTCAGGTTCATGAGCGTAACAACGTTCTCCTATCATATAGGAAGCAAGAACCAAACAACACACACAGAGAAAAAAAAGGAAGAAAAAAAATTAAACAAATGAACAAGAAAAAAGGCCAATGCAGTACCAGTCGTCAATCGACCTTGCCCGTCGAACCACCATTCAAGATACCCTCCTTTCCGTCAAGTCGGAAAAAGCCACCACCGTTGCCAAAACCGAGAATGCCGCCGCCGTATCCGCCAAGGGATCCCCGCTTCAGGAACCTTCGTCGCGCAAAGACAGCAGCGACAATGAAGGAGATGATGAAAATGGAGCTGGAAACAATGCGATGGTTGGCAATAAAGGAGCGGGTGTGGAAGAATGCAGATTCAATCGTGCCGATGGTGGACTTGGACTTGAGCTTGGGCGGGTTGCTAATGACCAGAGGAATCGTCTCCAGAATCGAGGTCCGTGAAGGCATGATCGGTGCTCCACTAGCAGCGGTGTCCCAGTAGCGTCGGTTCTGCGAATATTTTAGTTAGCCAGTGTTCAATGACTGAGGTCGAGTTGAAAGAGTTGAAAAAAGGAACTTACGTCTTCATCGTTGATAATAACACGCTCCCCGTTCTTCACATCAATACCGTACGTAGTCCGGAGCCAACGCTCCCAGAAATCACCATCGACCCATGCGAACGCAACTTGCTTTCTGTCATCCTCGTTAACGTTGATATGCATGCTCTTCGCAGCTCGCAAAGCGCGCTGGTCGTTGCGGTCTTCGGCCTCCTCGATACGGAGTTGCTTCGCATCACGGAGTTCTTGTCTCTCCAGCTGGATGAGCTGCGCCTGCTTGTCCATCCATTCCATTGCAGCTTCCTTCAACTCGCGTTTCGCCAACATGAATTCGTCCGACCGCCTGTGGGTGAGAATGCCTAGTACAACAAACTTGCCATTCATGATCTCCCTCGCGTTCGAAGCGGTCAGCTCAGGCACAATTGGCAGCCAGACACTTTTCATCCAGTTCAACACCTGGTGGAAGTCCCTCATATCCCTGGGAGCGAGGGCGTTGTAATACGTAGGCCGACCGTCCCTGACAACCAGAAGACGGGGCCAAGTTGAGATCTTGAACCTTTCCGCAAGCGCAGCACTATCGGTCTTGACGAGCCGGGCGTGGCCAACCAGGCTCAGCGTCAAGCGTTCCAGTGCGATGAAATCCTCCGAAGTGGTCGCATGGTCAAAAAAGTACAGGAAGATCACTTCCTCCTTCTCTTCCAATTCCTTAAACTTGGCTGCATCCACGTATTGAACACCCGAGGCGACTTCGACGGCTTTTTCAGCCCAAGTGATGAGATCGCCTAGTCCACGCAGGCCTTCATACTCGACCTTCTCTCCACCCTTGAAGAAATAGATTGTCGGATATCCCTTCACGCCAGCATCTTTGCAAAGTCGAGTTTCAACGTCGCAATTGACTTCACCGACATTCAAAATGCCCTTCATCTCTTTAGCCATCTGATGCCAGTTGGGAGCCAGCGCTTGACAGTGAGTGCACCATGGCGCATAGAATTTGATGAACCAGGGGTTCCGCGTCTTTGTGACAAACTTTTGGAAGCTCTCTGCTGTCAATGGGACCGAGATTCCTTGAGGATTGGGGACAACAGTCGAGGTAGGCTTTTTGCCAGTGGCCTTGGTGGCAGCGGAATTATCCTGAGCCGTCTTGCTGGCGAGCTGCGCAGCCTGTTCGTTGTGCTTTTCACCGGCCTTGATGCCCGCCTCGGGATCCTTATCCTTCGCCTCAGGCTTATCAGGCTCCGCCTTGGTGTCCACACTTTTGGCACCGGGCTTCGGCAGCTTCAGTCCCTTTCGGGGTCGAGAACCAGGTCGAATTAACTCCAACTTCTCCTCGATAAAGTGACTTAAACCTTCCATCGTCTTCGGACCGGAGTATTGTTCCAACAGCTCGCCATTGTGGTAAAGAGCGAAAGTGGGGAAGTATTTCACATCGAGCTTTTGGCACAGGTCCATGTACGCGAGACAGTTCATCGACGCAAAATGGAAATTATAGAAACCGGTAAAGGAATTCAAAGAGGACTGTACATCGGGTGTTTTGGCTGAAGCTGTCGACAACGGGTCGGACGTCTGTTGCATGTCAGACATTATGATCCCATAGGCCAGATATAATCGCTACTCACATAATAGAACTCGTATAAGGTCTGCCACGTGGGTGCGATGTGCTGGCAGTGTGGACAGCTGGGGGAATAGTGCTTAACAAACCTAATGGCATGTTAGCGATTTCTCTGCAGGAGTACGGTCGTCACGGCGCAGGAAGCCCTTACCAGTAGCCATCCTTGATAGTATCTTGAAAGTTTTCGGGGGTCAATAGCTTCTGGGGGGGCACCTCAATGTTGTTGAAGGTGGTGCTGACAGATTCCGAATCTGGATCCCTTTTTACCAGGGTGTTCTCTGGCGCATCATCTGAGGGAGTGGCGAAGGTCGGAAGCGCGACAAGCGATAGGAGCGACCACACCAGCAACGAGGGCTTCATGCTGGCGGGTATGTGAGGTCAATGACCTTGAAAGGACGTCCAAAGCAAAGTCTCTGTATGCGAACGAGGGCGAAAGAAGGCGAAAAAAAGGCTCCACAGCACAGCTGTTAGAGGGGGTACATGGATAACGGAACGGGTCGTCTGCGGCTTGCAGCTCGAGACGAGAGATGAGGCAAAAGGGCCACGACAGCGTTTGCGCGTCGACGAGGACAAATACGTCCGTGCTGGGGCCTGCAGGTTTCGAGACGGGGATTAGGAAGCAGACGTGATCGCAGTGGACGTAGACGAAAAACAGCCCCTGGGCAGTAGAGAGATGCTGTCGTTGGCGCGACTTCTGGCCTGAGTCTGGCCGTTCGACCAGCTGAGCGCCCCTTGGGTCCGGCGTGGAGCAGATGTTTCTCCGCTCCGAGTCACCTGCAGCGCAACACCAGAGACTGCCTCCAGATTAGGTATCCGAGCATCGACGTCGTCTGCCCGCGCACTGTTGGGCTTTGTTCTTCCACTCCTCCGGGTCAATTGATTTTGCTCTCTCGGCCATTCTTTTACAATGAGGTCGACCTCCGATTACTGGCCAACGTCAAGCAGGGCCGCTATCTCGAGCCTCTGGCTCCCACTGGCTTGACCGGGCTCCGAACCCACCCCAACCCACGCCCGACGCTCATCTTTCTCTACAAGTCTACTCTCGAGAAGCTCAAGGCTTTCCCGGAGACATCGGTCTACCGTCAGTCTACCGAGGCTCTGACCCGCCACCGTCTACAGATTGTCGAGTCCACCAAGCCCCCGGGGTTCGATGAATGGCTCGAGCGCGTGAAGAAGACAGTCGCTGCTCAGCCGAAGCGCTTCGAACCGGTCCGTCTTCCGGATGGTTCTTACGCTGCGCGGCAGGAGGGTGACCCCAATGCTGGCCCTCGCGGCTTGGAGTGGGACGGTGAGGGCATGGAGCCGAGCACGGAAGGACCGGCGCGAACGGAGGAGGAGCTTGCCCGTTGGCACAAGATCATGGAGGAGGTCACGGACCCTGAAAAGAGAGATTCCGACTTCGAGTCAGACAACATTCAATGGGAGAGCGAGCCACCCCTGGAGGCAGACCAGTACGTCATTTCGTGCATGGCAGTTCCTGGTTGCGATGAGGCTAACGAGCTACTAGGATTGCTGAGATCGAGAACAAGATTGGTGGTGGCTTGATCGAGGAACTCATCCAGGTCGCTGAAGGGGAGCTGAAACTCGTGGATGAATTGGCAAAGGCCCGAGTGTATGTCCTGTTTTCCAGGTTTCCGTTCGCCTGAATCTAAAACTAACTCATTGCGCAGGTGGGAGGAGCTCGCTGAGAAGCCTCGACCAGAACAATGGACTTACTTTGAACGCGATACGCATACCCCCGAAAAATCATAAGGTGTTCCTTTGATTGGCAATAAGATACCTGTATTTATTAACGGTTCTCAATTCATGTAGAGCAATACATCTATGGCGCATTATCTTATTGCTTACTTTCCTAGTGACGAAGGAAGGTTCACTACGGTTCATTACGGCATAGTGCGTTGCGTAGATAAACAGATAATATTTTTAATTTGCCATTCTTTTTGAGAAGGAACCGGAGGCAAGAAGGGAAGAGGACAAAAGAAAGTGATTTTTTTTTCTAAAAAAAAAGGAGAGATAGAGAAAGGGAAAAAAAAAAGAAAAGAAAGAAAGGAAAAAGAAAGCAGAAAGCAACAGATGAAAACGTAGTTGTCTACTGTGGATTGAACTCTGAGAGAAGAAATCACCGGCGTGATTCTTGGATAGCATGGTGCTTGTTCTGGCATTGGAAGAGAACATGGAGAAAGCTATACAGCATATTACCTGACTACACACGATTCTATTATTGTATTATTCATGATAGATAATAATCTCTCTGCTGGATACTTGGATTGAGTTGATTGACTGCTGTTTCCCCTTAGCCAGGTACTTGATATGGCGGCCAATGATGCGTTCAGGCCACGATGGTATCCGCACTAAGCCGTGCTGGGACAAAACGCCCGCGCCGAACTGGACACATCAAGATCTCCCCGGGGGTCGTCTACTATTATTGAGGCCGACGCACCAACTTACAGACCTCCACGGCGCAACGATAGTGACAACTACTTACTGGCACAAGGAGGTCTTGTTCTGCAAACCATCTTTTGCGTCCCTTTCCCGGACTGGAGCCTTCTCCGCCTTGAACGAGGCCCTTTGTACGGGCGCACACAGTTCATACTATCTCCTGGAGAACACGCAAGTGAACCTGGAATATGCGGTTAGACATCAAGGTGCGCACCCATTTTCTTTCATTTATTGGAGGGCTGTATTTGTCTCTTCAACTGCACTGTTACTTATTACAAGAACTGTCAAAATTCGGATAGACTTGCTGACCGCAATTGTGTACTGCAGAGGCAGCTCTTTGCCCGTTCAGAGCGGGTGAAGGGCATTGATTTCCACCCAACAGAGCCATGGGTAAGTACTATCAGGTGCCAGTTGCTGAGAGTAGTGCTGATCAAAAGATATAGATTTTAACGACGCTGTATAGCGGTATGCTGTCTATTTGTACTGCGGGGTTCTTGTGGAGAAAGGTGCTAATGGACTTGCAGGACACGTCTACATCTGGTCCTATGAGACACAGGTAAATATGTCTTTTTACTTATTTCCTAGGCTATAGATTTGGGGAGCTGGGCTGACACAACTACTGCAGTCGATCATCAAAACATTCGAACTGACCGATGTCCCTGTCCGCGCTGGTCGTTTCATCGCTCGCAAGAATTGGATTGTTTGCGGATCAGATGACTTTCAACTTCGCGTTTACAACTACAACACATCTGAGAAGATCACGTCCTTCGAGGCGCATCCTGACTATATCCGGTCGATTGCCGTCCACCCGACACAACCCTTCGTCCTCACCGCTTCCGATGACATGACGATCAAATTGTGGGATTGGGAGAAGGGCTGGAAATGTGTGCAAGTGTTTGAAGGTCACAACCACTATGTCATGGGGCTCGCAATCAACCCCAAGGATACAAACACATTTGCGTCCGCCTGCTTGGACCGAACTGTCAAAATATGGAGTCTCGGTTCGAGTCACCCCAACTTCACCTTGGAGGCGCACGAAACCAAGGGTGTGAATCATGTCGACTACTACCCTCAGGCTGATAAGCCCTACCTTCTTACCACCTCCGACGACAAGACTGTCAAAGTGTGGGATTATACGACGAAGGCGCTCATTGCCACGCTGGAGGGTCACACCAGCAATGTCTCGTTCGCCTGTTATCACCCCGAACTGCCTATTATCATCTCCGGATCCGAGGATGGAACAATCAAGATATGGCACGCGAACACCTACAGACTGGAGCAGTCATTGAATTATGGGCTGGAGCGAGCCTGGTGTGTTAGCTACCAGCGCGGCAAGCAGGGCATTGCAATGGGCTTCGATGATGGTGCGGTTGTGGTGAAGATGGGAAGAGAAGAACCAGCTGTTTCGATGGATGGGTCAGGAAAGATTATCTGGGCACGACATAACGAAGTGGTGTCTACCGTTATCAAGGGCGGTGAAATGGATCTCAAGGATGGCGCACCTCTTGCCCTGCCGACGAAGGAGTTGGGATCGTGCGAAGTCTACCCTCAGACGCTGGCTCACTCACCGAATGGGCGATTTGTCTCGGTGTGTGGTGATGGCGAGTACATCATCTACACTGCTCTTGCCTGGAGAAACAAGGCCTTTGGGCAAGCTCTTGATTTCGTGTGGGGATCGAAGGATAACAGCAATGATTTTGCTATTCGCGAGTCAGCAACTAGCGTGAAGATATTCAAGAATTTCAAGGAAAAGAGCGGTGGTTTGGACGTTGGTTTCCAGGCGGAGGGTCTCACTGGAGGCGTGCTACTTGGTGTCAAAGGCCAGGGTGGAATTGGAATGTTCGACTGGGAGACTGGAAACTTAGTTCGACGAATCGAAGTCGAGCCGAAAGATGTAAGCATCTACACTTGTCATTGACACAGGGGTATTCTCGATCGATATTACTGACACCAACGTTAGGTTTACTGGTCCGAGTCGGGTGAACTGGTCACTCTTGCTTGCGAGGACGCGTTCTACGTCCTTCGTTTCTCCAGAGAAAACTACATTAATGGTCTGAACAACGGTGAGGCTGACGAGGATGGCGTCGAATCGGCCTTTGAGGTCGTCACGGATATCAGCGAGACTGTTAGAACTGGACAATGGGTTGGGGATTGCTTCATCTACACAAATTCCACCAACCGCTTGAACTACCTGGTCGGGGACCAGACATACACGATCTCTCACTTTGACCAACCGATGTATGTCCTGGGCTACCTGCCTCGAGATGGTCGAATCTATCTCGCCGACAAGGACGTCAATGTTGTCTCCTTCGCGTTGTCCTTGTCCGTTGTCGAATACCAGACGCTGGTGTTGCGAGGTGACATGGACGCTGCCGCGGAGCTTCTCAGTGATATCCCCCAGGATCAGATGAACAAGATTGCACGCTTCCTGGAAGGACAGGGTTACAAGGACATGGCGCTTGAGGTGGCCACGGACCAGGAGCACCGTTTCGAGCTGGCACTCTCCCTGAATCGGCTAGATATCGCCCTTGAGATCGCCCGCGAGGCCGATGTTGAGCACAAGTGGAAGACTGTCGGTGACGCAGCGTTGAACGCATGGGATCTGAGTCTTGCGCAGGAATGCTTCACCCATGCCAAGGACCTGGGATCGCTGCTCCTCCTGTACACCTCGACCTCGAACGCAGAGGGCCTGCGTGCATTGGCGGAACAAGCCTCAGCGGCCGGTCTGCACAACGTTTCTTTCTCTGCTCTGTGGAGCGTGGGCGATGTGGACGCCTGTATTGATCTCCTCGTCCAGACCAACCGCCTTGCAGAAGCGGTGTTCTTTGCTCAGACCTATAAGCCATCGCGGGCACCCAATCTGGTTGTCCGATGGAAGGAGTCTTTGGAGCAGTCCGGCAAGTCCAAGGTCGCACGCCTGATCGGAGTGCCACCGGGTGCCGATTCGGGTGCTTCCGATGACGACCTCTTCCCCGAATGGGACGAATACCTGCGTTTGGAAAAGGAAGGGGCACCAGAACCTCCGTCTTCCGAGTCCTTAATCGATGTTGGCGGCGAAGGTGAGGCCGCGAGTGCAGCGAATGGAGCTCCCGAGGTAGAAACGGAAGCGTAGCTTAATGTGTGGATCATGGGACGACTTTTTGCGAATACTCAACCTGCTTTTTTGTTCTATTTGTGCCGAAAAACGGTCCTCTGTCTGTTCTGTCAGAGTTTTTATTATTATCATGTTATATCATGTCTTCTGTTAGGGTGTAGATTTCCGTATAACCACGAAAAAATGTTTATATCGAAGTCTCTCCCCGGATAACTAGCTACTCGGCAACCTGACGTTCTAGACCTTCTAGGAGCTTGGGAAACTCCATTGGAATGATTCAAATATTCTCGAACAGAGACAGCTCAGATACTAATTTAAGCCTTTCTTTTTTTTATCTAGCCTTATCAGGGATCGTAAAGATTATCTACATAGGTACTCTGTACTGCGTACATTGCAGCTAACTCACCTGCGCTGAATGCTAGAGCGTGGCTACGAAAAGCCCTGGTGGGGCTACTCCCGACAAAAATCTTCATTGTGATTGGATAGCAAAGATAGCAAGACTTGCCTGTGATTGGTTGGCGTGTATCTTGACAGGTTCTACGGGATCCAATCACCATTCAGCTAGGGGCAGGCTGGCATAACCCGACATACTCCGATACGGAGTACATACTTCCCACAGGCTGGGGAAACGTGCAAGCAACAAAGAGTATGGAAATTAATTATAATCCTACTTTTGCACAAGTACTGGATTGATAAGTGTGGGGAGGTGTCTCGTGCTTGTTTGTTGAGATCTGGCATGATATGCGCCATGCTTCATGTGCCCGAGTTCTAGACTTGGAGTTTTTATCTCGTTTTTTTTTAGAAACATTTCAAGGAATGCAAATATCCAGCCTCTCCCATTCCTGTATTCTATGTACTGTATGATTAAGATAAAATGACTATGAGGTCGGGATTTGGGGACAGGACTTCTGTTCCCAGTTTTCTTTTTTCTGGCTTTCTGGACGTAGTCATTCTGTGTACAGTACGTACGTTGTAGCTTTCTCTTATCCTTTTCTTCTTCTGATCCGTTCATTGTATTCTGCCTGAAGCCCAAGTCATTGGCGACAGAGAGGAGACAGAGGACACAGCTGAGGGAAGTCGACACCATGTTTCCCGTACTTGGTCTATTATCGAAGGTCTGCGCCTTGATATCCTTCATCCTCACTATGCTGTGCCTGTTCGCGGGCTCGCAGAAGAATTTCCTTCAGGATGCCAGCGTTATGACAGTATGTTCTCCTCTGCAGCCTGCTTTGAAACTTGAAAATGCGAGAAAGAAACCGAATATTGACAGAAATTGCTCAATCTAAGCTCAATACCTCCGCGTCACAACCCACGGCGGCAATCAAGGCTGCGAAAAGCAGTTCAGCCAGCGACTTGGGCTTACGGGACATGTATTCCGTATACGTGCTGGCGTACTGCGAAGGGTACTTTGTCGACAACCATCGCAACGTGACGAGCTGCTCCGATCGTTCGGCCGTCTTCGCGTTCAACCCGGCCAATGTGCTCTCGAACGAACTCAAAGCGGGTTTCAATGTTTCCGACATCAACTGGCCCGATACGATTACCGACGACTTTTCGGTCATGGAGACCACCACCAAGGCCATGTCGGTCCTATACATAATGGGGGCAGGCGCGACAGGAATCACGCTCCTCATGGAGATCTTACGAACGTCAGCTGGGGGGGAGACCATCTATGATGGCACACCTCTTCTTCACGGTCGTACGTACACATTCTTTTGCTGTTATATCATCATGACTGTGCCTCGCTGACATGCTTCTAGCTCAGCTTTGTCTGCCTCGGAGTCTCCTCCTCGGTGGCGTCCGTGATCGCCGTCCAATTCGTCGACCTGATTAATCGGCACGGTAAAAACTACGGGATAACGGCCACTGGAGGCGAGAAGTTTCTCGGCATGACATGGGCTGCTGTATGTCTGATCTTTGTCACCGTCGTGATCAGTGTCATCACGTTTCCGCCGGGTGGCTCCTCATCGCCCCCGGCAGACAAGGAAGCAACAGAGGCTTGAGGTATAGTCGACCAGGAAGAGAAGAAGTATGCTTATCACGCATCGGGAAGGATAAGCTCTCGAAGAAGATGATGAATGATGGATTTCTTTTCATTCTGCTTGCTTGTCTTTTTCTATTCACCTCTCAGGGATTCCCATTTTGCATGTTGTCCTTTTTTTATCTCCATTTTGCAGGAGAAGACGGGTGAATTGCAGCTCCATGAGTGGCTTAATGTTGTAACTTGTGGGTGACATGATGGGATGTGAATATCGAAGTTATTTTCGACTGGATGGCTGTTATCTGCATATTCTGCATACCATATTAGTCAGAACTCCAATCATTTTTGAGATGAAATGCTCTTGTATGTTTTATCAGATAGTGCGATATATTTTGTTGAGGGATTTTCTGGTGAGCAAATAACATGCGAATGTGTAGGGGTAGTCACCGGCACCTGTTTCAGGCAACCTTGGATGGAACATTTCCGGTTTTGCTAGAGCCCAAAGATAAATTTCAAGCAGTTGAATTCTGACAGAGTTTTACCACCAAAAATTCACGCATCGTGTCTGCTGCATTGCGTCAATTGCAGGTAAACAGACCCGGAATTAGCGTCTCCTTGACAGTGTAACCCAGACGTCATTTTTTACTACTAGAAAAATAACATCATAGGCGCACTGTTGAGTCGAATCCGCAAGCAGGGAAGCTCAGCCTGAATCTGCAGTTTTGAAAATGGTGTTATTCAACAAATCTTCGCACGGGCTTACTGGCATCCCCACCCCATATTCCAGTTGTCCTCCACGCTTGGAGAAGCGCAAAGCCTGACCGCCAACCATGCTGTGGGGGTGGTGTCTTGTCGCATTGCAGCGTCCTCTCCGCAAGGGCTTGGCCATATCCCGGTGAGCGAGTCAAGGGATGCTTGCTGTCAAAGCCACTGGATGTCTCTGTCTGTGACTGGTCTTAGCCTCGAAGTGTAACCGCATTGTCCTACCATTGAGCAACGTATGACTCTTTCTGGGGAATGGCGAGCGGCGATCGCTACACATGCCTCTCATCAGACGGGCCTGGTCGGTGCTAGTTCGGCGTAATCCTGATTCACTGCCCTGTGAGGCACGGATAATTGACGGGCACAGAAATAAACCGGAGAGACATCTGCATTAATTAATTTACTATGAACTATTCGCCAGCTGCGATTCGGGGCTGGGGCACACGCCGGGCAGCGACTAGTGACTAGCGCGGACCCAGTAGGGAATGAACGGGGCGGAAGGGCCCGCGATGATGTATGTGTTCCTGCCTTCAACGCGTGCGTCGATAATCAATGTTTAAATCATTCCTGCCTCCCTGCCCCTCTTTAATTGCCTTCTGCTTTCCGTCCTCTGTTTGTTTTTCTCCTCTCTTCCACACCCAAATCGTCCTTTCTGTCCGCCTTCTCTTGACCACTGATCATTGTCTCCTGGTAAGTCACACTACCTGGATGCTGAGCTAAGCATATCTTGGAGCTTACATCGTATCATTGCAGCGTGTTTGCAGATAGCCCTCTTTCTTACCCGCTTGCACACATAACCACCAAATCTTCCCTGCATTGACCAGATCATCCCTGTCATCATGGGAAAGAAAGCAGTTCACTTTGGTGGCGGCAACATTGGCCGCGGCTTTGTTGCCGAGTTCCTCCATACTTCGGGGTTCGAAGTCGTCTTCATCGATGTGATGGACAACATCATCGAGGCTCTGCAGAACAACCCCTCGTACCAGGTGACTGAGGTCAGCGAGGAGGGCGAGACCACCAAGACGATCAACAACTACCGTGCCATCAACTCCAAGAAGAACGAGGGAGATGTGATCAACGAGATTTCTACTGCAGACGTGGTGACCTGTGCCGTTGGGCCCAACGTCCTGAAATTCATTGCCCCGGTCATTGCGAAGGGCATTGACGCGCGTACGGCCTCCAAGCCCGTGGCTGTCATTGCCTGTGAGAATGCCATTGGAGCTACCGACACTCTGCATGGGTTTATCAAGGACAACACCGACCCGGAGCGGGTGAAGAGTCTCTACTCTCGGGCTCAGTTCGCCAACTCCGCGATTGATCGCATCGTTCCGACTCAGGCTCCCGACTCGGGCCTCAACGTTCGCATCGAGAAGTTCTACGAATGGGTTGTCGAGAAGGCTCCCTTTGGTGACGTGGGCCACCCAGATATCCCCGCCATCCATTGGGTCGACAACCTGGAGCCCTACATTGAACGCAAACTCTTCACTGTCAACACCGGTCATGCCACGGCGGCGTACTACGGCTACACTTCCGGAAAGAAGACCATCCACGATGCGTTGAGCGACGAGAAGATTCGTCAGACCATCCGCGACGTCCTCGACGAGACTGCAGCTCTGATCGTCGCCAAGCACGGCATCTCTAAGGAGGAGCAGCAGGCGTATGTGGACACGATCATTAAACGCATCTCCAATCCATACCTGGAGGACGTGGTCGAACGTGTGGGCCGCGCACCATTGCGCAAACTCTCGCGCAAGGAGCGTTTCGTTGGCCCTGCGTCGCAGCTGGCGGAGCGCGGAATGGAGTTCGAAGCTCTCTTGGGCCCGATTGAGCAGGCTCTGCGTTTCCAGAACGTTCCCGGTGACGATGAGAGCGTTGAGCTAGCCAAGATCTTGAAGGAGAAATCAGCCGCTGATGCCACCAGCCAGCTCACCGGGCTGGAAAAGGACCACCCTTTGTACCCGCCTGTGCTCAAATTGGTTGAGAAGGTGCAGGGAGAATCCAAGTAGGATTGCGTCTCCACCCAGATTTTCCCCTTTCGGTAACGACTTTTTCTTTTCTTTTCTTCCGTTCTCTATCTCTAATATTCCCCCCACACGATCCTGATTCAAAGCATAGATGGCAGGCCCGGATATGACACCACGCGTTAGAATGGATGAACTTAACGACATGAAGGACCGAGATCGATTAGCATGGCATGACGGAAGGCGTGCAGGGTTGAATTATTCTACGAGCATAACTTAATACTACAAACCTGTGGCATCTAGCGGAAACCACATGTACGCTAGAAGGATACAAAATAATAAAATTGTTTCTCTTCAAAATGCAGCATTTGATCAATGATGTAATAAGTCCCCGTCTCGGGCGCTAGACGAGGGGCCCGTCCATCAGGCTAATGTATGAAATTATATCCGTCGGGTGGGTCAACAGCGCCGGCAACGCCATCGCGCCATGTGGCGTGCGCCGTTCAATCTTAATCCTTACTCCGGAGTAGCAGCTGAAAATCGCTGATATCGATCAGATGATAAAGAGAGAATCTCAAGTTGGCATGTAGAAGTAAAAAGTTGTCAGACTGGTGGATGATTGGACTCTGTCTTGGATGTCTGTCCGGGGTATCCATGTTCGTTTACTATCAATTTATCCGGAAAGAGACAAGTACAGATTGATTTAATTTTTCCCGAGGTTTAATTAATTAATTAATTAAAATTAAAAATCTCAGCCTTAGGATTGATTCATGTTACCCACTGAACCAGGCAGCCTAACTACGGGCTGAGATAAAATAATAATCCGAGTTCGTTATTAGTCCACCCCCCTGGAAACCTGACAATTAATAAATAAAATAATGATGACGAGGAGCAGCTGGCTAGACGGGAACGACAATATTTTTTTTTCGACGAGTCATCTGCTTGTCGATGCGAACAATTGCTATGAAGTAAACAAACACAGTAAGAGCTCCTAGCTATGTAGTTAAAAGTCCCAAGAAATCGATCATCAGAGCAGAAAAAAAAGAAAAGAATCAAAACTGGAATCGCAACAATAAGAGATTACAGAATTATGTATGTACCTACGTAGGCTAATCACGATAACTTTATAATCCTACCTTAGCCTAAAAACAAGCCTAAGGACCAGGTACCTAAGGTAGGTTAGGTTAGGTGGGTAATGGGGTTCCTTATCTCAGAGATTTCTCAGGTATTAAGTATTAATTAACCGTCTTTTTTTTTTTGCTTTTTGATATACAAGCAAACAGACAAGGTGAGGCAAGAATATCGCTTCGAGCCTTGGAGTTTGGACCCTACCTATCTCCTAGCAGCAGGTCTTAGCTATCTATGTACTGTACGAATTGTAAGTGCGTGCGACTGTATTGTACGCATGCATATGTAGGTAAGGACCTGTTTTCTTTATCTTTGTATACCTACCTCCAGAAAGCTCCCAAGAAATTTGCTGGTTTGATTTCAGAATAGGGTCTGGAAGATAATATCACTGATCCACTATATATTTTTCACTATGTGCATCATGTAGCTCCCATATGTGGTATATAAAAATCTACGTTTTATAACAGAGAAACGTGTTGAGTATGTCGACGATACGATAATTCCAGGAGAGCGTACAGGGTATATTCTACTTCAGAAAGTCACGGATAAAAAAATAAAAAAACCTGAGGAACATAAATAATAATATGATATCATACCATATATATCAATTGAGACTTTTGAGCTTAAGAGTAGTGGTGAGTTATCGATCGAAATTTCATATAAAATCTTACTGAGAAGCAGTACGACTACAACTGCAAAATACAGTTCTTCTGTAAATAATAGGAAAAGGTAGCAAGTAAAATTTTAGCGATGGACTTGATTGATATCCTAACCTTTTTTTTAAAAAAAAAGTGGGTATCAAATCTATTATCCTACTGGCAGAGATATATTGACCAAAAGGAATTCATTCAGTATTTGTTGTACGATTAGTTTATAAGAGGCCTGGAAGGGTAGAAAGCTGTCTGAACTATCAGTAAATCATAATTACCCCTACTTAGGTATAGTAGGATGATTAGTAGGGTCTTATCGACAAATTTCGAATAATAATACCTAATTCTCTCTTTGAGCACCTAATGTAAAAAATTCTTCCTAATACCAAGGCGTTCCAGAGGTACAACACTTCTTGATGATCTGCAACATGTCATCTAATCCAATACTTTTTTTTCGTATTATAAGGTATTAAATTAATGTACTCGAGATTACTAAATGTCTGATATCTATGCCTTTCTGTAGAAGTCTCGTAATTTATAATCATGGTACACACATCTGAATAAGCTTTAATATAGCAGGAATAAAGCTGATAACTACCAAAAACCACGAAAAGTGATGAAAATCCCTCCAATACAAGAGGAAGATTTCAGTTTATCTTCGTACTAGGTAGGTTGTCAGCCAGTCAATACTGCCAGATACGTGCGAATGTATAGATAGGCTCTCGCGGAAACGTTATCGAGAAATCTACCGCGGATCGATCATAAATCTACCAGATATCCGAAATTCTATCTATGGTCTATATCCATGGTAGATCTACGGTATGAAGAAAATATACTGTTCATCCTGTTGTATTCTCAAATCAGCAAACGCCAGGCATACATGAATACGCGAGAGGTTTGTTTTCTCTGTGTTGTGATGTAAATATGTTTCTTCTTATGAAAGTCCATCATTTATCCATTGGGCAGTGCCAAACATCTCTGAAGTCTTTCGAGAGATCATATCCCTGTAATCGATTCAAAAAAAATCTATATTATTGTGCATTCTGAACGACTCTTTTTGTGGTTCTTCAGGCCCCTCTTGACAAGACTGCCAAGGGCCCAGAGAGAGGGGTATTTCCGCTTTCGGCTATACCCATGGCCATCCTTATTTAAATGGATCTTATTTCCCACATGAGCTTACGTTTTGATTCAGAGAGTACAATTTTTTAAGAAAAATTGATAAAACATACCTTCGACCAAGCTCGTTAAAATATTTTTTTGCTGAGTTTTGTGTGGTGCATGAATACCATGGCCTTGCAACCACACCGCTCCTTACTCACGCCGATCGAGCAGCTGCCTCCGTATTCCCCTTCCCCGCGAGAGCTCGACTGGGAAACATCTTCCATCCGTTCGACTGCTCCATCTTACGTCTCAGCTGCTCCGTCATACCGCTCGACCGTTCCTCCATGTCATAACTCCTTGACAGAGCAGCCCGCCGGAAACTGCTCCAGTCGAATTCGACCGGATCATTCCTCTCAGCCATATACAAATGGCGGTGCTGGTGTCTACCATCGAAGCTCATCTCGTACTTTGGGTAGTAGCGTGTCTAATTCACACTTGGATCATTCCCTCTACAATATTGTGAAATGGGTGCCTGTCACAGAGGGAATGCAAGCGCGGCATTACCACAATGTCGCCAAGAGACGCGCGACTGAAGCCTCGACGGGGTTAGACCTTGTTAGGAGTGTATCGCCCCGTCTTCACCGTCATTCTTCTTCCATCGTTGAAACCGGCAGGGCGGACTCTTCTCGAGGTCATCTCACGTCACTATCATCACCACAATCATCGTCATTTTCCTCTGAACCTTCTTCTTCTTTCCAACCAAGCCCTTCTGCAGGATTTTCGGAGTCGCAGACCTCTCGCTGGACAACACCTTCTCCCCTAGCAGAGGAGAAGGCATTCATGCAAGAAGAGTCCAAGTCATGGGACTTCATGACTTCGGAGATGGCAGACTGGCAACGGCGAAAGCGAGAACGAGAGAGGAGCAAGAAAGATGAGCCCTCCGCAACAACAGATCTTCAACAACAGGTCATTTCTGGGCGCGTTGCCATGGTTGCTCATCACAGTCAGGGAAGAACTACCACCACCGGCAGTAGGTCTTCCTACACTGCAGCGAATTCTTCAGATCCCGACGACGGGGGTAACGAACAAGGCTCTCCTGTATCGTCGTCGTCAAATCTGACGAAAAAGTTGAAGAAAAGAGTCAGTGAGCTTGTCTTGTCATTGAGAGCTAGCTAGCTTGATCGTGATTGCTGTTGCAATGGCAATTGCGATGGATGATCAACTAACCACATTCATGAGGTTGGTTTGGGCTGAGCCATACGAGATGGAATGGACGGCGCCCAATGGTATCTAGTGATTTCTTTGTCTTTGAATATGCTATATATATTGTGATTTTTACTGACCTACTTATGGATTACAAGTATATATGGGACATTGGAGGTATTACGACCAATGAACCAGTCAACCTAATACTTTCTTTTTTCGTACACTATACCAACAGGAACAATGAATATATTGTGATACACCATTCAAGTCAAACAAAAAAATTCAATTTGACTTAACAGAAGTACAGACAATAATGCAACTCCACATTGTTTATCAATTTATCAGGATCTGAGAATGAGAATGATACCTAACATACTCCGTACACCCTACCTAGTAGTTGTTGTCTTGAATATGGCTAACTATTCATTCCCCTTTCCTCTTCTCCACCGAGCTAGCCATCATCTTATCTATACTATGTGGATGCTTGGTTTGATTTTGGAGGAATAATAATAAATTGATATGGTATGACATGTCTGATTCCAACCGGTCCGTTAATGTTCGCCGCATGCCGCCCAACCTTCCTCTTCCTGCCTGCCTGCCTGCCTGCCTGCCTGGACGCCTTGATGCTCTTGAATAAGACAAAAATAAATAAATAAATAATAGATATAATGCTCTCGAAGAAGAGTCTCGTAAATGTCACCAGGAAAGGGGGGAAAGAAGCACACAAACCATTAGTCAATCATTCCAAGTCATTATTTATTTATGTGTTTTGTTATCCCTTCGTTATCCAACCACTATGCACCATGAAGTCAAAAATACGACTTGTCTTTGCGGCATCGATCTAGAATACGTCAGACATGCGCACTCTGAGGAAATGGAAGAAAAGGAAGGTCACCCACCTTACAAATCGCTCGAGCGTCTTTCTTCTTCAAGCTCCCTCCCTGCTTCATGGCTTCCTTGAGCAGGGCCTCCTTGATGACCAGGTACGGCTTGGGCTGAATATGCAGCACATTGCACAGCTCCACCTCCTCCTTGGTCAGCAGGTGCAGATCGGGAGCCCCTTCGTTCTCGAGCTTCCACGGGGTCACCCCGCTGAGCGGCTGCACGACATATTTCGACTTTTGCTGCGGCGCACTGGTGCTGTCACCATTGGCAGCGAGGGCCCGGTCGAAGTCGTTGGGGGCGGGTTGTTCTGCTCGGCCGCGGCGGGCTTCGCGACCCGTTGCAGCCGCAGCGGCAACTCGGGCGCAGTCAGCTGGCTGGCCGCCGAGGGAGCCTCGGGCTGCTGGGACTGCTTGGGGCGGGTGCTGGCAAACCGGTCAAACGAGCCTTGGGGGAGCTGCCGCTGCAGGCGTTGCTGCTTCTCCTGCTCGTATTTCTCCCCGGCTTTGAGGTCGGTGATGCCCATCTGCCGCCACTCCTGCAGCTGGGCGATCGCCAATCGCAGGTTGTGCTCGTATTCCAGGCCCTTGCAGAATTCCTCAAAGTCCTCATGGTTCATCATCCGCGCAAACGGTTTCGCTTTATTCAGCAGCTCCCTCTCTTCCTTCGTCCGCTTCTTCTCCTGGGCTGTGTTCTTCCGATAATCCAGCAGGTTGTGCTCGAAAAGGATCTTCTTGCGCTCCGTCCGCTGCGTCAACTTGTTGTTGTAAATCTCCATCACGGTCATCTTCAACTCCATCTCCGGATCATTCTCCCCCTCGCCACTGAGGCTAGTGCCGGGTTCGAAGGACATGTGCTGCACGGCCTCTTCCGCATCATTGCAGAACTCCGTCTCGAACTCCAGCCGTCCAGGCATATAGCCCTGGACCTCATGACAGGCGGGCACACTGGCGGTTGGTTTCTGCTTAGGGGTCGTTGGAGGTTGCGACTTGGCAGCTTCCTTGCGCTCCTCGATCCGTCGCTTCTTCCGTGCCTGGAACTCCTCCTTGGAGATACTGTCCTGGAGGGTTGTATCATTTGGGTCTGCGCGGGCCGGCAGTGGAAAGTTGGGGCTGTTGATATACGTCTCGATGTAGTGATCTCGCACCTCTTCCTTGGTGCGGTAGCCGCCGATATGGTCTGCGATGTCCGCCCACGAGCCCAGACCATAGATCTCGGCCCCTTCCAGCAGGAGCAGCTCCTCATCAGCGCCCCAGTCCTCCGTGTAGATGGGTACCGAGTTCTGCTCGATCACGTGGTAGGGATGCGTCCGAGGATCATGGTTCTTGGAGCTCTCGCCGGCGGCGAAGCAGGGCACGCAGAGATCGTACTCATGGCAGGCAGGGTGCGCGCATGATATCCGGACCTGAACAACACCATCAGTGAGCCTGCATTCCTCCAACCCGAACACGCACCGCAATGATAGCTTACCGTCGAGGTGATATCGACGGAGCAGACGTCGCAATGGTACTTGGTGCCGCCTTCGGTGCCGCGCGTGGCGGTCTTCTTTCGTATTACACCCATGGATCGTTCGCTCCTTTCATCCTCCGCCTTGTCCGACTCCGTTTCGGAAGATATTGAGTGCCCTCCAGAAGACGAGGGCGACGGGGGGTCAGGGCCGGAAAAGAAAGCGTCGTCGAGGGCGAGGTCGGAGTAATCGACCTGATACCGGGCAGGTCTTCTCCGCAGGCGGGTGGAGCTTTGACGTTGACAGGGGAGTGAAACAGGCTGCTTGCGAGCGCCAGCAACAGCAAATGGCAGACGGCGGCGACGAGAGCTGGTGGCAAGGGTTGTCGCGGTCGAAGGAACACAGGCGAGGGTGGTTTTCCGTGGGATTCGATGCTGGACGTCGGCTGCAGTCGCTGTCGGGGAAGGGCCCTGGAGGTGTCGGGGGGCAAACGCGACGTCGCCCGCCCAGGCTGCTGCCGGCGCTGACACAGGCGGGTTGGAATCATACCGAACGGGCGTCTTGCGCGGATGGCCAGCGGGCCCCGTGATTGGCTGGGAGGGGCACCGCCTCGCTGTGGCTGAGGCACGAGCCTGCGTCCTCGTTGGCTGCGCGCGCTGCCGGGTCATGCCTGCAGTAACGCGGTACGGTAATGAGGGCGTATTATTACGCGAGGCCGGGCCTGACTCAGCGGGCAGCGGCGAAGCAGGCGCTCCTATTGGGCGGCAAGCAGCGAATGGCCGGGCGCAATGGGGCGCTGTAATGCCGCTGGGTACGGTATAAAGGGGTGTAATACAGTAATACAGTCCCAATTATTGTCTGCGTTCACCGACAGTGCACAGCGACACCCCGCCCTTGGGCACCGGCAGCCTCAAGCCACTCCGTGTCACAGGCCCACGGGGGTTCCCCTCTCCCTGTGTGCGGCCCGCATCAGTTATAACGCGTATCGTTCAGTAAGCCGTATGTATCCTTGCTAAGTTGGTACCGCTGGAGGCTACTAGTCAGTGCACCGCGCTCCTTAGTGCTGTCTCCAGTTCACCACAATTCGGGTCGTCCCACTGCACCCCCTGCGGCCGAGTTGTCCTGTCTGTCAGCAGTATTTCCGTGCTCCTGGAGTTGAGACCGTTTTGTTGCTGCTGTTGCTGTCGTCGTTCCTAAAGCTGCCTGCTCTCGTTTGGTTGACCAGGCTGATCGTGTCGGTCGCTTCTCGTGCACTGCAGTTGTTGGGACCGGCCGTAGCTGAGTGGCTCCCGTCGGTCTACACGGTTGCTGTGCCCTGTCGAAGTGACCTCTTGTCGCCTCGTCACCACGCCCGTTCCTCTCCCCAATCCGGGTCCTGAGGCGCGCACGATCCTGGGGGATTTCTTCTTGCTCGTCTTTTGTCCTAAGCAGCGTCAGAGCCGTGAGGCCCTTTTTTCACCATGTCGTGGAAGCTCACAAAGAGTATGTTTCTGGTTTCCCTGAATGGGCGATGTTTCCTTACCACCCCCTGGAACCACCTGACTGGCTGCGTGTTGGAGATCCTTTTATCTAACTCTCACTTCTAGAACTGAAGGAGACTCACCTGGCTCCTCTGGCTCAGTCTTTTGGCCGTTCGTCGTCGACGTCGACAATCAAAGGTGAAGGAGCAGAGGAAACCCCGGCGACCTCTCAACGTCCCACCATCAATTCCCAAAATTCAAATGGAATCGGTACGCTCTTTTTTTACCTTGTCTTTCCTCTCAGTCACAACATAATGGACACTGGGAGAGTGGAAACTAACAGAATCAATGATATCTGCAGCGGATTCGGAGGCCTTGGTCTCACCTCCCGTGGCTCCCGTGAAGCCTGGTATCCTCATCGTCACGCTACATGAAGGCAAAGGCTTCTCCCTTCCCCCTCAATACCAACAAATCTTCAACAATCATTTCCAAAATCAGAATAACTCGTACACTCCGGTTCGACCGAACTCCTCGTCTTCCACGCAGACCTCCTCCAGCACCTACACACAGTCCACCAGGCCCCAGTCGACCAGCGGAGGCATCAATGCCGCCCCCACCATCCATGGCCGTTACTCCACGCGATATCTCCCTTATGCTCTCCTCGACTTTGATAAGAACCAGGTCTTTGTCGACGCGGTGTCGGGCACCCCGGAAAACCCGTTGTGGGCTGGTGACAACACCTCCTTCAAGTTCGATGTCTCCCGCCAAACCGAATTGAACGTGCAGATCTATCTTCGCAACCCGGCTGCACGACCGGGAGTCGGTCGCAGCGAAGATATCTTCCTGGGAGCTACCAAGGTCCACCCGCGCTTCGAAGAGCCCCAGCCATACGTTGAGGACCCGAAATTGAGCAAGAAAGACAACCAAAAGGCGGCAGCAGCTCACGCGGAGCAAGAACGGACCGTGGGTCAGTTGGGCGCAGAATGGTATGATCTGCAATTCGGCACGGGTTCGATCCGCATCGGGGTCTCGTTCGTGGAGAACAAAGGCCGCAGCATGAAGCTGGAGGATTTCGAGCTCCTGAAGGTGGTGGGCAAGGGTAGTTTCGGCAAGGTCATGCAGGTCATGTATGAAATTCTTAATTATTTCTGGGTGAATTCATCATTCTCACACTGTGGACCAACAGGAAGAAGGATACAGGCCGGATCTACGCCATGAAGACGATTCGTAAGGCGCACATTATCTCTCGCTCCGAGGTCGCCCACACACTCGCCGAGCGATCGGTGCTTGCCCAGATTAACAACCCATTCATCGTTCCCTTGAAGTTCTCTTTCCAATCTCCGGAGAAGCTGTATCTTGTCCTGGCATTTGTAAACGGCGGCGAGTTGTTCCATCACCTGCAGAGAGAACAGCGCTTCGATATCAACCGTGCCCGTTTCTACACCGCGGAGCTGCTCTGCGCACTGGAATGTCTTCACGGGTTTAAGGTTATCTACCGCGATTTGAAACCGGAGAACATCCTCCTTGACTACACCGGTCACATTGCTCTGTGCGACTTTGGTCTTTGCAAGCTGGACATGAAGGACGAGGACCGAACGAACAGTAAGTACTTTCTTCTTTTTTTATGCTATGGACGCTGCTAACGGAAACAGCCTTCTGCGGTACTCCTGAATATCTTGCCCCCGAGCTTCTCCTCGGCAATGGCTATACCAAGACGGTCGATTGGTGGACTCTCGGCGTTCTGCTCTACGAGATGCTGACTGGTCTACCGCCATTCTATGACGAGAACACCAATGAGATGTACCGCAAAATTCTGCAGGAGCCCTTGACCTTCCCAAGCCAGGACATTGTTCCGGCCGCCGCTCGCGATCTGCTGACGCGCTTGCTGGATCGTGATCCTCAGCGCCGCCTGGGTGCCAATGGTGCGGCCGAAATCAAGGCTCACCATTTCTTCTCCAACATCGATTGGCGCAAACTGCTTCAAAGGAAATATGAGCCAAGCTTCAAGCCGAATGTGGTAAGTATTCAGCGGTTGATTTCCCATCTGCACGTCAAACTAAATCCGCGCAGGTTGACGCCCGTGACACGGCCAACTTCGATCGTGAATTTACTTCCGAGGCGCCTCAGGATTCGTATGTCGAAGGGCCCACGCTGTCGCAGACGATGCAGCAGCAGTTCGCAGGTTGGTCTTACAACCGCCCGGTCGCAGGACTCGGGGACGCAGGTGGCAGTGTCAAGGACCCTTCGTTTGGCAGCATTCCTGAGTGAAGAAGTTGCATGCCAGTTAGTCGGAGGAGTGGAAGAGATCGAGAGGCGCTCTGGACCGTCGTTGCAGAGGTTTCTCACGAGTCTCTTTTGTGTGTCTTTTCCGCCGTTGATCTCGTTATCCATTTTCGTTATCCGTGACTTGCTCGTGGCGCGACGGAGTCTGCGGCATTTTCTTCCTAGATTTCTCGAGTTGTGATGACAAGCGTCTCCAATTTCTCCGTTGATCTCTTCAGGCATCCCAATTCCTTTCTCAAACACCGGCAGGTCCTCTTGAATGACTGGTTTACGCCGTTGTTCCGTCAATTCTTTCTTTTTTGCTGAGCAAGATGTGGTATTCCCTGCAACTTCCCCCATTTGCGGTCTGTCTACTCTATTTACAGGCTGGAGAGAATACACACGAGAGAAGTGCAATATCGCGGCTCTGCTCTATCCTTCCTCCATACCCCGATCATATTCTTTTGTCTTTTCTTTTCTTGTTTGCCGCTCTGCCTTGCCTCGTTGTCTATCTCTGATCTGCTGGCAGATAGATTTTCAGCCCGACCTGAAGATGGAAGCATATTTGCAGATGGGTGTGGAAAGTTGATCAATTGCCTTTTTTTTTCTCTTTGTGTGAGTCTGTTCTTAGCGTGCCGTTTATTTGCTTTTCTTTTCTTGCCTTTGTTTTTTCCTGCTGCTCTTTCTTTGAACTAGGAGTGAATATAGGACCTGAATTTGAGAATTGTGCATATAAAAGTCTACTGTCTGACAGTTGAAGAGTCCACTTGTAAAGAGGTAAACAAACATTCAAGAATCAATCAGATCTGTAAGACGATCGACGCAGTCTGAAGTACATACGTACTGACGATCTCTCTCTCCACGCCCGTTTGTCAGTGTCTGTCTCCATTACACCGGTGGGATAAAAAAAAGTATATAGATGGATATTAGAAGAGAAAGTCGTGATAATTGTTTAATTGATCAATAGTGCATAAATAGCTATAATTCTCATATAGTATCTTCTAGTCCGTATATACGTATAGATGCATGCATGTATGTACAGCCGTATCCATCTACCTATATATATCCACCTCTCGTTTCTGCCCTGAACACGTATTGTATCCATCTATTCCATTCCTATCTTCATCTTTTTTGTTTCATCGTCTCCACTAGCTTCGTAAATATCTCCTGGCGCTGCTTCTCGAAGCTCTCAAAGGCGTTCTTGGCCATTCCGATGGGGATCTGCTCCTCGCCCAGGAGGAGCTTTTCCATTGTCTGGAAAGAAAAAGATATTGTCAGAGGAAATCCAGAACAGGGTGCAGGATGCAGGGTGAAGGCATACCTCATTGGTAAACTCATCCAATGGCATACCGAAATTCCTTCCATCGACGATATCGGGCTGGTGCTTTGCGTCGTGGAGTTCGGCTTGATGATGAAATCAAGTCTGTCAGTTACATGCGCTTGAACAGAAGAAAAACAATACTCTCTCTTCAACTCACTTTGAACTGCCGGTGGCAGGATCTCAATCACTTTGATGTTGCTTCCCTTGAGCTGTTCTCGAAGACACAGTATCCAATGGTGGAGGGCAGCTTTGGAAGCGCAGTAATTCGAGCATCGGAGAATGGGCACGAGTGCCAGACCGGATGTCGTGCTGTAGGACACAGAAGAAATGGGTAAGTTGGTCAGTAATGGCTTTTTTTTCTTCGTGGTTTTTTTTTCGGCAAATGTATCTCACTCACAAGATGAATGACGTCGGCGCCTTCTTCACCGTGAAGAAGGGTATGAACTCCTTCGTCAAGGCAAGGTAGGAGAGGTAATTCGTCTGGACAGTGATATGTTATGTCAGCGGCGTTGAGTTGGAGAAGTTCTTCTGTGATCATCTATCCCACCGTCATTTCTTCCACAATCACGTCCATATTAATAGCCTCAGGTTCGCTGAAGACACTCCGACGCTGAATGCCCGAGTTGAGAAACACGCAGTCTAGGTCAGGATGCGACTTGATAATACTTTATTTTTTGTCGATGTCAGCCAGCCTGATCAAGTTCCCATCTTTTTTCCCCCTCGTGTGTCGACTGCTTGCTTACTCCTGCACAAAACCAGGAATGGCATCCAGCTTGGTGATATCGAACTGCACCGCAGCGGCCTTGTCAGACCCCTGGCTCTGAACGAATGCATCGAGGTTTTCCTTCCTGCGACCAACGCCGATCACGAAGATGCCCTGCTGGACGAGTCGCTCAGCGATGGCAAGGCCGATGCCTGGTTGGTGACCACATGGTCAGGAACTGAATTTCGTCTTGCTTGCTATGCGAAACTGCGGGGAAGGGAAAGGGAAAGCGGCCGAAACGAACCGGATGTAGCGCCCACCACGAGGACTTTCTTGTATGGAAAGGCCATGATGGTGTATGATGTCGTTCGATTCTTGGTATTATTAGTGCGAGTGCAATAATTTCGGTAATGAGGCGGTGGTTATCTATTCAATTGCAATCCAATTCAACCCCTTTTCAGTCGCAAGCGCTGTGGATTGTTCAATTGTGCTGGGCAGTGACAATGTCTGAGAGATGATCTCATACGGCAAAACGGTTTCGGATATATCAAGCTAGAAGCCGACATGCCGAACCGAGACGGCTTAAGTCCGATGGTCATTGGGGAAGAAAAAAAATACTGAAAATATATATCCGAGACTAAAAAATTCCAAATTTCCTATAAACCGGCGAGGAAAATGCGAAATTCAATCAATGATTGCTATATTTCATATTTGAAAACTATGCTGTTCACCCTGGTTATTATTGCATCTCACGTCCAAATTCAATTTGCTCGGATGCCCCTCCTCCCGTCATTTTAGCCGTCACTGCAGTTCTTCACCGCCTGTTTCGGTATGGTGAGAACTCTAATGACGCTCTGCCGAGGAGCTAACTTCATGATTACATAATGCCGGGAGTTCATAAATTGTCCCGACGAGGAAGTTGTGATGCTTATACAAGACACATATGTCTATAGCTGTATAGAGTTATGCCACTAGATCGGCATCTCTCCTACATTCTTGCTTTTATATTTTATATTTTCGAGAGAGATCACTGATTATGTAATGATATTCTCTCAGACCCTCCTTTATGCCTTTTTTTGATCCAGGACAGTTTAGCGCAATAAATAAATAACCTGTAATATAGGTGTTAATAAAGATGAGCATGAGAGCCCACGATGACGAAGCTGAGGAGGGAGAGGAGGGAGAAAGGGGTAGAATGTAGGTAAATGATACGAGCTGAATAGTTTCGCACTTTCCAAATTGGGAAATCAGGTGAATCAGCATCTAGACAGAGGAGTTTCGTTGGTGTTCTGCTTTACCATGCCAAACGAATCCGGTGGGAAGTCTAACCTGACAGCTAAAATGACGGGGATATAAGAGCAAACTCCATTATATGTGCAGACAGGGGATAGCCAGGCAATGAGAGTAGATTTTGGGTTGTATCGTGCTACTTTTGATGACATTTGCACACGTGTATTTTCTCGTGGTAAATTATTTACGAGTTAATAATAATAATCTTCCCCCGGCGGTGGGCTGGAAACTTGCGAAAAGAAGACCGACTGCAGTCCAGATACCATCAAAGTATACACGGTCTATAGCATGGCTTTGATGAAAATGGCAGATAAACCAAAGCCGTAAGGAGCAGGACAGTCATTTGCCTTGATCTCCCTGGATGGTTAGTTCATCCATCTTAAACTTTTTTTTTTGGATTGTGATTCAACCCATTTCAGTTATTAAGTACGAGACATGGCGCCAATGGAAGAATTCCAAACAGGGCCAGACAGGTGACGCGAAGCTGAACGACAGTATCAACATGTCGCAGGAGCTTCTGGCATCTCATAGAGAGAGGATTTTCTTGCCACTGGGAAAAGCCTCTGGTCGGCATGTTAGTAAAGGTGTGTAGCCCTGAGCTTCAAAATATCTCTTGGTGCTAAAAGGTGCGAAAATGCGCCAGACAGACGGTGATTACGGCCACCAAGACAAAATGCCCTCTCTATCACGAGCATCTGTACCATCGCAGTGCCATGAGATCCATATCTGCATCTATATGACGTGCAGCATGCTTCCCTCTGTATTTTTTAACCTTTCCGAGATTCCTCGAATGCCACCAGTATATCACCAATCGACTCGAGTTCTCGATAGAAACAAGGTTCTCTCGGAGAAGCGCGTCGGGGCTTCGGTGAGTTGTCAAACAATCGCCTCGAAGATGTTGTCGAAGGTCTAGAATGATAGCTAGCTCCAAAGGACATTCGGCTCTAGCGACCAAATGAGCGAATTGATGGAGAATGGAGCCGTTCAGATGATCGGAGATCGGATTTGATGAACTTGCCCTTCAATTGTAAGCTCCACATGCACACGAGTGGAGGATTCTCTGGCAGACAAAGCACGTGAGAGTTTTGCACGTGTGAGAAATCACACGTCACCCATCTCAGCCACTGGGACCCTTCGTTTTCGTCACCAGCAATGTCGGAGTCGTGGACTGGGAAACTTCGCGAGAACTAATGGTCGGACCAGACCGTTGGGGTTTCATGGATAAGTACAAAAAAACTCACATCTAGCCAGTATTAATAATAAATCAATAATAATTTTAATAACTAGTCCAAGGAGAACCGGGATCCCAATGCCGATTCCTACTCCACATCTGCATGACTCGCATGCTGCCGTCGTACAAACTCCTGCACGTGGGAGGAACCGAGATTTCACTTCGGCGGGCCCGATGCCCTCGGATTCGTCCGAGAGCAGTTCACGGTGGTGTGTTGACAGGAGTACAAAGTAACTGCCGAATATAGCAAGCCAGGCGGGTACCTAATGTCAGAGATGGGGCTGCAAAGATCCAACCAGACCGGCTGAGCGCACTGGCAGACACATGGTTGATCCAGCTGGCGGGTGGTAGGACAAATTCAGCCCCATGGGAAATGAGTACTCCGTACCTAGGTGATTGGTAGTGCAGGAACAGCCATCTAAGTACTCGGAACATATACCTAGCCTGCTCAGCTCTAAAATTCTTTCAGGGTCTGGCCGGTTAGCTCCGAAGTCAGACGCCAATCGATCGTCACGGAATCGCTGGATCGCTAGGCGCTGACAGGCTGGCAGCCAGATCCTGCACAAGCTTCTCCTTTTTTAAATTTTCCTTTCCTCGTAGAGGTGCAGGCTGACGAGAAACAAATCTCAAGTCAGCCTTGGTTGCTCTGCATGCCTCTCTGGTGGACGCTGTGTTCTTTAGAAGGCAAAGAAAAAACATCATGGACGGCAAATTTCCGGAAGCGTGGCATGGAAATGCCCGCTGACTGGCCAAGAGCTGGCGTTTTGACCTCCCAGCCAAGATCGACTCGTGCCCATGGGACGTTTCAATGATAGTAATCACACTGTCAAAGCTTGCAAGTCCCTTGCAAAGTTTTCAGCTCGAATGAAACCGTCAACCGAACAAGTCACTACTACCTCCCCATCCCTTCGGGTCGCTGGTCGGACATCAGCTCGTGGAAATGTACTCCGTAGAGCGTTTGGAGATTCTCTGTGAAATGCGATGAAGAGCCATTATTAGTCAGGTCCTAGCAGATTGCTCCTCGCAACAACCGGGCGGAGACTTAGTCCTGAAACACTTGATCGGCGTAGGGAATCTTCGACTTCCCCTGGAGTGTTGACGTCGGCCCTTGCTGCCGCATCTTGGGAAGGAGCCTAGAAGCTCCAGGGAAGCTGCGCTGGACGCAAGGATCACGCGTTGAATCGACGTGCAGGCGGGTCTCCACCGGCCACATCGGGGGTCGGATTGGCCTTGGCGGGCTGACAGCAGCAGCAGGCAAACATCTCCGAGGGAGCGAGCGCGGTGGTTGGCCTCGTGCCTCCCTTGTCAGGCAGAGGGAACGTGGGAGGAAATGGAAGCTGCGACTGTGATAGCGCGGGTGCCGCGGCCGTTGCAGCTCCGAGCCCGCGGCGGAGCAAGCAATGAGGACGGCACTCTGGCACACGTGTGTGCATGCCGCCGCCTGATTGGCGCGCGGGGCCTCCCCCGCGCCTTTCCGCTTTCCGCTGCAGCCTAGGGCTCTCCTCTCGCCGGACCGCCCGCTGCCAGCGCCAGCGTGCACCAGATCGAGGGCAGGCGCCCCAATGCAGCAAAATTTTGCTGCTCGGCGATCGAAGCGCAGCCATGGTTCTCGTTGGCCCATGCGACGCTTCCTCTTGCTCGCGGCCACCCGGTGGAGCTGCGCGCCCCTCTCCCAGCGCCCGAAGCGACATATCAGCGCTCCGGATGCAGCAACGTGCATCGACGTCGCCGTCACTGCCGGTCCCCTCCCGCCGGCCAGTCGTCGACGAAGACTTTGCTCGAGCGCCATCGTGTCGTCTCTACCCCGTATATAATATAAATCTCAAGCCCAGATCTCTTGGTCAAGACTTGGCTTCCTCGTGCGCACTTCTTCTCGGTCTCTCGACCTCTCTTGGCTCCCCAAGCGTGCCGTTTGGTGACCAGCAACCAAGGCGACCACGCACGCCACGTCTTCTGGGCATCCTTGTCCTAGGTGTCTGATCGCGAGCGCAACTTCTCTCGAGAGGAAGACCAACCTTCTGCCAAGGCGTTTGATAGATCTCCGTGGTCGATCATGGCCGACGCTGGTCCTAATCCCCCGCATGGGCCCGATATGACGGGCACCCACCCGCCGTTCGAGGACATGAACGTGCACGAGAAGGACGCCTTCGACAAGCTCATCCGTCCCGATGACAGCTACACGCCCGATGGTGTCTACTGGGCTGATCTGCCCTTGTGGAAACGGATCCGATTTGTTACGTCGTACGATGCAAAGGAGGCCCGTCGCGAGCTGGGGAACATCTGGTCCATGATCAAGGCCGATCCCCTCTCGCCCGTTTCGTACTACTTCAAGAACATGGTCCTTCCTGGCGCCGGTCTGGGTCTGGAAGGGTTAGTGACACCCGCTTTCCCCGCAAAATGTGATCACAGCAGGGACTGACAGCCGTCTAGCTATGTCCTGTTCTCCATTGGCAACGTCACCCCTCTGCTGCAGGCCGCTTTCCCCGCCTGCTGGAAGAAAAACACCATTTGCAGTGCCGACTGGATCAATGCCATAAATTATCTGGAAATTGCGGGTATCATTGTCGGCCAGATCATCGTCGGTTTCCTGGGTGACTGGTACGCAGCTTTTTCTCTTTCTCTGCCAGGCGAAGTCTCGCTGCTAACCATGGGGAAACTAGGATCGGCCGTCGCTGGGGTCTGATTCAGGATGCCGTCATCATGTTTATCGGTCTGGTCATGCTTACGGCGGCTTGGGGTGTGACCCAGAACGGCTGGGTGATCTGCTATGCCTGGTCGCTGTTCTTCTACGGTATCGGTGTCGGTGGTGAATATCCCATGACTGCCACCGGCGGTATGGAGAACGCCGTCGGCTCCGGTAAGGTCTCCACCAAGGAGGACCGTCTGCACCGTGGCCGCAAGGTCACCAGCGCTTTCTTGATGCAGGGTTGGGGTCAGTTCATCAACCAGGCCCTGCTGATTATCCTGCTGCTCTGCTTCCACCACGGTTCCGGGAACCCCCTTACTCGACGGTTGCTGCTCAATGGACCTACCGTGTCTCCTTCGCCATTCCTGCCGTCGGAACCCTGTGGCTGGTCTACTACCGTGCCTACCACATGAAGGCCGCTAGCAGACAGCTCAATGCTGCCAAGAGGAAGAACCGTGTTACCGGTTATGACTACGAATCCCTGAAACTGACCTTCAAGTACTTTGGTTTCCGTGTCCTGGCCACCGCGGGTGCCTGGTTTGCCAACGACGTCTTCTTCTACGGGAACAAGCTGTTCCAGAGCCAGTTCATTTCCGTCCTTCTGCCCCACTCGACGTCCATCATGCCCAACTGGTTGTACAACTTGCTGAACGTCGGTGTTTCGCTCGTTGGTTATTATCTGGCCTGTAAGTGGAACTCGTCCTCTTTTTTGATCGCTGAGTCCTCGTGCCTGACTCGTGGCATCTAGCTTTCTTGATCGACAACAAGCTGTATGGCCGCAAGTGGATGCAGCAGATCGGTTTCCTGATGGACTTCATCCTGTTTATTATCCCGGCCTTCCACTACAAGCACTACACGTCGCTTGAGCACATCCAGTCCTTCCAGGCCATGTACTTCCTCAGCTCTTTCTTCAACCAGTTCGGCCCGAACTCGGTCACCTTCCTTGTCGCTGCCGAGGTCTTCCCGGCTCCGATCCGTGCCACGGCCCATGGTATCTCTGCCGCCGCCGGTAAACTTGGTGCGCTGATGGCCGCCATCCTGTACGCCTACATCCCCGTCCAGGAACGTTTCTACATCGTTCCGTGGTTCGGTCTGGGTGGAATGCTTCTGACCTTCCTCTTCCTCCCCGACACCACTGGCCTGGATCTCAAGGAGCAGGAGCGCCGTTGGTACTACATCCGCCAGGGTCGGGAGCAGGACTACCACGGCCCGGCTGTGCACCCCAAGCACCTTTCCCTGTGGGAGCGTTTCCGCGGTCTCGGCAAGAACTACGACCCCGAGCTTGACTACAAGCAGAAGATCGAGGAGTATCGCGCCGAGTGGGAGGCTGCCATGAGCAAGAAGCTCTCCAACGAGGAAGACAACCTCGCGGACGACACTGAGGAGACCCTCTTCGAGGGCCACGTGCACCAGTACTTTGAGCGTACCAGCCCCATGTTCCGTGGCATGGAGAAGAACGGTGCCCAGAACTTCTCCGCTCTCCCTCCGGCTGCTACTGCTGACAGTGACACCACTGAGGCTGTTCCCAACGAGAAATAAGCGGGCCGCACCCCTTGTCTCGTTGAAAACACTCCGTGTCAACAGGTATTACCACTGCAAAACTGATCTCACCTATTCTTTTCTCTGTGTCTTTTTTACTTCGGTTTCTCGGTTTAGGGGATGTAAGACATTGCTGGTATTAGACCGAGAGAGTGTGTGACATAATCTAATATTCACAGCATCTGCATGTAACGCATGCCTTTGCTGGTTTAGATACCCTCTTTCCAACAATGACGATTGTAGATAGTTTCTGTCCCATTCCTCAATTTTCCTCTTGATTGTGATGACAGAATCTCGCCAGAAAAGGACTGTACATACTTTGATCTAGATCTAAAGGTGCATCTTGAAGCTCAATGTCACGCAGTTGGTAAGTGGGGCCGGCGTCTTCCAGCCGCCCACCAATAAATCGTCAATCCATCGATCTAATTATCCATCATCGATCGATCCTTCTAACAAAGCCACCTGAGCTACCTTAGGTGCCTAAAAAGAACAATAAAGAACGGAAAGGGATTGGCAAACACCTAAACAAAACAATTGTTCCAAGTGGAGTCGTGACGACATGCCCCTCTTTGCTTTTGGCTCCAACGGTTCCGGACAGCTTGGCATCGGACACCTCGACGATGTCTCTGTGCCGACACGGTGTTTGTTTTCCAGAGAAAGGAGCGACGACAATGGCCAGGATCAAGGCCAAGGCCAAGACCAAGGCCAGGGTCTGGGCCAAGTCGTCCGCATCGTCGCGGGCGGGAATCACACCGTGATCCTCTTCGACAGCGGGGCCGTGTATGCCGCGGGGTCTAATGAGAACGGGCGATGCAGCCAATTCGGCTCTGGCTCTGGATCGAAGAAGGATGACGAGGATGAGGAAAACCAGGCTTCTCGATCCGACTCAGGAGAGTCGTCGTCGTCGTCGTCGTTGCTAAGTTTCACTCGGGTGGTCCTGCACCTCGAAGGAAGGGTCATCGACCGCTTCCGCGCCGTGTCAGCGACGTGGGAAGCTACTTTTCTGGTTCCTGCCCATGATGACAGCAACGAAGATGCTGAAGATGAGATCTTCGTGCTGGGAGCAGGCACGAAAGGAGAGTTGGGGCTTGGCCCGAATCAGACGGAGACGTCCGGCGGGCCAGCAAAAATGTCAGATTTTCCGCCCCGCGGGACGCGGATTGCTGCCATTGAGAGCGGGATGGGCCATACGGTCGTCGTTCTGTCTAATGGGGACGTCTACGGCTGGGGAGCGGCAAGGAAGGGACAATTGGGACGGTCAGCGTCACACAAGAAAACTCTTTGGTCACCGGAGAAGATCGGGGATGAAGAAATCTCGTTCCCGGCTACGGGTGCTGCCTGCGGGCGGGAATTTACTATCATCACCGGGGACAGAGAACGTGGTGACTTTGTGATCCTCGGATCAGACAGATGGAATATCTTGTCTGGTGCTCCTCAGTCCGTCAAGGGAGGCTCTGTATCTGCCAGTTGGCACGGGATCTATGTACATGAGTCGGATCTATCTATCAAAGCCTGGGGCCGGAATGACCGTGGCCAGCTCCCTCCACCGGATTTCCCCAAGGCCGCTCAGATAGCGGCTGGTAGTGAACATGTTGTCGCTCTGCTTCCAGATCAGACGGTGGCGGCTTTTGGATGGGGAGAACATGGTAATTGCGGCCCCGAAACGGATTCACAGGGCAATGTCAATGGGAGGTGGAACCAGATTCCACTTGCGGTTGCTGAGGATGCCAGGATCGTGGGAGTCGGTGCTGGATGTGCTACAAGTTGGATCATTACATCCTCTCGCTGAGGCGCACCCTCTGTTCTGTTAGCGATGTGCTGGAAGTCCCCGCGTTCTCTTTGCATGCTTAGAGATCACAAGTCACGCCGGCCTCTCTTGCACAGCCCTAACCGAATTTGACGAGGTGATGCACTCGAGATCTGGCGAGAATTCGTGATTTGTTGAGACATTTTCTCAATCAAAGAGGCCAAGGTCACGAATCTATCCAAGTCAGCGCATGTACCCTAGGCACAACGACGTCACACATACCTGTGATATGCGTTGTGTTGGAGGAATTGCAGGCTCATCTTCAACTGTCGCTTTCTCCTGCTGACCTCCATGGGCCGGCACAGGCTCGTTTTCATGGTTACCCTGTGCATCAAATCCGCCCTAAAAGCCGTAATCAGTGGAAAGTTGGTCATTCAAGAGGAAAATGGCAGACGAACCGTGTCGGCATTAGCATCCCAACCGAGCGTATCCTCTGCATCTTCCTCATAGTTATGCTCATCCCACTGTCTGTCATCATCTTCTGGGACGAATAAATTATCGAAATCCACGTACGCAGAAGGCCGTGGCACGGCGCTGGGCGGCGCTTCTGGTTTTCGAGCTGCAGCCTGAGCAGAAGGCTGGGCCGACCGATTTGGAGGTGGCGGCATCTGATCCCTTGCGGAGGTATTATTCTTGGAGGAATTCACCGAGACCGGTTGTGCTTGTGCTGCTGGTCTTGCAGATAGCTGCGACGCTGCTCGGGACGAATGTTGGGTGTCGTCATCGTCTACCTCTCCTCTCGTCATCAGAGTGAATTCCATCGAGATCCCTTCGGTTTCGTAGGCCAACTGCAAAGGACGGCAGGGACGGGTATATCTCGCAGTTATACTCGTCTTGACGGTATCCGCATGAATAACGGCGGCCTTGAAATCTTTGACACTGACTGCGACATGAAGGCCGTCCTCGACCATGAATTCCTCGAAATCATTGGTATCTATAGCAACTGATGTGTGAACTGGTTGCTTCAGAATTTCTAGACAAGATAGGTTAGCCAAGAGTTAGAAAATAGATAGAAAGAGACTGAGATCACCTTTGCCGTCGGTCACCTTTGTGGTGAAGCTGGTGAAGATAGCCTTTCCACCATCAGGATAGATATCTAATTGCTCCGCGGAAGAGCTGAAATGCTCGATGATCTCCCGCAGGAATTTGGATTCAATCGTCCACTGATTCCGAGATCTTGCCCTGTCAAACACTGCGTGTTGCACGGTGACAGGTTCATAAGTGAGTTTGTATGATTTTACGACACCTGCCAAAAAAAAAGGATGAATTATCCTGTAAGTTTGGAACGGTGTACTTAGGTATGTAAGGGGAGAAAGGGGAAGGTCATACCTTGCCCGCATATCATCTTGATAACCAGTCTACACTCTGCTTGATCGGGGGTATCATGGAGCTCAACGTCACAGCGTTCAATTGCCGTATCCTTATCCTTACCCCGTGACTCAGCCGTTCGGCCTTTGAAAACTGAGAGCAGAGCCTGGATTCGCAGTCAGACAGGAGGAACACTAGTCTACAAAAAAAAGGTGATGGGAGGAGAATATACATACCTTGATGTAAATTTGACAGGAGAACCGATCTGCAGACTGGTTTCTCGCTGCGCGATTTGCATTCCTCCTGATATTGAAGGAGAACCGAGAAAAGAACTTATCCGCATCAAATACAAACGCAGCATAGGCGGTTTTGGCCGTGTTCAGAGCACTCAGTCGTAGCTTTTGAATGTCAACAAACAGGACAATAATAATTGTATGACTTTCTATATGATAGACTTACTAGGTCGTATTCAGCCTCGATAGAGACGCTCTCACTAAATTTCGAGAGACAGAACAGTGCATCGTGCAAGCGCAGCAACGCACCGGGATCGAGAGAAAAGGATAAAGTAGCCATGGCTGGTCTCGGCCGTGCAGGCCAACAGGTTCTATTTGAAACCCCCTTTTCTGCTATGAAATTTGTTCTGGTCAATTCATTTGATTGACGCGTTGGGAGAAGCAGTTCTCGTGTTGTCCGTTCAGGCAGGACGGCTTCATGTATGCACATACAACCCGCTTATGTCATCACCAATAAAACGCGTCCCGCGACCAACTCCATACAAGGTCATTTCGATATGCGCAGCAGAGTCCAGGATAAGCACGGTAATCAATTGCTTCTCTATTGATTTTAGTTCCGTCTAATTCATCTTAATTCGAGTTGGGAGGCTGCGGTTCAAGATGGCGTTGTCTCTGCCCGGGGATGTCCTCTATGTCATCCTGGACTTCTTGAAAGCTGAGAGGGATTACAATACCATCTTTCAATGCGCAATGTCTTCTCGGTGGCTGGCGAAGCCAGCCCTGTCTGTGCTGTATCAGTAAGAAGCTCTAAGATCCATTGAAACTGAATTCACGCTGAATCTATGGAAAATAGGCTATATGATACCTCACCCGTAACGGGTGGTGGAACGGAAGAGGAGCAGTTAAGAACGAAAAGGACCACTGGTACCACCACGGTGACGGCTGGTGGCAAGGACGAGCAAAACTCCATCATCCGTAAATGGGCCCTCATGTGGCGATCGATCATCCTGTCTACGTTTGAGAGGACCTATCTCCCTTACTACAGCTATATTCGCTATCTGGATCTCGAAGATCTGAAACATCTTGTTAGCGATCCCAGTTTTAAAGGACAGATAAGAGAGTGAGTGCCTATTCTACCAAATGGGATTTCGTCTTGCACTTTTTGGTTTTGCCTAATCAGCGCTAGGGAATTCTTTTCCGGTGAAATTGGTGATTATATCTTCCGTGACTATGAAACGAAGGGGAGCAAGAGATTACGATCATCGAGAACTTCTCCTGACGCGATTTGGATTGTTCAAAAAGTCGGATCAGGTCAGTTATTATTATTTTTTTTATTTTTTTCTTTCTTTTGTTCTACCATTCCGAAACTGGAATATGAGCACAGCGTCTCTCTGTCACTATAACTGCGAAGTACAGTTTTCTAACTGCAATTTAGCAATTACACAAAAGGCGAAATCGATAAGAGAGTTATCCGGAGAAAGTAAGGCATCTTTTTTGCGTCCTCGACTCGGGTACCTGAATGCGTGCTGAATGTCTTCCCAGTTCCTCCGTCAGCTCTCACTGAATGGATCCGTAACTTGCCTGAACTTCAGGCACTGTCCCTGTGGTCCGGTAATTCTTTGAGCCATCACGCTGAAGACGAGATTCGTGTTCATTGCCCGGATTTCAAAAAGGTTGCGCTGTTCCGATGGTATGTTTTTCACTGTTAGATGGTGCAGTGTCCTTCCGTTGACCTTATCCTGTCAACAGGTCGGACAGTCCTTCAGAAACTGCAGAGTCAGAATCGGAACAGTTTCTTAAAGGGCTGCGCCCGAATTCCTTGGAGTATTTCGAAGTGATCAGTTATTCGCATTTGGGACCGCGCTCCATCGCAGCCTTGGGTTCGCATCTCAAGTCGCTCGTCGAACTGAAATTAACGAGTCTCCCGCTCAAGGCTATCGCAGAACTGCCATCTTTAACGGCACCTCCGGCTCTGAAAGTTCTGTCATTGACAGACTCTCTTCCGGAGCTTAGGAACGAAGAATTCTACAAAACCGTATCCGACGTTGCAGAGTGGATATGCAGTTGTAAGAACCTTCGACGACTAGAGCTCCGAAGATTTCTTGATGACCCTGTCCTGCTTTCCAAGGTCCTTATCGATGACAGAGTCCGCCTTAACGCCCTCCATGTTGTAGGCTACTCAATGCAGAGTGCTCGGGCTTTTCATGAAGCTCTTGCTTCTCAATCCTCCTTGCAAGTTCTATCCCTCCAAGGGGAGGGAAGCGAATGGCCTCAGGACCAAGAGGTGCTCGTACAGGCGCTAGGACAGCTGAGCGAACTTCTCGAGCTGGAACTAAAGGAAATCTCAGAGTACTTCACGCCCGACCATATCATGTCCCTAACGCCGTATCTGCCCCATCTCGAACGGCTTTGGATAAGCGGATACGATTTCAACGACCAAGTCTGGGACTCCTTCCTATGTCTTCCTCGACTACGGTATTTAGTCATCCATGCTCTGAGCGATTTCACAGCTCAGGGGATTCTTGATTTCATTTCACAGCTGGGTCCCGGCAATCGGGGGTTTTACTTGTCGATCTTGAACGCGATGTCGGATACCAGCATCACAGAAGAGGCCCAGACCGTCATCCGAGATACGCTCGCGCAGAACTTGGACGGCAGTTTCGATTTTGGGCTGGCGCGCGGTATGAAGCTTATTCAATTCGTCTTCATTAATCAGTCTGGATACTAACTTGTCGCAGAGGAGTTCACCGACTCAGAACTGGGCTCTGATATCTCATAGTAATAGAAAAATCCATCACCATCAAACCCAGGTGCAAATACGAGTCGTTCTGTTCGATCGCCTATGGGTGTAATGGTTTCAGAAAGGAATTGGTTTAATGGTAATAATTATGAGATCGAAATTGTAGCAACTGCAAAAAGACTTTTCCGGCTTGCAAAGGATATATCGGATACCTGGTTGTTAAGTACAAATCAGTTCATTATTATGGATAGTAATGTATTCGGATATCTTCGCATGAGCCTGTTGCATTACCTGGAATATTGTGCACTACAAGCAATTGTAAGACTTCGGGTGTTGGACAACGCGTAACAGCTGGAGGCTGCCGCGGGTAATTATTACCAAGTTGGGCCAATAATTTACGGCCTTAGCGGGAGTAACGCGTGGAGTCGCGTCAGACCGCCTGCAGCGCGTCCGCATTCCTTCGCGTTTGATTACCCGGAGCCGCCCTTCTTTCCTACAGCTACAATCCATTGCAACCCCTCTCAGCCAAACAAAGGCTTATTTTCTTTCTATCTTCCACAAATTAGCATATGAATTCTTAATCTCCCATATATCTCTCCTCAATGGCAGCTGCGCGAGCGAAGCTTGAGGAGCTGCGGGCGCTCCGCGCAGCCGGCAAGAAGCGCCTCTCAACATATGAGGTAGAAGAACAGGACTCGATTTACGATGAAGTCGACGAAGAAGGCTACAAAAAGGTCGTTCGACAGCGTCTGGACGAGGACGACTTCGTCGTTGACGACAATGGCGAGGGATACGTCGATGACGGTCGTGAAGTCTGGAATGATGACCCTATGATTGACAGCGGCAGTGACAGCGAGGAGCTGCCCGCAAGAGGGAAGGCTGCGAAGAGAAAACGTGAAGAAGAGAAGCAGAGAAAAGAGAAGATCAACAATGGCATCTCGCGTTATTTCAGTAGCGCTGCTGCCGCACCGGCTCCCAAGCCGAAGGTACACAGTACTCTGACTGCCCTGGCCCCTTACAAATGACTAACTTCAAGTTTAGCCCGTCAAAACAGCTGAAGATGAGGCCTTCATGGCTGATCTCTTGGGCGAAGTCGACGCCAACATTGTTCCCCGCCCGTGTACCAACAAAGAATGTGGTTAAGTCCGAAACACGACGTAAAGTTCGAATACTATCGCCGCCGTTATCCGAAAACTCGCGCACCCGAAGACAGGTGGAGAAGCAAGGTTGACAAGGTCGACAAGGTTGACGACACATCAGCAGCATCGGTCAGCCAAGAACCTGATCTTGACCTTGGAGATGATGATGATGGCATGCTTCCTGGTGTTGGTGATGAGAATATCCCCACGAGCGATCCCATTGTATCGTCCCCTGTCAGCAAAGCAGTCGAGAGAAAGGCCTCTGTTGCTGCCAAGGTGGAAGCGGGGGAGAATGACGACCAGGATGATGATGATGACATGATGGATATCGCTCAAGCCACCGGCCACCATGACAGTAAAGCTGCCAGCGTTAACATGACGGGAAGTCGACCCCCTCCCAAAATTAAGAAGGAGCCTTACCCGTCCCCTACAAGCTCATCTCCCCCAAGAGCTACATCGGATGCGGTCGATGCGTCATGGAACGATGTCACAAGCAAACTCAACGTCCTCAGCAGCCCTGCCACAGAAAGCCGCACGTTCGGCAAGCTGCGAGCGCAGGATGTGGTCGAAGAGGATGGTAGCGTGCGAATGTTCTGGATTGACTATACCGAGGTTAACGGCAGCTTGTGTCTGTTTGGGAAAGTCAAGAACAAGCAGGACGGATCGTATGCTAGCGCATTTGTCAAAATCGACAATATCCTGCGAAAGCTATATTTCCTTCCTCGAGAATATAGGCATAAGCATGGCAGAGACACGGATGAAGAGGTAGACATGGAGGATGTCTACCGTGAGGTTGACGAAATCATGTCGAAACTCAAGGTCGGCATGCACAAGATCAAGCCATGCACTAGAAAGTATGCTTTCGAGTTGCGTGACATTCCCAAGGAGGCTGAGTACCTTAAACTCCTATATCCATACGATAAACCAGCGTTGCCTATGGACTTGAAGGGCGAGACCTTCTCTCACGTCTTCGGCACTAATACGGCACTTTTCGAGCAATTCGTTCTCTGGAGGCGCATCATGGGTCCTTGCTGGCTCAAGATTGAAGAAGCTGATTTTACTGCGGTCAGTAATGCGTCGTGGTGCAAGTTCGAATGCCAGGTCTCAAAGCCAGCGCTCATCACCCCTCTTCCCGACTCAGACATGGAAGCACCGCCATTGACCCTCATGAGTCTCGCCTTCAGGACTGAGCTCAACGTCAAGGAGAATAAGCAGGAAATCCTTGTAGCGAGTGCACGGGTCTACGAGAACGTTTCTCTCACCGACACAACACCACCCGAGAAACTCCCGTGCAAGACTTTTACTGTGATGCGGCCTTTGGGCTCCGCATATCCCCTAGGCTTTGAGGCTGAGACTCGAAAACGGCGGGGCACCTACATGTTGGAGAAGAATGAGCAGTTCCTCCTGAGTAAATTTCTGGCTCTCTTCGAGAGAATGGATCCCGATATTCTTATGGGTCATCAACTCCAGGAAGTGGATCTCGGCATCCTGTTGAACAGGATGAGGGAAAAGAAGACACCCGGCTGGCATCGTATTGGCCGCTTAAAGCGTAACGAGTGGCCAAAGAACTTCAATAGAGGTGGAGGTTTTTTCGCAGACAGACATCTCATCGCTGGTCGATTGATGTGTGATCTTGCGAACGACATGGGAAAGGTGAGTCTTCAAATAGCTTGATTGAACGCTTGTGCTGACCAGTTTTAGTCTCTGATGTTGAAGTGTCAATCCTGGAGTTTGACAGAAATGTGCGAGCTCTACCTAGGTGATGATCATCAGCGCCGTGACATAGACAATGACACTGCACTGAAAACCTGGGCAACGACAAAGGAAGGGCTCATGAACTATGTCAGTCATTGCGAAGCAGATACGTATTTCATTGCCGCGTTGGTCCTGCGCCTTCAGATGCTTTCTCTGACGAAGGTTCTCACCAACCTCGCTGGCAATTCCTGGGCGAGAACCCTCACTGGAACTCGTGCCGAACGGAATGAGTACATTTTACTTCATGAGTTCTACCGCAATAAGTATATTTGCCCGGACAAGCAAACGAAGCAGCAAAGGGCCGAGGAAAAGATACTGGATGGTGACGAGGACTCTGTTGACAAGAAAAAGAAAGACAAGTACAAGGGTGGTCTTGTCTTTGAGCCCGAAACAGGTCTCTATGACCGATATGTTCTGGTCATGGACTTCAACAGTTTGTATCCCAGCATCATCCAGGAGTTCAACATCTGCTTCACCACAGTAGATCGAAGCGAAACGGTACGTCGATAGTTTCACTGGATCTTGCGATTTTCACTAACGACCAGACAGGCCGAGAACGAAAATGAAGAGAAAGTGCCCGAACTCCCGTCACCTGACCAAGAACAGGGCATCTTACCTCGCCTCATTGCGACGCTGGTCAGTCGCCGGCGAGAAGTGAAGAAGTTGATGAAGAACAAGCGTGCAACTCCAGAGGAGCTTGCTCTGTGGGACACGAAGCAGTTGGCCTTGAAACTGACTGCCAACTCTATGTACGGCTGCCTGGGATACACTCAATCTCGCTTCTATGCACGCCCCCTCGCAATGCTCACGACTTTCAAAGGCCGTGAGATTCTTAGAAGCACCAAAGAACTTGCGGAGTCGAAGCAGCTGAAAGTCATATATGGTGACACGGACTCGGTCATGATAAACACCAACATGGACAATATCAGCGATGCGCTCAAAGTGGGCGAAGAGTTCAAAAAATCCGTCAATGAACGGTATAGGTTGCTAGAGATTGACATCGACAACATCTTCCGTCGTCTTCTTCTTCACGCCAAAAAGAAGTACGCAGCCATCAACATTACCGAAGTGGATGGCAAATACGTCGACAAGCTGGAAGTCAAGGGATTGGACATGAAGAGACGTGAATACTGTGCCTTGTCCAAGGAAGTCTCATCTAAGCTTTTGACTGAAATTCTTTCTGGCGAAGATCAGGAGCTTGTCCTCAACAAGGTCCACGACTACTTGCGTGATTTGACGACGAAGATGAAGGAATATGCCATTCCAGTGCAGAAATATGTCATATACACGGTAAGCAATTCATCAGGCTCGGATTCGTGATACTCGAGCTCACATTGCACTAGAAACTTTCTAAACGACCGGAAGAATATCCCAATAAAGAGACGATGCCTCCCGCGCAGGTCGCTCTCCGAGAAATTGCTCGTGGGAAAACGGTACGACCAAATGATGTTATTTCGTACATCGTCACCACCGGTGACTCGGAGACAGCTTCTCTTCCCCCGGCGAAGCGGTCTTACACCCTTCAAGATGTGATGAAGCCCGACTCTGGATTGAAGCCGGATGTGGAGTATTACCTTTTGAAGCAAATCTTCCCACCGATTGAACGACTCTGTGCACCTATTCCTGGTACCGATGCCGTTCGTCTAGCCGAATGTCTAGGTCTGGACGTCCGCAAATATCAGATTAACAATTCTCATGCGAATAATCAACAAAATGCCGATATTTGCCCCTTGGAATCGCAGATCCCCGATTCGGTGCGTTTCGAGAATGCAGCCCGTCTGACTCTACGATGTCGATTCTGCCATGAGTCCTGCATCTTCGAGGGTCTAGTCACGTCCGCCAAGATGTGCACGCCGCATGGCTTAGTATGTCCGAACCCAAGCTGTGCTAAGCCCTTCTCAGTCGTCTCCATCGTCGCGCAGGTGGAGAGTCAGATTCGTGCCCAAATAGCTAGATACTACGAAGGTTGGCTTGTGTGCGATGACGCTGCCTGCAGAAACCGGACACGGCAGATGAGCGTCTATGGGCACCGCTGTCTGGGTCCTCGCGGTCACGCAGAAGGCTGCCTGGGCCGAATGGCTTACGAGTACACGGAAAAGCAGATGTACAACCAGCTTCTCTATTTCGCCAGTCTCTGGGACGTGGACAAGGCAAAGGCTGCTGCCGAGAAGGAGACCAGCGTGGAGAAGGACAGCATCATAGCTCTTGCTGAGCATAACCGGACGAGATTCGGAACCGTGAAGGAGGTCGTTGACGGTTACTTGAAGAAGTGTGGAAGGCAGTGGGTTGATATGGACATTTTGTTTAGTTTCATGATGGCATAATTTGGTAGGATGGTGATGGTGGTCTTTCCTGGGTCAGGCATAGGACGAATTTTGTATATTCCGATTCGTTTCATGCGACATCCCGCTTATGGTACATGGCATGTTCTCTAATTCGTCGGTTCTGGGTAGCTAATGAGTACTTTCTGAAGTTTTCCATGTTGTGGAGCTCTGTACTATGTACATCATGACGTGCGATGGGGTTTTGGAGGTCTGATTAATTTTGGTGCTTTGGACCCGCAGCGCCAGCGGCTTTTTAGGTAGAATCCCCGCAAAAACGCTCCCATAAGAAACTGCATTCTCTATTGCCACGTGGGCCGCCGTTTCATTGAAATGCAAGCCATTCCAAAATATCGGCTAGCTAGATCAAAATAATGACTCCAAAAAGAGTTCTGGTGATAGCGGGGTCCGACAGCTCGGGTGGCGCGTGCGTATTACAGGATCCCTCCCCTTCCAAAGAGAACCAACCCCTCCTTCCTGCATGATCCAAGACAGATTTGCAGATACTAACAAATTACATCCGAGAACAGTGGTCTCGAGGCAGACCAGCGGGTGCTTGCTGCACATGGCTGTTATGCGCTCACGGCGACGACGGGCTTGACTGCCCAAAACACCTTGGGTGTGCAGGACATTCATGTGGTCCCGCCGGCCTTCGTGAGGAAACAGATCAAAGCTGCCCTGGAAGATATTGGGGCGGATGTGGTTAAGCTTGGTAAGTTGAGCCTTTAAATCATATAGAGAAGACTTTTCAGGGATTGGCTAACATGGGCGCTTCTTTTGATTCTCCAAGGCATGCTGTCGTCCGCAGAGACAGTAGACGTTATTGCGGATGCATTTGCTGACCATGGAGTCTCAACTGTTGTATTGGATCCGGTATCTTCCCTATCTTTTCATTTACTGGATGTATTTGTCGTTTTCCTAACAGCTCTCCAAAATAAGGTCATGGTGTCTACTAGCGGATCGCGACTGCTGCCGCAAGATGCTGTCGAGGGTCTCCGGACAAGGCTGCTCCCTCTGACCACTGTGCTGACACCCAATATTCCCGAGGCAAAGCTACTGCTTGAGAATGCAGGTGTTGAATTCAAGGACCCCCAAAATGTCGAAGATATGATTTCACTTGCAAAGCAGGTCCATGATCTGGGTCCTGAGAGTGTCCTACTCAAAGGCGGCCATTTACCGTTGACGAGAGACCGCAAAACGGCTCGGAGCGCCGAAGAGGCGCAGATTGTCATTGATGTGCTCTATGACGGGGAGAAAGTGACGCTTTTTGAGACGGATTTCTTGACATCCAAGAACACCCACGGCACCGGATGCTCGCTTGCATCGGCTATCGCAGCCAATCTGGCATCGGGGAAAGATCTCGAACGAGCGGTACGTGCCGCAGTCAGGTTTGTTGAAGCCGGAATCAAGACAAGCGTCAATATGGGACAAGGAAGCGGTCCGATTAATCACTTCCATTCCATGTACTCGCTTCCTTTCGCTCCGTAAGGGCTCCATTCCCCGCCTCTTTGTTTTGCTTCACATGTAAATTGAGTAGTATTCTGTGGTTTTGCTAACCTGGTCTAGTGGGCGATTTTTGGAATATGTTCTCGACCGTCCTGACGTCAAGTCGGTATGGAAGGCCTTCACCGAGCATGAATTCGTGACTGGTATAGGAAACGGGACGCTGCCTGTAGAAAGATTCAAAGATTATCTCGTCCAGGACTATCTTTATCTCGTATGCCACCGATTTTGACCTAGACTCACATTAAACCGCATGGCTGACCACAGTTCAGGTTCATTTTGCACGGAGCAACGCCCTAGCTGCATACAAGGCTCGAACCATGGACTCTATAGCTGCCGTAAGAATCAGGCCCCTTCTCGACAACTACTTTGGACTGGTGCTGACATGTCGCATTGATAGTCTGCCAATATTGTCCTACACATTAACAGAGAGATGGCTCTGCACATCAATTACTGCAAATCATTCGGCTTGTCGAAGGAGGAAATGGAAAGGACTCCTGAGAAACAAGGTATATATTTCGGGACCCTTGTCCGGAAAGTGCATTGACTCATCTCTATCCAGCTTGCACTGCGTACAGCAGATATATATTAGACATCGGCCAATCCGAAGACTGGCTTGCCTTACAGGTGGCCCTCGCTCCTTGTCTGATTGGATATGGCGCTATCGCAAGGAGACTCTACGATGACAAAGACAGTGTGAGGGATGGCAACAAGTTCTGGAAATGGGTGGAGAACTACGTCGCAGAGGACTACACCGAAGCAGTCAGGATTGGAACAGGTATGTACAGTATACAGTACATACAAACCCCTGCCCAGCTCGAGCGACTCCAGTTCATGAGCTCGCTGACTCGGTTTTAGCGCTCTTGGAAGAACACATGAGAAGAGTCTCGCCCAGCCGCCTGGAAGATCTCGTCCGGATATTCATCCGCGCAACCGAACTGGAGATCGGGTTCTGGGACATGGGCCTGAGTGGCAAATAAGGACGTGTCAGACCCATGGACTCCAGGTTCGAGTTATAAAAACTTCTCAATCACCCGGAAGATACCACTGAAAAAACGTACATAGCCAATAGAATTGTATAGCTCTATCTGTAAAAAGAAATCAAAATGCTAGGATCCTGTTAATTCACTAGCAATGATAGCAATATAAATGTTCCTGGTGAATGGACATTAAAACAGGCCAGTGCCGGCAACTGTTATCGGCGGTAAGCCGGTGGCCACGCTAAGCGCCGCAGTTAAGTTTTCTCCCACGCTAAACCGCTTTGGAAAAATTTTTCTACAGCGAACGAACTTGCTTAAGTAGTCGTTGCCGCCGCGCTCCTGCCTGCCTTCACTCTGTTTTTCTTCACAGTTTCGCTTCTCTGCGCCCCTTCCTTCCTGCCCCCGTCGCCCCTCTCTATTTCTTTCTTCTTTTCCCCCGCCATCCTCATCTTTCGTATTCCGCTGGTGGACGTGGGTTCTTGTAGAGGCTTTCTGTGTTTCCTTGCCTCCCTCTCTCTTTGTTTTTTTTCTCGGGTGTCGCACACTGTCTCTTGTCGGACGGTTTTTAATTACGCTCAACCTGTGAAATAGCCAACATCATGTCGTATCACGGCAGCAGCTACAGTTCTCGTGACCATCACGGAGGACACGGTGGAGGCGGCTACAGGTATGCGCTGATTTCCTTTTTTGATTCTCAGTGACGTCTCACTTCCCCATCGGGGTGACGCGGTCTTGGTCCTGGTCCTGGTCCTGGCCCTGGCCCTGGCGATAGGCTTGACCGCACGCAGCAAGGCTTCTGCTGGTCGCCGGTTGTCGCTTCGCCATGACTCGCATCATCTCGCCAAGAGTCTATCTGGCTTTCTCGTCACTGCATTTAGAGACTGTTCAAATGCTAACATGTTGTCAGGGGTCACCACGGTGGTGGCTACTCGAACGGCTATCATGGAGGCTCCAACGGTTACAGCAACGGTTATGGTGGAGGCTATGGTGGCGGTTACGGAGGTGGTGACAGGATGTCAAACCTCGGTTCCAATCTGAAGCCTCAGGATTGGGGTGAGTGATTATCTGACAATGCCGTCTTTATTTTCACTTCGGCTGCTAACGTTATCTTTATTAGACCTCTCGGCCTTACCCAAATTCGAGAAATCCTTTTACAAGGAACATCCCAATGTGACCAACCGCTCTAGCCGCGACGTTGAGAAGTTCCGCCAGGAGCATCAAATGACCGTGCATGGTAGAAATGTTCCTCGACCGGTCGAGTCCTTCGAGGAGGCTGGCTTCCCGCAATACGTCCTGTCGGAGATCAAAGCGCAGGGATTTGAGCATCCTACCGCCATCCAATCTCAGGGTTGGCCAATGGCGCTCTCTGGACGCGACGTTGTGGGAATTGCAGAAACCGGATCTGGCAAGACCTTGACCTACTGTCTTCCGGCCATCGTGCACATTAACGCCCAGCCTCTTCTCGCCCCTGGCGATGGTCCTATTGTCCTCATCCTGGCTCCTACCCGTGAGCTGGCAGTCCAGATTCAGGCCGAAATTAGCAAGTTTGGACGGTCATCCCGCATCCGAAACACTTGCGTGTACGGTGGTGTTCCCAAGGGCCCCCAGATCCGTGACCTCAGCCGAGGTGTTGAAGTGTGCATCGCAACTCCTGGTCGCTTGATTGATATGCTGGAAGCGGGGAAGACCAATCTTCGCCGTGTTACCTACCTGGTCCTGGACGAGGCTGACCGGATGCTCGACATGGGTTTCGAACCCCAGATCCGCAAGATCGTCTCTCAAATCCGTCCTGACAGGCAGACCCTCATGTGGTCCGCTACCTGGCCCAAGGAGGTCCGTCAGCTCGCACAGGATTTCTTGAATGATTACATCCAGGTCAACATCGGATCCATGGATCTGGCGGCTAACCACAGGATCACCCAAATCGTTGAGGTTGTCTCGGAATTCGAGAAGCGTGACCGAATGATCAAGCACCTGGAGAAGATCATGGACAACCGTAGCAACAAGGTTCTCATCTTCACTGGCACCAAACGTGTCGCCGACGACATCACGCGCTTCCTCCGCCAGGATGGTTGGCCGGCATTGTGTATGTTCTCCTCCTCGTACAATTCTCTTGTGTCTATGCTAACCAGGGTTTCAGCTATTCACGGTGACAAGCAGCAGACTGAACGAGATTGGGTGTTGAACGAATTCAAAACTGGCAAAAGCCCAATCATGGTTGCCACCGACGTGGCTTCCCGTGGTATCGGTATGATGACATGCAATCCCCCCTTCCATCATCCCCGTCCCCCTTCCATTCTCGAGTCCCTAACCCGTATTGACGTCGTGTGACAAATGGCACGATGCCTTGCTCTCTTAAACATGTTGGTAAACAGGACCTGTCCAGGCTTTCTCGGGTCTGCTTGATGGTTCTCATGCCAGGAGGACCTTGGACTCACAGTGCAGTGTAGCAGACGTGCTTGTATGATTCTCCTGCTCTACCTCACTGATTTGACAGGTAGAGCTGTGGGAAGTCTTATTGAACTTGTTCAAGCTGCATTTCCAAGGTTGCTCCAGGACCGCGATTATTGCCAGCCCATGGACTTGCCACAAGGATCTTGATGAAGAATGTCCAAGAGAGTGATGCATCAAGTCTCACGCGACTGAGAAACGGCCAAGGCCACGTTGCTTGACAACTGTTGCTCAGTGTTTGCTAACCTATGGACTTTTCTTGAAGATGTTCGCGACATCACTCATGTGTTGAACTATGATTATCCGAACAATTCGGAGGATTATGTTCACCGGATCGGTCGAACTGGCCGCGCTGGTGCCAAGGGCACGGCCATCACTTTCTTCACTACTGACAGTATGTATTCCGAGTCGTCGATATGAGAGGTGAGATACTGACAACCTTTTGCAGATGCTAAGCAGGCTCGTGACTTGGTCGCCATCCTCAGCGAAGCTAAGCAGCAGATCGATCCGCGCCTGGCGGAAATGGCTCGCTATAGTGGCGGCGGTGGCGGCCACCACGGCGGTCACCGCTATGGCGGCGGCGGACGTGGCCGTGGCCCTCCTCGTGGCTTCACCACCTCGAATGCAGCACCCCTTGGTCCCAACCGACGCTGGTAAAAGTTGTATCATCCTAGACGGGGTTAGATCGTCTCCGGGATTGTGACGTAAGGTTTCGTATCCCACGCGACATCAAAACCACCTGGATGCACGTTTTCTTTCTTCCGGCACGGGCGGCGTTTTATCGATTTCATGATAGACTGCTATTGCGTTTACCGTACATTCACAGGTTCTTCGAAGACTTGAGAGGTTGTGGGTTTCCCATCTGTGACTTTATCCGGTTCATTCCAGTTTAGTTGATACTAGATTTTGCAGCTTACTGGACTGGTTTTCTTTCATTGAGTTATGCTTGAACACGTTGGTCATCATCTCAGGTTATGGATTGTCAGATAAACCAGATGCGTCCGGGGAGCTCGCTTAAAGATGACGCGTCGAGATTGTTTCCATGTCGTCTGCCATCGGGCTGTGGGCTTTAGAGGATCTTATTTCCCTCGTTTGTTTCTGAGTAATGATATTAGGATTAGGTCTCAGTGCCAGCAGTTACAGTAATTACATGTTTTCATATAACTTAAGAGGGTGTTCTAAGTAGAAGGCGACAATGTACTGCTTGTTAGACTCAGTTGTGTTGTCGCGTAGATGTGTCTGAGATGTATTCAAGCCAATTAATCAATTTGCAAGCATTTGTTCTCTGGTGGGTTGGAAACATCCAAGGAAACAGCTTGTTGAGCGGTTATATATAATTGCTGTCAGCATGCATGCTTTCTTTGTTGTACAGCACAGTACAACGCTTAACCTACGACTCATTTGGCTTTATAGCAACCAGTGGAAAAGAGATCGGTCGAGATGAATCAATATGTCAATTGTTAGGCCTTACTACCGTAACAGGTGCATACATTTCTTCTCATCAAAAAAGCGGCACAGGTGATAACTCAAGCATAGCAATTACCCTATGCACAACACACCACAAGTATAGAGCATTGTGCATCCTCCGAAACTTTAATGAAAGTATTAAGGAAAGTATCTATTTGCAGGGATGAACCCTGTTCTCGGAACAATGACCTTGTTTGCTATTCATCTCTACCTTGTCGCAGCCTCTATCACGCATTGTGCTTGTGACAGCTCAACGGAGCGGCATGCATCGTAGGAACCGTTGCGCATGGGACGGAGCTGACACCCAGTTAGGACTCGCACCCTGGCCATGGCACACTTACTCCGTACGTACGTATCGCGATGAGAGAGGGAGTCGTCATCTGATGTACTCCGTAGAGATAATGATGATCAGGAACCAATTGAGATTTATTACTGGCCCAATAATTAGTCAATTTATTTTTTTTATATCGTGATTTGAAATCCATTCGAGGGAAGTTGGAACCGACCCAAACCTTGGGAACAGCGATAGTGAGTGGACCTGGGTGTTATTTTTAATTTTATTTTGGTTTCCGTCTCGATGCCCACCTCCCGGTCCGTATCCGAAGCGGCTGGGTTGGTTGTTACTGTAATGACAGAACCAATACTGTAAAATAAATTCAAAATGACCACCAAGCATGGCAAAGGCTCTCCTCTCCTGACTGATGGGAGGTTTTCCCCCATGCATGGATATAACATAACATGCACACCAACCACACTCACACACTGTGCATACTCTGTAGAATACGGAGTATACGGAGGTAGTAGTACACCACAACTCCCTGTCGTTAAGAAGAAAAGGGCTGCAAAAATCTCGCAATTTGATTGGTGATGGAGATAGCGGAAAAGACTCATTGCTGTATCCGCCAATGAGATGAGAGGAAGGTCCGCATTAACCAACCTTCCTTCCCCTCCTGACCAAGGTTTCTAGCACTCAATTCAGAGTCACGAGTAACGAGTCACGACCTTCTTGCCCCTTGGCCCTCGGCCCCCGTGATAGCTTGCTTATGTATAGCCTATAACCAGTCATAATCTTCATGCAGTGAGTGTATGTATGTTAGGTACCTAGGATGGGGGGAGGGGAGGAAGAGGAGTGGATGGACGGGGAAATTCGCGGCGAAATCATACTGTACAGATTACAGAGTATATCCAGTTATGGCAGGAGTATGACTCAAGAAGAGTGAACGGTGAGCACATATGCACAGAGACCGTTGAGTGGGTGAGTAGGTAGTGAGTGGGTGGGGGGAAAACTCCAGCCTGTGGCGTATACTACTGTCGATCTATCTGCCGATTTAGGTACGGACTATCTGGACAGATTAGTTCCATAAAATGAGTGAGTGAAATATCATTATTATCATCATCATCTATTGGAATCGAGTCTTGGTCATGGATCTTGATAATGTTAACATACCTATTTGCTGATATCTGTCCAGTGCAGTACGCAGAGTACTCCGTACGGAGGAGTACATGTCATTGTTTTATTCCTATCGTCTTTTTTTCTTCTCACTATCCTCAACTTAGTGAAAATATATAAAAATAGTCAAAGAGTATTTCTCACTTCTTGCTGTAAATACTCATCCAATTACGGAGTATTCCAAACTTCATGACGATGACCATTTTTTGGGGATTCCTTATCTTCACTACTAATTACAGAGTACTGTACGGTGTAGAGTAATGTGTACTCCGTAGTTATCTGATGGTCCCTGTCCAACTGGGCGCTGCCCCTAGGTAGTTAACAGTCGGTGATAACAAAAAATTAATTAGATAACTAACTCCATAATTGTTTTTGATCTATTAATTAATTTAGAATCGTAAATACCATAAACCCGAGACATCATATTGCATAAATATGAATTTCTCTTATTGCTGTGCTCAGAAAATCTGGTGCGTAGTGGTAGTTGTATAGATCAGCCGCTAGTCAGTTTAATAGTACTCTGTAAATAGCTACACTGTATTACTTCGTACGGACTAACCTAAACGTAGCCTAACCAACAGCCCTGTCTGATTGTCTACTATCTATTTATTTAACTTTGTCCAGGGTTTGATTCTTGATTTTCGAATAATTACTACTGTCGAGATATTATTTCCGCTCAGAAACAGTTTATGCATCATTCCATACCCTAGGTCGCTTCAATATTAATTTAATTTGGGGCCAATCTGACCGGATAACTCTGCCGATCGAATACGAATTGTCGAATCGAATATCAATATTAATACTCCGTACATAGATAGGAATGAAATGAAATGAACCTCATGTCATGTGATTTATGTATACACTGCTCAATCACTCAGCATACTCCGTAAATCGTCTGAAAGAGTCTCACTTTCATTTCTGTTTCAGTCTCACTTTCATCCAGTCAGATGACCAGATACCCAGACTCTTTCTTTTATTAATAATTAATATCTGATGATCGGCATTCAGGAACGCCCCCTGAGTCTTGACTCGCTGTGTGCAGCAAATTTGGCCCCTAACTTGCCTGAGGTCATTTCCATTTTTGGAAAATGGCATCTGGTTCAAATATTACTATTATTAATAATAATAGGGGCAAAATAGCTGCAGTCGCATTCCCCTGTGGCCAGATTGTTAATAATAGAATTGCCACCTTGAACACTCACTGTGCTACAATGCCAGCAAAATTATCCGAGTACTACTACTGTGTGGTTATGTAGTACTCAAAACTTCTTGGCAAGGAAGTACCGTACTCCGCAAAAGAAAATCACAGTTGGGCTGCAGCATATGCTTATTCGCGGTCAAGGCCATGCGTTTTTTGTGGGGTTGACCGTTGGCTCCTTGGTAGCAGCTGGTTAGGACTAAAATCAAGCCCTAAAGCTTGCATGTTAGGTCCTGACTGTGATCTGTACGCCGTACTGTGCCTAACTGCCACTCAACGGCGTGTCTTTCCCCTAACCGGCGTAGTTGCGGTTCTAACTGCTTAGTAGGGCTCCAGAGCACCCGTAGAACATGCATGGAACATCTAAGTGTGACTCCGCAAAGGCCAAGGCGGCCATGGTTGGTGCCCTTGTACTCTGTACCGGAGTACAGAGATGCACATGCCAGCCAGTGATAGCTAGAGGCATGAGCTTTCACAGCATGCTTTCTCAGGCCGGCTTGCATGCATGATTCTTGCCAGATCGATATTATTATCAGCACACCTTTCCAAAGTCGGGATTTCCTCGGTTCAGTCCAGAACTGGAATGGTGGAACAGAAAATATAGGCTCGATTTCTGGGTATGATTTCTCGATCAATACCTCGCATGGATTCAAATGATTAGAGTACTACTCCGTACTTACTCCGTACGGAATGCATCTAGCCTGCGGTATTGTAGGTCGCCGCTCGCACAGACATACCGGCTATCAAGCCGACCGGAAAGCGGTTGTGCTAACATAGGGCGGCCGCCAGGTACCTAAATAACATGGGCAGGCTGGCACCGTCTAAGTGCTTCCGTTAACCAGGTCCCGGAGGACGCCGGCCTCACGACGGTCTATCCGCACACGAGGACAAGCTCAACCCCAAGCGACGACCTTAGATCTGTGTTCCGTCGCTTTGCCTCTTTGGGTACGGCCGACAACTAATTCAGACACCAAAGGGACTTCAGTCAGTATTGCAGTCTTGTAAAGGCCTTTGGATCCTACCAATTTCGATGCTGATAGAGAGGGAAACTTCTGGCATGCCACTTTACTGAGAGAGTCTTTTTGGCTAAAATTTCTGACGGAACTTCCCCGCTCCGACTTCTCCTCGGCTACATGTCTTCTTGTTGCACACTCCGCTTGTTCGGGAGCCATTGGTTCGTCTGGACTTGAGGAGTGGGCGTGGTTACTTGATTAACTGAACAATTGCATCATGCAGTTGATCCCGTACTCCGTATGCCAATACTGCGCAATTCGTGGGGCTTTGCGGTTGATATTATGATTGACGGTCGTTCTTACTGTACTCTGTACATGCCTGCTGTGCGAGTCTCACCCGACAGAGTTTATCGAAGGGAGAAAGCGGGGAACAACGGAAAAATGGAGAATAACTCCATCGGATTTTGCCACGTAACGCGAATGTTACCCTCTCGAAGTCTCGTTCCTGACTCTTGGATACTGATCCTCTGTCGATTTGCCAAGCCGATTGATAATGATTGGCAGTACTCGGTATCAATCTCCGCCGCGTCTGAGTGAATAGGGGCTGGGGTTGTATGATTATGCAGAGTCCTCGCTTGCTGGTGACGGGACGCTCCTTGGCCAAGATCAGTATTACTCCGTACTTGTAATTGTGGGTCTTCACCGAGTTCACTTGAAGCTCTCGAGTTTATCAATGAATGTCCTTCGTAAAAGTCGTATAATAAGACATACGGAACTGATGACCCGAAAAGATAATACTGACAGAGAACGGATCCAACGTCATCTCCATGTGATTTGACCCGCGTTCTCCATGTCAGGACGGCGCCTGGCGACTCAGAGCTTTCCGATCAAGGGCGAAAAACGAGATTGCGTGGTCTCCATCGAGTCTACTTATGCATGACGCTGGAAAAGGGAGGACGGGAAGCTGGGCCCTGCGGGATAACAGCAATACCGGCAATGATGATTGTATCTGTCAAGCTGTGATCTGGATGACATTATCCTGGGGACGGCAGCGGTTAGCCACTCCGATTGAAGGTCACTGAATCAGTGGCCCAAAAGGCTCCAGGAAGGTTGAAGGTGCGGCTGCATGCTGCCCAGAACAGAAAGGCTTTCTCGCAGCTGACTGAGACTGTATGCTGATGCGACGTTGGGAATTGGGCCAGGCCCGCCTGGCTGGGCTGCAGAACGGAAGTGCTTGCGAAAGAACGATGGGAGAGCACGCTCGCTGGCGAGGCCCAATTATTCCGATCGGCGGGGGGTGCACATGACCGCGTACCAAATCGATGGGTCCACTCCGGAGCGCGAGGGAGTTGACGTGCAACGGGGAGTTAAGCAGCGCAGTGCCTATCGACGGCTGGCTTGCCATGGGGCCAAAACCACAGCTTATCAATGCCATGAATCGTGATCGACTAGAGGATCCAATTTGCTTGCACGACGCCCTCCAGGCCGTCGACGAGCTCTCGGAGTCGACGCGTCTGTTCCGAGATGCGTCGCAGCTGTCTGTTTCTCCGCTCTCCGGACCGCTCTAGCAGGTTAGAGTTGCTCCGGAGCGCTCGCACCTTCCTGACATGCTCTCCGAGCCTCGAGGCCCGGCGGCCTACGGAGAACGGAGCACGGAGAACGGAGGACTGGCTGCCGTATCAGTCGTACCGTACCCAATCATACCGTACGGCCGCGCCTCGCCGCCCTCCCTGAGCCCCCAGCGCCATCCTGCCCCCACTTCGGCTGGCCAGCGAGGCCCATGATGCCCGCCTGCTGGCCAATCGCGGCGCCTGCTCACCACCGCCCCTCCAGGTTCCTCCCTGCAGAAGCCCCTGCTGGGCGCGCTGATTGCCTGTCGGAGCGAAAGCGCAGCGACAGGCATGAGGATCCCGTGCACAAATACCGACGGAGTGGCCATCCGCATCCCTGACACCTGACCGCCAGCTGCCCGTCCTCGCCCAGGCTTGCCAACCCTTCGTTGGGTCCGAACCCGCAGGCATTTCCCGCAGGGCAGGTGTGATCCGGGCCTGGCTGGGACGCCATCTGTAGTTGCCGCGTGCCGTCGATTTCGCTTCCAGCAATCCGTAGTCCAGAAGATTGCGCTCCATGCTGCCCAGCTGCGCAAGCTCCAATCCCCACACGCCAATCCCTTGCTAGACGCTAGTGCCCTTCCCATTTCCTCCTGCGCTATCTTAGTTCCCATCGCCGTCTCCACTGCATCAACCGTACTCCGTACCGTACAAGTCCAACCGAGATCTCCTGTCGATGCTGTTTACGGAGTACAGAGTAATACTATGGCAAGCGATGAAGGCGCAACGCGTTGGCAGTTGAGGTGACAGCCTAGTTTCTCTTCACGGCAACATCCTCCATGTTGCTGGCACGTCCCTGCTAGATAGCACCTGCCTCCAGCTCACTGCATAGTTATCTGCTGCGGGTAGCGCGTCTGGTGGAAGTTGTCTCCGAGTCATCTGTACTCTGGACTCTGTAGGTAGTTACTTCCGGTGTTCTGGGAAATCTACCTTTACTGCCAGCGCTGGTAAATTTCTTAGCACCGTTCTGTGCCATCCCCACGCACGCGTTCCTGACTTGTGCGGACGCTGTACACCATTCATGCGGTACGTGTCAGACTAGCGCCAAAATCCACCGAGGGCCCGAGGCTAGGGGAGCAGGAAGCAATCTCCTGACAATGCGCGTTTAATAATAATAATCAAAATAAAAATAAATCCACACAACCTTGAACTAGGATCCATAGGCAATTGCTTGCCATTAGCTGACCCTGGTTCCAGGAGAACTCTGGGGCAGGTGTCATCTGTACCGGTACTTGGCATCGCCAGTCAATGCCCTGGCCCGAGCTGGTACGAACAGCGTGGCACGGGTGACGCCGTGACGGTACATTCGGCGCGTGTGCCTCAGTGCCTCAGCCCTTCCTTTTTTTTTCACTGCTCCTTCCACCACTCACATCTGGCCGGCTTCTCCCCTCCCCAATCATCCCCCGGTAAAATCTTTTAGTATCATCCATCTTTCTCATCTTAACAAACTTTCAAGCCATCTCCTAATCGCCATCCCAACATTGTCTCTTAGTCTCTCCACCTTTTAGTCCACAACCCTCGATCCTGCACGCGCCGTCACCGCTTCCCCGGCCTGCACTACGCCCACCTCATCACTAGGGCCACCCTAAGCCATTCTCAGCAGCTCCCAGGCGCTACTCCCGGCCCAACGCTGCACTCACTGGCTCCTCTGTGCGCTGCAACGCTGTCAACTGCCCGGAACTCTACTCACGCTAGCCTCTACATACAACCTTGGCAACGGAGCGACAGGTATCCGTCCTGGACTCGAACGCTCCCCAGCACCGTCTCGTCCCGAGCTGCGGGAGCTATCAACGATCTATCTATCTCTCCAAAACATAGCAAGGCTCCCCGTTATCGGGCCCTTCGCATCTACGCGACACCTCCCCCTTCCCAGATCGCCACCACTCTCCCTCCTGTTCTCGAATATTCGCGTAACGAGAGCGCAGGAGAAGAGGCAATAAGGAGACAAAACAAAAGAGAAAGGATCGCCTCAGCTTTGCCACCGTGCACCAGATTCGGCGCTGTCAGAAGGGTCCTCATCACCTGGACCAGGGTGTACCCATCAGAGGGGTCGAAGGCGAAGAACAGTAGTAGCAGGGCCTCTCGTCTTGGGTCCTTGATATTTCATCAGAGTGGGTCCCATTAGCCGGTCGTTGGCCAAACCCGCTACGCTCGACACCGCAAAGAGATACTGCTCCGCTCATATCCAGCGGCCACAAAATAATATTCCGGAAGAACTTCCAGTAGGAGGCGGCCCTTCTACACCTTCCTTACCAACCAGACCTGAAAAATACGGGCTCCACGCGCTCCACTACATCCACGGATCCCACGAGGTGCCCTGTTGCCTTTCTCCTGCCGAAGGTCGTCTTCTCTTGCGTTTTGCGTCCGACGACTTTTAGGCGGCCTCCTGAACGAACCCACGTCTCTTTTCCCCCTTCCGCAACAAGTGTACCCGTCGAGTCGGCCCACGCCATTTAATTTTTTTTCTGGCTCCCACCCTCGAATTTTTTAGGGTCAAAACCAACCGCGTTGCCACGATCGAAGCATCGTCTCTGCACTACTCCCGTCAAACTGGGAACCTCGCCAGGCACCTTACTTGCCCTGTCCTGGTCGCTTCTTGAGCCTTCCCATCATTCCCGTTCAGTCAAGTCCATTACTTCCCGCCAGTCCCTCGTGCTGGTGCTACCCGCCGCCTGCAACTGCAGAGCATCTTCCTCGCTCGCCCTAAAAAAGCGACTAAGGCGTTTAAGCCTCTCCTGATCGCGGTCCCACGGCCCCAGGAAGAAAAGAGCAAAACAAACCACTCGACGTCCGAGTCTTTTAGAACGCCGACCGCGTCAACACCCGAGCTTCTCTCTGTCCATCTGGGAAGCTCGCCACCACCCAGCCTCTACTGTCTTTTTTTTTGTCGCAGTTGAGGACGCGTCCGTTTTAGTAAGGAACTCGCGTCGAATCGCCGAGAGCTGCCCTCCGGTAGCCACCACTTTCTACAAAGTACGTTCCAAAGAGCCGAATTGAGCTCTTGCCACAGGGTTCACACTCTCTGTACCCTGTCTCTCTCTTCTCAGAGGCGAGAGCCGAACCGCATCGTCCTTCCAGACACAGAAGCTCATCACCTTTGGCTACACTTCTCAACAGGTACGCGCGGTTTTCGTTTGGAGGGATTTCGGGGCCACAGACCATAGAGCGACGTGACCATTTTATGGACAGGCCTGCATCTGATTACGCGCAGTCAGGTTTGAACCTCTTCATCTCTGTGTCTGTTAGCCGACGCGCATTCTGAACCACCCAGCTGCAGACCAGGCTTCTGCTGCTGCCGCGCAATACACCCCACAACAATCTGAGGTCCGTCCTTCGACGCAGTATACACCGCAACAAACCGAGGTTCGATCCGCCAATATTTCGTCCTCCAACACTCCGCAGTCGGACTACAACCTGAACCAGGCCAACCCCGCCGCCGCACGTCCCGCAACCTATCCTGATTACCTTGCCCGTCAGCCTCAATATCATCACGCGCCCAATACTCAAGCCGGTGGTGCGCCAGCTATGGCTCAAGCAACAAGTTCGTCTACCACCCTGAACGATGGGAAACAAGATGACCATCGCAATCAGTCGAACTTAAAGTCTGACGCGGACGTGCCTATAGATCCCTCGATCGCGGCCTCCAGCCCTACCTATCCTCCTCCATATTCTCCTTATCAACCCCAGGGCCATGACATGACCCAGTACCAGGGCCATCCGCCTCCCCAGATGTACGCGCGTCCAGAATGGTCGCATGGTTATCCTCACCAGCAGCATGGCTTGCCTGGCCCATATAGCTCCCCTGCCACAACGGTTGGTTCTGCCTCCCCTGCTGCGACCGCAGGGCCGCGCCCTGGCCAGGTACGTTCCTTATGGTTTTGGCGCACGGTCGAAAGAAGAAGCGTGCATGTTATTTCCACTGTTGAGGCCGGGCTGTTGTCGGAGTTTTTCTTTTTTGTTTTTCTTAGGGGGATTCCGCTGATGGATCCTCCTCGACAGCCTGCTTCTAACAGTGCTCACTCATCGATTGTTTCTTTCAGAGGGCTAACCGGTGATGTTGCTTTGTATAGGTCTACTCGTTCGTCCCGATTCCTGGTGCCCAGCAGCACAAGCGGCCTCGACGACGTTATGAAGAGATTGAGCGCATGTACAAGTGTGGTTGGAATGGCTGTGAAAAGGCCTATGGCACGCTGAACCATTTGAATGCACATGTGACAATGCAATCTCACGGTGCCAAACGTACTCCAGAAGGTAAGCACACGTTTTTTCCCCCCCTCTTTTTTTTCTATTTTCCCCCCCTTGCTTCTGTGATTCAATTCTACTCGACGTTGTGGTCGCATTGGCCTCGAAATGGTTAGTGCGGCTCTTGCATGGTCGTGTTACACAACACCCGTGCTAGAGCACGCGGGGACCGCAGTAGCGTTTGCAACGGCGTCGAGGTTAATTTTCGCGCAACACCAAGCCACGCTTGTAACCTTACATGGGCATCGTGGTCACTTTTTTTAGAGACTATTTATTCATGCGGGAGACACGTGCTAACCACGGCTCTGTCAATTCCAGAATTCAAGGAGATTCGCAAGGAGTGGAAGGCTCGTAAGAAGGAGGAGGAGGCACAGCGCAAGGCTGCGGAGGAGCGAGAGCGTGCTGCCGCTGCCCAGGCTCAGGCTCAGGCCCAAGCCCAGGCCCAGGCCCAGGCCCAGGCTCAAGCTGGTCAGGTGGAGGGGGCCGCTCCCGCCGATCCATCTCAGGCCGGTCAACCTCCTTCATACCCTGCCGGCGTTCGTCCTCAGCTGCCTCCGATCGGCTATCAGCCGGCTGATGGTCAGGTCCCTGGCCAGTATGCCGCTGGCGGGGCCGGTGGTATGGTCTATCCTCAGGGCAATGGACAGATGTACCCCGGCAACTACCCGCACTCCCCCTACGGCCAGAGCAACCAGGTGTACCAGCAACGTAAGTAGCTGTCGCCACTAGTCTCTCCTCTACGCTCGCCTTGGATACACAGCATCGCATGGATACGGATATGACAATATCGTCTCGCATTGTGGTGCTGACGGCTGATTCTCTAGCCCCAGACAACCAATCTAGTGCCAACTACCAGTAGACAGTTATTATCTGTCTTACCTTCCGTCTCCATATTCTAATCCTCTTCGTGCATAATTCCCGTCCCGACATCTCCGAATCTAATTCCAAAAAAAAGTGTTTCGAATGTGATACCATATTCTGACCTCGGTTGATCCGTTCAAGAGGGGAGAAGACGGAGAGAAGGAAGTTAGGCACCTGGGGGCAAACGATGTTCCCATTTGGGCCTCCTTTTGTTTTTCTCCCTCCCTTCGACTTTGCGTTTGGATTTAAAGAGTGCATGGGGAAACCAAAGAATATTCCGTTTGCCTGTGAATATTGGCTGATGGATTAACTGTATTCAGGAGTGTGGCGGGGACTTTTGCATCCATTGAGCATTTGCCAATTTGCCCTGCGTTTGAATGCTGTTGTCTCTTTCTGTTGTCAATTTCCCCATCTCTGTATGCTGATTACGCTATCTCTACTTGCGCGTTTTTCTAACGGTTGCTCTCTCACCCCGAGTTTAACTGTGTTATGGTCTTTCTATGTTTCTCTGATAACTCCATTATTTCCCCACCATTTCAATATGGTTCCCTCAATTGGCTTATGTCAGCATATTTGTTGCTGCCTTTTTTTCTTCACCCCTTTCCAGAGTCTGGATAATGCCGTTCCCCTCCTCTTCATTTCCATATCAATGACTGCAGTGGAGCTATGTTGATATGTGGGTGTGGGAATGAGGGCGTGCAAAGATGGCGTGGCCCTTTGTCTTATTTCCTGTCTAAAATCGTGAAGGGGAAATGGAACGGAGAAGAGGTTTCGAATCGATAAAGGAATCGTCAAAATAAAAGATTCGACTGCGCTTTACTTTTCTTGCAGCTTTGTATTTGTAATGGCGCTTTGCTTGATTAGATAGCTACCATAGTTCATGGCCTATTTTACTAGTACGAAATACCCATTTGATCACAGTTGCATATGCTCCGGGGTCAACCAGTCAATGAATGATAGCAATTGTTTGGCTTTGCCGTTCACAACATCTAAGATCTGGAAAGTTTCTGGACCGCCTCGGGAGCGCGCAGCTACCATATTGGCGGGATTAAGACTAGTATTTCACAATGGGGCCAGCTGTAATTTTTTACCCCGGCTGACAATTAGGTACGGAGCAGGTTAGCTTCTGATAGCTTTCCAAAGACCAATGCTGTAGGGTGCTACCTAGGAACGTAGTTAAACTAAGGGCCCGAGCCTAGTTCGCACAGAGAGGTACGCCATCCGGCCTACCTTAGGTACCCGTATGTCATGCGCGGTCCTGAGTGGTGGACCGTGGACCCAGATCGGAAACGGCTTTACTTTCCGTATGGGAAAAAATTCTGAGCTTCGACCACCAGCCTTGACACGCCAACTCTTGCAAATCGCGTCTTTCACGGCAAGGCGGTTGCAATTGTCATTTTCTTAGTCGTTCCATTCTTTTATTGACGCTATTTTCCCATTGCCTTTACCTGTTAAAATTTAAGGAGACAGAAATTTCGGATTCCTTGTCGCTGCTTTTCGTATCTTTGTTTGCGGAGCATGAATTTTTTTTCGACCTCCCGCCAATACATTGAAACGGAATTCCTTTGAGATTGCCCAGGCACCTTATTATTGCGTCTTTGTATATTCGATCGCCGATTCGAAAATCCTTTTTGCGACGTGTTGTCCATCCTCTCCGTGACTCTGTCGTTGGATTGCGTTTACTACGGCCTTGCCCATGCGCCAGCGAGAACTCTTGACCGCGGTTTAATTATCAGTTCGACACAGAAGCCTCTGGGAAGGAAACAAAAGCAACGATAGGGATCGTGGCTGTTGGTTGGAGACGGAATATACGGAATATTCGAGCTATTCTGGTCACGCAGTCTTCAATGCTTCGCTGCAAAGATGCCTACATCCGCAGCGCTGGCGCTCGCGGAGGGAGCTACCTATCCAGAGGACATTCTGACGTGATGACTCGAGTGGGATATTCTGGTGGAAGACTCTTCAAGGCTGCATCGTTGTCGTCCCGAACGTCCTCATGGACTTACGGTCAGACACTACGGAGCCGGCTGGAAACATCGCCGCGGTGGGACGTAGTCAGACGGTTCTCAGCGTCTTCCGCTTCGTCGTTTGCGTTGAGAGACCTACTAAGAGACCATGGGAAAAAAAAGGATTCGTACCCAAAGGGGAGTGAGGACGAGGCCAGAGTCCTCCTGGAGATCGCGACGGGGAAAGAGGCTGCGCTCTCTGTCTCTCCAAAGGCGGTAGAACTGGAGATTAAGTGGCTCAAGGATCCGAAGGAACTGGCTGATCGTGTCGCCAGGCTGCTAAAAGGCAGGAAAGCTGCCATGGCAGCTGCGTTGGTTCGCAGAGCGCAGAAAGAGGGGATAGAATGTATGGTGGCATGGAACCATCTGATGGCGCATTGTATGGATCGTGGGGCGCCTTTGGCTGCATTCAAGTTCTACAATGATGTACGTGCGTCTTAGGGAACCCGCTTGGACCGGGGGAAGATGCCGAACATGTCGCTGATATTTTGCAGATGAAAAAGAGAGGCAGGCGACCGAATGCTAGTACATTCACCATCATGCTGGACGGATTGTCCCGAGATTCTCATCAGCGAGGTCTCCACCCCGTCAAGACCGCGTACTCAATCTATAAATCTATATTCACCGAAAAGTCGGGAATCAGGCCAAACATTATCCACTTCAACGCAATGCTGAAGGTCTGCGGACGACATTATGACATCGACACTCTCTGGAAAGTTGTTGGTGATCTTCCTGAAGAGGGCCCGGATGCACCGGACGTGAAGACATACACTATAATCCTGACGTCTATCAACGCGATAACCCAGCGTGATGTCGAACGCATCCCTCCCAGCCAACTTGACAAAATGATAGCGAGAAGAGCAGCTGGTGTTCGGGATGGCAAAAGGATATGGGCGGACATTGTCAATCAATGGCGCACTGGCCGGATGACGATTGACAATCACCTTGTCGGCACCATGGCAAATCTTCTGATTAATGGTTTGGACGAGCATGGTTGCTATGATGCGCTGGCTCTGTTTAACCAGACCATGGGGATTCCAATTTTCGCCAAGAAGCCTCCTCATTATGTCCCTTCTGGCTCTTTGACCCCACAAAGTCTGTACGAAGCCACACGGACTCGCCCCCGTACGGAAATAGATCAGCAGGATGATCTGGACCAAGATGCGGAATCCTTGGAAGATCAGGAAATGGCAGAAATGGACCGGACCGAACTTGAGGAAGACGAAACTGAGGTAAATTTCGAGGGTCTCTTTGATCCTGTGACCAATACTACTCCCGATGAGAAGAGCCGCAGTGATAACTCGGCATCGACACCTGCCCTTCTAAGGCCCGGGAATGTAGAACTCAGCCTCATATTAGAAGCATGTCGGTTGTTGACTGAGGGTGCCGGTCCTGGTAAACAGTATTGGGAATACCTGACCCTCAGGGATGATGGCCCTAAAGTCCAGCCAGACGAGCATTCTTTCCATCAATATTTGCGTCTGCTTCGAGTTGCGCGATCGAGTCGAGTCGCGCTGGGCATGATACGTGATCAGATGGTGCCTGCCAACGCATTAGAGGGGAAGACGTTCCATATTGCCATGAGCTGCTGCCGTCGTGATCGTCAGAACCCTAATGTTTTCAATATCGCCAATGAGTTGCTTGCATTAATGGATACACACCTTCCGCTTCCCGATCCCAGGGCCTTGATTGGTTATCACGAGCTGATCGATGTTTTGGCGGCGAATGGGCAGTGGCTCATGATGCTGAACGGGCTGGACGTCGATGAAGACAAGCGGTCAAATCTGGCACAGACGGGTCGCAAGTTGAAATTAGCGCTGCAAACCACTGCCATCTCTAAGTTACAGCCGCACGTGTCGAAACTATGCGAAGCGGCGGAAAAGGGACAAATCACCAAGGCTTCCGATCGTTCTCACCCTCTGAATAACAGGGACGATGGTTCCGTCGCTGGCTTCTTTGCACTCAAGGCTTTAGTGAGGACCCGAGCCCTGATGGATACTGTGCTTGGTCCGCAGTACGAGTCCTTACTGTCCAAGTCTGATCGCGAGCGGATTGAGCCCGAAGCAAAGAAATTGAGAAAATTCTCCAGTCCCGAGATGGTTGTGAAATTCGAGGATTCTGTGCTGTCTCCAACTTGGGAACAGCGCCTCCGATCCATAGACTCTAGGGCGGCGGTGAAATCTGATGGAAAACAGAAAGCAAAGGAGCCTCCGGCAGGTACCAAGCAAACTGAGGTGGCGCCTAAAGAAGAGAAGGTCAACCCGACAGAGAAGCAGACTCAAGACCAAGAGCATTCGGATGTGCCGAAGGAGTCGAAAGAATCAAATGAGCAACCAGCCCAGCAGTAAGCTCCGCAAGAGGCGTCGGACTGAGGAATGGAAGCTGCTGTCGCCTTGAGGCTGCGCCACGTACGGCGGCATCATTTCTCGCGGATTGTTTAATATTTGCAGATTCTCTCCTCCTTTGATATCTGTGTCTGTACCATATCATACGAGGTGCATATCCTGGCGTTGTGGGCAAGGTTCTGTAACCATCTATATGGTTTTGGCACATGTGTAATATTTCTGCTTTTATATACGACTGTACTGTACTATGGTTGCGCAGATGTATATGTACCGGTATTGTCACCAAGAAATTCTTGCTGGATACTGCCTGTGTTTCTTCGCCTCTGAGTCCATGTACTTTTATCGAACCGATATCTCCGTCGTAGTTGTAACTGATAAAGCTCTTGGCGTTTTTTTCTGAAGGTCGTCCTGGGCTAGCGCTGCGGCCCACCCAATCAATATTGTAGAAACATGCCGACAAGCGCGCGGGTATGGATTAAATTAATGCCACTCTAGCCTCTCCTGGACCTTGCTTGCGACCGCCCGTCGTCAGCTGCCTACGACTCATTGAAGCTGTGTCCTCGTTTGATTCCGTTCCCACTCATCTTTGCAGGCGGCTGCTAGTTTCCTGCGAAATAGTCCTGGAGCGGGAGAAACCATTGTTTCGCACTATCTTTGAGATAAGGCGTCCCTTTCGGAGGTGATTAACCTCCGCGACCCAAAATAAGCCCGATATGGCTACGACACACGACAACCGCCATGATGACGAGTCTATCCTTGAGAATGATCTGATCGATGCCGATGATGGTGCGCCTCTTTTAAGTACTTCCATCTCACAACTGCTGACCCGCGTTCCCCAGCTGCCATTGAAGCCGATGACCCGTTACACACCACGTCCGACACGACTCCTCTCCGAGGCAACATCCAACCAGATACGTCGTCTTCGTCGAGAGGTGGATTCCCGTCTAATTATCTGACATCTTCAATCCCGGGAGAGGATCGTCGCGCGCCTCAGAATACAATCGACGAGAGCGTATGGGAGACGCTCTCGCGAGACTTGCTGGCAGTATGGGAGAAGATGCGACAAGTCCTGTGGCCCAAGTATCTGCTTGGAGGCTTTCTACAACGCGGCGGTGGTATCGGCGCCGCCGAGAGAGGGGAAGCCGGCAGGTTTGGAGGTGGCTTTCGGGGACTGCTTGGCCGCTGGCCGGACGCTGATACTGTCCTTCAAGGAGGCATGAGTGAGGGGCTCCGGGATTGGGATCTCTGGTATGTTGACCTTTTTCTCGCTCGCCTTGGGAGTGCGAAGCTCAGATGTTCTGACGACCATTTGTAGGGGCCCTCTCATCTTCTGTTTACTTCTCAGCATGTTCCTGTCCATGCGGGCACATGAGGATCAGTCGTCACTTGTCTTCTCCGGAGTCTTTACCATTGTCTGGATAGGGGAAGCAGTGGTAACGCTGCAGATAAAGCTCCTCGGTGGAAATATGTAAGTGGATATCATGGTTTCTTACAGGCGCGAACAAACAGAAATTGGCTGTTGTGACGCTGACTCCCTTTGCTCCTTAGCTCCTTCTTCCAGTCAGTCTGTATTATCGGCTACACGTTGTTCCCCTTGGTCATTGCCGCTCTTCTCAGTGCACTGGGTCTTCCCATGATTGCACGGATACCTGTATATATTGTACTCGTCGCATGGTCTCTGGCTGCTGGCGTCAGTATTCTGGGTGGTTCTGGAGTCGTCAGAAATCGCGTCGCCCTTGCGGTCTATCCGCTATTTGTCTTCTACGTCGGAATAGGCTGCCTGTGCTTTATTAGTTGAGCAGAGAAGAACTGCACTGCCAGGAGCATACGATCTCCCAGCCAGGGAGAAGCGCCATTGAGTTGGGAGACAGCCTCATGGAGGAGTCAACAGGGATGACGATCGTTAACTGACTGTGTTTCTATGTGTGTACTACTGCTGCTGCTGCTATTGTTTCTAGGCACATAATGATGGCAATTCCATTTTTGTTTTCTGATTTGAAAAAACGGTGCATCTCCTTATTCGGAATAATCGCCATCCTCTTGCATTCAATTGAAATTAATTAAAATCGGAAAAAGGATCCGAGCGAGCAAACAAATCCTGCACGACACGTAGCTTGCCTTGGTGCCGTCAGCGAATCGACAGAGGCAGCGCATGTTTGCTGCGGGGTGCCGGCGGGCGGTGATCGGTGTGCTGGAGACCCAGCAACAGCACGGAGCCCGACCCTGGTTTGGAAGTTTGTAACCCACCAAAAACATTCGTGCCCTCCTGAGGCTAGCTAGATTCTTCTCGCCTTCTCTTTTGGCTGCGCATCCTCTTGCATTTGACCCTAAGGAACCTTGCCAGCTCAGCTGCGGACCACCCCAGTTCGAAATCGCCAATTCCAGAGAGCTGCGACGCCATCCAACCCAGTCCTCGATTCTCCGCGCTGCCTAAGAACAGCCGCAAAGCCCCTCTGTTTTCTTGTTTCCTGGATTTACGACATAATACTCGCCATCTTCACCCGCACGGAAAATATCGCTACATACTGGGGATTTTAGAAAGCGGATTGTGTGCCGGATCTCGGGCGGACGACGTCTTGCAAGCAACATCTTTGTCAGCGAGGGGCGCAACTACAACGGTGGGGTTTACAGTGAGACTGCCCTTCCTGTTCTACACCAACAGACATATTACCCCCCAAAACGGCACTTGTCCCTCCAGTCGACGTTCTTGGAGAGGTTTCTGTTACTGACACGACGTTTGGCAAATTCTCCCCAGACGGTAGATAGATTGCGGATTATCTCCTAGCTCCCGTGGCTCAATCCCGACGCTTATCTCCCACGCGCTCGGTCTCCCTCACCTTCGCTCTCACACACTTAGGCTGTCATCGGGGTTTTCTGCCACAAGGCACTCGTATCCCTCAAATCCAAAGGTCTCGCAATGGCTTCGGATCATCAGGAGGAAACTGTTAGGCTGAACGGTGAGTCGCATGAAAAACTTCTGTTTCCCAGATACAGCGTTTCTTCCACTTGCCTTACAAGCTTCTGCGCATTATGAGAAGCATGCTCTGATACCATCAATTACTTGGTAATGGTGATGACTGCAGTTTCTGACTTGAGGATTTCTGTTAGATACAAAGGAGAAAACCTCCAAGACGGCTCCACAGATGATGCTGCCGAACGGCCTGTGCGGAAAAAGCTCAAGGAAACCAAAATCACTCCAGATGCGAATGTTTCCGTAGGCGATGACTCGGGAAACTCGTCTGATGATAGTAGCGACAGAGGCCGCCTCCAGAAGAAACGGTCTTTTGAAGATCTGCAAGAGAACGAAGACGGTACTTCTACGTCAAAGGGAGACGGTGGCCACCGAAGGAAGAGATCTCGCGATTCAAAGGACGAAGACGCTGTCAAGACGCGGGATCACCGTGATGGCACGCCGATTGAACCACCGCGCAATGACGGGGAGGCCTCGAAGCAGATCCTGAGCCCCAAGAAAAAGCGAAGCATTGATCAGCTGGAGAACGATGACATCAAGGCAGAAAATCTGACTGGCGGGGAAGGAGATAAAGGCGCTGCCAGGGAAGTCTCTGGTGACAAGAGTCGGGCAGAAGGAGAGCGAGAGGCAAAACGGCACCGCGATGCTTCTCAGGAGAGAAAAGCTTCATCGGAAAGGGAGGCAGTGTCTACCAAGGTATGTATCACTTCTATGAATTTTTTTTATCTCTGCTAACACACCACGCCATCTTTTAGCCTTTACCAAGTGCATTTTCGAATACATCCACCGTTTCGCCGTTCGCGTCCCTGGCTTCCTCGAAATCGTCTGCTTCTGGGGATGCTAAGACAGAGGATGCAGCCAAACCGTCCCATACTACCTCAGCCTCTGCATTCGCCTCGTCCAGCTTGGCTTCTTTCGCCGGTTCAGAACAATCCCCTTTTGCTGCGCTTGGAAGTTCCACCAACGCTTCCTCCGTCTTCAAATCGGCTTCTAGTGCATCCTCGACTCAACCGGCCTCTACAGGATTTGCAGCCGCTGCGGGTCCTTCTCCTTTTGCGACCGCAGGCGGTTCTGGCTTCGCGAGCTTTAGTAGCGGCAGTGGATTTGCTGCTGCCAGCAAACTAGGAGGTGGACTGACCAGTTTCGCCTCTCCTTCCGGACCAAGTGTTCTCGGAGGCTCGACCGAGGTTAAGCCTCTTGGAGCGTCTGGGGATGACTCGGACGAGGAGAACGAGGAAGAGGGTGATAAACCTGTTGAGGGATTCGAAAAGGAGCAAGAGCAGGATGAGAGGTTCTTTGAACAAGAAAGTATGCTACCTTCCACCTTTCTGCCTTATGAGAGACTTCTACTAACAGTGTGTTTGCACAGTCGAGACTGGCGAGGAAGAGGAGAAGACGTATTTCTCCTGCAAGGCGAAACTGTTCCATTTCACCAATGGGGAATGGAAAGAGCGCGGAGTTGGCACCTTCAAGGTCAATGTTAAGGAACCGCAGGATCCTGAAAAGGATAAGCTTTCGGCTCGTATGATCATGCGTGCTGATGCAGTTTTGCGCGTTATGTTGAACATGCCCATTTTCAAGGGCATGACAATTGGCGATGTATCTGGCGAGGAGCCCAAGGGAAAGCAGCTGAATTTGCTGGGCCTCGAGGAAGGTCGTTCTGTTCCCATGTTGCTGAGAGTAAGTTTCTTCCCTTTCTGTCCGTGACTTGAAAGTTTCCCCGGCTGATACGTGCACAGACTGCAAACGCGGACGTTGCCAAAGAACTGTACCATGTGGTACGTGATCTGCAGAAGCGTATATGATGCGGCTTAGGAGTCTGGGTGAAGCGTGGAGTCACCCTTCTCATTGGCTTGGCTTTAAAGAAATCTCAAAGCCATTCATTCCCACCGTCGTACGCTTTGGAGTATGAGTGCTGGAAGCCGTACTCCGTGTGACTGTGTCCTGGAGATTGACTACTTGGGCTTTTTGATGATCAGTGCGCTCAGAAATAACTCTACTATTTGAGCGAAGCGCATTGAGAGTCTTTGTTTTCGACCTTCACCGCCCGCGAGTAACTCTCCACGGCCAAGGTGTTGGAATGAAGTTCGGTCAATTTTGGGAAGTTGCCGCCCAAGCACCGACGAGGATCGAATATTCAACGACCAGGGGTTTGAAACGAAAGCGTGCTCATCGTTTGAAGAGTCAGGTGCATATTTGAATTTGGTGGTGGTTTGCGTGGAGTCTACGGGTGGGGATGTCCACTATACCATACTACTGTCCTGGAGGTTTTACTACTTACAATCTTTGCAAAAAAAAAGGGGGGGCTCAGTCTTCCTTCCGATTTGAGAGATACATTTTTTTTTGATTGACTGCAGCATATCTCGACAGCGTTTTAATTTATTTATTGATTCCTTTCTTTTAATAATTTTTTTTCCTGTGTACCTGCCTAAATCTTGCAGAAATAGCGGTCAGATTCTGGATATGGAAGGTTATATGAGATCTTGTGGTGCAACTGGTATATGAAGATAGATAATGTTTTTTTTTTCTTTTTTTCTTTTTTCCTTTTGCTTAGCTATGTATATACTATGCTATCACTGGGGATAGTATGAAAATAGTACAGTTATAATTTTTTGGTCATTGGTTTGGCGTAGGTAGGTACTGCGTAGCAAATGCGCTATTCCCGTATCCGACATATTAGGAACCTAATACACGTGACCACGCGTCTATATCTAACCGTCGCGATTAGATAGACTAAGCCGTATCATATACACGTATTCGTTTGTGTCTCACCCAAACGTGAGCACGATGATGGATATTAGGAACGGCTGATCGTCTTTTTTTTTTACAAACCTCTCTTTCCCCGATGATAGGACAGAAAAGGAAAAGAGCTTTGACGGAGGAAGAGGAGGTAGCGGAACCGGAGGGACGTCATCATCAGTACGCGGTTGATTCTTCAAGGGTCGTCATCGCGCCCGAGGAAAATGGCACTCGCCTTGCAGCGCCTGCAGCGTCGACATCCACATCGATGTCTACGGATAACAATGCTGCTGCGAGTGAGGTATTAACAGCGACAACGACAATATCTACAAAGACCCACGATGGAGCAACGAACGGCGATCAAAAGAGTACGACAAGGAGGAGTCAAGGTCGTGGCACCGGCTTCAATCGAAAAAGGAAAGCAGAAGAGACGGAGAATAATAGTATCAATGGCAGCGAGAACGATAAGAATGCTGAAAAGCAGAAAGAAGACAGCAATCCACGACGCGGCAAACCTCGCTCTGCGACTGCGACTGCGAAATCAAACCCGGCTCGCGCTCCATCAGGCCCATGGCCTGATCTGTTCAAGCGCTTGGCGCAGACACACCGGGCTTTGAACCTCGTGTACACGTTCTGTTGCACGAGGAAGCATCTCGCCACGACGTTCGAGAACATCAAAGCGGCGGTGCAGGCGCAGATGGGCGGGCGCGAGTTGACCGTCGAAGATGTCGCGAGGATCAAGGTGCTCATCCCCCGCGCCGTGCGGTTCGAGTACGTGGATGAGGCGGTCTTGGAGGTTATGGGGGTTGGAGAGGGAGGTAGAGATGATTACAAATGGGTGAAGACGAAGAATAACGGCAGCAGCAGCAGCGGACTGTTCGACACTGATGTGACGGGAAACAACAATAATAATGATAATAATGAGAATGGTGATGATGAAAACGATAAGAAGGAGGTCCTGCTGTTTGAATTCGTCGATGAGGATCTAAGACGACAAGTCCAGCGCAGCAAAAAGGGGGAGCCCGCTCGCAAATCGAAGAGTACTGAGCTGAAAATGCCTTTCTACGGTCAGAAGCAGATGGTGAATCTCATTGAGAAAAGGAACAAGAAGTTTTCCGACGCCGTTGACACGTTTCTTGTCAAGTGTGAGGACGATGGCGTGGATCCGACTCAGAGATTGGAGCAGGAGAAGGACGCTTTGATTCCAGTTCCGACGGCGAGAAGCGGCGTCAATACGCCGACAGCAGCACAGCTTCCTCCCCGGATTCCCAAAGAACGCAAGTCGATTTCAGAAATCATTGCTGAGATCCGAGAGATGGAATGGTACACGGCACAGATCGTCCCGGGTGGACACAGAGTCTTTGAGCCACAGCCACCTATCTACGGGGATTTGAACTTTCAGCTCTCGCAGAACCTCGTCAATGCGCTATATAACACCAAAGGCATTACGCAACTGTATTCACACCAAGCGGAAGCCATCAACAATCTCTACGAGGGACACCATGTCATCGTTTCCACGTCTACGAGCTCTGGAAAGTCTCTGATTTATCAAATCCCGATGCTTCACGAGCTGGAGAAAGACCCCAACAGCAGGGGAATCTATATCTTCCCCACCAAAGCGCTGGCGCAGGATCAGAGACGCAGCATGAAGGAGTTGCTGCAGTACATGAAGGGATTGGAAGACATCATCGTGGAGACATTCGACGGAGATACGCCGATGGAGGATCGAAACACCATCCGCGATGAAGGGCGAATCATCTTAACCAACCCAGACATGTTGCACGTCACCATCTTGCCGCAGGAGAGCTCGTGGCGCACGTTCCTCAAGAATCTGAAGTTCGTCGTTGTCGATGAGCTCCATGTGTACAACGGTCTCTTTGGATCCCATGTCGCCTTCATCATGCGGCGACTGCGGCGGATATGCGCCGCGGTGGGCAATCGCCACGTGAAATTCATATCCTGCTCTGCCACCGTCGCCAACCCGGAAGAGCACATGAAAACCATCTTCGGCGTGGACGACGTGAAACTGACCGACTTCGATGGTTCCCCATCAGGCCGGAAAGAATTTATCTGCTGGAACACGCCTTTCAAGGACCCCAACGATCCAACCTCTGGTCGGGGAGACAGCATTGCAGAGACGGCGCGGTTGTTCTGCCAGCTCGTTCTAAGAGGCGTCAGAGTGATCGCATTCTGTAGGATCCGGAAGCAGTGCGAGATTGTCCTGCAAGCAGTTAAGAATGAATTCTGTGCCCTGGAAAGACCAGAGGTCGCCAAGCTGGTCATGGGCTACCGAGGCGGCTACAGCCCGCAGGATCGACGGCGGATAGAGAAAGAGATGTTCGAGGGTAAGCTGATGGGGATCGTGGCAACGAACGCCCTCGAGTTAGGTGTCGATATTGGCTCGCTGGATGCAGTCATTACGCTTGGCTTCCCGTTCTCGATATCTAATCTTCGGCAGCAGAGCGGACGAGCTGGGCGGCGCAACAAGGATTCCTTGTCGGTCCTCATCGGGGAAGGTGTCCCTACGGACCAGTATTATATGAAGAACCCGGACGAGCTCTTCACCAAGCCGAACTGCGCACTACAAGTGGACCTAACGAATGAGCTGGTCCTTGAAGGACACGTCCAGTGCGCAGCATTTGAAATGCCCCTGCGACCGGAAGAGGATAGTGTCTACTTTGGAGAAAAGCTTGCGGAATTTGCCTCGACAAGGCTCGTCAGAGACAGCCTTGGATTCTACCACTGCCACGAACGGTTCCGCCCGCAGCCATCGCGCCATGTCTCGATCCGTGATGTGGAAGAGAGCACATTCGCTGTCATTGACACCACGCATAACCGTAACATCGTCCTGGAGGAGGTGGAAGTGTCGCGGGCACTCTTCACCATCTACGAGGGGGGAATCTTTATGCATCAGGGCCAGACGTACCTGGTCAAGGAGCTGAACACGGAGCAGCGGTTCGCGCGAGTTGTCCGTGTCCATGTCGACTGGAACACGCAGCAGCGCGACTTCACCGACATCGACCCCATCGAGACGGAGGCCATTCGCCGCATTACAGGTTCGTCTGAGTGCCGCGCATACTTTGGCTCCATCCAGATCCACGCCGTTGTGTATGGGTTCTTCAAGATCGACAAAAGGGGGCGGGTCCTCGATGCCGTCCAGGTGGATAATCCACCCATCGACATCTTCACAAAGGGCATGTGGCTGGACGTGCCCAAGCGCGCTCTGGAGATTCTCAAGTCACGGCGTCTCAACATTGCCGCCGCCATCCATGCTGCCGAACATGCCGTTCTGTCACTGCTTCCGACTTTCGTGATCTCCGTACCGGGCGACGTCCGCACGGAGTGCAAAGTGGCGAAGAAAGAGCTGGGAAATAATCTCAAGCGTGCCAACGAGGCTCTCGAAGGACGCGGTCTCAAAAATTCCTCCACCAACAGGATCTCCAACTCCACGGGACCTGACCTCCAGCCGCCGGCCCGACAAAGACCAGCACGATTGACATTCTACGACGCAAAAGGGGGATCATCCGGCTCCGGGATCGCGGCCAAGGCGTTCGAATTCGTCGACCTGCTGTTGCGTCGAGCCGTGGCGCGGATCGAGGCCTGCACCTGCATCACTCCCCAGGGCTGCATGGAATGCGTCTGCGACGAGCGGTGCAAGGAGCAGAACGTTGTGATGAGTAAAGCGGGCGCCGGGGTGGTGCTGAGATGTCTGTTGGGCTGGGAGGTCGACATCGACGCCCTGCCCTGGGGCGAAGACTTTGAGGGCGAAGAAGGCGGTGGTGAGCTGGCCGGTGGTCTGGAGACCATTGTCGAGGCGCAAGAGGTTCCCGGCCGGGCCGGTGGAACCGTGAAGGTATTCAAGGAAACGCCAGTCGAAACGTGAATAACGAACAATTGTATCTACCATTGACTCTCTGATCCTGTGTTTATACAGCACACACACATACATAACGTAATCAATATGACCAAACGAAACGAAAAGGCGAGGAGATATAGATGGATAGAATATTGTGTTTGTAGATAGATATGTAGATAGATATATGTATGCTCTCTAAAAACCTGTAAATATATAACGTGATCTATAACCTAGTCGGACAAATGGCCTAGTCGGACACTTCCCCACCATCATACAGCTTCACAGTCAAATTTCACCACAACTATATAGAGAAATCATCTAATTACATTAAGAACTATTTCTTGTACGCTGGGAGCATGTACGGGCAGTATGCCCAACTGTTCCACATATACTGCACTGACGTGCAGCACGTTTTTGTGGTCTTTCCTCAGTAACCTCAACCACCCTACTCTCCTCTTCATTAGCTCTTCGTACACGATCTATCCCTTCTTCAATAGTTAAAGCATCTTCCTGTCCTATATATGTACGGCGCCTCTCTTGCTTTCTCTTTTGCTTCTCATTTGCAGCCTTCAGTGCCCTGTTTTCTGCTGCCAG